AAATGATGAAAAATAATAAACTTTAGAACGACAAATTTAATCTAAAGTGTAAAAAGATATCGGAAAATAAGTAAGAAAAACATTCAAGCTAGCTCAAGTCTCGGCATTTTGCTCAAGCACGACTGTGGTATTTCACTAGCTGACGTTGGCAAATTTCTAAACCCTAGAATCTGCAAGAACTCCTAGATTACAAAGTGCTTGAAATGATTTCTGTTGTACTCGAGACAACTGAGTAACTTTGCGATAAATAAGAAAAAAGAAACGTCACTTTCAAAAGGATAATAAAAAAAAAAAGTACAAAGTAAATTAAATTAAAAAAAGACAGTAGATATTCATCTTTGTCCTTTGATAATCCGATCTCTTCATTTGCCAAGAGAAAAACTTTTGCACTTATTTTATCTAACATCTAGATTAAACATTTTTTGATCACTCTGTATGTTTACAAATCGTTGATAAAAGAGTATTAAACTTTTTGAAACTGCTTTAATACTGTCAAAAGCTTTAATATCATAAAAATAAATAATAATAATAAACAATGCATTAATGATAATTGTAACCTTCAATAAACGCAACGAAGTTAAATAACAACAATAGTATGGTCACTTATTTAGGAAACTTGGATAGATTTGAATAATTTTGACCTTGAATGAGAAAGCGAGGGATAAAGCAGAAGAATAGAAATAAAACTGCATTGCCATCAATTTGCACCAACAAACAGGATGAATTAAAAATCTCCAAGGGTCGAGGGTCACATGGAAGTGGAAGTTAAGAGTAAAAGTAAATCGTAAAATCGTGAAACCGTAAATCACGCAAACTCGTAGCGCCCAATTCCCTCCTCACTCTTTTCCTCTCTTTCTCTTTTGTAGCCAACATAGCCGATATGCCCCGCTGCCCCAAAAGTTCCTGAAGCTGTCTCTTTACTCCTCACGAGAACCCTACGCGTGCTCTTCCCCAGGGTAGACTTCGCCTACTGTCTCTCCTCTTCACTCCATACTCCTCGCGTCTCACTCCAACCGTCTACAACCCTCTTTACCCCCTCCGACTCTACTCATCCCAGCGCCCCTTTGCCTCCACACCCTCTCAATACTACTACTACTACTTTGTATCTCTCGTCTATCGTGCCAGCAACAACCTCCCCTTTACCAGCTGGAAACACATGGCGTCATCAGCCTTCGGCGTTCAGGAACATATGCAATGACCCTGCACGTCGTATGCAGCGTCACACCAACATTCTGAAGATCCGACTTTGAAATAGAATCTACAACCACCAACTGCACGACGGGAAATGCTCTATCAAGTCTCGTGGGAGGCTCGGAAAAACGTCAAAAGTAAAGGATTTTATTCCACCTATGAAAATATCTGACAATACTCAAATAAATAATACGTTTTAGAATATTGACACATCATCGTTTCAAATTTTTATTATTTTATATTTTTCTTAAATTATTATCTTTCTATCAATATTATATTTTGAACATTTCATATTATTTTATTAAACAGAAAATAATTCAATTTCAAAATTTATATCATTCCAAATATTATTTGAATAAATTTAAAGACTTTATTAATTTAAACTTTAATTCTCATTAAAATTTTAATAATTTTTTAATGTAACAATGTACAATCTAGTGATCCAATTTTTAAATTCTATACTATTCAAAAGTTAAAATTAAATATGATTGTAATTCTTGAAAATATTTTTTTAATTGAATAGATGCAGCGGAAGTAGCTAATTAACTCCAATTTTGTAAAAACTTCTAAGATTTTATATTTAGAATATGTTTGTTTTTCTTCGTTAAAAATGTATTCCTAACAAAATAAAACTGCTGAGAAGTTTACAATATAATGATAATAATAATAATAATAATATTTCTTTTTTCATAGTTTGTTTTCAAGTATTTATTTTCCTCTATTGATAATTAAAAATAAAATAAAAATTGTAAAGATATTTAATAACTACCTCAAAATTTTTGAATAATACAAGATTGCCTGTATATAATAGATAGCAAATATCTAAAATGATGAAAGACATTTTGTCAAAAGAGAAAATGCACAGACGGATCCTCTCAATAGTACTCTTTATTTTATTCAACCTACAGTGCACGCATTCATCCTGACAAAGATAGTAAAAAATGAAATAAAATAAAAAAAAATAGATATATCAATCTTTCTATTCTGTCATTCACTTTACCATTCATCTTACTATCAATCTTCCAGTTTCATTTACATCGTCAATCTATCACCATTTCTTTCTTATTTGCCATTTTTACTCCAATTTTATCCTAATTATTATCAATATTTTTATGATTATTATTAGTATTACCATAATAATTCCAGTATCATAACTAATAAAAAAAAATCCTGTTCTTTTCGATTTACCAATAAATAATTAGAACAGTGAAGTATTCATAAAAAAAAAATGAACGAAAAAAATTACAAAAAGATATAAAAGTCGATAATGTTGTAGCATGTCATTAAAGAAATAAATACAACAGCCGAGGTTCAAGTTTTCTTAAAGTCTAGTAAAACCAAAAAATTTAATAATCAAGAATTTCCTAGAGAAAGTAGACGTTAATATTATAACCCAGACAGAACGTCAGGGTTTTAAAAGCTGATTATATAGGTATATTATTCTCATAGATACACTATGTATATACTTTAAAAAGAGGAAGAGTAATTTTAATGCTGAATTCTCATTGCTGACACACTCAAACAATTCATCTGCTCGTCTATTATTCGTTGCGAGGTTAAGAAAAATAATAGCTGATGACTAAGACAAGAACTTGTATGTTACGTATAACAAAAACACATTCAATGTACATTCTAATGTATTTTTTTTTTCAACGGAATTCACAACTACCATTACTATCTGTAAAAATTCATGAGAATTATGTCAGAGTAGGGTAGTAAAGTACTCTACATATACAGCTAAAATGTTCTGGCTTCAGTGTTTCAATAGCTTTGCTTATACTCCGATCCGTCATGCTGAGTTGCCTTCATAATCATGTAGACTAACTGTCTATAACTTTTTCCAATGATAAAAAAATTTTTTTTATATAATAAGTATTGCTATTTTTATATAAAGAAAGAATAAATAAAACAATTAAACAGTATTTTCATCATTTAACTTTCCAAGAAAAATAAAATATATATATATTACTCCTGAAAAATATCATTTACTAATAAAGCTCACTTGTTTTAATTTTTTTTTTTTTAAATAAAGTGAGTTAAAAAAATAATTATAATAATTAAGATAATAATTATTAAATTATCTCTAGATAGAAACATCAAAGAAATAGAAAAATTTAAAATATTAATTTCTACCATGTTAACAATTTCTATTTCTCATTATTTCATATTTAATACACAAGAGGATTTTTTTTAAAATAAAAAATTCATTCTACTAACAACAATGATGGAAGTTGTGGTTTACAAGACCTTAAGGTTTTACAGTTCAATGTCCTTGGATGATTGAAAATCAAACTACATCTTATATAAAGATTACCGAGGTGATGCAACACAAAGTTTTTCCTTTGCGACCATTATTACACTCTCCTGGTTTGCAGTGATGAAGAAAAGAGTATATAAGAAAGTTTTCTTTTTCAGGTGATAAAGAGAAAAAACTTGCAGACCAGTAAAAGATGTGACAGACGGAGTATATAGAAATAAGGGAGGAGCATTATACATACTAGTATTTGACTACAGTTGTATTGAAGCAACGCCTGCGGAATTAGCTTAATATGTATTTATATATGTATAGGATTCAGTCAGATTATTTTAATCCTTACTATTTTGATAAATCTAGGATAAACAAACTTCCAGAATGCAAGTTAAATAAACGATGAATTCAAATAATAAAGTACAATCAAAAGAAAAGTACGAGAATTATTAATATTCCATTTCTCATGGTGACCAATATCAAAAGAAACTGAATAAAATGGTTAAAACATACATTTTCAATAATTAAAAATATAAAATAAATATATAAACTATAGCTAAGATAGTTTAAATATTAAAAATCATAGAAAATAATATTTACAACAGACAAAATAAGTAAAAGATTAATTATCGTAAATAAAAGAGACCAATAAGAAAAATAATGAAGAAATAAATTGGAATTGATGTGGAAATCGTTTCTGTTCATTTATAGTGGGTAAATTTGTGTAAAGTCTTTGATAAGTGTAAATAGAAAATGTTATTTCTAAAAGGTTATGAATTGATTGAAATTTTTAATTAAAAAAATGGTTAAAGGCATAGATTTGATGTTTTATATCGACATGAATTAAAGGGACTTCAAAGCAATGGATGAACGAATGTGGTACCATAGAAAATTACATTTTTGACTGACACGAATCACAGGAAGTGAAGTAATAAAATTCATACATTGAACGTTTTTAGCTTTACATCCTATACACTAGATCCTATAATTTTTTTGAATAATTATTCACTGTTATAGATTGAATAATATGTTAGATTAAATGAGAGTGATGAATTTAAATCTTTATTCACAGGATGATGTAAGTATAAATTTATGAAAATAAATGTGACAGTTGTATTTATCGGCTGTACTAAACATCTAGTGGTGCAATTTGTTTATTTCATGAGTCTTATGTCGGCACATAGACATACAACACTACATTGATAATAAATTTATGGGATTACTATCTACTTTAACGTAGGGTAACGAAGATTATCGGCTAAAATAAGGTCGTAGTATGAAATTGGAAAGAGGAAAGAGAGTTGATGTTGATAGCGTGAAAAATCCGGCCATTAAAAATGAGGGTAACCCGACGGAAAGTGATGCGATGAATAAAATACTAGAAAAAAAATCAAATAGAAGACTAGCAAACATGGAAATAAAACAGACAGATGACAACTAGAAGCCGGAAATATCACTGATGTCTCGGAAAAATATTTTAGACAATTTATAGTACTTTTTTTTCTACTACTTTTAGCAAGAAATATTTATAAAATTTCTTGGAAAATAGATAGATACTCACGCCGTAGTTATCACGGTAGTTTAAAGATAGCAAATAGTCTAGTCTCTTTAGCTTTGGGAGAAAGTGAGCCGAAATACCGGGATCGACGACGGTGTAGGGACATCAGGCAAAACAACAAACGGCGGTGTGCCCTCCTCGTTGTCGTCGATGTCGTCGTCACGTTCCCGTTTCCTCGTTTTTTATTTTCACGCACTTTGTATACTTCATTCACAAATCCATGTTGAAAATAAGATTTTTTAAGAAGAGAAACCCTCAGAGAAATATTTTTTTTTTTGAAAAAATGTTTCAACTTTTTTTTAACAAATTTTTTTTTCATAAAATGGAATTTTTCGAGATATTTTTTGTTTCACTAAATACTCTTCTATCTCACTCTTTTGCACCGCCGAAACTCCTATGACGGCGGAGCTCCAGATTAATATGGCCGTCCGTTGACACGAAGTTTCGTGGAACGAAAGTCTGGGCAATTTGATTATTTTTTAATGGCACTAACAATTTATTTTTATCTATATTACTAATAAGATTAATCATAAATTAATACTTATCACTAATACACTCACTTTACTCTATAGCACTCATTTTTTACACCCACGTAATGTATTATCCTGGTTACTTTCTGGGCACTCACCTCACTGTCGTACTTTCCTTCACCCTCGCACGGAACCTTAATGTATTTGTAGTTTCACAATTGTTTAGATTATAGATCGCGTTCTATAAACGCGATGATTATAAAACTTTATAAATGGCACAGATTAATTTCGTATTCCACACACTTGTATAATTCACTCGGGCACACTGGACGCGGGTTCTTCGTGAACGACGTCAACATCACCACCGTACGCTGTCGTGGCGGCCATCTTTTCGGGACCACACGAATGAAACGCTTTGGAACTATCGGCGACGACCAACAACGGCTGTATAATCTTTATATGTGTTTGTGAACCACACGGTAATATGTACAGAAAAGCTGCGATCACGGACTATAAGACAACATATTAACGAATTACTAACCATGTATACGTTCACTCACACAAAAACGAATCAAGCCGGAGAAAAGCACACGACAAGAATACAGATGTTCCGTATGACTACTAGCGCCATTAGTACCTCTTTTCTTCACGGCGATCATTGTGCCCCCTTCAGGTTGGATCATCAAGTCACGTGTTCGTTTTATTTTGGTAACAAATTTAAATACCCTCCAAGATTAGTAACATGTAAATGTATATTATTGATAATAATAAAAAATTCTTCAAGTAGTTTAATTGTAAAATTTATTTAATTGGTGCAAAATGGTATCATAAAATATAAAAACAAATTTTAATTTTTTTTAATTATATTTGAGATTTTTATGAGATATATTTAATTGATTAATATCAGTAATATTGATAGACAAAATAAGCTTTCAAAATGTTTCACAACCTTACAACAACATTGTAGAAAAAGTTAAACTTCTTTATAAAATATATAACTGTATACATATAAATTTATATGTACTCTATATGAAAAAGTATAATTGTATCAAACAATTATTAAAATTTTAACAAAATTCAATAATTTGTACGTTTTATTACAGTAAGGAAAATAATATCCTTGTTCTCTTGTTTCATTTCTTTTTTTCATTTGGAAGACTCAAATGGGGAATGCTATGGAATGCTTTATTATAAATGATCCCTTATTTTTTTAGTGTAATGAATTATATCCCCTTTGAACATGAATCCAACCAGTACAATATCTAATTCTTAACAATTTCTTGAACAGCACTGACAATATTACGAGCACTGATTCCAAAAGCATCGAGAAGAACAGATGGTGGCCCTGAACGAGGAATGCCGGTTACTGCAAGCTTCTTCACAATTATATTACGTTCAAGAGCAACTGCAGACATAACAGCATCACCTAAACCCCCTTCCGGATAATGATCTTCTACAGTTACAATCCTTCCTCCACAATCTTTAGCATTACTAATAATTGAAGCCGCATCGATTGGTTTAACAGTAAAAGGATCCATCACTCTAGCATGGATTCCTAATCCAGCAAGTTCTTGAGCTGCTTTAATAGCTTCATACAAAGTAACACCAGCTCCAATAACTAGAACTTGATCCTTGGAAGACGTTTTGACAATCTTAGCTTTACCAATGGCAAAAGATTCGTTATTCTCATAAATAACGGCAGTGTTCGGGCGAGAAGTACGGATGAAGCAAACACCTTTTGTATTGGCTGCTAATTCTACAGCACGTTCAGTAGCTACAGCATCACATGGATAGAAGACAGTTGAGCCTGGAATAGCACGGAACATTGCAACATCTTCTAAACCCATTTGAGATGGTCCATCTTCACCGATAGAAACTCCACAATGAGACCCAACAAAGTTAACATTTGTTTGTGAAATTGCACCCATTCGAATCTATAGCATAAATACATGATCACAATTTTATTTTTCAGTATTATTATAGTAATATGAGAATCATTGTTATTGTTAAAGTAACTACATAATATTGATATTTATTTTAAAAAATTACCTGATCGAAGGCACGAGTGAAAAATGTAGCAAATGCAGATACAAATGCAACTGTTCGATCTCTTGTAGCAGCTCCAATGGCTACACCAACGGCATTCTGTTCAGCGATGAAACATTCAATAAATCTCTTTGGATCTACAGTTTTTATTTTCTCAGCAAAAGTTGAATTCTTCGTATCGCCATCCAATGCAATAACTCGGGGATTATTTTTTGCTATTTTCGCCAGAGCTGTTCCGTAAGCTAAACGAGTAGCTACTTGGTCGCCTATTTTATAATTTGGTGGACTATCGAGTTGAATGTTACTGATATTCACAGTCGGAGCGTCTTCTACTAAAGGCTTTTGAGGATGTAAAGCTAGAGGACCACTATTTCTTATCAAAGAATTCAAATGCATTATAACTTCATCAGATTTGTTGCCAAGAGGCTTCCCGTGCCAGTTTTCTAAATCTTCAATAGTTGGGAAGTTCTTGCCTTTGAAAGTTTTGGCGAGAATAGCAGTGGGACGTCCTTTAGTCGTTTGAGCTTCGTGAAAAGCCTGAAAATTAGAAATCAATGCTTTAACATTCTCTTCATTCTTTTGAATGCTAACGCATACTTTAAAGCGTAAATTATTATTTATAATTATAATTAATCATTTACCTTAACTAATTCTTCAACATTATGTCCATCAACAACCAATGCATTAAATCCAAATGCTTCCAGTCGTTTACGATATACTTCCATGTTATGCTGAAGAGAAGTTGGCTCACTTTGACCGAGACGATTGATATCAAATACTGCACAAAGATTGTCCAATTTATAATAAGAAGCAAAGTGGAGTGCCTCCCAAATGGATCCTTCTGCTGATTCACCATCTCCAATCAAGCAATATACCCTACATTGGACCAAACAATTTAATCAAAAGATTCTTCTTTAAATTAAATATCAAATACCACCAACACATTTAACATTTTTCATTCAATAAAAATTTTTCACTTTAATATTTGAATTCTCAAATGAATCATTAAAGTTAAATATACCTGTAACTGGCTTCATCATAATTTTTTCCAACATAAGCCATTCCAGCAGCAACAGAAAGACCTTGACCTAATGATCCGGTACCAACATCGATAAAATTGAGTCTAGGTGTGGGATGGCCTTCCAAATCACTATCAAATTTCCGTAAATTCTGAAGTTCAGATATAGGAAATAAACCAGATTCCGCCCAAGCTAAATCAAGCCAGATAGTTATGATAATTAGTAATTGTGAACAAGAATAATCACCTTCATTATTCAAGCAGATAAGAGTTATAAGAGTCAAAAAAAACATAATGGTTCGATTACGTAATTATTTCTACCTGCATATAAAATTGGAGCAGCATGTCCTTTACTTAAAATGAATCTATCGTTACTTGGATCACGTGGAGTTGATACTTTGAAGCGCATTGTATGGAAGAAAAGTACGGACATGATTTCTGCCATCGAAGCACATGATGTTGGATGTCTGAAATTAAAAAACAGTTACATTAAATGTTTAAAATACTTTCTAAGTAATATGGTTATTTTTCTAGATTGTGGAAAGACTCATTTGAGTTCAAAACACATTGACTTCATTTTTTTTTTACTTTCAAGAGTGAAGTATCATAAAACTCATTCAAAAAAATCATGACCAACTTTAAAGTCCTTCAATGTAGATGAAGTCGTTTTGGAAACTACTTAAACTGAATTAACTGAAAAAATTTTCTATGAAGTTTTTAAATTTCTGGACTTTATTCATAAGATTGAACGGAATATGAATATAAACATGGCATGTCGAAATTATTTATTCATCAAATCGTCGTTAATAACTCGATTAATTGTATTATTATATTAAGTTGCAAAATTATGAATAAATCATGTCATTCATGTTTTCTAAATTAACATTCACATTAATTTTTCTATTAAAAAAATTCCCCTGATAACAACCATTTTTTTAAGTTTATGAATAAGCTAAATATATAATTACTACATTTAAGATAATGAGGGAAAAATAATACTACTTCCGAAAAAAGTTCATTGATCCATTTCAAACGATAGCATATTGTTAATGTATATAATTTGTTGAATTTGGTAAAAAGCTGTGCTAAACATAAAGAGTTCTATTCAGCTCTTATAGATTTTATTAATCTCTCTAATATATCACACATTCATTTTAATGCAAGGAATGTTTCCAATTCACTTTACCCGCTCTTCGATGCTTCAGTTGTTTTGATACTCAAAATACGTAGTCTATGAGCTTCATCTCGCAATTTCTGTAACTCTTTTTCACTAATCATTGTTTTAATGTATTATATTTAATCGAAAAATTAATTTATATCAAAACTTCTTATAAATAGTCTTAGTCTTATCAAAGCTCGATATGAACTACTAGTCGGAACAGTAAAAATAATGTTCACGATTGCTGAACTACGTCTCGACCTCGTGACGTATAGAATATATCGAACGAATCTTTCCAACTATAATTCTAGTTTGAAAATTAGTGGAATTATTGAAATTCTTTATCGGAGCACTTAAAGATCAAATGAAAGAATTTATGTATAAAATTTTGAAAATTTTCCTATTAAAAAATCATAACCAGAAATGTCCAAAAATTTTGCTGATTTCATTCAGAAAAATATTTATCAATATAGCTGATATAATGTTGAATAATCTTCATATCATTAGAAAAATAATCCGGGTCTTTTAGTGTTGAATTACAGCACTGCAAGCATTATATAATCGTACGTTTCTAGTATGGTGTGACAATCTCATGATGATTAGCTAGATTGCTATACGAAGCAAAAAACTATGCTTTATTATCGCTTATGAAATTCTATAATTATTCTTGAATTTTAATAAATACACGTTTTATTCGTTGATTAAGAAGTTCTTCAATGAGCTCATCTTTTTTAAAAATGTATAAAACTTGTTGATGATAAATATTCACATGAAATTAATATTTAAAATTTTTTATCAACTATTTGTTGAAAGTAGCAAATTTGATATTATCTGCATTACCATTGAGAGCAATAAAAATTATCGTTCATTGCAGATGTTCTTCTAACATTACTTATGTGATCTACAAGGCTTATACTCATAAAATTCTAATTTTTATATATTTAATGAATTTCACTTATCAATGAGGTCCTTTAAAGTTTATACATGATCACCATTCAAACTTAAAGAAAAACACGTGGTCAAGAATATAAAATAATTTACAACTCAATTACATAAATTAGTACCACCTATTTCCTGAAAAGATAATGATTTGATTAGTCAAGTATGAAAGATATCGATTAATGAAGAAAATGGAATCATTTTGCTAAGATAAATAAACTGATAATGTATGAAACATTGTTAAAATTATTTATGTCAGGGTCACTTACCCTGACTTGCTGGCCTGTGTAGCCGTGATCGAATGGACTCTCAACTTATTAGCAATATCCCGCAGTTCTTGGACAGTTTTTGATTCTGGTTTGTGATATGCAGCCATTTTATATAAATTGTTGCTAACTTATTTTTATTTTATTTACTAATTGTATGTAAAAAACAGTTAATTCTTGATAATGGGAACCGGCAATCTGAATGTGTTAACTAGCGTGGGTTTTGCACACAGTACGAAAGCTAATGTTACAAAAATGAACTAGAGAGTGCTAGTATACTAAGCTGATTAATTTTTAATATTAACTTTTCTAATTTTCGAGAGTATCTTAACAACTATTCTAATAATCATTAATTTTTTTCTAAATTTTTAAATAATATTTTAATAAATATAATTAAAGATAATTACTTAAATAATGTAAAAATTACAAAATTCAATAAGTATTTTAAAATTAGCTTAATTTCGCGCTTTTTTGAGAACCAGTCGATAATTTATCAACATCACGTAAATTCCCCCTACTTATACGCCATTTTGGTGGCCATCTTTGCTTTATTGTTATGGCAACCGAAACTGGATGACTTAGTTTATTTATTTGTGTGTAAGCTTTACTGATACTCTTTTCTAACTCGTCTTCATCAAATAAATTGCAATAAAACTCTTTGCATTACGTTGAAAAGAACAATTATATTATTTGTTTATTTCTTTGTGTAATCCATTCACACTGTCATTCTATAAGATCAACAAATTATTAATAGATTTACTGTTACTGTTTGGCAGTCTTTTACATCAAATTCTGAAATATGTCTGCTGTCTTTTTCAATGTAATATTTACATTCACTATGTTTTAAAAAACCTTTGAAATGTTTATGTAACTAACAGGATAAAATATAACCTAAACCTGTAGCTTCATCGTCATTGTCTGTCGATGAAGAATTTCTCTTATCTTTAATGAAGCCATGGTTTAGGTTTTTTTGTTCAGCAACAATAAATGTAAGTATAATTAATATTCAGTACTTTTGTTTATAAAATTGTGTTGAAAACTTTAAATAAAAATATTATCGCTTTTTTTACTTAGATTCGAGTGGAACTAGGAAGGTTTTTGAATAAACAGCACAAAAACAAGTAAGTATAAGTTAAAAATACACTAATTTTATTTTATTTAGCAGAAAGATTAAATTGAAAAAATTCGATATTCAACCTTCATTCTTAAATCTAACAAACTTAATACAGTAATCATCGTAGATACACGTAAGGTTTTTAAGTGAATTGCATGATTGTAATATTTTTAGTCTTCTAACAGTTAATCAGTGAAATCTCTATGCAATAACAATTATGACAACAAGAAAATTAATAGCTGTATAGGATAACTTGTACGAATCCATTTTGTAAGACATGAGACAGATTTGAAACGGTTGCTTGTCTATGATTTAATCTTGTCTGATTAATAAACCTGTAATACTTAAAGTTTATACATCTACATGTCAGATACGTCATCTATTTATGATATGCTCAAACATTTACATAATTTCTCTCTTTTTTCCAATACCAAGCATAATATCGAATTATAATTGAAAGACTCGTATGGAAATTTCACGTTCCGTTCTTGATAGAATTTTGATTATATTACATAACTATCTTATTACTATCTTTCTTTATTACGTTTGTGCTGTCAATAACTGGTTTTGAATATTCACTTTGTCTGGTGAATAAATGTATTACTCTAAATCTACATCTTGCATCAATGAAATCAATAAACGAACAAAATTATTACTTTCAATAACAAATGTTCCAAGTAATTATAATTATTTAATTAAGTTTATTTTGTACTAAAAAGTAAAAACAGTTATAAGATACATTTAATAAAATTAATTTTTTCACACTTGGATGAAAATGTAGAACTACGACTGTAATATGTTTAAGTAAACAAAAGTCCTCTTCAAGAACTGAAAAGATTATGTTATAGCAAATGAATTTGATTATTTTTTCTAATTCGTCTACTTTAAATCTTACATTCACAAAAGTAACAAAAGATAGTTCTATCAATCCACCAGCGGTTAGCACTTGAGGTCTTTGAGCCATAGCAATGATTAGTATAAAAGTACTACTAGTTTTACATGGTAACTCATACCAGCTGCTTTCATAAGACAAAAGTCCAACTCTGAAAAGCTTTTATAACATAGAGTACTAGATTCATATTTCATTCCATTATTTTAAAGGCTTAATTCCAATATTTTATTATTACAAGACATTTCAGTTAAATTTATGCATTTAGATGGAGAAAAAAATGTTTCACTAACCTGCTCTTTAAGAATTTCACTAATCCAACAGAAAATTAAAAAGTTTGAACTTAATCCGATAATTGTCACTAGATAAGTAATAAGATTCACCATCTCTCGACGTTCCCAAAACTGTAAATGCCCATTTGAAAGTTAATTACTGATATTTTCTATGATTATCATCTCCCAATTATCTCATGATTTTTTTTGTTACTCACTTTTAGATAAGAATGTTCAGAGGCACAAACAACTAGAGTTACTGCAATCAATTCAACTAAACTTATTTGTTGAAAAATTTTTTCCATATTTTTTGAAAAGCTTAAATGAAAGACATAACATGATAATTTTATTAACATAATTATTTAATATCTGAGTAATTGAACATACTTGATGATATTGATGTGACGAATAACAATTTTTGATATTTTTATTTGCAATACTTTAGGATCCATTTGACTTTCTTTTACAATGTCATTGAATTGTTGAGTAATTATTTGGATTTGACTGTGGACAAATCCTACTAATATTATTGCTAGACCACATGTACCAATAAGATGAGTAAAAAAAAAATATATTGCTAAGAGAAACAAACAGTACATTATTTCATAATATGGAGTTATTGTAGCATCATCGAAGAAATCATAACCAGGAAACATTTCTACTCTATCAGAAAGATTATATTTACGATTTTTTAATTTAGTTGTAGTAATAGGCATTACTACATTATATAATACCGCTACTGTTATCATCAAACACGAAAAATTGTAGATGATTCGCTGGATAACTTTCATATTTTCTTCTATAATTTCTCGAAATTCTTTGTAATCAGTTTCAATAAATTCAACTTTTAGAAATATTATACATTCAGAAATAATTTTCTCTCGAAACAATAATCCAAAATATTTTAATAAAGATGAGCTCACAAACGTTATCGGAGCAAAAAGGAAAATTTTTAAATCAAAGTCACTGTTCTGATCACACATTCGTAACACTAAAGGGAAAATTATCCATACATGAAGAAAACAACATAAAAATCGACGAAAAATATTGAAATATTTTTCAGTCTTTGTCAATGTTTTAGATTTAAATGTCCAAATTCCCAGACTATGTAGAAGCCACTGTACATAGTCGATTGATTGAAAAATATTGTCATTATTATGAATATCATTTCCAATAATTTTTGTGATGATGTTGGTAACAGGTAGCATATTTTTTATCGATAAAAAATAACACTAGAATTCTGCTAGATTAATTACCAGTAAGGGGCTTATTATAACTAATCAGTCTTACTGAACTACATTAAAACGAGAAATAAAATAAATCTGTCTTTAAATGGTGAAATAAAATATTCATAAAGTGAGTGTAAGCTTTTCATGTGATATTTACTTATTCATGGGATACTGTAAAATTAATGTGAGTTTCTGTACAGTAAATAGGATAATAACACATTCGTTTATATATTATTAAAAACATCATAGCTGAAAAATTAATTATCTCTTACTTCTGATGGATTATTGAATTTTGATAGGAACATTGGGAGCTGAATCTACTATACACACCTTTGTTCAACATAAAAACTGTTGAGAAACTTTTAACAAAAATTTTCATTGGTTTATTCCGTCTTGTTCGTTTTGTTTTCAGCCAAACAATATTTTGTAAGTTTTTTCAGTGGAAGTTATATACCCTGTGATGAAGGGTTAGTCTATATCCTTTTTTTTGTATGATGGTGAATCAGTTTTCGTATTTTTTTTTGGTAAAATTGCCTAGTGTATAGCCAAAAGTATACCCTGCAGTTTCTATGGTTACATTATTTTGTATTTTATTATCCTTTCTCTAACTGGCCAGTCTCAACATGTCCGTCTGACTATACAGACTAGTCTATCCTTTCATTTCTGAGTGAGTACGTAGTTTCAATGTGGTAAAAAATATATAAAAATAACAATAATTTTAACGTATTTTGATTTTGATACAGACTATTTTTTTAAAAATTCTTTGAGATAAAAGTTATTTATAGCAACAACTAGAAAAATTTTTAATGACTCAGTGATGAACAAGATAAAATTATCACAGTTAAAGTATTTGCCTGCATATCAAATTAAATTAAGTAAGATTATATATAGATATTTCTAAAAATTTTAATGTCACTTGGAATGATCATTTTTATTTTGTTTAATCTGTTTGACTATTGTTTTCATTAATTACAATATATTTTATAATTCTATCATTCGTAGAATATTAAAAAATGCAATAGTAGTTTTCATCACCTGAAAATATATTTTAATATCAAAAAAACAATTTTTTACTGCAAATTTTGCTTTCATACTGTCGTAAACCCATTGCATGATAACTCCATAAGTCCATTTGCCGTCAGTTTAATTGGATTTTGTGCCATAATGATCATAAAAATAAAATCACGGGCATTACTTGGCTTCAAATATTCCCAGTTGCTCATGTAAATTGACTCACCAACTCGAGAAAACTAAAAAAAAAAATTATTATCATAGACTATATTAATAACTAACTAAAATAATTGTTTTTATACTTTCTTACATACTTGATCTTTCAATAATTCTCCTATGTAACAAAAAATAAATACATTAAACGTAAATGCAAAAAATAGTGTTAGGTAGATTAAAAAGCCAACTTTTTCATCATACTCCCAAGCCTATACATTTAGTAAAAAGTTCATCTTATTTTCCTTTTATTTTTAAATATAAAAATTATTTTTCTCCATTTATTTCTTTACCATCAAACAGTAGTATTCATCTACACAAATAATTACAGTAGCTCCTACTATTTCAATGAGACATATTTCGCCCATTATATTTTGAATTTTTGAAGAAAATCTACGATATTAACTTTCAGCTAAATTCAACTTGAATATATGTGATAAACATTTTAGTTAGCTTACTTGATTACATTATTATGTAAATCGACAATTTTAGCAATTTTTTTTTTATGTAAACTACTATTTTGAAGACTTCTACGATCAACGAACTTTTCTAATCTTGAAATAATTATCTGAATTTGACCACAAACATGAGTTACTAAAATAGCACCAAGATTACATGTACCAACACTCATTGTACAAACAACTGCGCCCATTAAAATATGCAGAAAATAAATAATTTCATAAATTGGAGTTCGTTGAGTATTGAACATAGAACTGATAATTGTCACTGGAAATACTAATGGACGTTCCGACGAGTTTTTTAAAATTGATAAAAGGCTTCCTGGTAAAAAAGGTGCTGCTGCTTGATGAGATATTCCACCAGTAAACATAAAAACAGCAAAAATAATTGTAACATTGTTTCCTTTATTCACATTTTGTATCATGATAGCTCGATCTTTAATATTTTCTATTTTTTCCCAGTCTCTTTTGATTTGTTTTAAACAGTATCTTATATTTTTTCTGTTATAAATAACTGAATAGTACTTCAAAGCACAAGTGATAGTCACTCCAATAGGACCAAAAACAGCTAGTTTTATTTTCAGCTCTTCATCAGTCCAGAATAGATAATAAAAAGATGGGACGATAACAATGAGCATAAGAAACTCGCACATTACATGAGCAAACATTGATAGAAATTTTTCTCTAAATGTAAAATATTCTGTAATTATTGTCCATAAGCCTAAACTTTGAAAAAGCCATCCAGTATGTTTAGTAGCTAATTTAGAATCAAACTGTTCTGATGGAGATGTTGAAATAATGCTAACTTCTTTTTTATTACACATCACTTTTTTATCTCGTTAATACAGACAACAAAGTGCAACTGACAATCTGGAGATAAATTTAGGGGTATAAATAAATATTTATGAACTTATAGGTGTTCCTTATATTTGATATCAATAATCGATAACTTTAGAAAACTTTACTCGTTGCAAATAAATTAGATATATGATTTCATGGAACGAAGTATTTAAAATGTAAATATTTCATGTTTTCTCTTTTATTATTTCATTTACATTTAAAAATTATTCTTAGAAACTAAAGCCAACTAAATATTACAATGTATTATATTATTTTCTTTTTATCAATATTTAAAAGTTAACTACATTTCTGTATCAAGTTTTTGACAACAAAATTTATCTAAATCACCAACCAATTTATTTATTTGAATTTATGATAATATTTTTTTTATTAATTTCAGATAGTTTATGGAATTTGGAATAAAATAAGAAAATGATCCAAATGTTGTTGATACGAAACAAATGGTTTATTAAAAATGAAACGATAAAATAAACCAATTTTCGAATGGAAATCATTATTCTACTGATTGGTGAGTAATTTGTCAAAATTTTCAATTCTATATTTTTTATTTCTATTATCAAACTTATATAATCGATCACATTATTAATTCTTCTATCATGATGAGAATTTAAAAGAAAAATAATTTTTTAAACAAGTGTTCTCAAAAAATTTAAATAAGCCATTGCTGTTTTTAAAATCTAAAATAAAATCAGCAAATATATTATGATAATAAATTATCTGTAATTTGTTTAAATAAAATAGAATAGAATACTCACACCACCAAAGCTTCGATATGAAAGTTGTGCCATTTTACCAGCTGTTATACTATTTTGATAATTGGACATAGTTAGAACTAGAATTAACATTTTTGCATCATTTTCTGGTAACTTGTACCAATCAATCATATAAGCTATCATGCCAACTTTTTGTCCCTGTAATTAAAAAAAATTTTTCTTTTCTCTGATGCTCAAATTTTAATTGATTTAATTACCTGTTGAGTTAATAGCTCACCGATATAACAAAATATAAAAATATTGAAAGTAAATGATATAAAAAGAACACCATATGTTAATATTTCAATAGGTCTTGAATGCTCTTTTTCTATTTCCTGAATAATTTGATAAAATTTATTTTAACTTTTGATTATTTAATAAAGAGGATCCTTGTGTCACTGCGAATAAATTCTTCACCATGTCACAAGGATCCTCATAATTGATAGAAATAATTAATTTTCGTACTGCTATAATATAATACCCAAGCAGACATATATTAATTGTGCATCCAAGGAATTCCACAAGACAAACTTCATTTAAAAGCTCCTCGATACGAACAATCAGACTAAAATGAATTTTCTCGTGTCAATTTAAAAAATGTATATCACTTGATAGCTTTTTTAGGATGTTAAAATGGTAATTATTTCAAAAAATATACCTCATAGATCGCAGATGAAGTTCAACAATTTCAGCAATTTTATATTTAACTTCAATTTGCGTGTCACGTTTATTAATGAAACTCTCCAGTCTAGACATAACAATTTGTAATTGGCCACATGCATGTAGAACTAACACAGCACCTAAACTACATGTTGCGACGTTGATGCTGTATCTGATGAAACTAGAAATCCACTGAGTTGCGAAAACTATTTCATAATAAGGACTATGGTCTGCAGTAAATAGCCCTGCGTATACTGGAGATGGAAGTGGATGACGGCTAATGTTACTAGCTGTTAGGATTTTACCTCTTGATAAGGGAGCTATTGTTTGATAAAAAAAGCCACCACCATACATGAAACTAGCACAAAGAGTCGAGATAAATCTACCATTTTTTGCAGAAGCGAGCATGATTTTTCGATCTTCTGATTGATTTGCTCTTCTCCAGTCAATATCGATATGTTCTAGGCACTTGCGAATTTTTTTCTTTCGTGCTAATAGAAAACAATACTTACTCATCACCATGATGGTAAAACTTGTAGGTCCTATTAACTTTATTTTTATTTTTAAATTGATATTTGCAAGTAACATATGTAACAAAGTCGGAATAAATATAAAACACAAAAGAGTAGCACAAATGAGAACAAAAATGTATGAAATGCATTTATGGATAAACGTTGGTTTATCTCTGAAGGGTAGTATACCAAGTGGTATCAAAAACCAACGATTTATTTCAATACTGTATTTCATATCATTTTTTGATTGATCTGTCGGTTTAGGTACTGGTCGTAGAATCTCGGGTTTTTTAAGCATGTTGATGGCCAGATGTCTTTTTAAATACTGAAGCTAAAAAAAGCTTAAAAGTGGAAAGGGTTGGAATAGACAAAACGCGTGCGCGGAATTCTAAAAAACTTTACAACAAATGTGTAAAATATAAATTTGACGTGCGAAAGCTTTATTCGGTTATTGGTTTCATTATTTAATCAACTCGACTGTTTTCGCTGAAAATAAAGTTTTTCGACATGCACCGTAGACTGAGTTTTAAACATCGAACAATGAACTTTAGATCTTTCAATTTATTTTTACTTTTAGTTTGAAAAATTTTATTTGTGTAATTATTTATTATTTTTTGTTGGTGATTGAATTTAAAAATCAATCAACATTTTTATTAATTAGTTACTTAACTATTACAATGATAGTGTTATGAGTGATGATGTGTAATGTTAGTTAGTATGATAATGAAATTAATAGCTCTGCACAATTACATAAAATGCAGTTTTTTAATAATCGAAAAAAATGGTAAGAATAATTCAAAGAATAAAAAAATTTTTAATTACATTAATCAATATTACAAAAATTTATTAGTTATGAATATGTTACCTTTTATGCTCCAACTTTATGAACTTAGATGTTTTATACCATCACTGTTATGACATCATTATTTATTACACAATTAAAAAATTATAATATAGTTCGCAATAGATTCAAAAATGTCATTGAAGTTTTGATAATCTGAAATTATCAAGAGAATCTAACCATCATATTTTATCACATAGTATAAATTAATATATTCCTTACAGATGCAAAACTACGGTATGATAATTCTGCCATTTTTCCAGCAGTTAATCTGATTGGATAATTAGAAATTCGTAATAATAAAATCAACATTCGCGCATCCTTTCCGGATAATTTATACCAGTCAATCATATAAGCTATTGTACCAACTTCTTGTTTCTACAATTAGAATTATATTTCAAGTTTTAACTATTTAGTATAATTTTTTGATATAATTACCTGCTGGGAGAGCTTCTCACCAATATGACAGAGTATAAAAATGTTGAATGTAAATGACGTGAATAGAACACTGTAGGTTGACAAGTCAATGGCTCGTAGATGATCTGTTTCAAATTCCTAAAATTATTTCAATTAATTTTCTTCATAAATAAACTGTTAAATTAAAACATCTTTAATGGTTAATTAAGACACTAAAACTGTCAATAACATTCCATAACTATCGAATTACCAAAATCACTTATTTAATTCTTTTTTTTTTTTCAAGATAATAATCATACCATCAAAATGTAGTAACCAATCAAGCATATAATTGTCGTACTCCCAAGCACTTCTATTAGACAAACTTCATTCAATACCTCTTCTATCTGAGTTATAAAACTTGAAGAAAAATTTTAATCAGACAACTTAAATTCACTAACATTAGTCATATCTCATTACCTCATAGACCGAAGGTGTAGCTCTACAATCTCAGCAACTTTATATTTTATTTCAACTATTGTATCTTGAGTATTGATAAAATTTTCTAGTCTAGATATTACAATTTTCAATTGGCCACATGTATGTAAAACAACAACTGCACCAAGACTACAAGTAGCCACGTTGATGCTATATCTAAGAAAACTTGAAATCCATTGAAATGTAAACACAATTTCATAATAGGGACTGCGATCAGCAACAAAAAGTCCTGCATAAACTGGATATGGTAATGGATATCTACTGATGTTATTAGCTGTTAGGATTTTACCCCTAGCAAGTGGAGCAATGGTTTGATACAAAATTCCACCTCCATACATAAAACTAGCACATATAGTTGAAATAAATCTACCACTTTTTGCATATGCAAGCATGACTTCTCGATCTTCTGATTGTTTGGCTCTTCGCCAATCAATATCGATATGTTCTAGACACTTGCGAATTTTTTGCTTTCGTGCGAGTAAAAAGAAATATTTACTGATGACCATGACAGTAAAATTAGTTGGTCCTATTAATTTTATTTTTATTTTTAAATTGATATTTGCAAGCAACATATGTAAAAGTGCTGGTATCAGTAAAAAACACAAAAGAGAAGCACAAATAAAGGCAAATATATTAGAAATACATTTATGGATAAACGTTGGTTTATCTGTAAGAGGTAGAATACCGAGGGGTATCAAAAACCAACGGTTTATCTCTGTGCTGTACTTTATGTCACTTTTTGATTGATCTGACGGTTGAGGAACCAGACAGAGAATGTCTGGTTTGGCCATTATGTTGATGGTCAGCTGTCTATTACAATACTGAAGCTACAAAAAAATAAAACTTTAAAGTGGAAAGGGTTGGAATAGACAAAACGCGTGCGCAGAATTTTTGAATACTTTTAAAGAAATGTGAGAAGTAAAAGTCTGATGCGTTATGATCAAACTTTTATCTATGTATCGATTTCACCATTTTAAAAAATGCAGCTCTATAGTGACATAAGAAACAATTTTGAAAATAAAAATATCAATAACATTTCTAATGGTTTAAAATTGTTTATAAAAATCAAGAACTGAATATAATAATTGGAAATACTTTTAATAAAATTCTTGTTTTCGAATTTTAACGTTGTGCTATTATTATTATCTAAAGATGGATGAATGAACATGACAGTCAAACAGTTAATGTTACATTGAAGATTATTTATAACAGGTAATAGAATTTACTAATGTTTAAAAATTTCATGTTAGTACAAGTATTATATAATACACCATAAAAGTAGTTTTATATTACAAGAGTTCTTAGTAAATTTAAATATGCTAACGAAGTTCTAAGGATCTACAAATAATAAAATACAATGAAATATTTTATAACATTGAAATTTAATTGATGTTTATTGCACTTACACTACAAAAACTTCGATATGACAGCTCTGCAATTTTTCCAGCAGTAATATTTATTGGATAATTGGACATACTGAGCACCAAAATTAATAATTTTGCATTCTTTGCTGATAATTTATACCAATCAATCATATACGCCACAAAGCCAACCATTTGTCTCTGTAATTCATGAGTTACACATAAATGTTCACTGTCTTATTATACAAAAAAAGCTTGTAATAAAATTTGGATTACTTGCTGAGATAGTTTTTCACCAATGTAGCAAAATATAAAAATATTAAATGTAAATGATATGAACAAAACACTGTATGTCAGTATCTCAATAGCTCTTGGATGTTCTTTATCAAGTTCCTGTAATGATTTTCTATAGTTATCAAGAACAATTAATGGTAATTGTAATCATACCGCTAAAATGTAGTAACCTAATAAACATATATTTAGTGTGCATCCAAGAAATTCTACAAGACATACTTCATTTAATATTTCCTCTATACGAATTATAAAACTAAAATCACAATAATAACATTCTATAAAACACTATCAATGGTATCAATCAGATACTTGATATTTTAATGAAAAAACATACTTTATCGAACGAAGATGAAGTTCGATAAGCTCTGCAATTTTTAATTTTAACTCAAATGGTGAGTCTGTTTCATCAACAAGAGTCTCTAGTCGAGACATGATGATGTTTAACTGACCACATGCATGAAGCGCTAAAATTGCTCCTGAGCTACATGTAGCAACACTGATGCTGTATCTAACGAAATCTGAAAACCACTGAGCTATAAAAACAATTTCATAATAAGGACTGTGATCAGCAACAAACAATCCTGAATAAACAGGATATGGTAGAGGACGTATACTGATATTATTAGCTGTCAAAATTTTGCCTCGAGAAAGTGGTGCAATAGTCTGATAAAACAGCCCACCACCATACATGAAAATAGCACAAAGTGTTGTAATGAATCTGCTATGTCTTGCATGAGTCACCATTATTTTTCGGTCGTTATCTCGTCTTAGTCTTCGCCAATCTATATTAATGTCGTCTAGACATTGACGCATTTTTCCTCTTCTCATCACTAGGAAATAATATTTACTCATCACCATAACACTAAAACTCATTGGCCCTATTAATGTTAATTTTCTTTTGAATCCTTTTTCAGAAATTATCATGTGAAACATGGTTGGAATAAAAATAAAACATAAAAGTAAAGTACAAATCATAATTAAAAGTTCTGATAAGATTTTTTTTACTTTTGAAGCATTTAATTCAACTGGCCAGAGACCAATTGGTTGCAAAAACCACCGATTCATTTCTATACTATATTCTATGTCAGATTTGGATTGTTCTGTCAGTTCAGGCACCTGACAAAGTATCTCTGGTTTTTTCTTCATGTTTGTAACTTGTCTTTTAAAATACTAAAGCTGCAAAAAAAACTTTCTAGTGGGGAGGGTAAAAAATTGAAAATGGCATGCGCAGAATTGTTAATAACTTTAAAACAAATGTGTGACGTTAATGTCTGCAATAAACCTAAAAACTTTTTGTCTTTATCGAACTCATAATTAAATCATGTTAAGCTTTTATGAAAAATCGTACTTTTTAGTGCGTGTGCGTGGTAGCTTGATAAGTTTTGAACTAAACGAAAATAGAAGAATGGGAATAAAGAAGAAGCTTAAATTTCAGTAAAAGTATTATTCCAACTCATGCAAATTTATCTTATTAAAGTATATAAATATAATCATTTTTAATTTTTTTTTGAAAATAAGTCTAGTTGATATCAATAATATCACCAGTGTTGTAACCGATGAAATATATAATCAGTGTACCTTCAATAAACTCGATAAGACACACTTTATTCATGATCTCTTTGATACAAGCTATAAAAAACAAATCAATGATAAGCTTCTAAGACTTTTGGGATTTTTTTGTGATATCTCATCATCAATAAGTGATTCAATTCAAGTCACAGTAATTATTAATTGATTATATCCACGAAACATCAGTGCAACACCTATCTTTCATTAAAAGTGCAACTGCATAAAAGAACCCACCCAAGATTCTGCAACTAGAATCTTTAATTTTTTTCCATGTTCAGTGTTAACTGATTTTTGTAATATTGAAGCTAAAAAAACGCACTGCTTGTAAACTAAAAAAAAATTACAAAAGTTTACAATAAATGTGATGACAGTGCGCTGAAAAATGCCTTCATTGTTCATTAAAAATTGTTTTTATATGAATAATGGCTAACATACATTATATAATATAATAACAATTTTTTTATAATATCAAAGTTCTCAATAAATTTAGATATGCTATTGAAGTTCTGATAATCTGAAAAATAAATTTATTGTTAACATTTAATGCAATTAGTCATTTTTATAGAATATATCAGTTAATTACCGCAGAAAAACTGTGATATGATAATGTCATCATTTTTCCAGCAGTCAAATTGTTAGAGTAATGAGAAATTTTTATAATCAAAATCAATATTTTAGCATCCTTTCCTGATAACTTATACCATTTTATCATGTAAGCTGTATTACCAATTTTTTCTTTCTATACTGGTAAAACATTATTTGAATGTATCATTATAAATAACTAGTATTTATTAAATATACCTGTCGAGATAACATTTCACCAATGTAACAAAATATAAAAATATTAAATGTAAATGACACGAGAAGGACACTGTATGTTAATATTTCAATAGCTCGTGTATGTTCCTTTTCAATCTCCTAAAATTTTTTTTTTCTTTATGAATAATTCATCATAGTTAATAATATTCATACCACTAAGATGCAGTAACCGATCAAACACAAAACCAATGTACTTCCAAGCACTTCTATAAGACACACTTCATTTAATAATTTTTCTATACGAGATATGAAACTAAAAAGATAAAAAAATTAATTTCAAAACAAAAAATTATTCATTGAAACTAATTTTTTATTTCAATGCAATAAAAATAATTTTAAACAAATAATTACTTCATAGATCGTAGGTGAAGCTCTACAATCGTAGCAGTTTTTGATTTTATATTACCTGCCAAGGTGTCAGCATCAATGAATTCCTCAAGTCGAGACATGATAATTTTCAGTTGACCACATATATGAAGAACAAATGTCACACCTAGACTGCACATTGCACCACCAACACTGTATCTAACAAAATCTGAAAACCATTGAGCAATAAAAAAAATTTCATATAGAGGACTTGTTTCAACAACAATAAATCCTGGATGAGGTAGTGGTCGAATGCTGACATTGTTGGCTGTTAAGATTGTTCCTCTTGCAAGAGGTGCAATAGTATGATAAAAAATACCACCTGCATACAAAAAAATTGCACAAAAACTCATGATAAATCGACTGTGTTTGGCATAAGCCCACATAATTTTCCGATCATTTGTATGTCTGATTTGATGCCAGTCAGTATCAATATGTTTGAAGCATTTGCGGATGCTTTTATGTTTAGCTAGTAAGAAGTAATATTTGCTTATCACCATGACTCCAAAACATATAGGTCCAGCAAATATTAATTTTTGTTCAAGATTTTTTTCAATAATTATCACATGAAGAAGTGTAGGGATGAAGTTAAACGACAATAGGAAACTGGCAATTACTATCAAGATTTTTAGTAAACACTTTTCTGTCGTTGAAGCATGGGGATCAATTGGCCAAAGTCCTATAGGCTTTAAAAACCAGCGACTCATTTCTATACTGTACTCTATGTCTTTTTTTACTTGATTTGATAAATCAGGTACTCTTGAAAGTTGTTCTGGTTTTTTTTTCATGTCAATTGTCAGACGTCTTTTATAATACTAAAGCTAAAAAAAAAACTTTACAATGACGAGGGTGAAAAATGTAAAATGGCATGCGCAGAATTTTTAATAACTTTTAAATGCATGTGTGAAAAACTAGTTTGTTTCAGTAAACTAAGAAAAGTTTATTCATTGATCTTCTAAATGAATATAGTTTTTTTTTTTAGAAATTTACCGTGATGATGATGCAAAAGTTTTTAAAAAGACTTTTAATTTGAAAAAAGTGTAGATTATTATTTTAGCACTAAAGTTTAAATAATATGGTTTTAGATAACGTAAATTTGCAATGTATTTATGAAAACAAGTTTAAGAATTCAAATTCTACTCTTGGTAATCATCTACTTATACTGTCAACCGGGGCTACTTTGACTTTGCAGGACTACTTTAATGATTTTGATTAGCTTGTAATGCACAAATTTTCTGAGCCTTCTCTCAAAATCGTAAAACAAAACTGGTCAAAGAAGCCCCGGTTTACCATACTCAACGTAATCACATATATATTTACAACATTACAGATCGTAGTATATTAAAATATCCTAATGCAGTTTTAAGAATCTAAAATTGTGAAAATAATTGTTAAAGTTGATAATACTTATCACCAGTGTTGCAATGAATTTACTTACAGCACAAAAATTACGATATGACAATTCTGTCATTTTGCCAGCAGTGATAGTGTTTGGACGATTAGATACTGCCAGGAGTAATATCAATCCTAATGCATCTTGTTTTTGTAAATTATACCAATTAATCATGTATGCTGTAACACCAACTTTTTGTCCCTGAAATGAAAAAAAAATAATTTTGTTCTCAACTCAAAATTGCTTTAATGAATTACCTGTTGAGATAAAATTTCGCCAATATAACAAAAGATAAAAATATTAAATGTAAAAGATATGAAAAGGATCACATAAGCTAGAATAGCTGCTGGTTCAACATGATCTTTTTCTAATTCCTAAAATAATGTACTCTCTGATGAAAACTAGTATTTTTTCAACATAATATCAATAATTATACATGATCATACCACTAAAGTATAATAAGTAAGAACGCACATATTGATAGTACACCCACAAAATTCGACAAAGCACACCTCACTGAGTATTAATTGAATATGAGCTATGAATCTGAAATGTATTTTAAATTTATATCTAACACTTTGTGATTTAGAAACAAGAAAATTTACCTCATTGATCGTAGATGGAGTTCATTAATTTCTGCAATTTTACGTTTCACTTCATATCTTGTGTCTGATGGACAAATAAAATTTTCAAGCTTCCCCACAACAATTTCCAGCTGACCACAAACATGGAGAACAAAACCTAAACCTAAGCTGCATGCTGCAACATTTGTGCTGTACCTAACACATTCTGAAAGCCATTGGAAGAAGAATACAATTTCATAACTTGGGCTTGTTTCAGCACTAAATAATCCTGAATAAATAGGATGCGGTAAAACTCGTACACTAACATTAACAGTTGATAAAGCTTTGCTTGCTAAAATTGGTCTGGCAGTATAATAAAAAAATCCACCAGCGTACATAAACATAGCACAAAGACTCGAAATAAATCTACCATGTTTGGCATATGTAAGCATAATTTCACGGTCTTCTTTGGTATTGCTTCTTCTCCAGTCTAAGCTAATATTATTGATGCATTCACGAATGTAGTTCTTTCTTGCAATCAAAAAGCTATATTTACTCATCACCATAATAGCAAAATTGAGAGGCCCACACATCATTATTCTTGTTTCTAAATCCTTTACAGTGATAAACATATGAAGAGTATAAGGTATGAATATAAAACACATGAGTAGATAACAAATACTAATTAATGCTTTAGATAATAATTTTTCATTCATTGAAGCATTTTTATCAACTGGCCATATACCAAGGGGTGTTGAAATCCAACGATTTATCTCAATACTGTATTTAATATCATTTTCAACTTGATCTATGGATTCTGATGAATCAGAGATCTTAGTTTTTTTTTCATGTTCATTGTAAGACGTTTTTTAAAATACTGATGCTAAAAAAATTCAAGTATCAAGTGGGAGTGGTTGATGTAACGCGTGCGCAGAATTTTTTCAATACAAAGACCTCTGTGAAAAATAGATCTGTTGTAATGTTAAAAAAACTCTAAATAATTGATAATGCAATTAAATGAAAATTTGCGGTTCTGTGAATATAACAAAACTTTTATATGTCATTGAACGCAGAATACTTAGAAAAACAAAGATATTTTTGAAATAAACATTTTCTACAAAATTTAGGTTTGATTTATTATTTATTTAAAACAGATCATGCTAATTCTACTTAGAACTATGGTAAAATTAATAAGCCAATTTAATTTATTCAGCCATTGCTCTTAACATATTTAAATATGCTACTGAAGTCTTCATTATCTAAGATATAAATAACATTAAAGTAGAAAAAATTTATGAGTAATAATTAATTTTTTTTTTTTACTTACAGAACCAAAGCTTCGAATGTTTAAATCCATAAAACCACAAGCAGTTATTCGACGAGGATAATTAGCCATGGCGATGATTAAAAGCAATGATAATATTTTTTTCCCAGATATTTTGTACCAGTCACTCATGTAAGTAAAATTTCCAATTGACGCACACTTTTTCATTTTATTATAAATATTTTATTTAATAATTCATTCATTCTTAAAAATATATTAAATTTTAATTACCTGCTCTTGTAAAATTTCACCAATATAACAAAATATAAAAATGTTTAAAGTCAAAGATATCAACAAAATGGTATAAGTCAAGATAGATACTGGTTCATTATCATTCCATTTCTATATTTTCAATGATAATAACAAAATAGTGAATATAATTTTAGCAAATCACCCAGTTAGTTTTGACAAAAGTTTAATAATGAAATAAAGCTTTTAATTACCATCATGCAGTAGTATCCTAGCCAACATATCAGAAATGTTGATGATAGCACTTCAATAAGACAAATTTCTCGAAGCATTTTTTCTACGCGTCCCGAAAAACTGATTAAAATAAAAATATAATAGTAAAAATATTTCTAGAATTAAAAATGTAATATTACACTCACCTTATAATTTTGACGTGGCATTGAATAATGAACGCAATTTTATCATTAACCATATCATGTTCAGTCTCATATTTACAATCAACTAGTTTTTGTAATCGTGATTTTATAATATCAACATGTCCACTAATATGACTAGCAGACATAGCAGCTAAGCCACAAGCTGCCGTAATAACAATATAACAAATAGTTGAACCAAGTAAACGAATACCAAAAATAATTTCTCGTGCTGGTGTAGCTTGAGTATTAAAAAGATGATCGTATATTGAAGGTGGTGCTGGTTTCACTAGTCCTTTCTTTTTATTTACATGTCTATTCCACAATGGCATTATAGTAGTAAAAGCATATCCACCACTAAATATAAAAAAAGCACAAAGTTTGGTAATTTTTTTTCCAAATTTTGATTTTTCTAACATCATCTGACGTTCTTCTTCAGCCTTAACAATTTTCCAATCATTTTCTATTTGCCGGAGACAATTGATAATTATTTTTGTACGATAAATCACTAGTATATATTTGATAAAAGTTGATAACATAAAACTAGAAGGTCCAAATAATATTATTCTGTGTGATAGAGTTTTTCCAGTCATGTATACATAATGAAGACGAGGTATTATGCTAAAAAGTAACACGGCTAAATTGAATAAAATTAATAGAATTGAAATTAATTTTTGAAAAAATTTTGAATTATCAGCAATGATCCACCACAACCCAAGAGGTTTAAGAGCCCATCGAGTTAATTGAAAAATATATTGAATATCTTCATCTAAACTACTCATACTCTCTGATGATTTCATCTTCTTTTTTTTCTTCTGATAATTTAAAAGTTCTGAAAGTACTAAATAGTCAACGGCCTGTCTGTTATTGAAAGGAAGGGTGCGTAAATTTTACGTTGACTAAAATGAATCGACGCATGCGTTCAATTAATACTACATGTATGAATAAAAGTGGCTGCTAGAATTAATTGTGAAACTATAGAGGGTGTATTGACACTTGTGAGCAATACTACTTCGATAATAAACCAAATTAATTATCATTCTTTAAAAAATTTTCATATTTATTATGAAGTGAATATATTTTGTTTTTTGTTCAATTGATAAAATAATATTGCTATTTCACTCAGCCATTGTTCTTAACATATTCAAATATGCTACTGACGTTTTAATTATCTGAAATGAATTAAAAAATTTTAATGAAAAATTATGAAGAAAAAAATAACTTTAAAGTAAAATCAATTATAATTAATTACTTGTGACAAGTTGAATGATCAAAAAAATTTTTATAATCATACTTACACTTCCGAAACTTCGTAAATTTAAATCCATCATTCCTCCAGCAGTTATTTTACATGGTAAGCGGGCCACTGCAATAATTAACGAAAGGGATAGTCCCTTATTTCCAGGAATTTCATACCAGTTGATCATGTAAGCTGAATTACCAATCGATGCACACTGTTTTATATGTAAATTTCATTCATTAATTTACAAGTGAGTAAAATCTAATTAATAAAAAAGTAAATTTACTTGTTGTTGAAGTACTTCACCAATATAACAGAATATAAATATATTAAAGCACAGAGAAATTAGCAACATGAAATATGTTATTATTGCAACAGTTTCACTATTTTCCCATTCCTGTCAACATTAATATATATTAATTGGAAATAACTGTAGCTTTGAAATTTTGATTAAATAACTTGTTAAATTTCTCAAATACCGTCATACAATAATATTCAAGTAAGCAAATAATCAATGTTGATGCTACCACTTCAATTAAACAGATACCTCTAAGTAAACTTTCAAGATTTTTTGAAAATCTACACAAACAAATTTATTGTTAATAATACTTATTTAAAAATGAACAAAAAAAGATGTAATGTAACAAATACTCACTTCAACATTCTCACATGACATTGAACAATGTACGAAATTCGATCATTAAATGAATCATCTCCTTTCTCTTTAATAATGTAATTATCAATGAGACTTTTAAGTCTGGAGTTGATCAAAATGACTTGTCCACAAATATGACTAGCACACATAGCACCTAAATTACACGCAGCTGTTGTAATAATATAAGTAGCAGTCGCTCCTAGGACATTGACCCAATAAATAATTTCATAAGCTGGAGAAGTTTGAGAATCAAGAAACAAATCATATCCAGGATATACTTCTGTTCTTATTGTGTTATTAAACTCATCTAATTCTGTATCTGCTAAAAGAGGCATGATTGTATCATAAGAAAGTCCTCCACTGAACATGAATACAGCACAAACACTAGTTAGATTTCTGCCAAATCTGATACTCTTCAACATAAAGGCTCGATTCTCTTCACTTTCCACTGCTATTGAAACCCAGTCATCTTTGATATGTTTGAAGCAAAGTTGCACCATATTAGCTTGGAATATTATTAGGTAATATTTAATAAAACTGGTAAGAGTAAATCCAATTGGACCGAATAATAAAATACGTGCTGCAAGATCTTTTTCTACAAAAATCATATGAATACTACTTGGTATAATGATGGAGAGCATCATGAATGTATTTATTGAAATTAGAACGAAAGAAATTATTTTATTGGATAATTTTTTGTCACTTGAAAGTATCCACCATAATCCTAAAGGTTTAAAAACCCACCGGGTGAACTGAAATATATATTCGATATCTTTATTAAGCTGAACAACAAGATGTTTTGATGAATCCATGCTTAGAACTATTTCCCTGTGAAAATGAGATATATGTAAGATATATCCCATATGTATCTGGGATATATTCAATACACATCCTATTTTTGCAGGGATTGTCATCGAGTGGGGGAGAGTTAACTAGTGTAATATAGCTTACAAAGTTTTTCAATTATTTTCTTATATTTAAAAGTTTAATTTCTACGCATGCGTTTTATTATTCTGAACATGGAATTGCAAACGTGAGGGTCGCTGCCAAAGTGACAATCAAGAGTGCTCTTATGAATATCAGTTTGAATTACAAAAATTTGCTAAAACAAATTTAAAAAACAAAACTTTTTTAATTATTGACGGGTTTTTAATGAAAATAAATATTTGAAATTACTTTGAATCTCAATGATACAAATGAAAATATTTTTTTTTTATCTAAGTGATTTGTACGAAGTTGATAGGATTGAATTTAAATCAATCTGTCACAGTTCTCAACATATTTAAATATACTACTGATGTTTTAATTATCTGAAATACGTTTTAAGAAACAAACTAATGTAATTTTGCTTATAAATGATAAATAATTATTTTTACTTACGCTACCAAAACTTCTTATATTTAAATCCATCAATCCCCCGGCAGTTATTTTGAGTGGATAATTGGCCATTGCAATTACAAGCATCAGAGATAATCCTGCTTTTCCATTTAATTGATACCATTTAATCATGTAAGTTGATTGTCCAATAGATGCACACTGTTATAAAAATTGTTAAACAATACATCATTTTTTTGCAGGTGAAATTTTTATTGAATAAATGTCACGATTAATTATTTACTTGCTCTTGTAATATTTCTCCAATATAACAAAAAATAAACATATTACAACTCAGTGAAATTATTAACACAATGTACGTTACTAGAACAATCGTTTCACTATTAGTCCATTCCTGAAATTAATTTTATCTCCACTGTATTTATTAGAAAATTACTATTAAAATAAATGAATAATTAATATTATTTTGAGTAATTCAGTTTCAATCACCATCAAAAAATAATATTCAAGTAAACATATGATTAATGTTGAAGCTAACACTTCAACAAGACAAATTTCTCGTAACATTTGTTCAATCATCTCTGCAAATCTGAATGATTATTAAGTTTATTTTTTTTTATTATTATTATAATTATTAAAAAAAAAGCTTACCTTAAAATTCTTACATGACTTTTGATGATAACAGCTATTTGACGATCAAGTAATTTTTTCGATGATTGATTTGTATCACTAACCAGATCATACAGTAATGTATTAAGTATATCAACTTGTCCACAAATATGGCTTGCAAATAATGCAGCCAAACTGCATGCTGCTACTGCCAATGTATAAGTTATGATAGAACCCACTAGATGAACAAAAAAAACTATTTCATAAGTTGGAGTAGCTTGGGAATCAAAAACAGAGTCATATCCAAAATAAATATGAGGACGTCTTGTTTTATTTCCTATCATTGGAGAAACGTTTAAAAAAAATGGCATAACAGTATGATAAGAAATACCACCACTATACATGAAAAATGTACAAAAAGTCATAAACTTTCGGCCCAACTTAACGTATTCATACATTTTAAGTCGATTTTTTTCTGATAACACCAATTTCCAATCATCTCTGATGTGTTTGAAACACTGTTTAGCTACTTTCATCTTAAATATTATTATACAGTATTTAATACAACTTGTTGAACCAAATCCTATAGGTCCAAATAGAATGATCCTTTTTGATAGATCTTTTTCTTTTCTGATCATGTAAATACTGCCCGGAATAAGCATGAAAAGCATGAGAGATGTGTTAATAATAATTATAGAATAAGATGAAAATTTGTAAAATTTTTTATTCGTTTTATTCATTAGCCACCATAGTCCCAAGGGTTTGAAAAGCCATTCACAAAATTGAAAAGTGTAGTCTGTGGCTTTATTGAACGGATCTATGATGTTGCTTTTGTCCATACTTACTTCAATTATTATAAAAAGTAACTGTAAAGTAACTGCAAGGTCTAGTTGTTATTAAAGCAAAAACTTTTTCAATTAATGTTGAATTGTTTTCTTTTACAAAATTAATTCTACGCATGCGTTTTGTTTACGTTGCGCACATTAAAACTTTTTATAGTATGATTTTGTCAAGCACAGAGTATGTTAGCCATAAATTCAATTTGCAGTTATGAAAAGAATTTTTTACATCTTGATAAATAATAAAGTATTTTAAAACTGAATTAATCATAAAAATTACTGGAATGTTATCAAATTAAGTGCATATTTTATTCTTGTGAACAATGGGCAACATTGTGAGTAAATAATTTTTATGATTTATCACAAAGTCAAGAAACTATTAACTAAATGTATCTAGATGATAAGTTAAAAGGGAGTATAATAGAAATTTATTATTGACTTAACTTTTGACTATTAATAATTTAATTACTAAAACTAATAATCGATGCCATATTGGTTACTTCTATCATCTCCTAGAAGTTTATCAATTGAGAATATTATGATCGATTCAATTAGTATTATTAAAATCTCTTTGAAATTAGTATTAACGTACAAATTTATTGCCAATTAATTCGAAAATTAATTGTACATTATTTTTTTATAGATATAATAAATAAATTTTATTGTGAGTTTGTATATTTTAGTTTTACTACATATTGTTATTTAATGATGCTTTCATTTTAAAATTAAAATTGATTCAGATATTAATTAATCTATAAATATCCATAACAATGTGAATTATTATATTGACTTAATATATTAATGAATAGTTAGATGAAGTGTGAAGTTTACTGACTTAATTGTCTGACTACTGAATAAAAAGTGCTTGGAACAGTTGTTAAAATGAAATTCAAAAATGCTGCTAAATTCTTGATGAGTTAGAAAAAATTCTGAACCTATTATTTGTTGATTAATCAACTTAAGTGTAAAAAAGTGACAGTCAACTTCTCACTATTAATTCAACTTTAAATCAATGCTCTGTTGGTTACCTCTATCATTAGCTAGACGATTGTCAATTAAAAATATGATAAATAACCAAGTTAGTATCATCACCACCTCCTTGAAATTAGTATCAATATAAATATTTACGTGTAAAATTTAAGTATGCTACTGCTGCTCGTATAATCTATAAAAAATATATAATATAAGTAATGATGCTCAATCATTTTCTGCTTAAATAAACTTACAGCACAAAAGCTATTAAGAGAGAGATCAAAAAATTTCCCTGCTGTCAATATCACTGGTCTTTGAGCCATGAAAATTGTTAGAATCAAATGTAAGGCATTTTTCCGTGGTAAATCGTACCAATTAATCATATACAATTTTTTACCAACTTCTTCACACTATTTTTTATAGAAACAAAAATTAAAATTAGTATGTAAAACAAAAATTTTTTTGAATAAATACCTGTTCAGTTAGAAGTTCACCAATATAGCAGAACACAAATATGTTCAACACGAAAGATGTTACTAAAAGAAAATATGTTATAATGCCAATAGCATCAAAGTGTCCCCATTGCTATATAAAAGAGTATATTCTTATTGATCTCTTATTTCTGATTATTTATGTTGATCAAATTATAATTCATGATTCAATAAAAAAAAAAGAAAAATTCTCCATTCACAAATAGTTCAATTCATTTTCTCACCAAAATCAGACCACTTCCAACCACGCAAAGGTTCAAAGAGCATCCCATCACATCAACAAGACATATATTGCATAAAAGTTGATCAACGTTATTAATGTAACTAAAGATAAAAATTCAATTAAAAAATATTGTAATGTATCTGAAACAATTGTTTATTACCTTAGGGTTCTGACATGATGCTGAAGAATTTGAGAAAATCTTTTTTCCACATCAGCAATCTCAGATGTATCATTTCCTAGTTTTTCCATTGATAAACTAATGACTTCTAATTGTCCACATGCATGCATGATTAAAACAATAGCAATACCACAGACAACACTAGCAATTGAATGCATTGTGAATGAACAACAGCAATGAATGAAAAACACTATTTCATAAGCTGGACTTGCTTGTGCATCAAAAAATCCAAAATGACTTGGATAAGCCACAGGTCTTGCTGTGACGTTACTAATGCTTTTATCACCACCTGATATATTTGGTAAAATCAATGCATAAAATAATGCACCACCACTCATGAATAAAGCACAAACTGATGCACCAAAATGACCTTGTTGAGACCTTTTGATCATGATATCTCGATCATGTGGACAAGTAACATTATGCCAGTCAGTTATTAAATGTGAGAAACATTTTTTGAGATTATCAAGCCCAGTTAGCAAAGAAAAATATTTTATCATTGCCATCGTACAAAAACTTATTGGACCACCAAGACGAAATTTTACTCCAATACCATTAACTAGCTTTATAAGATAGACTCCAGGTAGAAATAAAAATGCTAGAAGAAGCCATACTAATATGATACGGAATATTGAAAAGAAGGAATCGAGTTTAGATGAATTGGAAGAAAGTGGCCAAATGCCTAAGATTTGAAGCTGCCATCGAATCAGTTCGATTGCATAATTCATGTTGGATTCAACATCAGCTTGATAAGTAATTGGATTTAAGTTCAATTGATTTTTCATCCTTTCACTGTTTTCCGTCTACTAAGTTAATTCATACTGGTCATAGCATTGATAGAAATGCTAAGAAAATATAAATCTGCGCTTGCGTCAATTTTTATTCAAAGCCTTCTGAACAAATAATTTGATAATAGTAGAAAATTACTTTAATAAGCAAAGTTTATTTAAATTGTGCACCACCAAGGAACATACGCACTTTCATTATTGTCTATAAGAAAGAAATTGAATATGGCGGAAACTGATTGAACCCTTGAAAATCGCTGCTTGATTTATAAAATATTTTTTTTTAGATCGACTGAACAACCATAAAAATTTGTTTCGAATTAGCCTATAGTTGTTTCTGTTTTACTGTTAATTAATATAATAAATATATTTTATTGTGATTTGGTATATCTTACAATTTTGCTACACATTTTTTCTCATTTAAATTAAATAATTGAAATTGCTTGAATATTAATTAATCCATAAAATTCCGTAATATGTTTAAATATGCTAACGAAGTACGAATGATCTGTTGATAAATAAAAATCAAAAAATGTGTTAATAAATACAAATCAACCCGAATGAAAAAATGTCGTTCCCCAAAAGTTCCCTGACGTTTCCCTCGTGGGACTATGGGGGATGTTTGAGGGAACGAAATTTTATTTATTTTTTCAATTTTTTTTTCTCTACTCCAAAGGTGCTTTGAATGTTTTGTACTTGCAAAAATAAGATAAACAATGACATTAATCAAATATAATGATATATTTGCGAAAAAGTATGAGATATAAAAGTGTGCATAACTTCTATGCTAATGATGCTAAGAAGTTGATTGAGGACTTAAATGAAAGATCTCGACAAGAGGAAAAGAGTCAACATTGTTAAAATTATACTTGGAGCATAATTTATGCGAAAATTGAAGTAAGTTCCGGTTTTACCCCATTTTAGGGGTGAAATAATTAATTATTAATATGTTTGACCTGATTCCGCATTTCTAGGCATTGAGACGAAGAGAATGAGTGGTCGATCATCAAAATCGGACAACTTTGATTTTTCACCCCTAAAAAATGGCAAGTGGTACCCCTTTCCATTTTTTTTGGCCAAAAAATAAAAGTACTCCGATTTTCACATTTGACCACTCATTCTCTTTCTCTTGATGCGTAGAAATGCGGAATCGGGGCACCGCCCAAGAAAATTCACTTTAACACCCTTAAAAACGGGTTACACTAAATACAAATTACGAATTATCATCCCCTTGGCTTTAAACCCCTATAACTCATGAACGGATGGTCCAATAATCATTTTTAGGGACGTTTTAGAAACTTAAGAATCTAAGCTAAACATTGATATCCATGAAAAGTGTTTAAAAAATTGCTTTTACCCTTAAAATCGCTAAAATATAAAAAAAAAAAATCACATCTTTTGGGGAGTTTGACAAATATTTTGGTGATTTTAAGGGGGAAAGAAATTTTTTAAACGTTTTTCATGGATATGTATTTTTAGCTTAGATTCTGAAGTTTCTAAATACCTCTTAAAAATCATCATTTAATGATTTTTCCACGAGTTATAGAGCTCCAAAGTCGAAAAGTGGATGATTTTTTACCCTTACTTTTACTTTGGAGCTCTATAACTCGTGGAAAAATCATCAAACGATGATTTTTAAGAGGTATTTAGAAACTTCAGAATCTAAGCTAAAAATACATATCCATGAAAAACGTTTAAAAAATTTCTTTCCCCCTTAAAATCACCAAAATATTTGTCAAACTCCCCAAAAGATGTGATTTTTTTTTTTATATTTTAGCGATTTTAAGGGTAAAAGCAATTTTTTAAACACTTTTCATGGATATCAATGTTTAGCTTAGATTCTTAAGTTTCTAAAACGTCCCTAAAAATGATTATTGGACCATCCGTTCATGAGTTATAGGGGTTTAAAGCCAAGGGGATGATAATTCGTAATTTGTATTTAGTGTAACCCGTTTTTAAGGGTGTTAAAGTGAATTTTCTTGGGCGGTGCCCCGATTCCGCATTTCTACGCATCAAGAGAAAGAGAATGAGTGGTCAAATGTGAAAATCGGAGTACTTTTATTTTTTGGCCAAAAAAAATGGAAAGGGGTACCACTTGCCATTTTTTAGGGGTGAAAAATCAAAGTTGTCCGATTTTCAAGTTTGACCACTCATTCTCTTCGTCTCAATGCCTAGAAATGCGGAATCAGGTCAAACATATTAATAATTAATTATTTCACCCTCAAAATGGGGTAAAACTGGAACTTACTTCAATTTTCGCATAAATTATGCTCCAAGTATAATTTCAACAATGTTGACTCTTTTCCTCTTGTCGAGATCTTTCATTTAAGTCCTCAATCAACTTCTTAGCATCATTAGCATAGAAGTTATGCACACTTTTATATCTCATACTTTTTCGCAAATATATCATTATATTTGATTAATGTCATTGTTTATCTTATTTTTGCAAGTACAAAACATTCAAAGCACCTTTGGAGTAGAGAAAAAAAAATTGAAAAAATAAATAAAATTTCGTTCCTCAAATATTCCCCATAGTCCCACGAGGGAAACGTCAGGAAACTTTTGGGGAACGAAATTTTTCTATACTTAAAAAGTAAGATTATTATACTCACAGTTCCAAAAGTGTAAAGTGAAAGATTGATCAATTTGCCCGCTCGAATTGGATTGGAATTTTGTGAGATCAGAATTGTCAGAACAGTTCCATAGGCTAGTTTATTGGGTAAATCATACCAGTCCACATAGTATGCAGCATTGTATACTTGGAGACACTGTCACACAATATCGGTATTAAATAAATCAATAAAAAAATCAATACTATTCTTACCTTATCTGTGAGCAGTTCACCAATGTAACAGTAAAGAAAAATATTAAATATAAAAGATATCAATAGTAGAATATACGTCGTCATTCCTCCTGCATCATTTTGGCTCCATTCCTAGATGAATCATTTATTTAAAAATATCATCAGCGCAAGCAATATTATCATAAATCTTTAAAATTTTTGCTTACTAATAATATATAATATCCTAGCAAGCAGATATTTAATGTACATCCCACTATTTCTACTAAAGCTATGTATTCCACTAGCTTTTCAACATCATTGGTAAATCTGTGCTTAAAAAATGTTAAATTACCAACGACATAACGTCATTTGATGGCTCAAAAAATTTTTCAGATCAATATGAAATAAACTAATATTACCTAATAATTCTTGCATGATGTGCAATTATTTCTGAATATTGTCCAAATAGAACTAAACTGCTATTAGTTTTTTTAATAAAATTCTCCAACCATCCCATAACAATATCCAATTGTCCACAGGCATGAACAACACAAACAATAGCAAGATTGCAAGCTGCACTGGTGACTGAAGCCATTACTATTGCACAACAGCAATGGGTGAAGAAAACGAGTTCGTAAGCAGGACTTTTGTGTTCATCGAAAAATATAAAGTAGCAAGGATAAGCCAGTGGTCGTACAGTATTATTCCCTTTAAGATTTGAAGACACTTGGGGTAGAATACAGGCATAAAATAAACTGCTGCCATACATGACAGCTGCATTGATCATAGAATTATAATATCCAAACCGAGCATGTTCTACCATAATTTTTTTATCATCAAGAGATCTAATTCTCTGCCAATCAGCAATTATTTTATTCATACAAATTGTTATATTCTTGATTTTTGTTTGCAATAAAATATACTTTAAAATTCCCATCACACAAAAACTTAAAACTCCTGTTACTCGAAGTCTAAATGCAGGATCTTTGATAACAATGACTGCAAAAAGTATTCCCGGAACGATAATAAATCCTAACGAAAATGAGCACGTAATTGAGAGAAAAATTGCACTAATTTTTTTTGAAGTAGATGATTTGATAACAAATTGCCAAACTCCTAAAAAACCGAGAACCCACTGATTAATTTTAAGAACATATTTCATATCTGGTTCACTTGGAAAATTATATTGAATTGATTTTGTATAATCTGTTAATTTCTTTTTAGTCGTCATCTTACTCATGTAAATGATCATTCAAAACTGATAAATTTCACAAATAAAAATGCTTTGAAAAATATATCTACGCATGCGTTAATTCAACAATAAATGATTATATTCATAGAAAAATTATGGCAATCAACAGGCAATTAAGGTGATTGTGTCTTTATATGTTTTTACAATAAAGAAGTTTTTTTTAACCTATATGTGAGTTCTTCGTCATTGATCGATAATACCACTTAATATCTACATATTGAAAAGACAAAATTGTGTTTATTGTTCATACTTAATAATGTTTTATAAAAAAAAAAATCCAGTTTTATAGCATGAATGTTCGCAATAAATTCAAATATGTTACTGATGTTCGAATTACCTAACATAAATATAAAGATCAATTACTTATTAAAATTAATAATAAGTTTTTTTAATTGGTATTTATTTACTTACAGTACAAAAACTATGTAAAGAGAGTTCCACAAGCTTTCCAGCTGTTACAGTAACTGGATTTTGGGCTGTTGCAATTGTCAATTTTAATCCAAGTGCTTTTTTTTCTGGTAACTGATACCAGTCGATCATGTATGATGTTTCTCCAACTTTTCTGCACTGTTTCATGTCAGTATCATTAATCATATTCAATTATTTCCATAAGATAAATCATGTAAGATAATTTTCTTTTTATTTATATACCTCTTCACGTAATAATTCTCCAATGTAACAAAATAAAAAAATATTAAATGTGAATGATATCAAAAGAATTGTATAAGTCGTTATTCCTATTGCATCAGCTTGCTCCCATTCCTATTAATTATGATAAAATTAGTTAGATTAATTTTTAAACAATCGATATAAAAATTATTTAGAAACGTACCAGCATCAAATAATACCCTAGAAAAACAAATATTCAAAGTGCATCCAACAACTTCCACCAGGCAAATTTCACATAATACATTTTCTGTGCAAGCAATGAATCTAAATTGTTGAATACAAAGATCCTAATTTATATTATTTGTTATAAAAGTATTTTTTTTTAATGATGTATTAAGTGTTCTATACCTGAGAGTTTTGACATGTTGCTTAATGATATTAGAAAATCTATCATTTGTTCCTTGATTGACCCTTTTACCTTCTACAAGATCATTAAGCCAACCAATTAAAATTTCTAATTGTCCACATGCATGCATTACAAAAACTACTGCTAAACTACAAGCTGCACTAGTAATTGAATGCATCACAAAAGCACAACAGCAGTGAATTGAAAAAGTTATTTCATAAGCTGGACTCTCTTGTGGATCAAAAAATATATAGTAACTTGGATAAGCTAAAGGACGAATTGTTATATTGTGTTCATTTTTCACACTGGCAGATACATGAGGTAAAATTCCCGCATAAAATAATCCACCTCCATACATAAAAATAGCACAAATAATAGAACCATACCGACCGAATTGTGCATACTTTATCATGATCTCTCGATCACTAACTGAATTAACCTTATGCCAATCAAAGATAATATAATTGAAGCAATTGGTGATGTCTTGATGCTTTAAAACAAGTGAACAATATTTCATAATTCCCATCACACAAAAACTTAATGCTCCTGTAAGCTTTAGTCTCACTGCTGGATCTTTAATTTGGACGAAAGTAAAAAGACTTCCTGGGATAATGATGAATGCCATTAATAATGAGCAGATTATGATAGTTACAATTTTTGTAAACTTTTCAATAAATGAAGGTTCTGATAAATGTGGCCAAATCCCTAGAGGACTTAGTAGCCATCGATTGATCTTGATAGCAAACTCAATATCTTCTTCAACAGAGTTATCAGATTTAAAGTTCTTCGAGTTGAAAATAAATTCAGTCGAATCTTTTTTTATTATTCCATACATTTTCTTTTGATGAACTGATAGAACTGACGTTTCCATGATTCAAAATAAAATAAATGCAAATGTGTGCGCTTGCGTGGATTAATGATAAAAAATTGAAATTGAAAATGAGAGGAAATTACTTTAAATCGTGTATTTATAAAGTTTTGATTATTGAAGTTAATAGAGTTTCAATTCTTTCATAGAAAACATCAAGTTGGCTGCAATTTATTTCATGTTAGTTTTATTTATTTTTTTTTAATATGAGTAATTTTAATTCAGAGTTCAATGAACATCAGTTATTGAGTTGTAATTCGATGAAATATAAATTTGGATGAAAATTGGAAATTCTAATAAGCACGAATATAACCAATTATTGAATTTAAAAATTTTCATCTCAGTGAAATAAATATGAATTATTATGTTAATTTTAGATACAGACGTGAAATGTATTAATGAATAATTGGATAAAGTGACAAGTTTACTGATTTAATTGTCTGACTACTTAATGAGAAGTGCTTGGGATATTAGACAACGGCTCTAATGAAATTTAAATATGCTGCTGAAGTCTTGACAACCTAGAGAAAATTTTAAATTATTATTTATTAATATTGTGTTAATTAATAAACTTCAAAGCCTAAAATCTATAATAAAAATATTCTATAAAGGTAAAAAGAATGAAAATAATATAAGTCTTACACCAGCAAATCCTTGTAAAGATAAATCACTTATTTTTCCAGTTGATAAAGTAACTGGTTGACTGGATCGAATCATTATAAACATTAAATCAATTACAATATTTTTTGGCAAGTTATACCAATCGATGAAGTATGAGCATTCACCAACTTTTATACTCTTTTGGTTAATATAAAATAAATATATCAGTTATTATAAATAGCCTAGTTAAATTAAATGTAATATAATAATTAAACCTGTGCTTTAAGACGTTCTCCAATATAAGAAATAATAAAACAATTAACAAAAATGGATGTCATCAATACTCCATATGTCATTAACCCAAGAACTTGTCCATCTTCCCATTCCTGCATGTTTTTATTACTTTTTTTATGTACCAAAAAATTTTTTGATTTATTTCATAACTTACCACCATTACTCCATACTCTAAAAAACAAATAATAATTGTGCAGCCAACCATTTCACAGAGAAAAACAATGTTAAGGGATTGTTCAAGTTTTTCAGCATATCTAATAATAAATACGTTAATAAATTAATAAATCTAAATAAAATTGAAAATTAATTTTTTTATAATCATTCATTCCAACAATTACTCAATAGCAATAGAATGTTTTTGAACAATCCAGGCAAGTTGCGAGTTAAATTCATCATTTATTCCATTTTTTGTCAAATTGTCTAGATGTCTGCAAACAACTTCAAAGAGACAGCAGCCATGAGTGACATAAGTAGCAATAAGACTATAAATACCACAATTGGTTGATAAAATAATAGTACTGATAATAATGTGTGTAATAAAAAGCATTTCATAGCCAGGAGAATCACTAGGAACAAAAAAAACGTAATCACTTGGATAAGGTAGCGGTATTTGAGTAGTATTATCTTCCTTAACAATTCGTTCTGCTGCTAAGGGCATTATGATATGATAAGGCAATGCACCACCATAAGAAAGACTTAAATATGCTACTGTAAAAAATCTACCGATTTTAGCATTTTTTACCATCACTAATCTATCTTCTTCACAAATTACATTCTTCCAATTATCCTCCAATTGTTGCAAACAATCTCTCAAAGCTTTTTTGTTGATAATCAAGGTCCAAAATTTGATCAAAGCTAACGAGTTGAATACTTGAGCTGCGATAATTTTCATCAATCGTGAAAGGTCATCAGCATCAAAGAATGTCCAAATGAAATGAGGAACTAGTAAGAAACACATCAGTCCAAATACCATGAGTGTTTGGAGTCTAACGAGAAATTTACTTAAATTAGTATCTGATCCATACAAAGGGTAAATTCCAATTGGTGTTAAAAGTGTTCGAGATATCTTGACAACATATTCTATATCAACTTGATAATTTAAATTTTTGTAATTATTAAGACTTCTTTCTCTTTGATCCATCTGAATGGATTTTAATTTTTATAGTCTTCAAAAATCACTGTAATATTCGTTCAATGACTGAATTTCTTATTTTAAGAATATTAATACAACTCTAAAAGAGTGGGAGGAGCTAGATGTACGCATGTACATCTTTTTCAATATTCATTCGTAATTTTATGCAAATCACTCTCATTTTGTCTATTATATAGACATTATAGTTTGATAATGACTCTATAATTTTTATCCATAGGTCATTCACTGTATTCTGGTCGTTTAGGGTAGTAGACATATAGGAAAATTTGGTGATTTGTTGATTTTAAAAATAAAGTTTTTCCAATTGAATACCAAGTCTTGATAAAATTTCCACTGAATTTTTATCATTAATGTTACATTTTCCTAGGATAATAAGTCATCATTGCAAGAAAAAATGGTTAATCATGATAAAATATCGTTTAACTCAAGTGCAAGCAGTGATTGCTGCAAAAATAATTTTATCAGACACAAAACTATTCAATATTTTTATCATTTCGCATAGATGATAAATAAGTTTTTATATTTTATTTCTTTCGATCATGACTCTTTGATTATTAGTAGTAAGGTAGCAGTGATTAGTATAACGTAGTATTATTAAAATAATTCAATAAATATTTTATTTTTTATTCTCAAATTATGGGTGAAAAAAAAGATTGTGAGTTTACTAAGTTTCAAAATACGTATTTAAAAAATTTGATTTAAAAATATTTTTTACCAATAAATTTCAATATCAACTACAAAATAAAATACTCAGACTATCTTTTATTTAATGAAGTAATGAATACCTGGAAGCATGATCAATATTTAATGCATTCTCAATTGTTTTTTTAATTCCAGACTCAATATGGGAGATTCAAGAAGGGACATTGACGATGGTAGTTGGAGAAGTAATTGGAACTGCGATTTTAATTTTCATTGGATGCATGGGATGTATTGGTACCATGGGTCCCTACTCCACCTCCACCAATGCAGACTGCCTTTACATTCGGTTTCACTGTTAATATGATCATTATGGTGAGTTGGAGAAAGTTTTCATGCTCTTTTTTATCAGATGTACCTTCATTAAATTTAATGGAACTTCATAATTAAATTGTAATAATGAACTTCTTTTATTTCATATAGATGCTAGGACATGTAAGTGGTGCTCACTTGAATCCTGCTGTCACGATTGGAGCTGTGATAATTAAGCTAAAATCAATCCCAACAGGTGTGGCTTATATATTTGGTCAATTTTTGGGAGCAATCGTAGGATATGGTGCATTAAGGGTAAATATTATATTTAAATTTAAATCATTCTTACTCGAAATTTAATTTAGTAAAATACGTGATTACATTGCAGATTGTGACTCCATCAAGTATGTTTAGTGATGGAGTTATCAATTCTACTACTCCATTATGTGTAACAGTAGTCCATCCTGAAGTATCAAAACTCCAAGCTGTACTTGTTGAAGCTTTTTGTACTGGAATCATTTTATGTACTGCCTGTGCAACGTGGGACCCAAGATGTTCTCATACTACTGACTCCACAGCTATTCGGTTTGGTGTAGCAGTTGCTGGAATTTCCTTTGCTGCTGTTAGTTATTGCCAACACTTAAGACTTGATGTAACCTGAAAGTTTGTTATAAATTAATTCATAATGATGATATTCGTTTCAGAGTCCCTTCACAGGCTGCAGTATGAATCCTGCTAGAACTTTTGCACCTGCTTTTTGGAATAATGCTTGGAATGATCAATGGGTATGTGATTAAAAAGATTAATTATATAATTAACATTTATATTTAAAAATAATATAAAATTATTTTCTCTTCTGAAGATTTACTGGCTTGGTCCAACTCTTGGAGCTGTGCTTGGAACATATATATACCAAATACTATTCAGTGTGTGTCCAAAAAAGAAACATCCAGAGAATCCCTGCATCGAGTTGGCTCATATTTAAATCAATTACAAAAATATTAAATAACTTTAAATGTAGATTTTGTTATAGATATATATTAATTATATAAACAAATTTAAAAAATATATTGTATTATTTTTCCATAAATTTGATATATCTATTTACTCCGATTGTATCAATTAAATTAGTGTAATAAAGGAAGAATATTTTTAAAATTTTGTTGTATTGTTAATTAGATATGTAAAGAATAAATAAAATTACATCACAGTATTTTATAATAAACAAAAACAATTGTAAGTACTGTACAACTTCCTACAACAGTACATATAGATATATTATATATAATATAGAAACGTTGCATTCAGTTTATTTATTATTCACAAACCTATACCTTCAACCAACTGATAAGCCTATTTTCTACTATATTTATAACCAATTATTATAAACAATTTAAACAACTGTATATACTGTATAACCTATATCTGGTAGGTACAAGAAAAAATGTAGCATCAGAACAGTTGTATACCAATTTTTTTTTATTTATTATTTATTACCCAGTACCTGAGAGATCCAACTGAGTTGAATAACCTATCTTTCACTGGTTATATAACGAATAAAAACAATTGTAGAGGCACAATGACCTTTCTACAGCAGTAATGACGCAAAAGTAAACGTAGATAGAAACAAAGAAAGCAATGACATATACAGAAGTCACAAAGAAAATAATTATCTTCAAAAATCATTAATTAATTATGAACTTTTCAAAAAGATTAATGTTTATGAATATTTTTAATAATAAAAAGGCTCTTGGAGAAAAAACAATACCTTTTCCAAGAAAAATACATTAATTTAATTATTTAATTCTTTTATGTTAATTATACAAATTAAAAATTAACTAATTATTTAGCAATTCTTTTTTTTATAATAAAAAATGTCATTTGCGGCTCTTTTTTCGATTATTTATCGAAATGCTTTGGTATAAGAAGAATTATATTATACTACTTGAATAAAAGGTTGATAACTCACGAATAATCTCAATTTTCATTACAAAATGAGTAAGTTTTATATCTTGGAGTTTTGATGATGCAATCTACGCCGAATTGCAAAATTCACAACGTTGAAACACGTCATCTAAATATGTTTGTAGCACCGACAGTACAGCATGTTGACCTTGACCTCAACAGCAAAACAAAGTTGTTTGGGTTCTTGGCAATGTTTACTAACATAAAAATATTTGATAATTAAAATCAGCAAGGTAAGGTATAAACAATATCGAAATAAGTAGGCCAATGATTGTATTTTTATTATTTATTCAAAAACAAGCTAATAAATATTTCCATGAATAATTTAGATACATAAATATTTTTTTTGAAGTCTTTTTCTTTCTTTTTATATAAAATAACTTATGATACTATCTTTTGAATTTTTGTTAGTGTGAATGGCATTATTTCTGGTCATTCACATCAAAATTATGTCACAACAAAATCCAAACTTTAACTGAAGCTGCTCAAATAGAGAGACGCAGTTCTATTTATCGATTTTAACGTTGCACCAGGCTTCAGAACATTCTAGAATTCAACAGAAAATTTTAAACAACTGGAATTTCCAGTTCTTTTTTATTTAAAAAAAATATATATTTAATTTCATCATTTGTAATAGGCTAAAAATATTTGTTACATCCATATCTACTGTATGAAATGCTATCTTGTTAGTTAATCTACTTTCTTTCTTATAAATAATGTAAAAACTTTGAATTTATCTGAAGTAAGTAATATTTTGTTACAATTATTTCCTAATTACAATATTTATTATCTTCAAATGACAAAAAATTTATCATCTCCTTATGAATAAGTCTGTTTTCAACATTTAATAAAAAAAATACGTTGATTACAGTGTCAACAATCTAAAATAAAATCAAAATGTCTCTAATCTCTCTAATTTCATTACGATACATAATTATCAATTAAATATACACTTATAATTAACATTTTTTGACCTTAACTCTGAAAATAGATAATAATTATCTTACAGACAAAGTTATGATTATAGTTTACTTATTTGCTGATCTTATGTGACTAGAAAACAAAGGTCTTTGATGATTTTGGAGTTTTTAAAACAATTGAATTAATTCCTAGATTATTTCAATCATTATTTCAAATATTAATAAGAATTTTTCAACATTATAGAACAAACTTGATAACACAACAATGGAAATGAGCTCAATAATTACAAAAAATAGGTGAAAAATGGCAAAAATATTTATAGACCATCAAAATATTATGATTTAATTCAAAACTATATAATATAATATAATTCTATTCCATAACTGCGCACATTGGGCCATTGGGATTCTTTTTTTTTTACCAGGTCACAACGAAATAAATAACGTACATCATGTTCAGACATGAAAATAAGCTTGTGGAAGGCTACACACTATGAGAGCCAGCTCTGGCCTACGTGCCGACTGGGAGGATGTTGGCCTGGGATACGGCAGAATAGTGGGGTTCGAGAGAACATGCCAGAAATTTTGTCTTCCAACGGACACGATCAATACTTCAATGACGATGTAAAATAACTGGAAAAAATGATTATAAAGCAAAAGTTATTAAAAATATCACATGAATTAATCTTAAATAATTATTTGCTACTTATTTTATAAATTTCATGACAAAATTCAATGTAATTAATGATTTTGGAGCATATGCGTAGTTAGAGTAGAATCACGTAGCCTCGCTCTGGAGTTTTCTACGTCGCAACCGGCGTGTATAAAAGCAGGCCGGCTCGCCGGCTACCGGCATTCGTAAACCAACCATCGTACCATTTACATCAAGTAAAGTCAACTAAAGTTTTTTTAACTCTTACGCTGATTTATATCATAAATTTTTTGAAGACAACAACAGACAAGAGTCATGTAAAGGCATCGCAGTGCGTGCGGAGCGCGCCAGTTTTCCGTAAGTATTTTTTATTCATTTTTATCCATTATTTCATTCACTTTTCCAGTCATCACTCATTCATCTAGTTTTCATCATTATTGTCATCCAATTTATAAAGTAAACTTCTGAATTTCTATAGGCAAATGAGACATCGAATATCGGTTTTACAAAATATTAGGTAGAAATTGTACATTTTATATAAACATTTTACGATTTAACTGAAAAATAATCTAGTTTATTAATATTTTATATAAAATTATTATTAAATAAATCGAATTCTAAATACAATATTTTGGGGATATCAAAAATATTCGGAAAAAGTATCATCTTCGATTTTTGAATTCGAAATTAAATAACAATTTTCAAAATTAAATTTCATTGGATTAGTGATAAATATTAATAACTTATTTCGGAATTTTATAAAAATGTTTTTCAAATTAATTGTTTAGTTTTCTTCGGTCGTGATTATACGGTGTGTTTCTTCGGTTTTCACTGCTTCAGGCTTCGATACCGGTTCTCCAATCTTAACAATGTTGACGATTCTCTCATTCGAAGATGGCGTTAACCTCTGAAAATATAAAACAATAACAATTAATGAGGTTTTAATTTTTTTTATTTTTTGTAACAAGGGAATTTTTAATTATTCTTTTTTAGAGCGCCCTACGGGCTTGGTGCTAGAACAATCCGTACACTACTTCTACTCTTCCACCGCTCCTGAGCCAGGTTAGATTCCCAAATCTATCCACTTCTGAGTGAGAACGCACACACTAGGTAAGCCGGTTCAAAATTAGTGCAAAAAAAAAAAAAAAAAAAAAAAAAAATTGCAAAACAATTTCTTCGATATAAAATTTTTTAATTAAAAAAAAAAAAAAATACTGACGAAATATCTCAGTACTTGCAACATTCTTTTACATAACCTTTTTCTTCTTTTTTTATCGTTTAGTGCTTGCATTATACATTCGGGATGTAGCATCAAGGTTAAACCCGAGCAAATAAGTGCTGAGATAACTGAGAAACAGGCTGAAGGGAATAAAAAAATATCTGATTGAGAAAAAAAATACAACTGGATCGAATAGTTTAAAAATCGGAGCTTCGGTTCCGTCCAGGGCTTTTAGCCCTGTTGGGTTATAAGCTGTGCAGGCAGGATATTAGGAATTGAGCTCAAGTGATTACCTTTTTTGGCGCCGTAATAGTGAGAACTCCATCAGAAGAAAGACTCGAGGTAACTTGCAGTGGGTCGTGAGACGAGGGAAGAATATATCTTCTGATAAAGTGCCTGGTGATAAATCCGTGCTCGTCCTTTCTTTCTTCGTGTTTCGCCTCCACTATAATATTGTTGTCAACTGTTTTGACAATTATTTCATCTGGCGAGAATTGTTGAACGTCTAGTATCACCTGAAAACAAAATAATAGCTTAGCAAATCGGGAGTACAAAAATTGTATTATGCAGAAAGTCAGCTTTAGATTCATTAAAGCAAAGATTCATTGAATTTAAAGTCACTTAAAGGTCTACTTGTCAAAGAAATTAACTATTACAATAAAAATAATTATTATTTCGAGTCATTTAAAAACATCTAGTCGCAGTATATAGGCAATTAGATATTTTTAACTTAAATTTGACTCGCGAGTTCGCTCGCGAGTCGACTTCTGACATAAACAATTACAGTGAATTAAATAAATTTCCATTTTTTATGTAAAATTTTCAAATAAATTTTTTCAATAATTTTATGAACGATATTGCTGAAGAAATGTAGTGAATACGAAGGCCTACTTGTGTGAAAATACTCTTTTTATCAAAAGTAGTGCGTGCATACAAGTAGGTGATGACAATTGCCCTAAGCGATTGCGAGAAGAAGAGTTTAGGCGTTTTACATACCATCTATTTGTACAGTATGATTGATTTTTTTGAGCAAGTGAATATTCGAGTTTCATGTAAACTGAATGATTATTATCGTTTGAGAACAGAGAATTAATTTATGCTGTAAATGCGAGTGCGAGAGATAAAGCAAAAAATATTGTGAGATTTTTTAGTGATAGTAAAAAATAGAAATATTAGTTAAGTTGAATTATTGGCTGTCAGAATTTCAAAAGATTTATTTTTTTATTCACATATTAAATAAATAGAAAAAGTTTTATTTAACCCTTAACCCCATCGGGGGGTTAGGGGAGGGATAAACAAACAAAAGATTTTATTATTCTTGACAATATACATAAATAAATCCGGTAATTGTTGAAAGAAGACTGAACTGAGTACTAAAGCCCACGTTTAAAAGGAAAAAGTGAAAAGTAAAAAAAAAATTTGATAGTATTTATTATTATTACAGTTAAAAATAAAAATTCTACTGTGACCCAGAATATTCAATTTTACACGTTAAATTTAAAAATTACTGTATTATTGTATACGAAAAAAAAATATTTAAAGTCAGTGTTGAACAAAGAAAAAAAAAAAATAAAGAGGGCATTTCGTGAACTGAATTAGGTTTTCCATACCCCTCTCAAAAAGAGAGGGGTTATAACAAAAAATAATAAAAATATGGAATATCATTAAATAATTAGATTGTTTATTTATCGATTCGTTACTAAAAACAGTACGTATCGAAATTACTTAACACAAAATGCTATGTCAGCAAAAAGGCAAATATCTTTTGATATCATATCATGAAGATTTTCTTCCTTCTCTTAATTCAAATAAGTATTCTTTGCCAATTATAGCTTCCTAAGTATAATTTAAAACCATTGTTTGATTATAAAAATTGTGTATCATTTGAGAATCATTTTTCTCTTGAAAGCCCTTAAATTCTTTTGTCCATTGAATTATTGCTAAATAAATACTTTTTCAATAACCCGAGAGGGATCTTTTGATCCCTCTCCATGATCATCATTCAAAAACTCATGAAAAAATAGAGCTAAAAACCTAAATATTCCTTGATTCAATTTTTATAACACACAATTTATTTCAAGAATAAGTTTAGGAATAGTTTATAATAGAGAACAAAACGTATGCTAAAGGTCATAGTAGGTTTATCACTAAACACTTGATTATCAGGATCACTAAGTTACAATTTATTGATAGCATTAAGGATAAGGTGTTTGATAAGAAGGATTGCATTGTTAGATTATTAAGCGTTTTATCCAGTTGAATACATTGACTTTACTGAGTGTAGTGGTGAAAGAAAAATCAAAGGCATAAAAACTTATTAAACAATCATTTACACGGTCTTGTCGATTTTAACTAGAGGTTAGAGGGCACAACTAGGAGCTTTTAAAGATTTACCATTATTATAAGTGCTGATAATAATTTCTTTCAAGTCCTATATTCATTACTTTCTTCAAGTTTAGTAGATTTTTTAACTCGTGTCGTGGAAGTTTTTGGAATACTAGGGTATTCTAAACTTCCACGACACGATTTTTAGTGATTAAATTTTTTTTTGTTTTCTATTCATAATTATTCATTCGTATTTTTGACTGAAGTTGCAAGTGTGAATTTTTTCTATCAAAGATTTCTTAATCAGCACTTTAATATAAGGTTTAAGATAATGCTTGACTATTTTGCTTATTTATAAGTTGATAGTTCCTTTTGAAGTTTATTTTGATATCTCTTTTTTATTTTTTTGTTCATTTATTTTTAAAATGATATAAAATTTGATTTGATACTTGAATATTCCAGATCTTCCGATAAATTTAGTATAACATAAGAAAGTAAATTAAAAATAAAATCTTATAAATTATTATCATTAATTTCTTTAACTAGATTTGTGCCTTTTTAATTATAGTTTATCAATAATCGATTTATTTTATCACTTAAAATCATAACTTTAGTAGATTCTTAAAAGTTACTAGGCTTGGCGACTCTCGCTTCTTCCGAAACTTTCTTCTTGATTAGTCTCGGAAAAATCGAGAGTCGCCGTATTTTTATTTCACTTTATTTCACTCTTTTCTTTTATATCAATGATAATTTTCCACTAATTATACTTCATATTGTGTGTGTTTGAAAATTTCATGGGTTTGACTTTCCAGCAATTATATAAACTAGAGTGGGTAAAGCTAAGGTATTAAAAACAACGCTAAAAAAGATAAGAAATATTATAAGCTTCTATAATTCTCATTATATGGCTGGTGTCAATGAAATAGAGTTAATGATACTTAATGAAAACTGGCAAAATGTGACAGTGAACCAACTACACGAAATAATAAAATAAAACATACGGTCCGTATCTTAACCAGCAGTCATAGTAAACGAGTGAAAAAAAGTAACTATATCAGTAAAGTTTAAACTAAAAATAATAGAGAATGTTAATGAAATAATTATAATACTTCTTATAACAAATAAAAAAAGTGTCACCACCACCGTATATCACAGCGAATTATTAAATATTGAATAATTGAATAATAAACAGTAATTTAAAATCATTGTTTCTAATTTAACTTGAAAAAAAAACTGTCGTGATTAAATACCCATTAATCGATATCTTATAACTTAAGATTAATTACTAGGAACACGATAGGAATATGTTGGTATAGGTAATATTTGATGATTAATTATATTCGCACGAGCTTTTTGCTTGCCATCTAATTATTTGCACAAACGGTTGATGAAAAGATCGTGGTTTAGTAAGAGGTATCAGTGAGAAATAATGTTTAAATAAAATACTCATAACATTCAGTGTAACATTTAAAAATCAATGGTAATACTCGTGTTTAAAGTATCGATAAGTATTTCAAAGAATTAGCACTTACTTCAAATTTATTCTGATCACACTGGATAGTGCTTACACCTCCAGATTTAGTGGTCGCGAGTGTTCGCCACGGCCGATAGTAAGACGGAGTCGAGAATAAAGAACGAGGTCTATTGAAGCTCCATGATGAAATATCAGAGAATAAGTCGTCTCGAGTTAAACCGCTCCCAAAATGTTGATCGATAAGTCTAGAGATAGGGCGATCGAAGTCATCCCACCAATTGTGAAAAAAAAGCGGTACCACCGACATTATCTAAAAGAGGAAAAAGAATATGAGTAATGTTAGAAATCAAATAATCACTTCAACTTATTAAATCAATAGTTAGAGTTGCATTAATGATGAGTTTAACTAAAGTAATTAATTGGATAATTAATTAGATAATAAATTAGAAGCTACAGTAAATAGTAGACTGAAGATTGTGAGTGAGGGCACTATCTAGTATCTAGAGAATAGAATGATATGATGCAAAAATCAGATAATATTTGAAATGAACGGTTATTAGAACACCTTAGGATTAAGGGTCGGAGAATGGGATCAAGAGTAAAAGTAAAGTAGTGCTTTCAATATTCATTAATGAATGTTTAAGGATAATAAGAAAATGGGGTACGAATATTTATTATTATTGCATTATCGTTTAAATGATTAAAACATACCTTACATACTAATGTTAGGATAAACAAACAAGTCGTACATCACAATAATAAGTCAAAAATATTAATCAGTAGAAATAATTTCGTTATATTTATGAAATTGAAGTATGGCGTTAACTTGGAAGCTTAGTAAATGTTATGTACATCTATGGTATTTGAAACCGACATTGTATCGAAGTGAAGCTTTATGATCGAACGTATGATGTAGTAAACTGGTCAGTAATCAAGTGATCGCACAATTAATTAAGTTAGTTAAGGTATTCAATAATTAAGATTCATATAATTGCTCTTAAGATAACATCATATTCTTAACGGATAAGTTTAAGAGTTAATCAATACGTTCTTCCAATTTTACTAATATTTTTTTATTACATTTGAACTGTTTTTAAAAAATTTCTTTATTAATTAATTTAGTTAAAAAAAAAATTATTTTTCATTATTTTGGTTTAGAATTCTCTCTGTTTGAGTAAATTTCATTTCAGTTACTTAATATTTTTCTTTAGATTATTGAGTTTTTTTATTGACTCCAGTTATAATCTATATCACGATATTTCACCATTGCGGATCAATCGATAGATGTGTGTTGATAATAACCATTAGAGTGACAACAGGGGTAACTGTGATTTATGGTAGGAGATCATCAAAAATCGATATCGATCGAAAACAACATCAATAAATATTAAAAAAAAAAAAATCAATTTTCTCAGGTTACATCGAATGTAAAGATCACAGTTAAAAATATTGAAATTCGCAGTAATGCCCTGTATTTAATTCGTGTCGTAAAATTACTAATTCAATAATCGATATATATATATATATGGATATAATAGCAGTTGCATGGACGATGTAATTATCTAATTATGATTTTGACAGAATTACAGCAAGATACTAAAATTATTCACAATGAAAGATCTATAATTATGAAGTTATTCAAAATGTATTCATTGAAAAAAACATATATAATGACATACTAAAAATGCATTTCCTAAGCACGTCTTTTAAATAATCATTATAATAGTAATATTAAAATAACTTAGATTAATTAACATATGAACATTTGTTCCTAAATGTCGAGCTCATGGTCGCATAGAAAATAAGTGTTAAGATTATACATCTAAGGCTAGCAAGAAATTATGGTTGATCGAATTTTTTATCATTTTTTAAAGTCTGAATAATTTTATACTTGAACTTGCGTTTTTTTTTACTAACTGACGGACGTTACATACAATAAAGATAAATTTTTTTATATTAAAATTTTATGAAATATTTTATAGAAATAATAAATAATCATATCGATTGATGTTTTTACGAGATCTTTATAACTTTAAGGTAGATATAATTCAAGTACACAATTTATTTCTATTATTTTTTATTTTTTTAAATGATAATTTTTGAGAATGAAAGGTGTTTTGTGATGAAAAAAATAATTCAGTACAATAATAAAATAAATAATTAATCATAGACGCATGATTCGTGAGCTATGTTACTTGTGATGCCGCAAATGTTAATCTTAATAAATTAACTAATAGCGATATATACTAAGGCTTTATAAAATTCCGTCATCTTAGAGTATTTAATTAATCTTCCTATTAAGATATTAATCGTTAGATAAAACTCATCGTTACATGCAATTTCAAGGATTATTTGAGAGAAAAGAAATTTTTTGAATGATACTTACGTGGTAAAGATGTGAAAGTAGTGAGCTGCTTGTAGGTTCTTCAAAAACTAAGAATCAGATGCGAAAGAACCAACTTTAAATAGATTATCCGTAGGTGGAGCATATTGAAGGAAATATTTAAGATTCGTGAACCATTTGACTAATAATAAATCCGTGAATTGTTTGTCACCATGATTCACGCAGTCCAAAATGGTACTCTGACGACTTTAATCTTAAATTTTTGTCAGTCTCTGAAAGCATAAATGTTAGAGGGAGAGTTATGATGATTTTAAGTGTTTCATGGAGAGAAAAAATAATTTTGAAAATGATAAAAAGTTAAAAGAGGGTAGTTTTTGATATGATGAGTATAAAAAAAACCAGCTTTTAAACATAATATCTAAACATCGAATAATATTGCTTATGTGGTTAATAAAGTATTTAAAAAATTACACGTTTGTGCATAGATAGAATCATGAAAATGCTCGGTGTGTCTACTAACAAAAAAAAAAATTATAACATTTTAATAATTCGTAATTATCATAATCGAGACATATTACTGGGAAGATATATGTTTTGCTGGAAAAGAAGGCCAAAAAAAATACATAAAAAGGATTGAAAAAAAAAAATAAAAAATATTTTTTAAAAAGTGGGTGTTCATACTCACACCAAAAAAAAACAACAATATCATGTATCTTGTGTAGATTAAACTTTTAAGAATTTCTTAGAGTGTATTCATGACCATCTACTTTTGCAACAAAAACAGTAATCCCATTGCAAGTAACATAAACCTGATATATAATTTGAATGAATATATTAAAGAAAAACAATATTAAATATCATTAAGAATCAACAACAATTAAAGTAAAAAGGACGATTCGATGAGAACAAAAAAAAAAAAAGAAAAAGATTGACGGGAATTTATTACGTTCCATCAGAAATAAATAAAAAATCAACAAAAGATCATGGCATTAATAGTTTATAAGAATTTATATAAGAATAAAAAATAAAAATAATCTCTAAAGATTATTGTTATAAAAACCGGCCTCAATTTCATGTAATGAGTAAATCACAATACCAATTGTGAGAAAGAGTTTTACTGTGCGAGAATTCAATGTTTAAAAGCATGGTATTCTTAAGATAAAAAACAACCATTTGATAAGATCGTGTGAACATTTGAAAAGAAATTTTTTGAAAAGGACCTTTTTCATACCATCAAGTTACTGGATAAAACGAATAATCATTTTAAGATTAGTGTACATTTATTACTATTATCTAATAGTAGTTTTAAATGTAATTTAATCAATGTCAGTTTCCACACCTGATTGTTAGCCCCAAAAAAAATAATGGAATGCTCGTAACTTAGTAGTATCATTGTGCGTTTTGAGCTCTATATTACCATTATTATAATTATTATTATTATGCTTATAAGAAATATGTCATATTTAGCGTGTGTGAGACATCATTTTACTCAGCGTATTCCAAATTCAATGCAAAGTCCAAGTTTTTAACAATTAGTGATCAAATCCTCTCTACGCAAATGCCTCTTTTATTCAACACTGTAACCATACACCACTTGTAATAACTTATATATTCAAATCTGAAAATAAAATAAACGCAGTGCAGACTTAATCATATGTTCTTCATTCATATAATTGATATAAATCCAAGATTCCTAAGAAAAAAACCTAAGAATAATTTTTTTTATTATTTAGACTTCAATATTATTAAATAAGCATAAAATGTATTATCTTAAAAAAGATTTAATTTAAAATAATAATGAATTTCTCACCATCTATAATTAGTGGCTAAAGCAAAAATTTATTATTATTCGTAGAAAATAACAATTTAAAAATTTTATGCACACTACTACCACTATTTTTTATATATAAATTAAATAGATGCTATACTGGCTTTATATTAAATACTCTTTAATTAAAATAATTTACAAGTTGAAGCATAGTTATAATTAATTTAATCAATCACCGTGGATCAGATACTGCTGGTATTTTTAATTCTGGAGAAGACTGTATCCTCTCAATATCATTTATCGTTGATATTCCTTTCTCCTATGAATTATTTAAATAAATAGGATTAGTTTATTGTATTTTTTTTTTCTTTTCTATTCCTTTTTAGATTCTACTTACATGGTACTCTTTCCATTTTTCATAATTATGTTTCATATGAGTCACTAGTTCTGGCATATCAATGAAAGCTAGAATTCAAAAGAAGACGTTTGTTATTGTAAGATGCTGAAATTAGAAATGATGATATGCACCAGAGAAAAAATAGAAATATTTACCATCCCACGCTACGATCATATCATTAATAATATAATCCACGAATCCGATTTGAGATTTTGGAATAGAGCAAGTATTACGGTCAAACATTGGCATTACTACTGGCATCTTTCTCTTCTTCTCTTCATCAGTCTAAATGAAGTATCGATGAAAATTGAAAAGGTTAATCAAATCTCTTTAAGTTAATTACAAAATTGAATTATTTGAAAGTTGTATTTTTTTTCTTACTTGACTAAAATATTCTTCAGCAATCCTTTTAGCCCATTCAATGCAGCACCTCAAAGGACGAGTAGGATTTGATACATCGGCACATTTAATCATCATGATTTTGATAAGAGTTACATTCTCAGGTTGCAAAATTGTTGCCATATCAGGTCCTTCAAAATACTAAAGGCAAAACATTTATTATCTTTTTATTTAATATAATTTTAGATCTTATGCATTAGCTTGAGAAAAAAGTAAAATTAAATTGATTTTTTTAAAGTTAAACTTTCTTATTTATCATCAGTCATAGTAAATGACATATAAAAATAGATTTTGGTGTGTTAAATAAAGAAAATCTAAAATTAAACTTAAGTATAAACATTATGATAATATAGAATATAATTTATACCTCATCACTGCCTCGATCTGAACAAACATTAACAAATTTAGCTAGATTCTCAAAGTGTTTTGTCATTTCAGTTGCCAAAATCATATCAATAATATTTTGTCGTATGACTCTGTACGTTTCTCTCTCCAAATTCTTAAGAAATAAAAACAAAAGATTGTCTATTAAAATAAATTTCCAAATTAATTTTTAAAATATTATTCCGCATAACAAAATTGATATAAACCTTAAATATATTAACACTGTCATCTGCTAGAGTTAGTTTGAACGTCATAGCAGCATGATGAGACTCAAGAACTGATAGGTCATTGTACAAAACAGCTAATTTATTGTCTGAATTACATAAAAATTGACTGAAATAAAAGAAACAAATTATTTTTTACTTAATAATGAACTATATCTTATTAAAAAAAAATTACCTTGATTTCCCAGGATGATCTACATCATGAGCAGCAGCTGCTATCAAAGCAGCAACTTCATCTAAAGGTTCTAGCACCATTTGTAATCTTTCTGACTGCATAAATCTTGCAGTTGCTTGTAATACATCAGCAGCATGAGTAGAATTATGATAACTATTTTCAAGATGATATTTATATTCGATTACAGCCAACCAATTATGCAATGTCGTTTCATCACAATTTAATCTTGCTGGAACTTGGTATCGGCACATTATGTTCATTCCTAAATGTACTAGAGGCCTATCAAAATTATCATCATTAATTATTTAATAATACTTACTAAATAAATTAATTTGATTATATTATTTTATTGTAAATTAAAATAATTCTCATACCTTCTCTCAGATAATACTTCTAAACTAAAAATATCAAAATCCCAATCAAGACTACGATCTAATAGTTCTTCAATTTCTTTCGGACCTTCTGAATTTTTAATTTGTATTCTTGGTGCTATTGAGTGACCAATTCTCATTGCAACACTGCGAGTAGAATCATTTGATGATCTTCTTGAATCACGAATATAGTAACAATTTTTCTGTGAAGTATATATTCCTTTAAGTTTAATGTTTATTTAAAATCTTTATCAATTCTGGATAATCAAAAATCTTACTGATAAAAGTGCTTCCACGAGATCTGATGCTACTGGATCATTATAGATTTTCGTGTCTTCCTTTAGATAAGGTCTATAAAGTTCTGTTGTTTTCAGTGTCTCTATTGCCTTAAATAAATATTAATAAATCAAATTGACAAATATATGATAAAATCGAAGAAAAAATTTCTTAATTTAGAAATTTGTACATAAGATTGAAATGAAAGATTTTAAGTTAATTTTTTTTTTTTTTTTGATAAGTGTTTCAATACCTTATCAATTTGCATTGCCATTTCTGGATTAATTCCTGCAATTTCAGTCATAGCATTTGTTAAAAGTGTCATCACTTTTGTTATCGGTGCTTCCAAAGGTAGATTATTTAGCTTCTGTAGACTAGATCTTCTCTGAGCTATTACAAAAATAGAAAAAAAAAAATTAAGTCAACTAGCTGATAATAAATTATTAAATTGTTATGAATAACAGAAAAAATATAGTGTAATTCTAGAAAATATTACGTAGTTATGAGTATAAGATAAAAGTAATTGTGATAAGATAAAGAATAATAAATACTTACTTCCGATATCACTACCGACTGATTTTACATCAAAAGAACCTCTACGAAGAGAATGCAAGCTTCCTCGTGGATGTCCACCTAAAGTTATTCCACTTGATCCCATATTTTCTAATAAATACATGGTGTCATGAACATACACATAATGAGTTGGCTTTCTACAATAAAAAATATTTAATTCAAGAAAATATAAATTATAAAAAAAATAATTTTATTAAATGAAATAATAATTGACGAGATATATTATTATGAAACAATTCAATCATATTGTTTGTTATAATTATCAATCAAAGAGCATGAAATAGAACAATAACCCAGATCAACTTTTTATTTGAAAATTAATAAACAAAAAATTCTTTAATAATTTTCAAATAATTTTTTTTTCAACTGATCGATCAAATGTTGAAAAAAAGTTGTTTCTGGACGGGTGGGTGAGGCGGGCATTCTATTTCATGCTTTTATTAATTCAATTGTAATAACACCTACTTTCCCGAAGCACAAAAGGGCACAATTCTACAGTTGATTGTAATAGTATCATTATATTTCCTCCTACAATTCATATTGCCTTCGAACTCTCGACCTCGTTGGAGTTGTTGATCCATCAACACAAAATTTTCACAATTAATTATTTCTGAGAGATTCCTTCCCAACATTTCATCGTATTTATAGCCTAATAACCTTTCACTGGCTTTGTTGACAAACTAAAGCAAAAAATAATATCATTTTATCGTTAAATGAATAAAATTACTTGCTTTCCAGTATTATCTTATATATTATTTCTTTAATTAAGTTCACTTTCCCTGTAATTGAATTAAGATTAATTCTGATTGATTAACAACTTACACGAACAACATGTTGATCATCAGTAACATGAACCATATCTCGACATCTATCAACAGCAACATAAAGTGCATGGGCAGCAGCAAGCTGCATTCTCGGTTGAATTTCACTTGCATATATCCCAATTAATTGATTACTCAACATTACTTCATGTGAACACTCCATCATTGCCTAAATTATGAATTATTCTATTTTCTAAATTCTCTTATTATGTATTCAAGTGTTAATAAAAAAGTTTTATGGACAATGAAATTATACTCACTCTGCTGTAACCAATATTGAGTAGATCTAATGTTCCTATCTCGTCATTATCAGAAATTGTAAAAAGTCTGAAAATGATTTATCGTATGAGAACAACTGAGTAAATATTTATTACACGAGTCTCTAAGTATACTTACGATTTTTTAACCAATGCTAGAATTACACTACTATGATGATAGTTTGTTGCTTGAATAGCTCTACAAAAAATTCACTTATTTAATATTAATAAAACAAATAAGTAAATAAGAAATTTTTAAAAAATAAATAATTATTACCGGCACACAGTATCGCCATCCGATGCTCGATGACCACGACGGTCGATTATTACAAGATCGTGGCACCGATTTTGGAAAAGCTCTGCTGCTTTTTCTGCATTCTTTGCTATCGAAACACTCCATCCTAATTTTCTTATTACAGTACTAAGGACTTCTAATTGTTGATCGTCTCTGGGAAATACTAATAAAACCTATTAAGAAAAAATAGGATAATTAGACCAATAGATGGACACTATTCAATAGATAAGCATTATCCACTAGATGAAAAAATGATTAAAACAATAAAGATAAAAAATTAGAATGCGCAAAAATATTTTATCATTTAAAACAATGTTCAGTTGCTTGAAAAATCATTAAATTTTTTTCAATAAATATTTATTCTATATTCGAGAGAAAAAATTAAATTAAAACTGTAAATGTTGTCTTTATGATTTACCTTGACTACTTGAGACGGAGTAGTGATTGACAGAGTTGAATTAAAATCTTGCGGCCCTTTCTGATGACAAAGAAAATTTTTTTATTATAAATAGAAATGTTTCTTTTTTCCAAATTATTCTTATAATATAAATGAATAAAAATATTATTTAAAATAAAAATGAAACCGAATATGATAAGCGTTGTGAATGATCAGTATCATGATTTGATTTTAAATATTCACGACGACGTGCACGAGGATCCTTATCAAATAAATTCTGACGAATATTTCTAAAGTCTTTCATAAATAAATTTTTCGTTTATTATCATCACAATAAACAAAAGACGGAAAAAAAATATCCAAAACTTAATTTGAAAACAATAAGAACGTGTTCAAATTTATCAATAAAATATTTTTGAAAATAATATAAATATAATACAAATTGCAAATAAAAGATAAGTGAATGCCCAAATATAATATAAAGCGTATCAAAGTCTGGGTTGATTAAAATTTAAAAAAAATGTTGAGTATGATCAGTGTCATTACAATTTAATTACATTTAAAATATTTTAATCCAATAATTTAAATAAATAAAAAAAAGCATACATCTTTATGAGGTAATGAATCCGATGTCACAACCATCACTTGCATTTTATTTTTATTAAAAAATAGTGATCGAAAATTTAATCTTCCACAAAAAATAGAAAGAAAACGTCTGAACCAAGAATCTGATGGATAATCATTTTTATTCACATCACCATCTGTAGCACCCGAAATATAAAGAGTTCGAGTTAGTCTTCTAGTATCACACATTGTTTATCGCGAAAATTATTCAAGGCATTTATATATGTAAGTGTATCAGATTTTTGATAAATAAATCACTTATTTATTCTATATATTATATTATTCATTAATATTAATTAAAAAAATATTTAAAAAATTAAAAAAATAAAATGCAATAATATCAACTGGTGAATAACAATAAAAAATAAATTCATTTTATGCAACAAACAAATAAATATTTCTAAAATACAATATTTAACTGTTAATTTTTTCAAGTATGAAAAGAAATGTCGATTTTAATCTTCAATGGTTAATCATTCGAAGGTAGTCGTATTAATACTGATTGGAATAATCCACAATCGGCATAGCCAGGCCTTACAAACTATCTACGATAAGACTATTTTATTTCTCAATATCATTTTAAAAAGTGATATATCAATAACTGAAGGTTAAGACGGAGAAAAGATCAGGAAGAATAAATAACTATACACTTGTAGTGAATATCAACTTTTTCTCTACCTGGCTGTGAATCACTTGGTAATAAATGCTTTCTATAAACTAGAGTCTATTTATCAAAGTAACTAGTTGCTGTCAGTCTATTATTTTAGTATTATATAGCCGTTGTTCAAGTTAAGTGAACTAAGTAAAGGTAAGCAACAGACTGATCGTCGCAATCGGCAGCAAATCTATTAGCGCAAGCGCTAAGATACAAGTTCAATGCTGGTCTTTGAACTCAATCTTTCCCTCCCACCCTTTACTAAGCTCTAATCATGATATATCTGGAAAGCGATGAGAAAGTTCACCTGGTCAAAACTTGTTTGAACAAAACAACAAGTAACAACCATAGCTTAACTCCCTTATTATGATATCTTTATCTCAAGGGTTGAAAATCCTACCCTCTAAACTGTCCAGTTATCAGGTGTTTGGTTCTCATCTATGCAATTATTTGAATTTATACCAGATATAGACATTCTATTTTGTCAAGAACGAATATTCTAGAAAAGAAATTTGATTATTGATTCAAAACTAATTCTAAATTTTATAAAACAAGACAATGTAACAAATTCTTAAATTAAATTATAATTAATTTTAAATGTTGATAAAATAATTATTTTTTTTTAGATCTCTTCATAAACTTGGAAATAATTTTATTGTATAAAATATCAATGATGGCGATAGAACTTATAAGAAGAAAAAAAATTAAAAAAATACTCAACTATGATGTTTTGAGATAAAATTGTAAAAATTTTTTTGTTATTTCAAACGAATAAAGCTTTGAGTTCGTACAATATAAAATATTGATAAAATTACTTTTTAACTAATAATTGGATGGAACTTTGTACATTTGAAAAATAATATTTATTTTAGTCTTACAGTTGAAAAGAGTTATGAATATCTAATGACAGCAGGTTAACAAACTCCACGTTGATGGGTGAGAAAAATAGACAACATTGTCGCGCCAGAAATTTATAAATATTTAAAAATGTGGTTACTAATCAACCCTATCTTTATCCCTACCATAAGTTCATGCGCACAAAAGTTTTCAACTCTTTTCAATAATTAGTGGGCAAATGAGAGTTTTTATTGCTAACAAAATAATTAGTTTAAAACTTTGACATTTATTATTCACAATCACGTGTATTATTTTGTATATCATTGTGGTAGGGGAAAGCATGCGCAATTGAATTTGCAAAACACTTGCTCTTGAGCTTTTAATACGATCATTCTGCTCCTGACCACTACCTAGAGCTAATGCTTATTCTCTTTACAAAACCTGATAACTTTGATACTACATTTTCGTATCAAGTCGTCACACTTTACATAAATAATATCAACAGCATATCAGTAACAGCTGATTACTCTTACAAATTGATGGTTTGGCGCCAATAAATTCAATAAAATTGAAAGGATCTTATCAATCACCGTATTATCAAGACAGATAAAACTACTTCGTCAACTTAAAGTTATCTAAACGTCATTGAAACGTCATACTATTCTGAAAAATCATTTAAAATCAGGTACGATTGCATATTTTGCATTTTAATATTATGACAATAATCTGTTTCGTTAAAAATATATATATTTGTACTGAAAACACTTTAATGTTTGAAGTCTAATGAAATTTAATGATTTATGTTATGCAAGGAATTATAGGCTGTTCAAATTGGAATTGCAGTAATTATATCGTTGAAAAGAATGAACATGAATATGAAATGATGAAAGAATGGTCCAATGATAATTATTATTCTTCGATGGTAATAATTTTTTATGGAAAGTTTAATTTTTAGAAAGTTAATAAGAAAAAAAATATTTACAGCTGTTGAATGTTCCATATCATCATCACCTAAGAATATAGGTGATCCAACGAATGATTTTTCTTTCCAAAAATCAAGCTCGTGCATTTTAACCAGATCTCCATTGTCACCTGAAAAAATTCATCAAGTTAGTTCATTTAAAACTAATATTGAACAAAAATTTATATTAAATACAATGGATGAAATCCAATATAACAGAAATGTTTTTAATAATTCATTTCATGAATAAAAGCAATTATTACTCCAAAAGTTTTCTTTCTCTCTACATCTAATCTTATTAATTTTCAACAATTGTGGATATTTTTTAAACGTGTAGTGATTTTTTTGTAGTAAATAAAAATGACTCGAGTTTAAAATTTTCACATGATTGTTATCATTATTTCTACTTATATGAAATACACAAGAATTTATAAATCCACATAGAATAATTCACAAAGATCATAATATCTCTCTTAAGATATTAATCAGTTACTGTTATTATGATTAATACTATTTATACCGTCTTGGTTATTGCAATTCTAAGGAGTTGATAGGATCTAGTGACCCTAATATGTCACACTACAACTTGAATAAAAATAAATTTATTATTACAATATGCAAGCATTCACTCAGTTCATGCTTGCCACTATTTATTTTATGGGTTTTAGAATTGGTGATATTTATTCATCAGGAAATGAAAATATTATCCAATTATACACTATATTATATTAATAGCTTACCCAGTCACAAATAGTTTTAAGTTCATACTGGTTGAAATAACTTGGATTTATTATCACTGAACGTGGCTTTCTTTCGAAACATATTTCATATTACTGTCTTTATTTAAGAATATCATCAGATTTTATTACTTCTACCACTGATAAATGATAATGAAGATTAGGTTGATACACCATTCGTAATATAAGTTCTAAAAATAATTTATTCTAACCATTTACGTAGATAACTACATTATTATCTACTACTTTTAAACCCCTCCACTGATACTTAATTATTGTGTTTTATTTCATTTCTACTCTAATGTAGAATTCAATGAAACATATGTAATTATTTATTTTTCTTTAACGAATGACGTTGAACCTGTTATTGGTTTTATTTATGAAACATAACTATAAGAAGTAAGAATAATATGTATTTATTCGAACCACCCTTATTAATTATTTTAACCCTCAATTTAATTAAGAGGATAATTGTTTTTCTTCTAAGAAGAAAAAAAAAAAAGTTTGGTAAAAAAAATTCTTAACCCCTGTCAGCAACATTCTGATCATAAGTATACTATGGTCTTAAAGTATTAAGATAAGTGATGAAATCTTAGGGTATTATTTGTTTCCTTATTAAAAAATTTATTTTCGTATCTAAACTTTATAAACCAATCTAACTTTGGATTTGTTATCCAAAGATAATTGCTATTATTTGATCTATTTTATATTGCTTAAGAGTTATTTTTATTTCTCGTTAATGGAACTTGAAATCAAAAGGATTTTTCATCATTAAATCTAATTAGAAATATTAGACATAGATGACCTACTGAATTTTTAAGTCCATTTAACTCTTACTTTATACTACTAGTTGATATTCATTAGATCTAGATATTTTTATCTTAACGAATGAACAAATTGTCACTTTGATTATTGAATACATTAAATACTTTTTATTCAAGTGAATCTTATGAATTTATAATTGAACTAGACAGCGTATAATTGGAAGGTGAAATAGATAGAGTACAATAAATGTCCATTTAAAAATACAAAAGTGAAATGACCTAAATAAAGAATAATTGATTATTGATCATAATACTGATCATATCATTTACAATTCATTCACTTAATTTTAACAAACTTTAAAATTTAAACATCAGTGAGAAATCATTGGAAAGATTATAATTTTTTAATCGAAACTAATATTTACTCTAAAAAAAAGCATTTTATTATCTGCTATAGTTATTTTAAAACATTTAAAAAATACTGTTATCAAATAATGAAATAATACATCTTTTTTGATTGTGAGATATATTTAATTTAAAATGGTAATATTGTGTCTATAAATATTTTTCTAAATAAAACTTATTATCTGATAAATTATTTTTAGACATTATTTTCAATGTGATTGAACATCCCTCATTATATTTTACAAAATTAATTAGTTCCAAAAATACTAAGAATATAATCTAAATAATGTTTACGAAAGAGCATTAATTACAGTGCTCTGTATTTTTATGACTGGAGATTGATTTGATTTATATCTATGAAATACTAATTCTTATATTTTTTAAACTGTTGTTAAGACTTTATAATGGTTCTACTTGCGCAATTATTGAGCATGTAAGAAAGAAAGAAAAAAATATAGAACGTTTAAAAATTACGTCAGACACTACATTTTCGGCAAATACGAATGGGGCTGCTTATATTATACAATCACATAATACCAAGTTTATTGCCTTGGGCAGAACTTTCTTATCCCAAGAAACCAAGGCTAAGCATTTAAAAAAGCCTTGCTCTTTCATCCAATTTTTTAAATCAATAGTAAATAGTGAGATTAAAAAGAGTCATTGAAGGATCAATAAAAAAGATTTTTTATTGAAAATTTCATCATTGACAATTTTTGCATAATATTGATAGTAATCTATGACGTCAAACTGTTGACAGGGAATGCATATGAGCGATAAAAGATGACTCGTTAATTCGGGCCAATGAACTTTCTAGTAATTTATGGAAATTGAACTTTGACAAATCAATTGACCAAGATGATTGTATATTCATAGACAAATTTGTAGATTTATTTTCTATAGACTTGAAGAAATTTATATTTCAACAAAGAAAATGCAAAAAAATCTTACAATAATAAGTAAATACTTATTTTCATTCGATTTTTTATATCAAAAAATCATTATTGAATTTTATCACTCATTGATCAATGATAAAATGTAAAAATGATGCTATAATTGAGTAAAAACATGAATTTGTAATAACAAAGAAGCAAATCATTGAATGAATATTTATTCGACAGTGAATTATCGTGTTTATTTTCTTTTAAAATAGGAAGGAAAACTTCCTTGTTTTCAAGCACTATTATTTATTATTTTAGTGAAAATTCTGATTCCAATCACTCCTCCTACGTACCCAATACGAAATTATTTATCTACTAATAAAACAATTTTTTTTTATTTAAAAAAAAATTAAACTCTCTATATGCAATGCAAATGCAACAAATACATACCATTCGTAGTGACTTGTTGCAATTCGTGAACTCCATTCTCGTCAGGCAAATGACGAAAATCACAAGAATTAGATGTCATATGGGTCTCCACAAATTCAAAAGTTACAATTAATGATCATTGAATGAAAAATACTATCACTTGCACAACTTTATAAAAATAAATTTTTAAATAAGTCACTAGTAAATCACTTGGTATCTTCGTTAGCACATTTTAAGAGTGTAAACAAAATAAAAGTACCAAACTCTGATAATTGCATACAACAAAGAAAATTGATTTTATTGATTAAATTTTTTAAGTATAAGGTTTTAAAAATCTATCATTAAATTAGCTATAAAGTGTAAATTGAAGCCTCAAAGATGAAAAAAAATAGGTAGGACTAATTAGAAACAGTAGATGACAATGAAACTGTCTAAAAAAATTAATATAAAAAAAATTGAATAAACTGATTAATCTATTGAATATCTCATCATATTCATAATTTTTTATAACGAAAATTTGATAGCATGTAAATAGTTTAATTTCAAAAGTGAATTATTAATCTGAGAAGAATGAGCATCAACTACCTTTGAACTTTTTTACAAACTAAATACTGTAGACGATGATTTTAAGTAATTACTTGCATTAATTACAGCAGAGTATTTTCAATACTTTATTACAAATTTTACTTAATACTTTGATTTTCGATTTGTTAATATTCATGGTTTTTTACAACACTTGATAATTTTTAGAGGAAAAATGATCAGGAATTTTGATATTGATGATTACTAAAATAATGAATAAACACTTTTAACTTGGTATAAACCAAAGAATATAATTGATAATTTTTTGATGAGAAAAAACTAGAATTACAGCGATAAAAATTACGAGAATGTCAGAGCGTATAGACTATCGTCTGTGGTTTTACGTCGACTGAGCTAAAAGAGCAGACGAGTTTGTTTGCTTGAGTGAATGGCAAGAGAGTTGATATCCATAGACAATGATGAACATTGGTAGGTTAATTTAATACAATATAAAATTACAAAACATTATTAAAACCCAATTTTTATAAATTATCTTAAATAAAAAATGTCATCAAATAAATCTGAACTGAAAAATTATTGTAAAAAATTTAAACCACCCATAAAAGGAAAAAATTGAGTCCCACATTCCAAGTAAAAATCATTTTTCAAGGGAAATCTTCAACTTTCACCACCAATTAATTATGAAATATTGTAATTATTCAAATGACCTGCATAATTAGTGCATAAATGATGATTAATAGCCATAAACCCAATTGTCTGATATTGAAGATATATAATCAATATAAAATCCATTGAATTTAATTCCATATGAAAGATTAATAACTAGATATATGAAAATAAACTTACTCTTAAGCATTAATCCTTGCTCTGCTTCCAATTTTTTTTTATATTTAATCCGTGTAAATATTCCACTGAGAGAACATCCCATTTTCTTAAAAAACCAACTATTTACTTAATCACATTGTTGTCACATTTTTTCCAAAGATTTATCCACATTGGTCTTGCTATTTTTACTTCTTAATCCATACTTTTTCCAGAAGTTGGTTCAGTAAAGTATAAAATATTATGTCTGTATAAAATAAATTATCCAGAATTAGTATAGGTTTACAAAATTCTTTGAATAAAAATATGAGTACAATTTCTTCAAATACTGTATTATTGAAAAAAATATTTAGACATATTCCCCAATAGATTTTATCTAATCAAACTTCTGCGAGTTTTCTATTCAATTTAGCTATTTATTTCATAAGTGTAAATAATAAAAATGTATTGTTCATGTATATAATCATTTTCATTTATACAATATCTATTTTTGTAGCTTCGAACATTCTTTGATTAAAGTTCTTATCAGAAAGAATATTTACTTGGTGAAAAACTATATGGGCGAATTTTTTTCATTACCTCAATGATCAACCGTAATAAAAATAACATGTGATAAATATCAATTTATAAATCAATAAAAAATCAGGAAATTCCAGAATTATTTTAAAAAAATTAATAGATCCATTATTGAAATTAATCAATATACAATTAGAATATTTTTGCATAGTCTACACAATAAGTAAATAAAAAAACTACTACACCAATAAAATAATATCAAATAATTTTCAAATTGACAAACAGTTTCTTCACTATGTTGAAATACTCAAATTTGCTCTTGAGTCGCATATAAATGCTTTCGGATAGCACAATCAGCATACTGATAACTTAAGAGAGTGAGGTAAAACTAAGACTGTCAACGTCATTTGACTGAGTAATTAATTGTTGCGTATTTAATATGCTCTATTATCTTTACTTTGTGTAGGTAATTGAAAGAAAATTTATCTTTATTTTGTTTCAATTTTTTAAAAATCCATTTCATTAAACTTTTTTTTTTGTTTCAATCATCATGAATAATAAAATAAAATATTAATTCTGTTTTTGCAATTACGATTAAAATGGCCCATGGTCGGATTTTGATGTTGCATCTAATGAAAAATTCAGTGTGGAATCTCCTTGAGAATTTCATTTGCAATAATAGAACAAACATAATAAAGAATCCATGCGTAATAAATTATGTTTAATCTCAGTAGTTATGAATAGCATAAAATTAGTTAAATATATTGAAAAAAACTAATAAATAAAATAATAGTTTTACTAGTGAATGAAATGAAATTTGATCAATTTTATTGATATTCAATAATATACTGTCTAAATACGCATAAAAAATTTGTATGACGTGTGTTATCTTTACTAATGTACTTATCGGATGTTTGTTGTACAATTTTCACACGTACAACGAGTGGAGCAAATGCTTAGAGCAAATATAGAAGCATTATATACATATGCAGAAGTTTGCAAACTCATAAGAGTTTAAAGATACGTAAGCCTGGCCCATAATATCCAAGTCTTTCCAATTTTTTTTTTTTTAAATCTATCGATTTTTTGTTCTCAAAATCAAACATTTTTCTTCACTTGGATTTCTTTGAGTCTCCAGAATTTTTTACAACTCTGTGTTTCTCTTTTTCTATTAAAAAATTAATTACAAAATTATTTCTGATTTTCTGAAGAAAAAATAAAACTATAAATTCATTTTTTTTTTGTTAATACTCATTTATCCTTAATGTTTTGCCTTTAGTATTTTTTATTATTTACATTAAAATTAAATAACATTATTAGAAAATATAAATTAGTTACATATTCAAAATTGTATAAAACATGATTTAGAGATTAAAAGAAGTCTTGATAGATCTTTTTTACTTTGCATCAAGAAAAAAATTACGAGTTTAACTCTAAAGTAGAGACTAGTTATTTAATTTTTTTTTTTAAATTAAAATATTCAAATTTAGTCATAGCTAACTATTTTGAATATACAGTTTTGTTATAAACTTTTTCTGGCCGAGTTTTTATCAGTTACAGGTTAACATGGGCACGCTTGTAATGCGTGCCCGATTTCCAAGGCATTAGGAGAGACGTATACAAAAGAAAGGCATAAAGAAAGCTATCAATCATGAGGAATCAACATAGATTATTTAACAACATCCAGACAACAGTTGGATTTGCTGAAACTCTATAAATTCTGTCTACATCATTCAACAGATGCTGGGGAACTACATTCAGTAATTATGAATGAAACGATGTATAAATCAAGTAAGATAATAAATAATAATTTTCACACGCAAAATAGATCATTTTATAGATTCAAATGTTTAGAATTTATTCTTTTGTTTAGGTTCAATTAAGGATTGACGTCGTGGGTGTTTATTCTGCAATGATAACAATCCCAAAATTTATGTACCAATTTTATCTGTAAGAAACATGATGTTAAACTTGATAAATATTAGAAATCAATAAACGTAAAAGAATGAAATAAAACTTAGAATAATGTAGTCAATAAATTTTAATCTTGAGAAGATGAACTAGATCAATCTAGGATAAATAGATGCGATAATAGTCAATGCTTCATAAGTGATATCACTGTGTGTTGCTTGAACACCTGTCGAAAATTAATATGACCAAAAGAAGGGGGAGACTAACCCATTTCTATGGAAACGCCATGCTCGAAAACATAATTATCATTTGTACGTTTCATGTAGTAGTTATTTAAATACGTTACAGCGAACTGGTTGAAACAATTTATAAAAATATTATGGGTATAAGTGAGAGAATATCTTATGTAAGAAATTTTATAAAATTGAAACAACAAGAAGAAATTATTGAAAAAGGTAATGAATTATTTATGAATAATCTAAAAATTAATCCGAGTATTCTAAAGAATTTAAAAGAAGAGTATGATTTGTGTTCTAAAGAAAGGTAAAATTAAAAAAAAATAATAGACAAAATTATAATTCTATATTATTATTAAAATAATGAATAAATTGAAATTTAATTGTAGAAATGAGATACTAGATCAACTACGTGGAAAAATTTCTGAGTATAATTTAGAATTTAATAAAATTCAAGAAATTGTAGATAAATTTCACGATGGCAAAGTTATTGGTATTTTTTAAAATGAATTATTGATTTTATATTATGATTATAAATGATATTTCTGAAAATGAATTAATTTTATTATTTATATTACATATGTAGATATTAATAGTTGCAAAACGAAAATGGTTAATTTCTTAGAAAAATTAGACAATTTTGAAGTAACTGAAGAATTGGAGAAGTTAGAAAAAGAGCAAAAAGAACTTGAGGATTTTTATTATGAATTTAAAGCAAATATTGCAAAAATAGAAGCTCAAAAACAGCTAAGAATTAGAGAATCCTTCGTATCATCTAGCAGATGTTCAGCAATAAAAAAAGATTGTAAGCGTGATACTACAAAATATGAAGAAATTAAAGATTTTGAATCATTAGTATTTCAAACAGGTACAGGTCTCTTTAAATAAATGAATAATTCAGAAACAATTCTTATTTAATATTAAAATCTAAAATGATATAGGTCATACACAAAATTGGAAAGATGAAGATCATAGATTATTCATAAAAATTAGAAATAAATACCATAATATTTCAGAGATAGTTACAGAGTTTCAGAAAAAATGTCCTGATATATCAGTGGAACAAATAGTTAATCATGAGGCGTGGTATAAAATTTATTTAAATTTGCGTGAAAAACAACGTTCTTTAGTGAAAGAATGGCGTATGAAGAAAGAGTTAGAAAAAAAAGAAAAACTTGAGGCTATAAAAAATACTGAAAATAAAACTGGCTCCGAAAAAGCGGACACAAAATGTGAGATAAAAAATAATGAGATTAAATTTAATTCTAAAATAAATGAATCAACAAAAATATTTAGGTCTTGCGAAAATACGAACGACTCTTTAGATAAAAAAGAATTGATTAGACAGTGGAAAATCTATAAAGAGAATATGAAAAAAACAGATGAAGAACAAATGAAACGACAAAAGGAAACAGAACGTTTGAAAAAAGAGAAAAAATTTCATATGAGAACATTAAAAATTAAAGAAGCAGTTCGTGAATATAAACAACAAAAAATGAAAAAAATATCAGAACTAGCACTTTCTAAACATAATCAAAATGAACAGACAATAAAGACACCAAAAATTATTAATAATTTTAGGTACATTTTAAAATGATCTCTTTTTATGAAAATATTTTATTAAAATGTTTAGCAAATTCTAGTTATATAAATTTTTTATAAACAGTAATTTTTAATTGATTTTTTCGCAGAAAACGAGATAAAATATTTATTAAAAAAAGATTAAATTTATTACATTCAAAAAATAACAGAATTTTAAAAAAACAATGGAATAATTTTGATAACAAATATATAAAAAAATCAAATACTCGTCGATTATCAGATAAATCGAGTTTAATGAAACCAACTATTATATGGAGTCAAAAATGTAGACCAGAGTTTTCAGAAGACACGGGTCCTAAACCCGTATTATATATAAAAAATATTCCAAAATCGTATGTAATAAAACTAAATAATACTGATTCTGACAGACTAATTATTCAAAAAATTTCTTATAGATCAAATAATTGGAGAAATCAAGATTCACTCACTTACTGATTGATGATCAATATCACGTCGTCAAATTAATTTTAAAATTTATACAATTCAATTGATATAGTTTGATCACAGATTTTGTTTCGTATACCAATCTGGCAGAAAAACGTTTTCTGATGATGGTGATTCTGTTGTTAACACAATATCTTTATACGGAATCCTCTCAAATTTATAGATTGTGTGATCATAATCATAAACCACAGTTTTTGCAACATATTCTAAAAATGCATCACAAAAGTTCATTACTTTTGAAGCTTTCCAGTAGTGCTAGTTGAAAAGATAATAATTTTATTACACAGAATTAATCAAATAAAGAATTTTTTCATATCGATAAATATGTGTTTTTATTTAGATACCTTAGAATATCTTGCAATAGAAGACACTCGAAAATCCTTCAATTCCTTGACGATTCCTCGGTCATCCCGAAATCCACATATGATACGTTCCGTACCCACTAAGAAACTTTGACACCACCATCGTAATAATTTAAATTTTTTCAAATTTTCATTCTGCTGAGAACTTTCAATAATTCTATTTGTTTTTAACTCAATAAATTGTAATTTATCAAGTGGTAATGGATCTACCAATTTTTTATCAGATAATAATGCGTCCATTTCAGCAGCATAAAGTAAATGATGATGTATTAATTGAGTTTGAAATACACAGTTAAATTCTTCAGCTTCATTAACGGCTTTCGAAGTATCTGGAGGTTTATCCGGAGAATCTATAAAGTTGCATAGAAGATATCAATATCAATATCAATCGGTTAATTAATCAGATAAATAATTTTTCAACTAAAAATAAAATTTACCAGATACCATGTACTGTTCAAATTTGAATCCCCAAGACATAAATCGCCATTGTTTTTCAGTCCTTGTTGCTTTCTCAATTTTTTCTTCTTCTGTTTCAAATAAACATAAATATATATTTCCTCGCCATTTAGCTGCGCAAATAATCCATCCTTCTTTCAAATCGTATGGAGTTTTTGCTATTTTCGTAAGGAGCCCACGATAACAAATAAAGTGTGGTAGTAACCTTTAATTGCACCCAAAATTTCGTAGATAAATAAAAGCATTAAAGTAATCTTAAATTATACAATCAAATATTGAATATACTTACCATCTTCCACTACATGGATTTGCTAAAATTTTATCAAAATTGCTCATAATCCACTTTAATAAATGATTTATTCTCTCAGGATTATCAGGTTTTCTTTGAACAATATCGATTCCTTTATTCAAATCAAAATTAACGGTTTTAAGAGGTAATCGATGATAAAGATATGATAGCTTAGATGAATCTAAATGCATTTTCCTTTCCTGATTTAAACTAAAATAACCAACGATTGCAGGTCGACAAAAATATGGAAACTCTTGGCTCCAATTTTTATGTACAGGGAATGACATTTTAAACTATATGTTACTAATACTCAAAAATGTACACTACTAAAAAACTCAGTTATTCACAATTTCTATTTACATTTAATTAATATTACACTTGTATAAATAAAGAACAATTGAGCAAATGATATGTACGAAAATTCGGTTCTCATGGAAGCTTAGAAACTGAGTTGAAAGTTACTAAAATGCCTGCAAGATGGCAAGAAAATACAGAATTAATACGGAATATGGAAAGCAGAGACCAATACTGTTCTATCGACAAAAAAAATTCAATTTTATATCGAATATTTCTTCTTCAAGATATTTATTAGAATTGCATATTTTGAAATGATGTGATTTTCCTTATTCCATATGAAGATGGTTTCTACGAATGAATATTTGTTGATCTAATCATTTATTCTAAGAATTTCTGGGATATTTACAATTCTATTTGATTACACGGCATGTATGAACTAACATAGTTCGAAACCTATATACCACAATAATAATAATAATAATAAAGAATTCCCGTAGAGGAAATAATGCATTTAGTTATCACTATTATGAGACACTCAAGGTCAAATATAAAGTTCAAATTCTCCGGATGAATGATGATACGAGCTTATACAAATTGATACAACATAATTTTGATTTTGCAATTACGATGTCATTTTATTATGTATTACTTAGTAAGTTTGATACGTCATATGATAATTTACGGATATTATCAGTGTCATATAATATCTTCAATACAAAAGTTTTTTTCTTCTTTAAAATAACTAATTTTCAATTGTAAAAATAAATTTCCATATTATTTGGTAATTTATCATATTTCTTATAATTTTCAATCTGATAATTGATATCGAATTTATCGTATAATGGGAGTAGTTAACATCTTTTGTGTATTATTTGTTATCGATTTTATCAATATAGGTTCATTAAAAATGATTAGATATCTTACGACGTGAGAAAATGTAGAAATACTTTTTTTCGTTGGTTTTGTTCAATTTTCGTTGGATTAAAAATTATCAAGCTGTAATTATATGAAGATCAAATTGACAGATACCAACATTCGTATAACATTTTTATTTAATAATGTCTTTTCTAAACTCTATTTTAATTATTAAAAAATAAATTACATTATTCAAAGGAAAAACATGTGACTTTTATAATGTAGAAATCAATTTTAAATAAAGAATAGAGGAAGAAAATTGTCAAGTATGATGAGGAATGAGTAAAATTAACAATAATTACTTACATATGTATAATTATGAGTCAGTTTATTTGGCATTTATAGAATTAAAAAAAAATTTATTAACTGATTGCATTAGAAATTTGTTAGTTTTAATAACCTAAATCGCATATTATATAAAGTCCATTGGTTAAGTGTTAAATAAGTTATTTTTAATATTATTTTTCTAAAAATCCCGCATTCTTGAATTAATGCATTAGCGCTGTCTAGTGGCAAAATGATCCAAGCCATAAAACATGTTTCACCACCGTCCAAACAACAGTTTTCCGCAGTCTTCTATCAACTTTACATTGGAATACATGTGTTCTGCATAATATTTTTTAAACCAACCTATTAACTATTTATTTGGTATAATATTTTCATGTATTCCAATTCAATTGTACATAAATCGTGTAAATATAATATGATGTTTGAAAATATTTATTTAACTCGTTGTTAGACAACAACATCGTTGAGGTTATGATTAAAATTCGGATGTATTCTACTATTAATTTATTATCTTTTTTTATATTATTATTGTTACCAGATAATACGTGCTTTTGTTGATCAATTGGATTGTTGAAATTTTTAACAAGTAACTAACGTTTACCTTATTGGATCGTTGAAAAAACATTCTTTGTTTCTGTTTTGGAATAAAATCAGTTTTTGTCTATTTAGAGATAAATATCTTACTAATTAAGTATGAAGACCAATTATGGTGACAACGCGAATACTAGCACTGCAACAGATGCTGATAATGATGTGACAATTGTATCATCATCGAGTAAAAAGTTACATGAGCTCCAAAACAATGAAGCATTAAACGAAAATTCAACACTCACTCCACTTTCAAAACAAGCATATTTTTCAGATGCTAAAGTTCGTATACCAGAAATAGAAGACGTAAGGAACATTTTATTTTAATTAATGCTAATGTTATTTATTTAATAAAAAAGTTATCAAGTTCATTTTCTAATCTAAACATTTTTTTTTAGTCTTTTTTTAGTTTTAGAAAACTATGGGCATTCACGGGACCTGGGTTTCTGATGTCCATAGCATACTTAGACCCGGGAAATATTGAATCTGATTTACAATCTGGTGTTACAGCGAAATATAAGGTATATTTAAAGTATTAATTTACTAATTTTATCCATAAAATAAGTATCATTTGCCATCAAATAACATTCCAACTATCAATAATTATTCGTTCATTTTTATTTCCAGTTATTATGGGTTCTTTTAAGTGCAACAATTTTAGGGCTTGTCATGCAGCGGTTAAGTGCACGTTTAGGTGTTGTAACTGGGTTACATTTAGCTGAAATGTGTTATAGACAATATAAAAAACTGCCAAGAATTTTATTATGGATTATGACAGAGATCGCAATTATTGGAAGTGATATGCAAGAGGTTATTGGTACTGCTACAGCTCTCTATCTCTTATCGAATAAAGCGTAAGTAATTTGTTAGTCTTAATAAAAAAATAAATGAAATTGGGCGAATAATGTTATCATAGATTAAGATATTATTTTAATAAAAAATTTTATCGCCAAAAAATCTAACGATTTATTAAAATTATTAACTTTATTCAAATATATTTCAAAATGAAAATTAATTTTTAACAAAATTCTTTTAGGTTAATTCAGAAACTATTTTTACAATAATAATTAATTCTTTTTAATGTTTTGTTTTCTGTTTGTAGACTACCACTATGGGCTGGTGTTTTAATAACCGTAATAGATACATTTACATTTTTATTGCTCGACAAATATGGTCTTAGAAAACTGGAATTATTTTTCGGTTTTCTAATAACTGTCATGGCTGTGACCTTTGGCTATGAATATGTTGTTGCTTCTCCACCACAATCAGAAGTAATGAAAGGAATGTTCATACCCAATGTGTGAAAATTGTGATAGTAGTGTTTTACTTCGTGCTGTTGGGATAGTTGGTGCTGTCATTATGCCGCATAACTTATATTTACATAGTGCGTTAGTAAAGGTAAAGAACCCTCTTGTTAATATAGAAAAAGAATTTATTTAAATAATTTAAAGGTAATAGATAGCTTTTTATTTTTTTTAGTCTCGAGAAATTGATAGAAGACAGCCAAAAAAGGTAAAAGAGGCAAATAAATATTTTTTCATTGAATCGTGCGTTGCTCTTTTAGTGTCTTTTATAATAAATGTATTTGTCATGGCTGTATTTGCTCAAGGATTATCTGATAAAACGAATGCCGAAGTTGTAAGTAAATAAGTTTAATTCAATTTATTCTAATGTTTAATTATATATGATCTCATTAATTAGATTATTAAAATATGAGACAATTAAATTACAATCATTTTGATATATAACAAATTTATGAATAAAATGAATTAATTATTTCTTGTTTTAGTATAAAATATGTGAGGCTTCCCACAATGATCTAGGAATTGAAACGTTTCCGGTAAATTTTATTAATATTGATGCAAAGCATTATAATTATTAAAAATTTCTATTACTTTTTTCGATTTTCATAAATAATTTGATTTCATTTTTCTTTTTTTTAAACTATTTATTTAGAATAATACAATGCCTGTATCTGCGGATCTTTATAGCGGAGGCATTTATTTAGGTTGTGCATTTGGCGTTGCTGCTATGTATATTTGGGCTGTAGGTATTTTGGCTGCTGGACAATCATCTACAATGACTGGAACGTACGCTGGACAATTTGCTATGGAAGGTTTTCTAAATTTACAATGGGCTCGATGGAAACGAGTATTATTTACTCGAACTATTGCTATTGTTCCGACATTTTTTGTAGCGTTTTACGCTAATATTCAAGATCTGACTGGAATGAATGATATTCTGAATGCGGTTATGACTTTACAACTACCTTTTGCTACGCTTCCAACAATTGCGTTCACTAGTAGTGAACAAATCATGGGGAAATTTAAGAATGGAAAGTATGTATCGTGAATCTAACTGATCATCAAAAAAATATCAACTAATACTTATTCCAATCCGTAATTCATTTGATTTGTTTTCATTTCAGATTTAATCAAATCGCGTCGGTAATTTTATCAGCTGTTGTCATATCAATAAATATATATTTTGTTAAAGATACAGTAGAAACGGACTTTCCAAAACATTGGGCGGTTTATTTAGGAATTACGCTCTATGCTATTTTTTATCTTGGATTTTGTTTATATTTAGTTATACATATGGCTATTGCCATGGGTGCTGAGTTTTTAACGAATAATAGAGTAAGTTCAATAACTATAGAAATACATTTTACAATGAAAATAAAAATAATTTATATTTAAATTTTCATTTTCAGTTTATTTCAACATATATTGGTGGTCCAATGGAAATGAGTTTTTCACTCACTGGACCAACTGATTATGCCAGGTGAGCATCAGAGAAAAAACAATTTATATATATATATATATATCTTAGTAGAAATGGTTTACAAGTTTTAATAATTATGGAAGATAATTTGAAAATAAAATTTTGATAAAAATTGTATAACCATTTTTACCTTGGAGAGTTGCTGAACATTATAATATACTGTTGAATAATGATTCTAATCCTGTTAATATACTTTTGAAACTATTTTTAATTAATCTTTTTGGAGAAATTAATAAAAATATATTTTGTTAACATTTAATATTTAATTTATATAACCATTGGTGACAGACTAACATTTTCGTGGTGGTGACTAAAATTATTTGTCAGAATTCTTATTTTAAATTTTTTGCATTGGCCTTTATGTTTATGCTTTATTTGTTTGAACAAAAAACCTCTAATGTATACGGTATACATTTTTTTTTCTTTTTTTTATTATTAAATAAGATAATAATGTATGTACTTTTTGTTTTATGGATTTTAATCGTCTTCCTTCTCCTGTTTAATCTTTACTAATTCAAGTGATGTTTTAACATCTCTCAATAACATAAATTACTGTATTATGCATGATAAATCATCAACTCATTCATATATTATAATTGCGATAAAAGCTTGATAAATATTTTGTGGATTTTCTTAGTTGCTCTGATACATCAGTGACGACTTTGAATGCTTACGTGAGCTAATTCAGAGGATTTTAACGTCCTTAATATACAACAATAGAAGCAAGAAAGAAAAATAATTACTTTTAGTTTTAAATCACCACTCAAGTATGAATAGAGTGTTTAAAAATACTCTCAATATTAAAGTAAATATAAATCATCTTAATTTTCATTGTTTTTTCCTCATGTGATGTCAGCATGATATAATACTGTGGTACGTACGCAAATTCATTTGTCAAGTTAGCTTTAGCAGCGTTGTATTATGTTTTCAATGTACATAATTTTAAATATAATAATAAATATTCTTTTATATTAATTCTTTACTTAGAATTTTTATTATTAGATACTTTCTATTAACAATTCTTTCTTTTTATACCCATTACTAATTAACTGACAATAGCATGGCGCTAAGACGGATAAATTTAACAAATAATGATTGTGATTAAGGTATTTATTTCTGAATTAACATTTCAATATTAAAAAAAAGATTAAGATAATATTTTAATGAAAATTCTAGTCATTCATTTATCATTTTTCAGTACAAATCCAGGATTTTCCATTCAAGAAGGAATAAATGAAAGCTTTACATCCCTTGGTGTATTATGATAACAAATTAAAAACATTATAAATAATTTTTAGTGTAATTTTAATTTATATCAAAGTTAAAGAACTAATTAAACTGTTCTTGTATTTTATTAGTGCCATTCGATTTACAATTGTATATTCATCATAAAATATATTCTTAATTATTATTATTTTAAATTATTGAATCGAAATGAATCATCATATAAAATATAATAAATAATTTTTTTATTATTACTACATTTTATTCGCCCTTCAATTTCAATTCATTTTCGTATAAATGCTATTACATATGTTTTGATAAATTTAATCATTCTGTTTCATGTATTTTGTGTTTCACAATCTTGAGGTAGGTCATGTTCAGTTTATGCACAAAATTTATTAAGCTATCAAACTTAATTGTATCATTTCTTCATATTTCATTAGATTAATTTTCAGTGTCTATTTTTTACATATAGATTATAAAAATATGAATCAGTTAATATACATGGTAATAAAAAAATTAAAAATTTATTGAAATTTCAAAATAAAAAAAATTTGATTAATTGAATTGATAAATTTTTGTAAAAACATTATTTTAGTAAATCTTTGTATAAAACCCTAATTAATAATCGCCAATTATATTAAGAAAATACTTATTAGTCTAATATGTATTTACCTTTCATTTTCATTTAAAATAGGTCACTGGAAAGGCGAAAGTAATACTGAGTGTAATTACGCTTAAAATATGAATAAACGAATGCTGCTATCAATATTATCAACATGCACATTATCAGAGCTGCTGATATTAATATCACTAAAAAAAAGATTGAAAAAAATAATATGTTGAGAATATTACAATAACACTTAATTACTACTGATGAACATTTAATGATGAATCAATAATTATTAATAATTCAAATAATTAATCCTAAAAATGTATCAATAAATCATATATTGATAAATATCAAAAGATTTTTTGATTCTTTCAAAAAATATTTCTTTGCTATAACATTTAGAAATACTTAAGGATTAATTATTAATCATTAATAGTTTATTTTTTTTAACTGATAAAATTATCTGTCTTGAATAATTGAAAATGAATAAAATTGAAATGAAGAAAAAATTAAAAATCATAATACCAATTAATAATGAAAAATCAGTTTCAAGTTCATCCTTATAACATTCCAATAAACATTCTTTTTTCCAGTCTTTAGGTATTACATCCTCAGTAAGTTTTATAAAATCGTCAAGTGGACAAGCTTTTTGACAGCCAGGTATTGTTAAAACTGTTGGTTCTCCAGTCGTATTTTTATATGAAACCTTAAACATTTATATTACGCATAAATTATTTACATAAATAATTGCTTCTTTGATTAAATAATGGAATAAAATATTTACTAACAGTTACTACATAATGATTGCTGGCATTCTTTCGTAGTTCCATCAATAGTGCAGAAGCATAAGGTGGACAATGTGGTTCAAAAATTTTCAATGCCATCATCAAATTAGCAATCGTATCATCATGTCCACTATACATCCAAAGTTTTCTATTAGGAGATAGTAGGTCACGAGATTTCATAATCATGTGACTAATCATTTCTTCTAGTAAAGGTCCTACTTTTAACTTTTGTAAAATGTTGTTATGTGCTTGGAGTGTAAAACTTAAATCAGCTAGTGGCTTCATTTTATCTGGAAATACTCCTTTTGTCCATGCTGGTAAGGTTTTATTATACAAAGTCTGGAATTAATCATACGTTATTTAAGTAACACATTTAATTGTAAATAGAAAACCGTTTTTGTGCATAACTATCTTACAATATTATTTATATTCATTGTCATTCATTTTCTAGGCCTAATCCGTTTAAAGTTTACCTTGATTTAAGTGATAAAAATAGTTACCTCAATGTATAAATTATTGTAAAGATATTCAAGATCCGTAAGGGTATTAATTTTAGTTCCAGAATATTTATATAAATATTCGTACAATTGAGCATGATTTTGATTTATTTTTACAAAAGTTGAAGAATTCAAAACTTTCTGCAATTCATCATTGTAACGAGGACAAAATTTTTTTCCGGCTAAAAGATTATCTTCTTTTTGAGGACTAGTATGAACAGGAATTGGCATCCACTTCATATCATCCCAAATTTGATTGCCTTTAGGAGGGTACAGACCTGCCAAGTTAGCTTCAGCAGACATTAATGTTCGATCAACATCGGTACTCCTTACATAAATATCATGTACTGAATAATGGTCTGGTAATAAATGATTATATCTTTTTCTAAACCATCGACCGAGCATTAAATGTTGATGCATACCAATCTGCAGACAAAAATTGATTTAGCAAATTTATTTACTGGAAATTAAACAATTCATAAAAGTAAAAGTTTTGAATAGAAAATAAATTTGAAAAAATCTTTTTAGAACGAAAAATAAAATTAAAAAATATAAAGCAGACAAAAATGAGATTCAACAGAAGGAAAAAAATTGTTTGATAATAAAATGAGTCAATTCCAAAGAGTATTAAGATGTTCATGAGTATTTAATCATTTTCTTATCAGTTTCCTTAGAAATATCTATTATTATTGCCTTGCTTTTGACTTTTAATTTCTCGTATGAATTCATTTAATGCATTCAAAGATACGTGTTTACATGTCAAAAGTGAGTTCAAGGACAAAATTTGATCTTTCTAATGCTTAATTAGTTTTGTTATCTATTAAATATGATAAAAAAAGGGATTAATAGAATGATTGTTATGACCGAAATAAATTTAATGATATAAAATAATAAACACAAAAGTTTACAGGGGTCAGTTGTCCAAATGGTACAGGCCATTCTGATTCATTTCTATATGGATCCTTTGGATACGGATTTACAGGTGTTCTGTCTCCATGTCTAAACACCTGAAAATATAGAATTATCAGATGCATAAAAATAAATACTTATTGATTATCATTCATATCAAATAATAAATATTTATATATTTAAAAAAATAAGATATGAAATTAATCATATTAATTAATGAAATTAAGCATATTGAAAGTTATTAGCAATTTGGATAAAATTTGTTTTCATTTTTCTAAGTTGCTGTTTTATCATGACTGAACGTGAAATAAGGCTATTGAATGTGTTTTCAAAATTGAGCATGACAATGAACTTATCAATGAATTTATGTCTATTTGTTATTATTTTCTATAAACAATATTTAATTCTTTTTTTGTATGTTTTTCTTTTTTTAATTTTTGAAATCCTGATAATACATTTTAATAAAATATCATCAAAAGTGAAAGTCACTCATGTATTCTGGACAATTCAGGCCAGGTTAAAAATAAAATACTACATTCTTCGTTCAGTACACTGTCTTAACATTTACTTTGTTGACTACAAAGGAATCTAGAGTTGAGAGAATCATCATGTAGTATAATTTATGATAATTCTTTAGGTTAATGTACTTACAATGTTTGCATAAATAACTTTTCCAAGATCATTTGTGTCAATTTTATGTGAAACAAAGTGACAAAATACTGAATGCACAAGAATCAATAAAACAGCTTGAATACACAACATGGTTCGAAACTATTGCGTATGATATACTACAATGATTTATAATTTCTAGTGGTGGTTTTAATGATAATAACTCCGACTATATCAGCTTTACAACTTTGTGCTTCCTTTGTATGACATGATGCTTTAATTACACTTTTCGAATAAACTGACAACAACCTGTAGAATACCTCGTCTGTAATTATCTCGGAAATTCAACTCAAATTGAAAGTAACATGCGCGTGTTTAAACCTTCGATTGGTTATTGATAGAAACGAACAAAGCCGAAAGAATACGAATGATTTGCAATATTTTTAAGAAATAAGCTTATTGTTTATGTCTTTAATGTTACATAATAGTAAAATATAGAGAAGATAAACGAAAAATAAAATAGAAAAAAAAAATACGAAGAAATGTTTTGAGAAAAATTAATTTTTGTTATTGAATGTATTAATTTCGAAGACGTTTATAGTAATTAACGCTGAAATATTTTAAAAATAATAATACTATTCAAAACATTTAATGATAATTTTGTTGTAAATTGTTTATATTTTAACGTTCAATGAGGCAATAGAATTTATAATAAAAAACATATTTTATTCTGAACAAATATTTTTTACATTATCATCAGTTATCACATATCCTTTCAATTTGTAGGATATCAATGTTTGCAAGATAAATGAGGTATGAAATGTAAAATATTAAAACGAAATCTATTTATTCCAACATACATTATAATTTTTGTGTGAATAAATGTTTTTTGATGAAATACAATTTCTGCACCTTAAATAACCAGTAAAATAATGTACACATAAAGAATTCATATAATTCTATTCATTTGTATTTAAAAAATAATATAATAACAATAATATATAAGAAAATAAAATTCAATATGAACAGAAATGATAAAAGTCTATAACTATAATGATTTCTAAGAGATATATATCGCTAAAAGAAGTAGTAGTTACAACGTCAAAAAATTTCTTTTAAATCGAATCGTTTAGTTACCTTAAAAGAAAATTCGATTATTATTGTTGTAAGTATAAATATTTATAATGAATATTTAAATAATGATATTAACAATTATAAGAATTTTAATGATTAGCCAATCAATGGAATGTTCCTCAGAGTTTGTAAATATAAAGCAACTTGAAGAAGTCTTTTATGATCGAAGTTTTTCCGTTTATCACGATTTTACTAGAATAATTTTTTTATATGAATTGAATAAATTTATAATTTAAATTCAATTATTTACAAAAACAATTTTTTTTAACATTAATTATTACAATTGTCATAATGAAAACTCTTTGCTTGGGCTATTTTTTGCCTTAGTTAAACTTTCTCATAATAGGCCTTATGAGTTATCAGTATTATTATCAAGTTATTTATTTAATACATCACATTTTTCTTTGTCGACGCTTCATCAAGTTTATAATTAACTGTGCAATAAATGGCCAAAGAATTATCACTGCAAAAATTCTTGGCGAACAATCAGATAATGGCCACCATCTCGGATAAATACGCGAACAATCCTAAAAAAAAAAATAGTTTTAATGTATATTTTTTTTCATTTGATAATGTGTTTTCCATAAATTCAACTAAATATTATATTTTACCGATTTTGGTGTTAGTGATTGTAGAGCTTGTCCTTCTAAACTTCTAACTCTACCAGTAATTCTGTCTAAATCTCGCTGTAAATGACGCAGTGTTTCTGTAACTTGTTGTAGAAACTCTGAATTCTGATAATTGTTTTCTTTGCCATTCTTTTTCTCTCTAACTCTTCCACGATCTTGATGATGTTTGTCTGCGTTTATTTCATTTTTATTACTATTTGAATGTCCGTTCGTAAGATTTGTTGAAATTTCAGGTTTTATTTGGTCCCCTGAACTTTTGGTATTCGATTGAGCGGATATGGAAGACTTTGTTGGCTCTTTAATAGATTTTTCTGGTGCTGACTGTAATGTAAAAATAACTATTATATCTCATAATTCATTCAGATAAATCATGTTGAATTGAGAATAAATCAATAAAGAGAAATTAATAATTTCACTGGTGTTAGTACAGCAAATTTTTGAATAATATTCAACGAAAATTTCATCAACTAGAAGTCTTTAGAATGATTATTCTTGCAATATAGTATTTATTACTTAATTTATTCATTTACTCCAAAAAGTAGTTGATCATCATTTCTTCAACCTTTTTTGCTTATTTCATGACACATTACTTTATGTGGTATCATTATAATTAAGAAAAAAATTTAATTCTACTTTAAATAAATTCATGTTTAAAAAAATTTGACTCAGTAGCCTGACATTGCACTTTTTAGAATGAGTTTTTTTAGAAATGACATCACAAATTTATTTAAAAAAGATTTACTACTTTGAAAATGAGGTAATAAAATCATTAAAATTTATTACTTCAAGTGTATCCTTGAATTCTTCTTCTTCGCCATCAGTATCAGGTGGTAATGGACTAGCACTATGACTACTTGCTGGGCTTGTCTCTAAACTACTAGTTATATGTCTGGACGGATTACGTACTCGTTGAGGAGAGGTTTCTCTGGACCCTTAAATGAAAGTTATTTAAATAATTAAATTTAAATGTTATTAATTATTAAAATTATATATTAATTTCATTATTAACATCATTATGAAAAAAAATACCTAAAGGAGATGCAGACAATGGAGAACCAGGTTGTGATCGCATTCGTTCAATAACTGGACCAACGAGCATTTCTAAATCCTCTACGGGAACACTTTCATAAAATGAATCTAAACTTCCTAAGAAATTAGCAACATTATCAGTATACGACATAGTTTCAACAATTTTTTTTAATTCTTCAACGTAATTATTCATCGCTTCATTCCGACTCATGTTTCCTAATCTCATCCAAGCATCCCATTTAGCCTTTTTGATAACTTCCCAAAATGCTGGTTTTGATTGTTGACATGGACCTTCTGTTGCTTGTTTATAGTAAGCATAAAAACGTAGTTGTAATTCATGGCTAGGTTGATACGCTCCTATAAATAAAATAAATATTATCTTGATTATTTTAATAGAGAGAAAGTGTTAATTGTTTTTAATAATAAATATTAGAGAAGCTTGAACTCTATATTTTAAATAATTTTTCAGAGTGAACTTTCGAAAAACTGTTTATGAAAACAATATTAGAAGTACTAATTTTTTATCGACAACGTGAATAATAGTATAAAGAATGAATTAAGTATGCTTTTAATGATTTACGTCAGACAATATTCAAGAAAATTAATTCTCATTAATATTATAATGTACATGATAAAAATAAATCTAATTCAATAATAATTTACAAAAATCGTCTTAAAAAATATGTTATCTTATTGTTGCTATCGTGTTTTATTATTTTTATTTTGAAAAAGTAGATTAACCAGAAAGTTGAACTAAAAGATAACAAGTAAGCAATAATCCTTTCCCTATGAGTGAGTTGACATAACAGAGCAAAAATTTCCACTTCAACTATGTGAAAGATGAAATTAATTTAATAAATGGATTATGTTTAAGAGCTTTGAATAATTTGCCTTCTTGAGACCAACTTTCTAGAAAGTATTCTAAAAATATCAATTTCAGAATTAAATAAATCAATTATCTGCTAATTTTTAATATAAATTGGAAAATATTCCAGATAAGTTTGATTTTTATGTTGACAAATAATTTGAACAAATCATGAGTTAATATGAAGCATTAAAAAGGAATTATTTCCAATAAAATAGACATAAAGAAGTTCGTATAGGCTTTAATTTGTTCACTCTCCCCTTCGTTCTTTCGCAAGCAATATTATGAAGGCTAAATAGATGATGAATAAATGTTATAAATAACTTAAATAAAAAATGATATGGATAAGTGATTGACACATGCTTTTCAAAAAAAACTAATTTATCAGAAAATCTCTTTTAAAAAAATATAGTCATTACTAAAATCATTAATTTGCAGTAAAATAGACAGTAAACAATCTATTAGAAAGGATTAATAGTCCATATGTGACAGTGAAATAGACTAATTGAGTATTAGATAGAAAATAAATTGATAATGCATGTGAAAAATGCACAAAAACATTGGACTTTGGATAGATCGTATAGATGATACGCAAAAAATATGAATAATAAGGTCAAGACTTTACCATTTTTTGGTAGATTTCTGATAACATTGACAGCAGCATCGAATTTTTCCTCGGTAGTCATTTCTAATTATTTGATAACAATAATATCATGTACCATAAATAAACACACAATTTTCAACCAATATGCTGCTAAAATAATACTAATTTTTAAGCAAAACTTCCATTAATATTAATATAATACTTGATAAAAATTAATGAGTCAGTGGTGAGAGTCTTTAGGTAGTATAGATAAAACACTGATCACCAGCTTACTGCTGTGAGACGATACTCTACTGGTGTATAGATAAACAAAAAGATAGGTATCACTATCAAGTTGCGCTGTAGTAGTCTATTTAACTCCTAAACCAATAAAAACAACCTTCTTGCAGAAATACACCAATCAATGGAATCATTTATACTATTTGAGCGTTGATTTGTTAAATTTTTTATTAATTTTGCGTGTATTTGGCGTCATCCTCATTTTGATTGCGCATGTTTCGTTTTATAACCTCAATACTGATTTTATTGTAACAATCTTCATTTTTTCCTTATTTTTTGGCATTACTATTCTACATATTTATTAAATATGTGCAAAATTTTTAATTACCGGTATTTAAATTATTTTCTAAAAAAATAAAAATAATTTTAACTTGTAAATAATTCGCAAATTTTGTCATTCGCAAATAATCAAATTTCCCGCCAATTATTACTCCAAACAGTGAAGAGTGAGGTTAACTTCAGGTATAGAGAAGATTTCACTGCTGTAAGCACTTTCAAACACTTTCTAATCAATAAAAAAAGTTAGAAGGTATGTAGGTGCATCTTGTTATTATTTATCTCAGAAGTTCATTTTGTTGTTAACTGATAAGATGATCAATTTCCAACTTAGTCATCAAAATATAAAAATGTATGGCATGCATTGTAATCCACCGCTTTTTATGTTTTTTTTTTATTTTCTTATTTTCAATATATTAATAAATCCTATATATTTTTAAAAAAAGAAATTTATTACACATGATACTTACTAATCAGATGAATCTATTAATTTGTAACAGCGGTGTACTATGGACATATTTAATACATGTTTACTTTTAACAAGTAATACTTTCTGACTGAATTCAATAAAAAATTTTGGGGAAAATTTTTATCTTTTTCATTTATATTTTTAAAAAAAATTTTATTTTCTTTCAGAAAAAATGACGTCTATTGGTCGTGGGAGAGGATGGGGAAAAACTTCTAATGAAACCTCGGCACCTTTGAGGAGACCAGGTCAACAAACAGAAACGAATCAATTGGCAAATACTGAAGAGACTGATGAGTGGATTCAAAAAATTCAAGAATTAGATATTAATGATTCTGATTCCATTTTTCAAACAATAAAGTCAGTACTTTTAGAAACATCACATGAAGATGAAGCATGGTGAGAGTAGTAGTAGAGCACATTATTCATTTTTAACTTTCACCCATCTGATTACATGATTGAAAATATTTCTAGTAATAATCGAGTTACAAAATTAATAAATAAAGCATTAGAAGACAAAGAGTTTGCAGTAAAATTCATGGCTGGTGCTAAGGATAATTTTTCACCAAGGTTTTTACAGCCTCTACAAAGTCATTATATGAATTTTTCTAGTGCTTTTTTTGGTAAGTTTTCATGAATCAATTTTTTTATAAAAACATTATTAATGAAATATTATTTATTCATTTATTTTCACGTAAACAATTATAATAATTTTTTTAGATCGTGAAAAAATGACTAAGGAGAATATTCCACAGTTTATGAATTTAACTTACTTGCTCTCCGAAATTATTCACAATGTATCAACGACAAATAGAGCTCTACGAGATCCATTGGTTGATTGTTGTAAAATGCTTTTAGAGTTAGGAGGTGAAGAAGAAATTGAATTAGTAGCTACTTCGGTACTAAATTTTTTAATTATTTTTCATTCAAAAATTAACATGTTAACTATATTGTTTGAATTAATTACAGATTTCATTAAATGGCAGAATGCTACACTCAAAATTAGTAAAATGTTTACCTGAAGTCAATTTTACTGCTAGAGAAATTCTAGCTACACGTAATCTAAGCTCGCGATCTCGAGTGTTATTAATGCTCATCATCGATTTATTTCATAATGAATTTATGCCATTATCTGGTGGACTCCAAAATTTTTATGTCAAACATTTAGGACAATCAACACTTCTTAAAATGCAAAGTAATTCGAAAAATATATGGATAGCTATTGATACTCAATATCCACTTGGTAAAACTATTAATTAATTTATGAATGAATTAAATCAAATGTATATTTTCTTTATATTTTAGCAAGCAGTCAGAAAAGCGAGAATGTAGAAGGTATTCTCATGCAGTTACCATCGAATCAAAAGCCTCAACCAAAAAAACATAGTCCAAAAAATTTGTCTTCACAAAATAATCCTGGTCCACGCGCTATTCGTGGTTCTGGAGCCACAAAAAATAAAGATTACCGTGACTTCAAGAAATTTTCTGATAAACGTGATAAAAATAATGACAACGTATGGACAGATAAGCATGAGGGAAACAATCAGAGTTGGAATCATGATGATCGATTCAGTAAAGACTATTAATTTTTCAAATTTTTTTTCATATTAGAAATATGAAGACATTTCTAATTAATTATTTCTTTAAATTTGACATTACTATGACCTAATTTATAGAATAATTATGATGTAATAATAACTTAATTGATGTCGGTTTATATAAAATCATTACTTTATATAAGAAACTAGTGAAAATACTACAAATATTTTTCTCAATGATGAAATATTATTGAAATCAAAAATAATGAGAAACAGTAGTATTAATCGACTCAATTTTAATTTTTTTTGTTAATGAAATTTACACATGATTTTTTAGAAGTTTTAAAATCACTACAAATTATTTTTTTACTCTTTTTTCGATTAATCATTGTTACATTTATATCATTCCATATAGAATCAAAGAGCAAATACTTTTTCTAATATATATCTAGAAAACTTAATCAATTTGTTCAATATAAACCGACATAGCAGTTTTAAGACTCTTAACTTATGCATATTATAAAACGTATTAACAATTAATTGAAATGATATAAATAAAAGTAGATTATAAACTTTTAACAGTAAACGACAACAAAAGATAAAATGCTAATTGAAGAATAATGTCAGTGAATATTTAAAACGCAAATGTAAGATTACTTTACAATTGTAAATTTTTTTAAAAAATATACTCAACACTTGTATTTATTAAAAAATGATTTGAATTGAATTTCGAAAAATTATCGACCGTTGATTATTTCGATACCTCGATTAGTAATAATATCGACATAAAAACAAGATGTCCGTAGACTAACTATGTTTTTGAGGATTTGAAAGAATACAATAGCTTTATAGAGATTTTGTTAGGTTTTATAATACCAGTGCAGTCAATAATCCTTGATTTAAACTCACATTTGAAAAGTTTTTTCTGTAATATGTAAGTTCAATAATATTTTATGTCAAACATTAGAAAATATTGATTAAACTTTGAAACTCGACTATTCCTTAGAATACTATATGAAAATCATCATCTTTGATGGCAATAAATTAAAAATTTTATTGTAAAACAAAGAAAATCAATAACAAAAAGAATTTATTCTATTTTCGGTTTTTTTTAATCATACTTTCTGCTAATCACTTACTAGCTGGAAGAGTTTTTAATTCAGTAAATCAGTTATAATAATCGTATCATTGTTTAATATGAATAATCAAAGTAAATCTTTCTTTCCTTACTAGCTAAGCAGATATTTACTAGAGATAGCTAGAGGACAACGTTATTAGATTGAAAAGTGGAAAATTTTGTGTCATCAATGAGAGCCGATCTGTCATGTCTTACACTGAACTGGAACATGGTTATCAGGTAAACAATTTTATAAAATTAATTGACACAATTAAAAATAGAATTTTTGATAAAACTATATTTTCTTGTGTTGTAAAAATTCAATGAAATTGCATACGACTATATTTTATTATATAAAAAACTGATTATCATATATTTTTCTTTTCATTAAATTGATAAGTTTTCTTTTAATCTCTTTGTTTCTCGTTTTAATCAACACAAGTTTTGTTATGTATTATGCTTTGAATGTTAAAAATAAACAAAGGATTCAAAGCTTGAAAGCTTTGTTATATCAACTTTAATGACAATCTTCAATTCTTCAACATATGACTAATACAAAAACATACTTTTTAATTATCAATTGAATATGTTGAATTTAAATAGATAATTTATTTAATAATAAAATAACATTATTTACAGGAGTTCAAATCTTATATAATATTTCATTCATTGATCAGATAATTTTATGTTGAATATTCTGTCATAAAGCTCAAAATTCATATTCAAGTAAACTTTATTCCAATATTATTTCTAAATTATATCAAACAACAATAAACTAAAGTATCTATACATGCAATTAATAGCCATATTTAAAAAAATTATTTAAAAAAAAATAAATTACCCACAACTCATGCAAAAAAAGTATTGAGTACTAACAAATTCTATATTTTTTAAGGATCTTCGGAGTACAAGTCGTCCCATCTTCTACGTAGGAGATATTGGTTCTGTTCAGCCTAATTTAGTAGGTGCTGTGTCACCTTCAGTATATCGGTCGTCTAAACGCGTAAGTAAATATTTTCCTTACTTTCAACATTATAAAAGGAATAAATGATTTTTGTATTTCTCATTGTGTAAAAATACCTGATAAATAAATCAAAAATATACACATAATAATAAAATCCAATTATGTAATTGGATAAATATAAATCAAATGAAAAACCTCGAATAAATCATCATCAAAATAGATTTGATTATTCATGTTTTAAGGTTTTTGTAAGATTGAAAATTTTGATATCAATTAATTATAATATTAAATAATGTTCATTAATGTTAATTGAATTATTAAAAGCATATGAATAATAGAAAATTTATGAAGAAATGAAAAGGTCGTTGCCTCATGCAATCTTCTCTAAAATTATAACTTGTTTATATTTAGAGAAAAAGACACAGCAGTGATGCCAAAGAAAACTATTTGAATAGCATTAATTGTGGTTCTTCAGCTTGTGATGTATTAATTATTATCCAATCAATATTAAATATCCATTCATTTATATCTTTTCAAAGTTTATTAATATATTATAATAAATATTTTGTGTAGAATATATTTCTAATGTTAATTATTTTTCAATCTGATTAGATATTCATTGAAATTACATAATCTTTATACTTAATTAATATCTATATACAATTAGCAATAAATAAGGATGATGTTAGACGATAATTTACAAAATGGCTGGATATTGGTATAGTTTTTGGCAGCTCTTCATGTCCATTTGGCAGTGGATATTTCAGAGATCAACTTATTTACGTGGAAATTACGAATTTTCTTATTTATCTACTGTTTGGTATTAATAATGTACAATTATTATTTTTTCCTGAAAGTATTTCAATGATAAATTAAAAAATAGTTACATAATTGATTATTGAGTTATTGATAATATTTTTAAATTAATCAGAATGTAAAAATGGTTAATTATTGAATAATTAGTTAATAAATTATAAATATGAAAAATGTCTTCTAGTGAGTCAACTAACAATGAAGAATCACCAAAAACCAGTGAATTAAGTGCATATTCAATTGTACCATGTACAACTCCATCGTTACCTAATATTTGTATCACTGACTGTGATCAAGCTGAACCATACTGGCGGCTTATGGTATATTATTTATTTAATTTTTCTTCTCTCAATTGAATTTTATGTATGTCAGTTTTTTTTCATTCTTTGTTAACTTTAAATCATTTGGTCATAAAAATTTAATAATTTTCCTTTCACTTCTAAAAATATACTGGAATTATAGAAAATATTTTAACTTGAAGAATGTATAGTTATAAAAAAACTTTACGTCAACTAATTATTATGAGTTTATTGAAGAAAAATTATTTTTTCATTTGAAGAAATAAAGCTGTTTATTACATCTATAAAATAATTAGAAATATTTTATAATTATTTTTTGTATAACTATTATTGATCAATACTTTAACTCATAAGCAATAAGTTGAAACATAATTACTAAAACAATTACAACTGATCAGAAATTATTCTAAGAGAAAAATAATTATTACATTCAATTCAGTATTTTGTGTTCATTAGTAAATGGATTGTGTCATTAAATAAAGTGTTTTCATTAGTGTTTAATTAGTACTCTTGTGTATGTATCACTTATTAATTAATGATACAGAAGCACTGGAGCAAGATAAGACTCTCCAAGAGCTCCCGTATGTTCATCAGAAATAGAGATAAAGCTCGAAAAAGAGAAAGACAACTAGCGAATGAATATGAACAAAAGAGTGCGAATGATTAAGAGATAAAGAGCGCGAATAAAAAACAATAAATCTCTAGGTATATAACTAGAGTCATTGAAGATATCGGTTGAGTCGAATTTCTATCGTTCGAGCTTAAACAAGAAAAAAGTGGATTTATTAAGATATAAAATACTTTGTATCTAATCTTAGTAATTGTCTGAATGTTTATTTATAGAATACAAAAATTTTTATTTCATTTATCAATTACCGGATACTTTTCATATTTAACGTAATAACTTCTATTATACCACATATTCCAAAACTGCGTATTTATCGTGATACATCATCACGTGGTATTTACTTTACCAAGGAAAATAGACCAGTAATGAAGTAATAAAAAGTCTACTGCTTGTTTATTTATTGAAAAATAGAAATTGATATTTTAATCAATTTACCTTTATAGTGAATAAATAAGTGAACTATTAGTTGAATGATGTTTAATTTATTGAAAATGTTAGTGACGAATTTTTGAGTGTATTTAAATTAATTTACGAATTTGTAATTCGTTTATTTATTAAGGGATGGAATGGACATGGTGGAAAAATTGGTGGAGATTAAAAAAATGGCGCCAAAGAAATTGTGTTGTTAATTTAAGTGATCATCCTGAATTTGAAGATTTAGATTGTTATTGTGATGAATGTCTTGTAAGCTTTATGAAAATTATTAATAACACTTTTCATCATTTAAAATTTACCTTTCAAGGTCTAAAATAGTTCATCTAATTCTAAAAAATAATATAAATTTCTCAAAATAATTTTAGGCTGATGTTATTTTTTAACTATTATTTATAATTACATCATTTCTAATTAAATTTTTCTATTGCGAATAAAGCATACATGAAAATTCAACGTACGTTATCTTAATCTTAAACCAGACGTATTTAACATGAATAATCAGAAAGATTCTTATCAATGATAATAAACTGTTTTAATAAGTTCAAGTTAACATAATAAATAATTACTTACATACATTTTTTTATATTAATTAATTTACATTTAATGGTCATCCATTGTTATAGTGAAACTAACACGTGTATTAAAAATGACCTTACTTGTAAATATTTAACCTTGAAAATAATAAAATTTATCAAGCAATTCATTGAGGCCAGACTTTTTTATCGATTAAATTGATAATTATTTATGTTGATTTATCACAGCATGCAATTTGTTAAGAAACATACAATGTTGTATTAAAAAAAATTAAACAATATCATTTTTTATCTTACAAATATTGAAATTAAGCTTCGAATATTACTTTTATTTTATTACTTTTATCTGAGTGTGGATAATTCTAATCTTCATTCCATTTTTATTTCTAGGGCGAACTGTCGGACGAGTGCGTAAGCGAAGATGGGTGTACTGCTGGGAATGATCTCGAGGGTGAGGGTAAGCAAGTCCTGGTGGGAATTTGCGCGATGGCCAAGAAATCTCAGAGTAAACCAATGAAAGAAATTTTAACTAGACTTGAAGAATTTGAATACATAAAAATTGTCGTCTTTTCTGAAGAAGTTATTTTAAAGGTAATAGAATATAATTATATAAAAAATAATTTTTTCCTCGATTATAAAATAAAAATAAAGATATTTTATAAATTAATATCTTTCATTCCAGGAACCAGTGGAAGATTGGCCTATTGTTGATTGTCTAATAAGTTTTCATAGCAAAGGATTTCCATTAGATAAAGCTATTAATTATGCAAATTTAAGAAAACCGTTTATTATTAATAATCTTCCAATGCAATATGACATTCAGGTACAGAATAAATTGATACATTAAATGCTGTTTAAGAAATTAGAGACAGTATTGAAATAATAATAACAAATAATTCCTAAATTCAATCTTCTATTTCTATTTAATAGGATAGAAGAAGAGTTTATGCAATTTTAGAGAGTGAAGGTATTGAAATTCCACGCTACGCTGTTCTAGATCGCGATTCTGCTGATCCAAAACGTAAGCTTATTAATTTTTTGCAATTAATGAAATTTCTACGTAGTATTTGTAATTTAAACAATATGAATAATTCAATTTCGCACTGCTATCTTAATTTTTATATCCAATTTAACAATTTATTGTTTATTTATTTTTGTTTTTTTTTTAGTTTCTTTTTTGCTATTAATAATTACTTATGCAATATATTATTACTTTTTATTTTGAGTTTGAATGTTCAATATTTTGACATGCGAAGAACTAAGAACCCTTTTCAGACCATGAGCTTGTGGAATCAGAGGATCATGTGGAAGTCAACGGAGTTACTTTCAATAAACCTTTTGTTGAAAAGCCTGTTTCCGCTGAAGACCACAATATTTATATTTACTACCCCACTTCTGCTGGTGGAGGTAGTCAAAGACTTTTTCGCAAGGTATTTATTAAATTTAGTTTCATTATTACTGTTAAACTCCAATATTTTATTCAGTATGGTTACAGCTATTTAAAGTATAAGTTGATTGTAAAGATTAATTAAAATTTCCCTTTATGTATTTGAAAAAGATAGGAAGTCGTAGCAGCGTTTATTCACCAGAGTCTCGTGTCCGAAAGACGGGGTCTTATATTTATGAAGATTTTATGCCTACTGATGGAACTGATGTAAAAGTTTATACTGTAGGACCTGATTATGCACATGCTGAAGCTAGAAAAAGTCCTGCACTCGATGGAAAAGTTGAAAGGGATTCTGAAGGCAAAGAAATACGTTATCCTGTTATTTTAAGTAATGTCGAAAAGTTGATCAGCAGAAAAGTTTGTTTAGCTTTTAAACAAACTGTTTGTGGTTTTGATCTTTTAAGGTAGTACTATTTAATAATCAATTTACAAACAAGAATTAAACAAATTTTTTTATGAAAAGAAAATTTAATAAATGATACGATTTTTTTTTTAATTTATAAATGTTTTTAATTTCAGAGCTAATGGAAAATCATTTGTATGTGACGTTAACGGCTTTAGTTTCGTAAAAAATTCCAATAAATATTATGACGATTGTGCTAAAATATTAGGAAACATGATTTTAAGAGAATTAGCCCCAACTTTACACATTCCTTGGAGTGTACCTTTTCAACTTGATGACCCTCCGATTGTCCCTACAACTTTCGGAAAGATGTAAATTTTTTGATATATTCATTAATCTTATAATTATTAATATCATTCTTCGCTTGTATTAGTAGTGTGAAATTAATTTTTTTTTATGTAATCTCAGGATGGAATTGCGATGCGTCGTCGCAGTAATAAGGCATGGAGATCGAACTCCAAAACAAAAAATGAAAGTAGAAGTACGCCATCCAAAATTTTTTGAGATTTTTGCCAAATATGACGGATACAAACACGGCCATGTGAAATTAAAACGACCTAAACAACTACAAGAAATACTAGATACGGCTAGAAGTTTATTATCAGAAATTCAACATCGAGCAGCTAGTCCGGAGCTGGAAGAGAAGCAAGGGAAATTAGAGCAACTTAAGAGTGTTTTAGAAATGTAAAATACATATTTTATGGAACATAAAAGACAGAAACTCTGATTGTTATAATTTTCTTACAATTATTATTTATTTAGGTATGGTCACTTCTCAGGAATTAATCGTAAAGTACAAATGAAATATCAGCCATGTGGCAGACCTCGAGGAAGTTCTTCTGATGATGGTAACAGTCACAGTATGGTCAAAAATTTATATTCTGATCTTTTATTTATGTTTTTCCATGTTAACTAACAATTGATTTTTTATAAAACTGATTCAGATAGACGTAGCGAGCCTTCACTGGTGCTAATTTTAAAATGGGGTGGTGAATTGACGCCTGCTGGAAGAATCCAAGCAGAAGAATTGGGACGTATTTTTCGGTGCATGTATCCAGGTGGTCAAGGTAGACACCTTAGTGGTTCGTATCATGCGTTTTTATGCTTATTTTTATCATTCACTATAATTTCATCATATTTTTTATAATTTGAATAAAAATATTCAATTTTTTTTTGTAGTTTTCACCAAGTAAAAAAATTTTTTATTTTTGTTGAAACATCATTTCATCATTTCATTTAATTTTAATTAGTCTTATTTGCTTCTCGTGTAGTAGTTACACAATAATTATTGATCACAAGTTTTGTTATATGATGTTTTTTATTAATTTTCAAAGGTGATTATGCTGGTGCTCAAGGTCTTGGATTGTTAAGACTTCATTCAACATTCCGTCATGATTTAAAAATTTATGCAAGTGATGAAGGAAGAGTCCAAATGACTGCAGCAGCTTTTGCCAAAGGTCTCTTAGCACTTGAGGGTGAACTTACACCCATTTTGGTGCAAATGGTCAAAAGCGCTAATACTAATGGACTATTAGATAATGATTGTGATAGCAGCAAATATCAAAATATGTTAGTGTATTATTTATTTTTTCTTATCAAATACCGTAAAATTATTTCTACATATCATATTTTTTATTGCATTTATTTTAATATGTATTATAGGGTAAAAACAAAATTACACGAGTTATTACAACAAGATCGTGAATTTACTAAAGAAGATAGAGAGCAGATAAATCCTGGAAATGCATTAAGTATTAATGATGCATTAGACTTTGTAAAAAATCCTGTAAAATGTTGTCAACATGTTCAAATGCTTATTCATAAACTTATGGACATTGTAAGATTAAAAAGAGACGACCCAAAAACTAAAGGTATAAATTGTTTCTTTGTATTTGTTATTTACTAATATTATCAACAAGTATTCTGCATATTCAAATGAATGAGGTCCAACAGATGCGATTTAAATTTATATTTTTCAGATACCATTTTATATCATGGAGAAACGTGGGAATTAATGGGTCGACGTTGGGGCAAAATCGAAAAAGATTTTTGTACTAAAAATCAAAGGTTCGATATTTCCAAAATTCCAGACATTTACGATTGTATAAAATACGATCTTCAACATAACAATCATACGCTTCAATTTGACCATGCTGAAGAATTGTATATTTATGCTAAGTATCTTGCCGATATTGTTATTCCGCAAGAATATGGTTTGACTGTACAAGAAAAGTTAACTATTGGTCAAGGAATTTGTACTCCATTACTTAAAAAAATTCGTGCTGATCTACAACGTAATATTGAAGAATCCGGTGATGAAACGGTCAATCGATTGAATCCTCGATATTCTCATGGAGTTTCTAGTCCTGGAAGACATGTGAGAACAAGATTGTATTTCACTAGTGAAAGTCATGTTCACTCTTTATTAACAGTTTTGAGGTATGGAGGATTGTTGGATGTTGTTAAAGATGAACAATGGCGACGTGCCATGGAGTATGTCAGTATGGTTTCAGAGCTGAATTATATGTCTCAAATTGTTGTTATGCTTTATGAAGATCCAACGAAAGATCCTAGTAGTGAAGAACGCTTCCACGTAGAGTTACATTTTAGTCCTGGAGTAAATTGCTGTGTACAAAAAAATCTACCTCCTGGTCCTGGATTCAGACCACATTCACGAAATGAAAGTAGTCATAATCTGGTGAGATTTCCATTTTGTTTTATGCAATTTAATCTTTTTTTTAATTTTTATGATAAAAATAAAATTAATCAAATGGAATTGATTCTCATAAATAATTTTTTTAGCAGGAGACAACATCTCAATGTAGTCAGAGAATCGAAGAAGAAGAAGATAGTGAATTGGGTCCTTTAGATGATGATTTATCTAGTCCACAACACACATCAGACCATTCATCTCCACCACTAGTTGAAACAGAAGAACAAGCAGATTCAACCCTCGGAAGTCCTATTACCAGTCGGGCCATTGACATGATGGACTTAGATCCCAATATGATGGATGAACCTTATGACAGCGGATTTCTTCAAAGCTCTGCACCTATTCCTATTAGGTAAGCTTCTCGAACAGTGTTGAATAATTAAAATACAGGAATGAAATTGAAATAATGATTGAATTCAATAAAATAAAAATAAATATAGTGCTAGGACAGTAGCGGGACACGAAGCAGCGAGATTAGGAAGCCAGTTAGCTGAAAGCCAACGACAAAGACGAGAGCGGGAAGCATCCGGTATATGTGAACCAAGAGCAAGGAGTTATGATTATCAAAGTCAAGAAAAACCGGAAAAAAGTAAGTGTAATAGATTTATGTACGTATTTATATAGTCTATTTATCATAGGGTGAAAATGTCAATACAGAAATCATATATTTTCAATTTTAAAAAATTATTACAAATTTTAAGATTAAAATATAATAAGGATACTTATGTTGGTTTCTCTTAATATTATTGCTTGTCATTTTAATGTTTTATGTTTAAATCATAAATCATAGATACAGTTTTAAAATGATATAATTTAATTACTGATTTATTATTGACATATCCGCCCTATGTTAAATTTCCACATTACAGTAAAATTTTATTAAATTTCAATAAATTATTTCAATAATTGGAAATAATTGAAAATTAGCACAAGGTCCTCGCACGATATTTGCATGATTATTCAATATTTACTCACAAAGTAATAAAAAATTCAAATTATAATTGAACTGTCAGAATGATATTGAATTTTTATAATAACAATATAGAATGATTTATCGTATTTTAATTAACCAATCAAATGACTAATATCTTGGGATATTTATTTTTTATTAATTATTGTGTAATTTTATGAAAACATTTAGTGAACAGACTTTAAAAAATTAATTTTTTCATAATCAGTGGTGCAACGTGTTTTGTGTTTTCGTGTTGTTATTTTTTTTAATTGTAGCTGCAGACCAACTGCAGTATCAAAGTCTGGATGCAGTCAATCGAGAAGGTATGTTTTCTAATTGTTTTTTTTTTCTTTTGCTTTTTCACAGAACCAATATTCATTTTACTATTTTTTAAAATTATTTTCTTCCAGTATTTTTTAAGTTATGTTATTTATTTTATTATTATACTAATTTTGATATTTACTTCCTCAGTTTCTTATGATATCAGGTTATACTATTATTTTTCAGTTTATTCAGTATCATTTCTGCCTTATTTTTTTGTTAGCTAAATATTATTTATATAATTTATTTTTATTTGAAATAACTCATGGCTCTGTGATGCATTGTGCGTTTGGCGGTTCCTTAAAAGAAAACTTTAATGAATTTATATTTGTCGTTTGAACCACGAAAATTTGTAAAAATACTTCGTGATTCATCCGGCACATATTATCCTGCTTCAAATTTTTTATGTTCCTCTATCCTTATAATAATTAAAAGTATCAACTGTAAATTAAAAAATTAATAATTCAAACTCTCTGAGCAATTAAATGATTAGAAATTTTAAAAACCTTTCATAAAATGTATATTATAGACTTTAATCAAATCATTTATATTAATTATATAAATAAATTACACAAATTTACCTAAAACAGCAGTTAGCACTTATAACTTGCACAATTTCACAATTTTGTTTAATTATAAATATTGCTTTGCTCTTTTTTTGCATGATTTTATAGTATGAATAAAATGAGTGACAATTTTTTTGAAAAATAATAATACCCCATTGTTTAAAAAAAGTGATTAACAAATATAACACGACTATTAACCTAAACCTATTAATGAATATTATAATTATGGTATTAATTTATTTATTTTTTAAGTTTAATTATAGATTTATCTTTTATTTACTAGTGGGTGTTGGGCATTTATTAAATATGTTCTGTTTCTTTGTTTCTTTTTTTTAAATCCTTTGACGGGAATCCCAACGTTGACGATAACGACAGATTCGTCTACTCGGTCGATAAATTCCCGCTCGGTAACTGGAAAAAACCCATCTTTCCAAGCGATGAAGGCTTCAAGAAATTTTTTGGGAATTCCGGTTTATTTACCACATACTCTGAGCTCTCCGGATTTGCCATCACCTATTGTGGAATCTATACAACAATCAGGACCTTTGATAACGCTCCACAATACATCATTAGGTTCACCAACCAAAATACCTACTATTCAACTAATCCAAGAGTGTCCTTCGAAAAATCGTGCAAGAAGATCGCAATCAACTTTGACTCTTTCACATTTGGAAATCCCTGGTGAGTTTAAGGATCAAAGTTCGGGTGTTAAAAGCTCGCGATCCCTCTCACCATGTTTTCAACAATGTCATTGTTACAACTGCAATGTTTCCGAACTAATTCACCAGGATTTAAGTCCCTCAGAGCGTTTGAATTTACATACTTACTTTACTCGTTCATTATCACGGAAATTTACAAATTGTTCGTGCTACAAAATTGGTGATTTGGCAACATTATCAACTATCAACAGCAACAACATCAACAATAATCCATCGCGATTAAAAACTATTTTTATGAACCGACAAAACTCATTACCGACAATTTATTTACCGACCGAGTCGGCTACGCATGTTTCTTTTTCTTTAAACCCTTTTCTGTATGATCATGAATGTGACACGAATGCTATTAACTTGGGATATCATTATTTATTGGCCACAAATATTAATGACTGCAAGCACGTGCATAATGATACAATTATAAAATTAAAAACATCCTCCCCATCCAATTTCCAAACGCAACGATCCTTCTCATCCCCAGACACACGACCTACAATCATTCAACCAAACCCTACCTGCACAGCAAGGCGCCATCGTCACAGTATCTCTGGGCAGATGAGTTATTTCAAACTGTTGGGATACAATGTCAGCAAAAAGCTTACTGGATCAGCTAATAGTCTATTCAGTACGGCAGTTATCAGTGGATCTTCCAGTGCTCCCAATCTCAAAGATATGGTACCAGCTCATGCATCAGCAGTTGCGGGTAAATAATGTTTTTTTATAATGAAATAACACTATTATAGTGTAACTGAAATTTTATTGCTAGCTATTGAAGGTTTTGGTGGAGTACCACCAATAAGACCGTTGGAAACTCTTCATAATGCACTTTCTTTGAAACAACTTGATTCTTTCCTGGAAATGATGACGAGTGCTCAACTTTTTAAAACTCCTGCATCATCACCACCCAAAATTCCTTCACCAGGAATTATGAATCCTCATTCTTTGGTTCCTAATCTTACCATCGGTTCGATCGGAGAGTTTGATTCTGCCAGGTATTTTTATAACTACTTATACTAAACATTCTAAACTTAAAACTCTAAAAAAAAACTATTATTTTATTTTTAGATTTATTGGTCCCGGTGGATCATTTAAAGGTCCTGAAAATGAGAATGACCTTCGTAATGTTTCATCCCCAACAAGTCCAAATAGTAATTGATAGTTGATAATCAAAATAATTTACATTACTATATTGACTAATACTAATTAGTCACAAATAATAATAATTAATATCTGATTAATATAGGTGTTGGATGGAGTAGCGGACCACAGTCATTCTTATCCGAGCCATCATCACCAGCACCGACTTCTGCTGGTGGAAGTAGCATGTCCATGAGTTTAATTAGCAATGACGGGTATGTAGAGTTCATCAAATCTTTATTAAATATTTCAAAGAAAAAAAAATAATAATGTTTGTCTTCTTATAGTAGTCAGCCCTTCACTGCACCTAAATTTCCCACTCCTTCATGCTTAGAAATGAACTTTACTGATTTTTGTATGGCTATGGATCAAGACAGTCGTGAAGGAGGTCGTGGGAGTATTTCTTATACGGACTATTACAGTAATGAAGATGGAATAATTAGAAAATTAATTCCTCAAGAGGAAAAACTAGATAAAGATCAAGGAGATTATGATGACGATCACACCTTAACATTAAAGCAGACTGAAGAACAGAAAAAACACGATTTGAAATCTATCTTTGAATCAAAAGACACTACAAAAGTTGAAAGTTATAAAAAAATTGGAAGGTAAGTTGTGCAATATATTTTAATCTGTGTTTAATATTTCGAAAAATGTACAAATTTTAATTATTATTAAAGGTTCCGAGTTGAAAGTATGGAGATATCAGATGACGATGTTAGAATTAAAGAATCAGAATCATTGAATTCAAGTAAATCGTTAGAGAAATTACGATCTATATCACCATCAAAACGATCAGATGAACCGAAAAAATACAAAATGAGTTCATCGACTACAAAAACAAAAAGGGGAAAAATAATTTCTAGATCTCAAAGTGTCTCTAATCCAACACAGAGTGACGCATCTACTAGTAAAGCTGATCAAGATATTCTACCTCATCATTATTCATCAATATCATCAACAAAATTAGGTGCATTTTCAACAATGGCCCGAGACGATTTAGATGATTGGAAAAAGAAAGCAGAAGAAATTGTATCTGTACCAGTTGTTTTACCTATGGAGACAACTACTCAGCCGATAGTTACTGTTGCTCCAAATACTAAAAATAATCCGAAATGTCATTATTGGCTTTGATATAGATAATACAGAAAAAAAATAGGCAAAAATTAATATAATATAGTTAATAAACTTTAACAAATGAATGTGTCAGCGACTTTGAAAAATACAATTTTATTAACATCAGCATATTAAAATTCATAGGCATTGCAGATGATTAATCAATGTAAAAACTTGCAATACAAAGTTTTTAAATTTGCTTCATATGCTTTTGTAATGTTTTTGAGAACAAAAAAAAATAGAATAGCTGATTGTTGAATTGAAAAGAAGAAAAGAGAAAAAAATGTTTATGACATTCCTGTGATGTTATTTGCGACTTAATATTGTATTAATCTTTACAAGTACCTGGAATACTTAAAGATCTGAAAATGTTGACATAGCAAAAAAGGATTTGATTCATTGTTAAGAAAGAAATGGAATAAATGATGAGATGATTTAGAGTATAAATAATCATTGATAAACGCAAAAAGAGAATAATTTTCAATTAAATTTTAAATTTTACATTAGAATCTAATGAAATATTTATTTTCACTTATAGATTATACTTGAATAAATCAATAAATAAATATGGTTTGTTGATGTTGAAAATTTAATAAGTCTTTCTTTATTAAAAACATATATCTTCAGCTCTATGTCTTATTGGATAATTATAAATTTATTTTGTATTTCGTGGCCATATTAATGTTAGTTTTGCTACAAAATTTGTTTTGTCAAAATTCATCTTAAACAATTGCACAATAGATGTGAATATTATAATAGAAATTCAATAAATATTTACATAATTTATTGTTATTTCACAACATGAAATTTTCCTTTTAAAAACTCATGTAGGACAAATTTTTTATGGACAATTATTAATTAATTTTTGAAACAATTATTTTTTAATTTTTTTCACTTATAGAATAAATGATTAATTTATCCATTTATTAATAGAAATATTTTGTGCCTACAATAAATCAAACTATATCAGAATTAAAATACCTTACACTTAACATGATTTGAGCTTCGGTTTCACGACACATTCCATTGTAATCGCATTAATTCACCCCTGTAAATAGGGGTTGAAAGTTAATAACAGCATGTGTGCCACTCACTTTAAATCTTATCTAATCGCTTCAATTAAGTAGCTTTGATTTGTCATATTTTTGTCGTAAAAATTAGACGTATTAATTTTTTTTTGTTTAAAATCAGTTTTAATTCATGTATTTTTATGTTGTAATTAGCATTTATTAATAAATTAATTTTCAGAAAAAAGGTTTCGTAAGAATTACTTAAATAGGAGGAATCAAAGCGTAACAATACTCTACCGTTCCCTTTATGACTTTCAGGGTGATACAATTGAGCTCCCTTTTGGAAGACAATTTGCACAATCTATCTGTCATTGTTGCTGTCAGTTATCTGGAACATTTCATAATATTATATCAAAACACGTGCATTCTAGTTATCCCCTCAGCATTATTATTACATGGATGAAGCAGAAACTTAGTTTAATTTTTTTGAGAATTGAAATCATAATACTCTATGCATCTCGTTACGAACAATTATGTAAATAATAGCAAATATTTTGATATTAAGATCGATCTGAAAATCGAAATTAACTATTATTATATTCTTTTATAATTTAAAATCATTATCATAATTAAAATAGATGATTGAGAAGATATTTTTATACATCAATATTTATGTCTATCTATTATCGATAAAAAGTTCATTTAAATATCCCCCAATTATGCTTAAATCATATTGTATTTATCTACTTTTTTTTTAATTTCAATAAATGTAATTTTATTGAAATTTATCATAATATGATTAAAATAATCTTAAAAGTTTTGATTAATCAAATTTTTTATGTTTACCTTTATTTATCTTGAAAACTAATAAGTATAGACTTGGCTAAATGACTTATTTTGTTGTAAATGTATCTAGATATCGATAGAATATAAGTAGATAAAGGACGTAAACGCAAGCTGACGCTTTGGATCAATGCTTGATGCGTCGGCGCTTTTGATTTTGTGCTACCAAATCATTTGCAACCGCAAAAAAAAATGAAGAAATTTTTTAAATCACATTTTTCATAGACGAAAATTCAGCAGCAAGAAAGATAATGCTCTACAGATTTTTTTAATATATAATTTTAATAATAATTAAAAAATTTAAATTAAATTATTAATTCAATCATTTATTTAGAAATAAATTATTCAAGTTTTTCTTTTTTCTTAGATTAAATAAAAAAAAAAAAAATGTTATTGAACAAATGAAAAAATCCCAAATTTAGAAAATTCATATCAAATGTAAGTAAATTTATATGCACCCTCTGACAAAAAATTTCGTGCAAATACCGAGACTGATTCGTTGCAGCCAAGCAAGTCAACTAATATGGATTTAATTAATTCTGTACAATAACATAAATAGTGGGAGATCCGTCATAGCATATTTTTCCCTTTACCATTTGTATTATGTTGTATAGAATACCATATCATTTCATACCGCTATTTTAACTACTGAATATGATGTGGTTGAATGACTTTTCAGTAACAATATGGTTTGAGTCATCTTCCCTACTATCTTCTCTCGATCAAATGCATCATTTTCAAAGTTCTATTAAACCATAATTATATGTTTTATTAAATCTTTAATAAAAGTTTAGAGACTTGTTCTGCAGAATACACATGTCTCAATCATGTTTTTGAATTTCAATTTTAGATATTCTAGTATTAAAGTAACATGAAAAATATATTTTTATTGAATTATTTTTAAATAAGCATCAGAACCCTAAAAACATTTCACAAATTTAAAATTGTAAGCTTGATGTAAGCTTGAATAATCACTTTTACTCAAATAATCACATAATCACTTTCTAAAAATGGTACATATTCATAATTTTAAAACATATCTGAGAAATTTTTGGTGAAAACTATGCTCATGTTGTAGTTAAAGTAAAGACAAGTTGAAGGTGTGGCTAAATGGTCTAACTTGGAGTAAAAAATTACTCCAAAAAGAGCACAATTTAATCTACTTGGAATTATTTCTGTTTCTTGATAATTTATTTTTTATGGAGTAATATTAATTATGATCTACTTATCTTTGAGCATTTAGAAATTTTTATGAAATAGGAATATACTTGTTAATAATATTCTATCGATACTTGTATTGTTATTATGATAGCATTAGTAGATATCCATTTAGTATCATGACAGAAAAATTTTATAACATGAAATTACATTGGAACACCTACACTTTTGAGTAAGCTCAAAACATATCATCAAATAATCTGAAACTTGTAATTTTTTTTGTTGAATAAAAATGTCAATTTTATCATAGCACTGAGTAGCTTGTTAATCAAAAAGATATCTTATGAAGTTGGAAGTTTACTCCAAAAAAATAAATAAAATGCAGTTGCTATCATTAGATGTTGAAATAAATTTTTTATTTATATTAAACTTGCATACTGTATTTATATTAATAAATATAAAGAAGAAAAATAATTGCTAAAGATTATTGTTATAAAAATAAAACAACAATAACTTTTGAGAAAAATTTACATACAATAGTTTCAGAAATTTATTTGTTTCTTCGTGTGATATTATTTAATTCAATTACGAAAAACAAAAATCCTGATACATAATTCGTGGAACGAGTGAGGGGTTGTTTCCACCCTTATCTCACCAACAACCAATGAGAAATTTTCTGGTGCAAGATATGGATTTGATTGGACAAATTTGAGGGTGTAGAGGCGTGGTTTTATGTATCTAAAATTTCATCATGTTTTTACTTCTCTTATCAGTAATCTCTAGTACTCCACTTGAAAACACAACATCCTGAAGAACAATTAACGAATTTTAAATCAAATTTTACGTGAGTTATTTCAAAAACTACATCATTTTTGGTCGCGATTTAAATAAAAATAGTTCATTTTTTTTATTTTATTTTTAAAAAAAATAATTTCTAAGAGTGGTGTGAAACTTGGTGCTTTTTCATTTTAAAAAATTGAATAAAAAGTGTTGTAATATATAACATAAGAAGTAATTTAAAAAAGAAAATTAAAAATATAGTTGATTGACTTAGGATATGAGCTACACCGAATCGTTGTGGGAAATAAACGGAAATCAAGCACCAGTGAGTAAAAAATCGTCTGAAAATCAATTTAACTAATCAATAAAAATGAATTAATAATAATGATAATAATATATTAATAAAATTAAAAATTGTGGTAGATTATATCAAGCGAGATGTCACAGTACGTAGGAAGTGAAATGGCGTCTTATCCAATGTGGGATAGTTCAGTTCTTTATCAAACACCACCTCCTTCTCATTCTCATGTTAACGATCACGTTAATGGATTTTACCGACAACCATGTGCACTTCTCCATCAAAGGTTAACATATAAATCATTTATATCTATTTTATGTGTCATAATAACAACTATATCTATCCCTATAATGATGTCTTAATTTACAATTATATTTCCTAATACACTCATTAACATAATTATTAAACTCAGATTGATAATAATTATAAAAAACGAAAAAGAAAAAAAATCGTTTAGAATATCAAATTATTTCTTAATAAAACTAGTTTATTTTATAACTTAGAAGTGTGCTGAATAAAGTGGTAATGTATCTATGAATAAGAATAAGATAAACTAATATTGATGGAAACAAATTTATATCATAGTTTTTAATGGAATGAAATAAGATAAGGATTATTAATAATTCTTATCATTTTATTCGCGGTTAATTCTAACTTGTAAAATTTATTTTCTATCATTCACAACTTCTGCAAATGACCAATCATCAAAATTGTTTGAATCATTGCTAGGTTTTGGGTCATTCTGATGCAGATATATTACCATTAAGAGCATTTCAACAAAAGGACAGTCACTAGTCTGCTATCTAGTTAATTAGACATATCTGAGGCTGAATAAATTGTGTTCATTTCTGAAAGAATGTGCAAGTCCCGAAAGTTAAAATATAAACAAGTTTCAAGGTACTGATCGTAAGAATAGATACCAATATATTGTTGACGGTTTCTATTGCTAGGTTGACTAATCTTTTGCATATCAGTTCGAAAGAGCAAACTAGATTCATCATCTTTAACCAAGTGCTTTAACGGTTACGTTTCTGTAAAAATAAAAATGTTGATATTTTGTAATTTACTTTTGGGTCTATTAAGATTCCTCAGAGTCATTAGTAATTATTTTAATGTACATTAAGTGATATGTATTAGAATATTTATTAATGTAAAAATACTTTGTTATAGTCGATACACTTCGAACACGCGAATCCCCAACCAGCCCTCCTCGACAACAAAAAAACCACGAAGAAGAGTAGCATCAGTATCACAAAGAAGAGCTGCTAATATCCGAGAAAGACGAAGGATGTTTAACCTGAATGAAGCATTTGATAAATTACGTAAAAAGGTATCGAAATTTTTTATTTCAAAGATATTTTTCTTAATTATAAATTAAAATTCAGTCATACTTACAAAGTAAATCCATGGATTTTTGTTAATATCTTGTTTTTGATTTCAGGTTCCTACATTTGCATATGAGAAGAGACTTTCAAGAATTGAAACGCTAAGATTAGCCATTACTTACATTGCTTTCATGGGTGAACTGTTAGGAATTGAACCAGCTACCACAAAAACTGAATACATTCCACGTGAATATTATTTACCGAACTAAAGACTGCCCGCTGTTTATTTAAAAAATATTCTTTAAAATATATCAAAAATATAAGATAAAATCAAATCAAGTCTTCCAAATGCATTTTAAAGCAGACAATAATAGAATAGTAGTTATATTTTTAATTTAATTATGTACATGTGTAAATGTCCTTGTTTTCTTTTATGTTGTTATAATTAAATATTTTAATGCATTGTGAGTAATCAGTATTATGGTGTAATTCGTTTTTATTTTTTAAAAATAATGTTAAAATAAATAATAAAAATGTAATTTAAATTCATGAAGTTTTATTGAATTTTTTCAAGTAAATTACTAGTAAGTTGGTACTATTTCCAATATTTATTTCCAAATAATTTGATAATCAAATTAAGAAAAAAATTCTTAAACTCCAGTTGCAATAATTTTTTATTATTAAATCGTTGGATAAAAATTTATGATTGTCAAAAAGATTTTATGTATTATGAAAAATCTTTCATAACCTCGTCATTCTTTTTGAAAAGGAATATTTTGGAAGTATGTAACGAAACTGATATCCAAATAGTTTAATAACTACACTAGTATATTATAATAAATAAATTTATCTTCGTACTATTCGTGTAATAATTTATATCAAAATATTTCCTCTAAATTCATAGTCAAGAATTAAGAAATAGAATATGTTATAGATAGTTTTATAACCATGAAATAAAATTTTCAATAATCTAAATTTACCATGGAATTGTAATATAATGTGCAATTAGTTTATGATAAAGGTCGATAAATGAAAAGTTTAACTTTAAACGTGTTCTTCAAGTGCTTTATATGGTTTTATTCCTGGTAAGAGGACTTGAATGTCAGGTCAGACAACACTTTGAATCAGTAGCAACTGCGAATAGATGATTATTAGCATTAGTATGCATATAGCTAATATGGAATTAAAATTCAATTTGAAATAATTAATTTTTCCAAAATGTATCAACATTCTAAGTAATGCTAGTCGTTATTTTTCGAGTTTATCTCCGAGCCAATCAAAATACATGTTGAAGTACTAACAAAAAACATCTGGCGTCTAACACGATGTACCTCCGAACCAATCCCAACTCTTGATTCCCTACTCTCGCCTACGTTCAGAGTAAATAAATACGCTTGAGAAGTCAGTTGACGGCATAGTTCTCGATTCGCTGTTAAACGAGTACGTGCTGCATCATGCCTCCCAAACCAAGTGGTAAAGCTGTGAAGAAAAGCGGGAAAGCCCAGAAGAATATCTCCAAATCCGATAAAACGAAGAAGAAGCGTAAAAGGAAGGAAAGTTACGCTATTTATATCTACAAAGTGTTGAAACAAGTTCATCCAGACACTGGAATTTCAAGTAAAGCAATGAGTATCATGAACAGCTTTGTGAACGACATTTTTGAACGAATTGCTGCTGAATCATCAAGACTCGCTCATTACAATAAACGATCAACCATTACATCTCGGGAAATCCAAACTGCTGTTCGTCTTTTGTTGCCTGGTGAACTCGCTAAACATGCTGTAAGTGAAGGCACCAAAGCTGTCACTAAATACACCAGCTCCAAGTAAATTCATTATTTGAGCCTTCAAAAACGGTCCTTTTCAGGACCACAAAATTTTTCAAACGAAGTCTACTCTAACGGTTTTCTAATTATAGATAATTATATAGTAAAGAGAAAATAAATTTCAAACTATTTCTATGTACGCATTTTATTTTTCATATCTCTGACATTATCATCGGGTCAATTGCTATTATTTTTGTATTCATTTGTCTCACATGACGATGTCCATTGAGGTAAATAATTTCATCAACGATAAATACCATTTAGTAGTTACTACCAGGGTTCAATAATCATTGGTAATGTATGTACAGTTATTTCAATGAACATTTATTTACAAGAATTCACCATTAAAAAAATATTTTACACAAGCATATATTGACTCTGAATTTGAAAGAAATGCTATATCAAGGTTTGATAATTTTATGTTTTGTTCTATTGTTTATTTACTTCTATCTTACATATAAGGACAAATAAAAGTAGAGCTGTTATTGAAATTCATATTGAATTTTAAATTTAACTTTTGACAGTACTTTCATTTCTCCTTAAATGCATGAAAATAATTGGAAATGTTTAAAAATTATAAAATGCTTTACATAAAATAAATTTGGGTAAAACCATAACATGCAGTGACACAGAAGAATGTTTTCTTTCAGTTGTAACGTTAATCGATTTATATGATCGATTATGTCAAGAACTATCAACTTTATTATGTTTTTAGAACTATTGAATCTTTGAAAAAAATTATATATAATAATAATCCATCTATTTAGGTATTATTATGCTTATTTTTAACGAATATTGCATCATATATGATAGCATTTGATTCTATTAATCAAAACTCTCTTTACATAAACGTACATGACGACAAATTGAATGTTTAAAGTGCATAGTATATATCTTATAGTTGAAAGATTATTCAAAGAAGATTCATTATTAAAATTTAAAAAATTTCCAATTATATTTTTTCTATTCTTTAAATGTAATAACTAACTATTCGCATTAGTATAATACATTCTATTTAATTACTTTTTATTGTGATACTTGCAAAATACTATCATCTAAATACTTTTTTTTTTTGAGAGAATTAATGACGCTCATGGACATATACATACACAGAGTTATGTATCCATATATTTATATATATATATTAAATTAATAAAAAATAAAAAATAATAATATCATCTTAATATATAATTGTCATGATTATTCATTGGTTTTTTGTTGAATTTTTATTAATGTTTTCAAAAGAACACTCGGTTTATTTTCTCTTTATATAATTCAAAAACATTATTTAAATAAATTAATACAAAATTTTTTTTTTATGGCAGAATAGATATTGTATGCATGCAATACATTCTCCGCAAGATGTAAACATTTTTAAATGTATAAACTAAAACTAAAAATATTATCAATAAAATTTGTGTTCGATTGTACAACAGTTTTTCACATAAATGTGTATTTACGACAATCAATTATTTTATAGTAGCATTTTCGATAAATTATTATTCTACTACTGTTGAAAATGTTAGCATCTCTAGTTAATAACTATTGAATTTTTCATGATAACATTAATCTAATTAATATTTTATCAAGCTTAAGATAACCATTCAACAATATTATTATAATTATTATCCGCATTCTTACATGTATATATTTGTATTAGAAAGAAATATTTATCTCTATGGATTAGAGACTGATTTTCAGAACAATCTATATATTTTCTTTTATTTAAACTAACTATAATAATTCATTTATAATTCTATTGATATTCTATGTATTTCCATTATATTGATGTATAATGCTAATTCAAATCAATATGGCTTCGTTTAGATTTGAAAATTAGATTGACACCACGGTATTCTTAGAAAAATTTATTTGTTTAAATCACATTCAAGATTTCAAATGCTTTCTTTTTACTTTTATTGTACTGCTTCACTTTCAATAACAACATGAATCTGTCGAAAGACGAAAAATTTATTGATAAACTCGTAAAATATTTCACTTTCATAAATGATAAAAATGCTACATAATATAATTTAAAAAAAATTATTTTTGAAACGAGTATTACCGTTTTTTTTATTTATATTCAGTCTTAAGCTAAATACACATGCCACATTCCTTTTTTTTCTTCTTTTTTGTCTTTTTTTTCTCATTCTTATCAATTTATTCGACCCTTTACAAATTCATATAACTTTCAAATTAGTAATTAATGTTATACATACTTTTAATATGATTAAAGCAATCCATAGGTATAAATAGTCATGATTTTAAATCATGATCATTCTTATTCAACAATAAAGATATTTTATATTAATATTGCTACAAAAATCATCATATAGAACTGAAATTGTAAAAGGTTATCACAAAAAGTATTTTTATCTATGAAATTTAATAACAGTCGTATGCAGATTAAATGTTATAAAACAAACAAAAAAAATTCCAAAATTTATACTATATATAGAGAGTAAATTTGAAAAGTCGAAAATTTATACAGTAAAATTATCCTGGGTAATAGTACGGAGGTGGACGTTCGTATTCAGTACTCAGAGGTGGTGCTCCTGGTGGTGGTTGGTATTTCGGTGGTCCATCACTCGGAAAATCCCAATTTCTGTAATTAACAATATATTACAATAATTTGTTTGCTTTTAAATACATACATGGAAGATTCATGGATTAAAAAAATATGACATAAATGAAACAAGTAATATTCAAAAACTTAATTAATTAATGATCGATAAACTCGATCATTTTTCTATTGACATTCAATCAGGAACTTAAAACATCTCATTCAATCAAAAATTATTAAAAAATTAATATTAGAGAAACAAGAAAACGAATAAGATAAAGAACAAAATTCAATAAAATAAGGTCTGTATAAATAATAAAATTATAAAATTCACCCTTTTATTGACAAGGTATGTTCTGGTTTCTATCAAAAATTTAGCATTCTATGTCATATTGTCAATCCTATTGTTAGGATTAGAAATAAAAAAAAAAATATTGTATAATCATTGGATCATAATCATGTTGGATTCTGTGATTTTTTACTTAAAAATGCAAATAATAATAAATTTGATTTATAAAAATAAATACAGTTATCCATCCATGAATTATAAATGTTAATAAAATTTTTATTCATTATAAATATCAATACACGTTACATATCAATTTATTACAAAAAGTTTATAATAAATTTTTCATAAAAAACAAACTGTATCAATTGATTGCTATCAATGAATTATCATTACAAAAACAGCTGTAAATAATATAATTACAACTATTAATTATTACTCTTGAAATTTTTTATCCACAGCACTTATTCGCGTATTAGTACTTGATATTCATTCACGCAATATAAAATGTATCAGATCCAAACATAAAACAAAGTCTTTTGAACATTACTTATCATTAATATCACTATATATTGACACTGTTAATGAAAAATAATCATGATAACATAATAAGTGTCAATAATTGGGTAACTTTTTAAGATTTTGTACCTTAAAAGACCAAAATAAATTTTTTAAATCTTATTGATTTTGAATGAAAATTATTCGTCATCAACACAGTATATATGAACACCGTATTTTGTTTATGTAAATATCATACATTTGTAAATAAGTCTATAAAATGTCTTTGAACAATAAAAAAATGATCTAGCTTCATTATTAAACTTACTTCAACAACAAACATTTTTAAATAGTGAAGAATAAATTTAACTTATTAAAAACTAAATCTTATTCTGAATCTAGATAATTTTTTTATAGTTCACAGTTCTCCAAATAGAAGAGAATATACGTTATTATAAAAAAAATACTTAGGAGCTTTTAAAAAGTTAAAGATTTTTTAGCTCTGATAATAAGTATAAAAATGTTTATGAAAAATTTGAAATTTATAGTATTTCATACAATGTTAAGACTTCAAGACAAATTGAGAAATCGTGTCTCGTAGAAAGTTTGACAATTATAGAAGTCAACAAATTCCATCTTTACTCTGAGAAACAATATGCTGTTTTGTTATAGTTACGATAAAATACCGTAATTATAATTGACATTATTTTCCCTACCTATATACAAATTTCTATAAATACGTAGAATAAACTTACTTAGGGGTGAAATCAGCATTCCGTGGAAAATGATGTGACGTTCCTTGATGAGCGTCTACAGTTCTCTCTCGTCCACTGTAGCCGCCTGCAGCAGGACCATCATAACTTTCCACATACAATTGCGGATGGTGTCTGCTATGATTACCCCGTTTTTTCTCATGGATACTGTAAATTCATAAAGTAAATATAAAATTGTAGATGAATCTTTATATAAAATTATTCAAAAGACACTTACTGAGCAAGTGGCATATTATCTCTTTCAGCATATGCATCATATAAGTATTCACTGTAATATATTTTATATAATTAATATTCATGACTGAAAATATTAAAAACCAAATTACTACTCCTAATTATCTTTATGAATAAGATATCAAAATTAATAAAGATCAAATTTGAAAAGGTTGGTTGTTTAGGATATTATTCAAATTTTTTTTTAACTTACGATTCAACAAGAGGTCCAGGATAAGGATCCGATTTTTGGTAAAGAGCGCTTAACTTAACACATAATATTATTGTTGGAATGAATAAGATTAGACACCAACCAACGCTAATCCAAAATCCATTCTATAATAAATTGCAAATATTATGAAGTATATTTGTTAGAAAAATGTACTATTATTAATTATTCTAAAAAATTAATTTTTAATAACTTACGAAAGGATCAAGGACTTTATTACATCCAGCAACTATAGTAGCGTTGTAGGCATTAGAAACCGGTCCACATTTACCGATATCATTTCTGGCAGTGTTTATTAAATGCTCTAAAAAGTCATTTACTTGTTGAAGGAATGCTTCACTAAACTTGGTAGCAAGCTGTAAAAAAATATAATTTAAATATATATTTAAAATACCGATTTATGGTTAACTTATTTAAATAAAATTTAATGTATTCAATTACTTGTTGCTTTTTCAAGTAAACTATGGAATACCTACCACTTGAACATATTTCGGTCCATCTTTATTAAGAAATACTTGAGCAGCAATAACTTCATTAACTAAACTATGAATTGCTTCTGACATAGACCCATGATTAAATTTGATATGTTCTTCAAGAGTAAGTGCGTTTACGCTGAGTTTTTCGCTTAACATAGCCATTGGAGTGACCAAATCATTATGGTAATGCATCAAATCATGAGCATTTTTGATCAAACTTTCTCGAACGTCTGCTTGTTCATAGGATAAATGATTTGCAACTTCTCTTAATTTTGTTCCAAGATGTTCTAAATTAATATTAGTTATATTATCTTTTAAAAGTTCTGCATATTGATAAAATTTAATATCACTTAATCCACTTTGAGCTAAATCATTGAGTTTAGAGGTGGCACTTTCCGTGAGAATCACAATTCCAGGTGAAAGATTAATCATATCTTTAAGTCGGTCAATGGTACTACTAATTGCATAATCTTCAATATAATCACGTAGTGATTCTAATTTTATCACGTTTTCAAGTTTCAAAACCTCATATATGGTTTTATTAGCATGACATTTATTCAATATCCAGCTCATATTAATATCAGCTTTTGGATTTCTTGGATAAAGAAGATGTTTAATTTGAACAAAGTCATCCACTAATTGGAATAAACGATTGTCGTTGGGATTCTTCAAAGGCTCACAAATTCCACGATGAGTAATGACGCCTGTGACCATATGCGCCGCTGTGATGACTAGTAAAACACTTGTCAATAGGAAAATTATCCATACTGCCATCATAAGAAAGCGTGCACCGGAACCTTTATTACAACAATCATCACCATAGCCGTCAGGTCGTTTTCCGCAAATACCACATAATAATCCAAATGTCAAGCACATCAAAACTGTTAAGAGAACACCAGAAATTCCAAGACCGAAATAGTACCTTTAATTGAACATTCAAAATAATTATTATATTACTCTAAAACTAGATTTATTTTTGTAGAGCATGAAAAAATCCAGGTCACTTTAATTAAAAAATTTAAATTACCTGTAAATGGAATATTTTTCGATATGAATTTGAGCAATCTTCAAATGTGGTATATATACTTTATTTATATCTTTATTTATCCGATCAATGAGTGAAGTGATATTTTTTGAAATATTTGCTAACGATGAACCAGCATTTCTGATACTTGCACTAACTAATGGAATCGTCCTGTTGACTGCATGTTGAATGTCTCGTTGAATTCTTAAAAATGATTCTTTACCTTGGCTCACTTCTAATACAATATTTTCATCCATTAATAATGTTATATTTCGTAGAGCTGAAGAGACATTCGGAAGCTATTAAAAAAAAATATTATTGTATAATCTTATTGAAAGTAAAATTGAAAAGATAAAAAGAATGAGCTTTCATCTTTTTATATCATCTATTTGAATTGTAATAATTGTTTTTTATTCCATACAGAAAAAAAAACATTCTTATAATAAATCAAATGACAAAGATGGTTTAAGCTTAAGCCAGTATAAAAGGTGAAGCATGTAAAACTTGATTAAAAAAGGTATTCATAAATTTGTTAAAGGGATAGGTATTACAAGGATAATTTATTTCTTTGCCACTAATAATGTTAAGTGACTTTACCAACCTTTGGAAAATATTGATCCAAGTACTGCTCGTTTATTCAAAATAATAATATACAGATTAGTATATTATTTATTAGTATTGTTATATATTAAAAAAATATATATGATTCAAATTAGCTTAAATTTATGGAATATATTAATTAAATACTTCACAGTATTAAATAAATGATGTTAATTGCAGTATTGAATTATTTCATTAAGATGACACACTGATTTATCAAGCGATAAGTTAATAGCTATTCAAAATATTTACCTTATCAAATTCGATTTGTACTGACATTTGATTAATTTTATAATCGTGAAGAACCTGTTGACATTCGTGACTTTTACAAGCTGACAAAGTATGCAGTAAATCTTTTTTAACACCTCGAACAACTGAAATTACATAAAAATACTTTTATTTAAAAAATAATAGAATTTTATTATAAAGTGATAAATAATTTTTCTTTGTCGGCAATATATTGTTTAATAGCGCCATACGTATACAATAAAATATTAATTGCTCAAAGATAAGACCAAAGAATTTTTTCACAAAGAAAAATACTGAAACAAGATATTTAAAGATAAAAATTGTTATCAATAAGAAAACTTCTAGTACTCACCTATATCTAACTGACTTGCATTTGTCCTTAAATCGCGCGTTATTTTATCGATCATTTTTAGGTCTTGTCTAATAGTATCTAAACCAGAAACAATGTCATTCAAATTTGTTAATGATACAGCGTGAGAATACACAGCAAGCTCTTCAGTAACGATTCGTCCACTTGCTTGAAGAATATTGTTCAACGTAATCTCCAGTTCATTATAATTTGTTATAAGAAGACGATTTATTTGTTCTTTGGTCGTAGTCAAATAGAGTTCTACATCTTTTAAACTAATTTTAGCATTTGATGGCAAATTTTCAGTACCCTGTTGCATGTGTTCATTTGTTACGAATGCACAAACAACACCAAATCTACAAAAAAAAAAATACAAAAATTATTAAACGAATACATTGTGTTGATAGAAGTATATAGATTCTACATACAAAAACAATGCTCGAGTGATAATTATATGTAGATTTTAATTATAAAAAATTGCACATTTTTGTAGCTAATTAATGATATCTATCTATGGATTAATCTAATAATTGAAACATTGTATATTTTTATTCATAGCTATTTCATTGAGATAATATATATGTGCATCAAAGAAACTGAAAATTGTACTTAATAATTGGCAGAAGAATCTAATAACTTTATAAAATATTGTTACAAACATCAAAATTAATCTTTTTTAGTAATTGAAAATTGTAATTATTTTTCATATAGATATTAGCATATTAAGTGTCAGCAATGTTTTTACTATTGAACTGACCCATTGTTTGTTTTCATCTTTTGTATTTACAAAATTATTGACATAAACATATCAAATATTGCTAACTGTTATAATAATAGATCTATTAATTGTAACTTATGCAAAAAATATTTACAATATAATAGTCGCAACTCCAATCAGAAGAATACTAAGTATAACTTTCCGACAATGGTCATGTTTTTTGTCAAACGGTTGGCTCCTTGCACCACAATGCCCAGCACATCGACAGCAACAGAAAAATAAGCCAATACATGGAAAAATGGCAGCAATAATTAGACCCGTGGCAGCTAAACCAGCTAATGCACCATAGTGAGTGACTATGATTTTCCATTCTTTTGCTGGGTCAGCAAACTTCAACTCTCCGTTATTTAATGTGATTAAACCTGTTGAATAATGATTTTTACTCTATAAATGAAAAATTAACTATAAGATATTTCTAGTTGATACAAATAGATAGAAGGGTATAATAAATGTAATTAGCAACATGACAAATTTTTCTGTGAAATAAAGCCTTATTCAAAACAATGCAGACTTTATCTTATTTATCATATCTTCATTTGAAAAACAATCATCCGACTCAATTTCATTCTAGGAATAGGAGTACTTGTTTCCTTCATAAATAAAACTTAATTCCTTTTTTTGTGGTAAATCAAGAATATGATAAACCGTTATGAAGTGCTTCAATTGATGAATCATTAAACTAACGTATTTTATCGTTTAGTGGTGGATATCATATGAATATAACTTTCAGAATGTTAATTTTTCTACATAAAAAGAAATAAACTTTAATCTAAAATTCATCAATATCTTGTTAATAAAATTTTCATTTAATTGTTTTTATTTGTTTAAAAATTATTTAATTCATTCCAACAGGATGCAATCAAGATAATAGCTACACTCACAAAGAACGAGATAGAGTGAATGTGAGTAAATGGATAGGAAAACAAAAAAAGCAAAATGGTACAGTAACAACCAAAATAATGGTTAAATAAATTTACCATCTGGATACGCCTGTTTAGATTGAATAACGTCAATAAATAAGTTGGTCACATTATACAGTTGTCCCATTCCCTTAGGATTGAATTTAGTGCTAGCATTATAACGTAACCCAGTCATATTCACTGTAGTAAAGTTTACAGCCTGGGAGGCCATGATATTTTGTAATTGGTAATCAAGATCTTCACTTATGTCTCGCATTTTTGTGGCTAATCCTTGACTACTTAGATTTGAATTTAATAACTGGGAACTCACTAATACTGATAACATGCACGCACAAAAAATTAACAACCGAACACAAGAAGGGAAAATCATTTTGGCTAGTGACTAATGAACTAGCCTCGCGTCACTCGAGACGACTCGAGACGCACAACAAACTATTTCCAAAGTAACACAACCCTATCACCACCCACAGTTGAGCTGTGTTGAACTGGCTCTTTAACGATCAGCTCTTTAAATCCATGTTTGATCAATTGACATCAGAACCATCTTTACAATTTACCAACTACAAACTAAATTTATCCATTTTCCTACTCCTATCAAATAATACAGACTTGTTCTGTCTCTTTTGCTCTTATAGACATTACTATAGTTAAAACACTGGTAGAGTAAAATTTGAGGTTATACGAGAAATTATTTATTTCACCTTATTATGTTTTTTATATTCATTATGTATTATTTTAAGTTATTTCAAGCTATTATTAATCAAAAATTATTATGTAGATAATTATTTTATACGGGAAATTAATTATTTTCAATTGTGAACCAACTAAGAAATAATCTGTGCGCATGCGCCGAAATAATTTCCCTGTATAACCTCCAATTCTACTCTTTCAGTATTCGACTACATATATAGGTAGAAAATCAACGCTATAGTATGTGTGTAAAGTGGGGATCTTGCGTGGTTGTATTCTTTTGCCACCTCCACTGTAGTTAAACTTGTGTCCTGTATAGCACTCCAAGCAATCATACTGTAACCCGAAGTTACTTTTTTGGATATTCAAATAATTGTAGTTCAATATTAAGTACAGGCAACAGCCATTTTCATAGATGTAAAATATTCACTTCTATTATATGCTAAGGTGTTTTTAGACCAGCTGAGCATAGCTGTGTTACTAACGTGTGTGAGTGAATTACGTTTTCACAAAAAATTAATGTTGTTAAATAATTGATAGTGCATTATAAATTAGTATAATTAACATATAATAATCTTCTTTAATTCAAAACTATTGATTTATTTTACTCCAAAATATCATATCAATAACGAAAAGTTCACAACCCGTGATTTAAAATTTTTTTCTTACTCTCAATTGACATTTCAAATAATTAAACTGAACTCACAAATAGATGGTGCATCTTGACATTATATTTTAATTATATTTGAAGATTGTAAAAGTGATAGTATCGAAATTTGTGAACAATAGCATGGCGGGACAGACAATTAATGATAGGTTGCTCGCAGCCAGACACAGCATTGCAGGCCAGGGTCTTGCAAAAGCTGTTTGTAAAGCTACTACGGAAGAAATGATAGGTCCAAAGAAGAAGCATTTAGATTGTAAGTCCCGTATAATTACAATAATCACATACAATATGAGATGATTTGAATACTTAAATCAACCCATAAGTTACTGAAACTAGTTCCTGTATGTTACGCTATGTAATGGGAAAGTTTGACGTAATTTGAATTATTTTATTATTTTATTTCTACAAGAGATAAAACTAAATAAACCAATTTTTAATTTTATTCAGTTACAAATGTTTTTAAAGGCTTCATTTTTGATGCTTTATGTTCAGAAAAAACGAGTTTACTTTTAAATCAATCATTCTTGTTCAATTTAATGATTTTTTAAGATTGTCATTGGTTATTGATTATTATAATGTACTTTAACATTTGAGTACTCGAATTAATAGAGTGTATTAGTTTATTATTTGCAAAGATAATTGTAATATTAAATTTGAGAGGCACTTATATTTTTTACTACCGGAAAAAATGGCATGAATGACATCTTGAAGATAGTTCGGCTTTAAATTTTTATTATAGTATTTAAGATTTTTAGTATAAGTACTTAATTATCTAATCTAAAAAACGTGATATACATCACCAATAACACCTGTCACCTGTATTCATCACATAGTATTCTGTTGTGAATCTATCATGTTAATGAAACATTTACTTTATCAATGTAATCATTCAAGATAATTTTTGCAGTTCATAACAGTTGAAATTATTTGAAAAATTCTTCATATCTGAGAATCAATCGATTTAATACGTATTTGACATTTAAAATGTCAACTTTGAGTGTTCATTTTCAAATATATCAATAAACATCCACATTATTTAAGAAGCCCTCAACATGTTGGATATCGTAGTACTATTGATTTTTTTGCGCTTGATTCAACCATCTCTTGCGCAACTCTTAATTTTATCTGATATTAGGAATTTAATTGATGTCTACATGCTTGATGTAATTTTAATATTTGATTTCTAATCTAATAGATCAAATAACAGAAATATATTAATTTTATAATTCAAAATTTATATGTTATTCAAATTTTTCTTCTGACGTAATCAATGAAAATACTTTATTTCAGTCACGTTTAGAATATCTATTTATTTTTAATCTTAAATCCACCAACAATTGCAATGTTTGTGGTAATCATAATCGCGTGTAGATTTTTTTTTCTATTTTTGAATCCTAGTGAAACATTCTTTCTAATCATTGCGATAACATAATTTGAAAACTATTCACAATGTTGAGTTATGATATTATAAAAAAGATAAAACTCATAAGTTGTAGCTATTGTTTCAAATGTTGAATTTTTTATATTTAATCTTAATTACATCTTATTATTAAAATTATTATATGATTTATATTATATTTATATTTATGCTCATTCATATTTCTTGCAAGCAAAAATAATTAATCTAGAATATTTTTCAATTTATTGTATTGTTAAGTTAAATTTGTACTTTAATGTTAACATCTGCGCTTATAATCAAGTTGTTTCTGCTATTTGTGCAAAATAAAATTATCTATTAATTATTATTAACTCATAATCATACTACTAAATTATTTAATATTTGTTGTGTTAAGTAATAGTGATATTATTGAAAATTTTATTAAGAAAGTGATGAGAATAGCAATGATAATATTCCAAATAAGAAAATGAATATACTAACACATATCATTAATGATGTAATAATAGTCAAACTTCGGTTTTATACCTTTCTATTAGTCATTGTATTCTCTCAGGCTCTCCTCCTTAAAGGGAAGAGAAAGAATGGCATTTGATGACGATTGTTAGAAGGGTTTTTAAAATGTACTTCATATGGTAGTTGTTCTTTATGGGGTAACCATAATAAAAGATAAAAGTCATTCTCTATAAAGTCCTCTTGTTTCTTTTGGAGTACAAATAAAAAATAAGCAAATAAGAAAAGATGATTCAAATAGTAAATAGATTCAATTGTTAATTTTTATTTTTTTTTATTTTTTTGGAATTGTCAAAAAATAGCTGTATTTATTTTTAAAACATTAATAATAAACTTGTATATAAACTCAAAAAAAAGCTTGTATTATTAATAGTTTTTTTATTGAAATAAATATATCTTTTAACTATTCCAAACTTTTCATGATTAAAAAAAAAAGGGTTCAATAAAATGATTTCCTTTATTAATATTAATTCTAGATTTTTAGATGATCAATATTCTTCTAACACATTTGTGCATGTGCATTATAAATAATCTTTTTTTTATTTGTTACAGATCTGATTCACTGTACGAATGAACCAAATGTATCCATACCTCAATTGGCCAATCTTTTGGTTGAACGTTCTCAAAATGCAAATTGGACGGTGGTTTTCAAAGCACTCATTACAGTACATCATTTGCTCTGTTATGGAAACGAGGTAAATTACGATGTTTTAATCAAATTAATTATTCATTAAGTCTTGAAAAATTATTAAATAGAAATTTTTTATTTTTCAATTCAACATTATTGCTAATATGTAATAAATACGATTGTCTCAATCTATTTGAGTTGATGCGATAAATCAAGATTGCATTGAATTTAGCAGATATATTCAATCCGTGTTAAAAGGGGCGTTTTTTGCTGATAAGGGTCGGATAAAATAGTCTTATCTGCATTGAACCAAATAGGATAAATCAAACTAAACCTGAACTTATTTTTTTTTGGTGAGTTGGGAAGAATATTGAATGATTGATTCTCTTACCCTTTTAAAATAGACCTTTATTGTTTGTAAATAAATAAATATTCAAAATATTGTTTCTAACAAAAAAAGTATTGCTGATGTATGTTAAGTCTTTAATATTTAAAAAATCATCCAATTACTTTGAAAAATCTACTTTATTTAGAAATTTTCAGCTTATATACATTTTTTTCTAATATTTTAATGTATAAGCTACCCTATATTTATATTCCTAGGGTTATATTTTAATTTTAATGATTTATATACGATAGATATAATCTTGTAAAATAAAAAGAGGTTCGAACCGCGATTTGTCCATATTTTGAGTCACATCCGTTTTAATAATAGAAATCTTTACATTATAAGAAAGATAATATTATAATTTATCTAATATTCATTTATCATATTTATTTTACAGAGGTTTACACAGTATCTTGCATCGAGCAATAGCACTTTCCAGCTTAGTAATTTTTTGGATAAAAGTGGAGTTCAAGGTACGACAGTAATGATGTTTTATTAAAATATATTTCTTTTCCAATCAAACTAGAATAGCTCAAATAAACAGCATTTTATCATAAATAATATTTCATATTTTCATGGCATAAATAACTATTAATTTTCATAATTATTAAAAATAATTTCATTTTGAATATTCTAGCTTTTTCTCATTGAGAATAATTGTTATTTTTTCTTATGTTCTCGATTTTTTACTACTTTCTAACATTTTCAAAAAGGTCTAAGAATGCTTTTTTCATATTATTATTCTACTTTCCAAACGCTGAACTGGATGATCTTACTTTTGACTTTTAACAGCTGGGGCTCGTGTTGGTAAGTGTATATCTGTATTACATGGTCGTTGATTGTTTAATCAATTATTGTTACATGATTTTTATTACTCAGCATGAATATAATTAACATATAGAAGAAATTTTAGTTAATTATAAAAAACTATGTTAATCGAAAACCAAATTCTACTGTTTCACCTTTATCGTTCAGTAAATGATATTGATAAATAGTAATTCAATAAAAGTCATTGATTAATAAACAATTATATAGTTATTTTATTCATGCTAAAAATTTCATACATGTTCTAATAAATTCACTTTAACTACATTAAAACTCATTAGTATATAACACTGATTAAATTTGTACATCCAGGAAGTTGTAAACTTTTTGCATTATTTTTTTCTTTAAAACTTTGTGTAGAAAATACTAAATTAAAAAATGTCTTTTTACTTAACAAACAAATGTTGTTAATTTTAATATTTTGAAAATATTCTGCATTGTCATAATTAAAAAACTTTTACTAAAATATCACTAGACAAGGAAAAATAACTATTGTTGTCTTAACAAAAGTTGTGATATAAAAATGAATATTTTTAGAATTAAAAAATAAAAAATTGTTTCTGTCGAAAGCTCTTTAAGACTTTAAAAGTAATCTCATTGGGTTTAGGCTATTATTGTTGCTTACTACTTAGATGGTAGTAAAAATTCTAATACGTAGCAACTTAACAAGCTAGTTTAACTTTAGATAAATTCAAGTATAAAGTGTTCGATATTTGATTCCTATAATTTGCTAAAAATGATAATTATGTAGTATTGTTTAAAATTTTTAAAAAGTGACATAATTGAAATGATAACAATTACTCTTAACTTTTATACTAATTGAAATTTTTCTTTCCTACAGGATATGATATGTCACCGTTCATTCGACGATACGCTAAATATCTTAATGAAAAAGCAATGTCATACCGCAGTGTGGCATTTGATTTCTGTAAAGTGAAGAGAGGGTTCGTATCAAATGTAATTTATAACTTTTTTTTCGAAGGGAGAAATAATGCTTATAAACTTATTTCATTACGAAATGATAAATTAACAGGATGAAAAATAGATTCTAAATGTTTAGTGCAGAGGGTTTTTACGTTGATAGATGTTTTCTATATTCTATATCAATATTTTTATATATCTATAAGTAGATAAGAAATTACAAAGAAAATCTGGATTTGACGTAATAAAAAACTCAAGCAAGAAAAAATATCTGAAATATTTAAATATTTATCTTGATCAATTATTCGTTGGTATGTGTAGTAAAAAGGATATCGCTACTCCAAATGATAGAATGATTGCTCCAAAAATATTCAAATATTAATAAAATGTTGGTATTTTGTTTTGAAATTTCTTCTAGCTCTCATGAGAATTTTTAGAAATTTTTTTCACTAGTTTAATATTAAAATTTTTCTCTTATTTTTTAAAGAATTCAATTTTTATTCTTGTCTAGTAAACATTTATGTACCGTCTGTTTCTGACAAAATTATTTTAGATAGAAACTTTTATTGCTACATTTGCTATATTTTTATAGTGAAGACGATCACAATTTCATTTTATTTATAATCACATAAGATAGTATTTATGGGCAACCTTGTAATATATTTTTATCAATTTCAGGAAAGAAGACAGTACCTTACGCACCATGAATGCAGAGAAATTGTTAAAAACGCTTCCTGCTTTGCAAACTCAACTTGACGCTCTTTTGGAATTTGACTGTACCGCAAATGATCTTACCAATGGAGTAATAAGCATGGCTTTTATGCTTTTATTTCGAGATTTAATACGTCTTTTTGCTGGTTATAATGATGGAATTATTAACTTGCTAGGTAAGTTGCTCATAAATTTAAATCATCTTACTTTTTTATTGTTCATTAAAACTAAAGCAATATTTAATTAATTAATTCTTTACAGAAAAATATTTTGACATGAATAAAAAACAATGTCGAGATGCACTAGATTTGTATAAAAAATTTTTAATACGAATGGATCGAGTAGCAGAATTTTTGAAAGTTGCAGAGGTAAAAAATATTCTAAAGTATACAATTTTTTTTTAAAAAGATTTAATAAAAGTAAAAAAAAAAATTATATTGTTTATGTAGAATGTTGGAATTGATAAAGGAGATATTCCTGATCTGACCAAAGCTCCAAGCAGTCTTCTTGATGCTTTAGAACAACATTTAGCATCATTGGAAGGAAAAAAGACATCGACTGTAAATACGCCAGTTCAATCAGCAAGGTATGATTATTGTTTTAACTTTCAAAAAATTTTTATCCATTTATTTGTTTTTATTAAGTCACAGAAAGAATTATCATGTCTAGATCGTCATAACATTATAAATGATCATATATATTATTGTGATATTTAATTATAATCAACTCGAGCTATTTTTGAACATTCAACATATAAACAAATTTCAGTACTATTAATAAATGTACTCTGAGTATCAAAATTTTCAAAGCAATATTTCATCATTACTTCAACGTCATACTTTAAAGATGCTTATTTATCAATCGACAAAGATCTAGTAGTCAAGTTCAAATATAAGTCATAATATCACATGATCCGAAATTTTATAATATCTACTAAAAATTCATTTATGGCTTTAGCTTCTCTTAGATGAAACGCTTTTGAATAACTTAAATGATCACAAAAATCAAAATAGTATATTGATCTTATATATATATATAAATCATTTTATTAATTGTCTTCGTATAAATTATAATAGCATTGATTTAGTTTATTATATTACCACTTCTTCCATTTACTATTCGTAACATGCTTTTATTACTTTTTTATGCACTTCAAAATGGAATTGATGTCTGTAACATTCTATCTTTCTCCATTACACTCCATGAATAACAATCTCATCTGAGAAGCAATAGAACAAATGTAAAATCAGGGGTTTCTGCACTATCCTCTACTAGTACAGCTTTCGGGACGGCAGCTAACAATAATCGTCTTGATAATACGGGCAATGGACATATCGATGAAGCTTTGAGACAACAAGCTCTCGCTGAAGAAGAAGCAGCTATGAATCAATACAAGGTATCAAAAAATAATTTTATCTTTTGTTTTCCTACATAATTGTATCTACTTTCAGTTATCATATAATTTTCTTTTACATATAAATTTTATTATCAATTTTAGGCTAAAGTTCAGTCACCGTCTGGAGGGCCAGGTACAAATCCATTTCTTAGTTCCCCAACTGGAAGTGGAAGTATGGACTTATTTGCTCCACCATCGACAGATAGTCAGGTAAAAATTACATACAATTTAATATCACAACATGTAATTTATTTTGAATCTTAAATTGGATAATTATGTTACAGACTCAAAAATCATCTGATGATTTATTACAACTTAGTGGAAATCCATTTGCTGACATGTTTGGAGCACCCCAACCGGCTGCTGTTCAACCTCCTGCTACCTCAAATGTTTGGATCACTAATGGCAATGGTATGTTGATTAATTTAATTAAGCCTTTGATAATTGTCTCGAAAGTGATTACTTGCAAAGGTGAGATGGATCCCTATATAAACGCCCTTAAAGAACGGATGGAAATAGCTTTCTAGGCAATTACTAAGTCTTTTAATTTAATCTGATATAAGTAGCATGTTAATTACTTTACGTGAAAATTTATACTTTCATCTTTTTGTTTAAGGTCTTGTGGCTCCGCTGACTTCAGCAAACAACTTCGTTACAGATAATAATTTTTCATCAGCATTTGAAAATCAAGATCAACAAACAAGTAAGTATATAAATATATAATAAGATAGTTATACGTCATAGGATTTATATCATTAAATATTCTACAAATAAATATAACAAAGGTTGTTTTGTGAAGCATTTCGATTTATCTATATCAGTATTTTTAACTAACACCTGAAAACTATAGTTAATTGTTATTATTGATTGGTTCAAATCATACATATCTATATATTTTTCTTACCTAAATATAATGAAAAAGAAATATTTGTTTGTAACGAGGGAAATTCTAAAAAAAATACAACCTATAAAAGGTTTACTATTTACGGAATTGAAAAATCAATAAAACACCGTTAATAAATAAACAAGAATTTTTATTATTTACATTTTATTCATAGTTTTCACTTATCAATCATATTTGACTTTGAATTAAATTAGAAAATTCACAGAACAATTCTTCATTGCTAGATTTATAATTAATCTTCATATTTGAAATGTTTATATAATAATTCTAATATTCTAACAAAGTGATCTTAATTGGTTAGTTCAAAAATATACTTGTGATTTTCAATTAATTAGAATTTGTTGAAAAATTATATCATGTTGGTATTTTAATAAATTATGTTTCACTTCGAATGATATTAATCGAAAACACGAGTGTATTATTAAAAAAGTTATATTTATAATTTTATTTTGAACTAACTTTTAAAAGACATTATATATATCTATGATAATTTTTTGTACAAGCTGCTTCTCAAGGAATAGCAGGATCGATTCCTAATCCTTTCATTGAAGATTTTTCGGTTTCATCATCTCAAGCAGAGAGTGGCACAGCCTATGGTACATTTGAACAAAATAATGGGGCGATAATAACCGGTAACGCGGCTCAACAACCTAATGACTTGTTGAGTTCAAGTAGTCAAGTAGATTATTTTCGGAGCGATACGACGATGTTGACAACCCTTGAAGATATTGACAGAAATTTAGTATCTGGTCAGACAAATGTCGTTTCAGATAAACGACAAAGTATTGACAATGCTTTCAGCAAATCTACCGCCACACCACCACCTAGACCTCCACCACCTTCAGCAAACATGAATGATACATTGGGTACAATTTTACCTACTACTGAAAGCACACCTCCAACTAAGCCTTCTGCTACAAGTGCATTCGACGATTTGAATAATAGTATTCGGATGGCTTTAGGAGGGTCGCCATCTCGTTCAGTTCCATCAACACAACAGTCTTCTTTTAATCAATCAACTCAGCAAGTTCCTATACAACAAGGTTTTACGAAATCTGAAGTGAATTTAGGACCACAAATAGGTCTCAATCAATCACAAATGAGTACAAGTATTGGTCTCGATTACGCTCCTCAATCTCAAGTTCCTTTGGGATATGGTTCTCCAGCCAAACAACCTCTAGCAGGTGATAGGATATGAATGAAAAACCGAAAAAGATGTGTCACTGTTAAATTTTACTCAATATATCTATTGGATAATTGAGGTTTATTTCCAATTTAGATTAGATCGAGAATATTGTTTTTATTATTAGTATAAATAATACTTAAATACTATCAGTGCCATATCTTTTTTGATTGATTTGCATGGGTTTTGCTGTAGTTTTACGTATTTATCATTTTGAAAACAAAACTATGTATATATATACCTTTATGTGTATATATATATATTCATATTGCCAAATTTAATTAATATCCCAAACTGAAGATTTTTACTTCTAAATTCAAGACATTTTTAAGACGTCTAAGATGAAAAAAAAATTTGATCTATAGATATTACAGCATATTAATTATTTTATTCTAAACTCTTCTGACTCGGAGAGAGAGTGGTACCCATTATGAGACTACATTATCTTTGATATTAAAGTGATTGATATTACTTGATAATTATTTTCAATCAAACACTTTCTACATCAACTGTCAGGTCTAAGAAGCAAGTACTATTTTCTAAGAATATTAAACGCAATCTACAATTTGAATTTTTCAATACGATTGTGGTGTGGTGGCCAACTATTAGCCATATCATCTTGTCAGAAGGCCTTCGAAAATAAAATATTATAATCGAAAGCTAACTACCCATCACAGTGGGAAATTTGACCTACCATTTTCAATACAACAGATGGAAAGAGATAGCATCAAGATATAATAACGAAGAAATGCTTATTTGAAATTTATTCAATTATGTTTGGATCCTACTTCCGGCGTTTTGGTTTTTCCAAGAAAAACGATATGATCTACAGATGGATGAGAAATGATTACTATCATTACATTAACTTCTTTCAAGGAATCCAATTCAGCTGTAATTTACAATTTTAGAACTAAGAATTCGGTTTGGATTGAAGCTTTACCATAACATAACTAACATGGATGATAATTATCAAGCTCCAGATCTTTAATGGTATCCAAGACAGAACCAAAGTCTATTTCTAAATTATTACCAGATGTGCAAAACCAGAAGACTTGTGTTGCATTTCTTTTAGCATCGACCATCATATGAGGGGAAGGAGATAAAAAGTTGTTAATCACATAAGTGGAAAACAAGATTTCATCTTCATTCATTGCCACTTCAGACCATTAATAAAACCAGTTTCAACCAACATCAATATTTCTACAATTAAAAATCTTTATTATAAGGTCTGGACAATCCAACTTGCCTATGGTTTAATTTCTTCATTTACTGTATCTACTTTTCCGATCCTATGTATCATAATAGCGAATCAAATCTTTTCGTGATATATGCTTTCATAGACCAATTGATACCTTTTCGTAAGTCAAAGAGCACAGAATATACCAAACCTTTCAGAGTTAATTAGCTTTAAGAAATAAAAATATACAAAATGAATTAAATTGTAAAAAAAAATTTTTTTAAATTATATTTTGTAGTATGTTGTGTTGTATTTTTTTGCGCGTAGAAATTATAAAACTTATGTGATAAAGTTGATAGAACAGATACACTTCAGGAACATAATATGATGATAATAAAAATATCATCAATAATAATTAAATATAAAAATTAGTTACAAATTATATTAAGAATTAATATTCGTATAATAATTGTTGATTCTTATCTTATTAATTCGATTTTTTAATTAATTATAAAATTAAAAGCTAGCTTCTTTATGGACTACAATACATAAAATATTATATGAAGCTATCTCTGTTTTATCACTTGTAATTACCTAACATCTAGTACGTTATTTTGATTAAATTTTAACCGTACTTATTTGTTTTAACGTAAGCAATTATAAGCGTGTAAAAATAATTGATCTTATAGAAAGTAATTGTTATTATTAAATCTTTTCAGAATAGTATGCTATATATATTAATCTGATTAGATAAATATCGGTACAAATTAATATAATTATACATATATATTTCAGCTACTGGACAGTCAACTACATCTTCAACTGATAAAGTACTCACAGGAGATTTAGATAGTAGTTTAGCAAGTCTTGCCCAAAACCTCAGCATCAACAAAAGTTCACAGCAGCAAGTGAAGTAAGTAAATTATGAAATATTGGATCTATATATACAAGATGTGATAAGAACTCTTACCATGAATCTTGAAAATGTTAGCATGGAAACATAGTTAACTTCATCACTCTATCTAGCAATTTAGGTTGATACTAATGAAAAGGAAATTGTTATAATTGGCCAGTATCACTACGTGTCTTTTAAGTCAGGATATATAACTATGCCCTATTTAGAAATATAGAACTTCCCGATATTGATTAGAAATTAAGATAAGAAATAGCCTTGATTATTAGACTTGATGAACTTCTTTTTTGCTAAAAATGAAGAAATATGCTAGATTTTATTACATATAACGTAATGACGATGATTGATTTTTAATTTTTTGTTATTTACAAACTTGTAGGAACATTCAATGGAATTCACCAAAAAATCTATCAAGGCCGAACATGAGTGGTTCTACAGGATGGACACCACAACCAATGGCAGCAACCACTGGTGTGGGATATAGACCCATGGTAAGACATCAGGAATTGAAAGACAACATAAATATTAATCAAAGTAGTTTTACCAATGTGACCGATTCTAGTTGATATTAATATTGAGCACTCATTTATAAAGTATATTTCATAAGCAATTAGCTAAAAAGCATATTTTTTTGTGCAATTTTATGGAAACAATGAAGGATCACTCTTTTATAAACATAGAAAACCATCATTTTGATAGTAATAAAATTACAGTCATGCTGATTTTAATTTCAAAATGAGTTCAATGTAATTTTATTTCAAACTTTTGCATGCATTGCATTTGGCATGATCCTGAATGTTTCAGGGCCATGGGATGACTCAAGTTCCTGTAACTACAATGTTCGGGTATCCTACTCAAACTGCACCAATGGTAAGTATATGGAATTTGAGTTTTAAAGAATTTTTATCCCATTGTAATTACGTAACTTTTGAAATTAAAAAACAATCCTTAATAAGAAACAGTAAGGATTAAAAAAAAACTTGTGGACAATTTTATATTCCGCCTAGCTGTTGGGAACATTAAATGCATGATTTTTATATATATTAGAATATTTAAATATTTTTTATATCTTAGTAATTATAAGTGAAATGTAAAAGGGAATTTTACAACTAATTTCAACTAATTTTGTATGCTTTTGCATGTAAATAATTGGATATTTCAAGTTAAATGGTGTACAATGGATTTTTTTTAATGCTGGCTTTTTTCAAATTTAAACTTTGAATTTTTGACAAACATATCTATCTATAATAATTTTTTTTTGCTGTTTATAAAATTTTTTTAACTTCATTGATTAACTATTTTAATTTCAATAATTTCATCAGCAGATCTTTTTTTTTGTCATTTTAAATTTATTTCTTATTGGTTTAGATTTTCATAATTATCCTATTTGTTTTGTGTGAAACCAATGAGAATTTTATTTTTCTTGATTTTTGAATTATCTAAAATTCCTCAATTGAAATTCTGTCAATTTAAACATGAATTAGTAATTTTGAAGTATAAAACCTACGACTAAAAAAATCATAATTACTATTGATAGATTGGACTCCAATTGACCATAATTGCTATTTTGATAAACGACTAATTGATTAACATTTGTTTTGTTTTCATTTTCAGGGAATGCCCAATATTCCAGTAGCAATTCCTGGATTACAAAACATAAGACCAGTGATAGGTGGAATGTCTGCAACTCCAATAGTTAGTTCCAACGTAATGGTTACCTCTGGTGCTCCACCAATTTTAAGTGGGCCAGCGATAAATTCAAATATCAACCAATCTCAATCTCAACCCACAGATGGATCACAAACTATACAACTTGATCCATTCGGTGCTTTGTAAACAGCACATTTCTATACAATTTATGTAGAAATATAAAAAAATTAGAAAAGAGACGTAGACATAATCTATAAGTGTTGATGTTATAATTATCTATACATGAACCGATTCATCTTCGTAGAGCATTCAAATTTAATTTGGATAGGATCAAATTATTCTTGTAAATATTGTATGTCATTTTTTTAATTTAGTTTCTTATTAAGTTAGTCGTTATCGTGCAATTACAGTGAATTTGAAAATTAAAATTTAAAAAAAAAAGCCATATATACACTGAAAATATTTTCTTAAGTTTTATATATTTTATGTTACAAAAAACCTAAAACTGAAGTTTACAATAATGTTAATTTCTTTTTTAGGTTTTATGTATGTTTTTACATAATACATGACTTTTTTATTCACATTCATTTAGGAATTTTTTTTATTACAAAAATTTCCATTGTTCACTCATTTTATCGAATAAATAAAAGCAAAAAAAAAAAATTAATTGTGAACTAGATGTATAGAAAGTCGGCCTGTGCTTAGAGTCATCTAATAAAAGTGTATAAAGAGTTTTGTTGAATCTGTAATTCATCATATATAAATAAATTTTAATTATCATTATTTCAAAATATATTTAAAAAAATAAATTATGGTTTATTATATGTTGGTAATTTAAATAAGATCTTATTGCAATTTATTTCGTCTATAAAAAATACATTCAGCAAATATTTTTCTCATAAATACTGACTATTTTCATATATAATGAATGGTTAATTGTTCCATTACCGATTTATGTTTCACCAGTTTCATTTCACAATTCATTCCATAGTTAATATTATTTTAAATCATGTGTGACTATGAATATTGTATTTTCTGTTTTTGATAGGATCTTATGTATTCATAGAATAAACTATAAACTAAAGTGCGTTAAAAATTGAAATATATTGCAATTATCATTGGTATGAATAAGAAGTATCGACTTCCAAAGTTTCCTTATCATGTGTAACGACATATAATGATGTAAATCACAATAAAATACTCAATGTAGAAATATGATTTTTACTAGGATTGATGAAAAATCTATTTTTTCAACATAACAAACGTAGTGTTGAATATTCAATGTTATAAACAGATTTTGCGATAGCAGAGATATACTGTTTATAGATATTAAAAAAAAAACTATACTTGGTAGATATTAAAGCCCTAGTAAAAATTGTAATTAAAATTGATAGTTTGTAATAACAAATTATCCAGATTTGAACAAAATCTGCGCAGCATGTCAACAGATTTTATTAATAGTTAATATATTATATTAAAATTTATTGAATTAAAAGCGCTTTTTAAAATAAAGCTGTAAGGGTTTGTAAACTCTTAGTTATCAGTATTTGTCGAATACTGTCAATTTATTTAGGTTTTTTTTAAAAAATCCGTTATAAATTAATAAACAATGTCAAAGCATAATATTAATTTTTGTGAAATTGAAATAAAATTCCTATACCTTCTCACATATAATTGTTTAAATCTTTACAAATTAATTAAAGATTTCTTATAAATATTTCTATTCCTCCTTCACCTGGTGTATTTAAATACAGTCTATTTCTAAAGTATTTTAATATTGATTTAGCAAAAAAAATTTTTTCATAAGTTTAAATATCGATTTTCAGTTTTCTTTATCTATTTTTCTATAATTCATTCACTGAAATAGAATTTTCTAAAAATTAATTTAATAATTTTATTTAACACTTTGAAAATAACCTTGAAAGAAATCGATCTATTATAATTAAATACTTACATATTTCATTACGTTTCTTTGAAGCTTAACTTGCTTAAAAAGTTACTTTCTGGGAGATTAACTTGTTCAATACTTTATCCTTGGAGCAGCTTATCAGGACTTTCTCCAGTGGTGGGATCACATTGAGAAAATCGACGCTCTCTTGAACGCCCGGTTTCTACTGCCATCGCTGACAATCAAGACCAGCTTCAGTTACTCATTCATCCAGTTACTTAGAGAAGAACGAGGCTCAACCACAGACACTCCCTGCATCTTCTTTATAACTTTTAGATTCCTTAAATAAACTGACCTTCTAAATTCTTATCAATAAACTTGAAATATTATTTTCTTCGTAGTATGTCTGATGTAGTGTATCATACTTACAATTATTTATATCCACGTGATTTATACAAGTTTAAAAAATTAATTACATTAGTAACGATTTTGATAATAATTGCAGGTTACATAATAAAAATGTTGAATTTTTTTTTTTTAATAATAGAGCCTAAAAACTGAGCATAGTGTGTGAGTAAAAATATATTTTGAAAATTGTATTCTTTTATCATATCGAATACAGGCCGTAAACAAAAATGAGGGAGATGGAGGAGAAAAAAGTATGGTAACGATTAAACAGCGCTTGCGCAGTTAATTCTTGTGCTGTTAGGTTTCTCTAGGGTGAAGTACACAAGGGTGTCAGAATATTTTAGAAATAATGAAGTGTACTTTTTATCAATCAATTCACATATGATTATTTACGTACGTATATGGACATATACAAATATACCAACGTGAACGTTTATATATAAGAATGAATATATGTATACATGTATACACATACATTTGTGTGTAAATACATGTCTATCTATTTGAATGATTTCCGTGTGTTTAATAAAGTGCTCAATATTCATCTTTAAAATAAATTGTGTAAATGTCTAATATAATTACTCAAAATGTTTTTCAGTGTTGTTTATCATGAATACATATCATATGACCATTAATGGAAAACCTGTGCATTTAATCAGTGTAAGTTTTGGCGAATTAAATTTTATCGTTCATTTAAAGCTCTGAGTTTAAGATAACAGCATTCAAATAAATGATAATGAAATAAATAATCAATAAAATATTATTGTCATTTGTATTTTATTGCATTTAATGAGGTGTTACAGTTTTTATAATAATAAAAAATTTAATAATTTTTATTCATATTTACAAATAAAAAATATAATAAAATAGCTGAAAATCAATAATGACAATACTTAGTATACGACAGCATTCCGTTGATTTTGAAGAAGATGATTATTTTTTATTAAACATTTTATTATATTAACTTCAACAAACTGATGAGAGTACAGAAATTAAAAATTGAGAAATATTTATGAAAAAAAATTCCAAGTTCTGTAATATACAAAAACATTTGAATAGTGATGATTGTTCCAGATATTCGAAATACATTAAAGGGTAATTTATGTAATTGTTACTTGTTGATACTTAGAGTAAAACTCCAAAATAATTATCATTCATAGCTTGTTTTCAATAAATATAAGTTTAATGATTCAGTTAATTGGGTTTAGCTATCAAGATACTATTCTAATTATGGTTTCAAGTTTTTTTTTTAAATTCAAGCTATTAATTAAAACATAAAAACATCAAATCAGTTATTTTATATTCTACCATCAATGTTAAAATTTTTATACAATCAGGAAGTTTCAAAGAAATGTGATGGCGTAGGTTACTTGATGATGTTGGCTTTCGTCTTAATTGTTAAGACAAGTTCAAATGTCATCCCAGAGAAATAACCATAACGTAATGTAAATTATATTTATTTTAAAAGAGTGCAACGAGAAATACATTGAGATAAGTGAAAATAGCTAAAAATAGTAAGTTAAACTCTCAATCATGCTTCGATAAGACGATCCTCTGTGGTTCTGTCAATATTTTTAAGGTGTGTTTAGCAGTATCTCAATTTGATCAGAATATCCAGAATTTAAGTCGTATTCTACTTTGTTCTTTAATAATCTTCTTGATGATTTCAAGAAAGACTGACATCATTATTTGTATAAATGATTCAATTGATGTGGTTTCATGACGCTGTCTTTTTTCAGGTCAATTACTAGTTAAATAGAAGAAAAAATGTTGCGAAAACAAACAGTATCTGTTGGAGACATCAATGAAATTGCCGAGTTATTGGACAAACAACGGGTAAGATTAGTATCAATCAAATGATGATTAAATTAAGTTTCAAAAAAGGCTTTCCTAAATCCTTTATTTCCATAATAGCTTGTGGAGAGTATAATTAATGAATGTAATTTTATCGCAGAATGTATTACGGGAACTTGACCAAAAGAAACCACAGCTCGATGAATTGGTTCACACTGCAGAAAATTTACGGGCTGATAATAATCGGCAACAATTGCACGGTAAAGGTAAGAATAAAACTTTAAATTAGACTTTTTAAGACAAATTATTTTTATCTTTATACATTTTTTCCAATATTTAATTAAATATTATTATATCACAGTGACAAAATTAAGGGAACATTGGAATGAAACAAATTCAAAAGTGATGCATCGCAAAGCACAATTAGATGCGATGTTAATTGATAGTCAAAAATATGAAGCAAAACGAACTGAAATAGAAATGTGGATCGATCGGATGGACTTACGAATCACAAAAATGCGTCCTATTGGGCACACTGCAGATGTATTGGAGAATCAATTAAAAGAACAAAAGGTAAATTTAAATATCTTCTTTAAAGCATCTCTTCTCATTCAAATATATTCAGTCGTTTGATTAATTAACAAGACGACAGTATTTTAATCATTGTTATGTTACAGTGTCTCCAAGCAGAAATTCTCCAATATGACCGTCAAATAGAAGCATTTAATCAATTCTCTCAAAAGCTAATCTCTTTATATCAACAAGATGATACTACTCGAATTAAAAAAATGACTGATATAATAAATCAACAGTACACTAATTTAACTGAAGGGTAACAGAATAATTTTTAAATACATATTTATTAAGTTCGTCGAAGTCTGCAAATTATTCAATAAAATTAATATTTTCAACAGCATTAACAATAGAGGAAAACTACTTCATTCAGCAATTAATTCTCTACACAATTTCGATCGATCTCTAGATAAATTTTTAGCATGGTTAAGTGAAGCTGAATCTTCGATGGAGCAACTCGAAACTGAAACTGATCGTTTGGGAGGGCGTAGAGATGAAAATGTTCTCAATAGACCACAATATATCTTTAAAGTATGCTATTTATTTTTTTTAGTGAAATTATTCCATCAAAATATCCTTCATTACAAGCATTACATATGCCTATCGTAAAAATCATTCCGTGCAAAGTTCATTCAACTTTGTGTTATCGATCATTGAGCAAAAAAAATAAATATATTTAATATCTTAAATTTTTATTTTTATGAAATTTAAATGGGATGTTTAATAATCCAGTTACATAGTTATCTTGTTATCTTTTTCACTTGCTTTCTTCCGATCTTTGAAGATGAATATGAGTATCTGATTGATCTAAGTACCTTCAAATCACAGTTTATCATCTTATCTCAAGAACAGCATCATTAAAATCTTATTAAACTGCCAAGAAATCGTTAAGAATCTGTTATGATAATAATCTATTTTGGTCTTATGAATTTATATCATCAATTATCTAAGATTTATAATCATTTTCACTTATCCATTTCATTTTTTATTGCTTTTTCCTTCATTTAGCTAAGTAATAATAATTATATGATATTTACAATAATTTATTTGATTTTTATTTATTAAAGGATCTTCAATTAGAAATAGATAATCAACGTGACATATATACTTCATTAAATACCACGGGTCGTCAGATATTAAACTCATTTACTTGTCAAGAAGATGCAATCATGTTACAACGACGTTTAGATGAAATGAATCAAAGATGGCTTCATTTGAAGACTACAAGTATGGCTATAAGGTAAGAATTCCATTATTTTATCACAGTATCAGTGTCATCTTAAAATTTTATTTTATAATTACGGAGAAATATTAAAATCCGTGATTAGTAACATATCGTTGTCAATACATGCACTTGAAGTGATACAATAACTATGATAACTCATTACTTCAATTTGTAGAAATCGTTTAGAAAATAATTCTGAACATTGGAATTCATTATTATCATCATTACGTGAATTAACGGAATGGGTGATTCGAAAAGACATAGAATTAACTAGCTCAGGACCGATTCAAGGGGATATAGTTTCGTTGCAAAAAATGCAGGCAAGTATTGTATTCTTTCAGTTGAGGATTTCATATTCAAAGTTTATTCTAACTAAATAATTCTGTATAGGATGATTATAAAGGTTTTCGAAGACAATTAGAAGATAAGCAGCCAATAATTGAAAATAGTTTATTAAACAGTGGACAGTATATTAAAAACGAATTGTCTCTTGCGGATTCTCAAGACCATGATGGTAAGTTGTTTTTTTTTTAATTGCAAAATGTTGTTGATCAGATATCAAATGTGAGAGCAAATAAAATACATAATAAATAAAAAAATATTTTATCTTATTATAGTGTGAGATAATAAATATTCTGAGTTCATAAACTTTCTTGGTATTATAGGACAACAACTAGATGATTCTAAAAACTATCGAAGTATTGGGAAAACAACGAGAAAATTAATGCAAAATATTCAATTTGAAATAAAGAATCTGACGGAGCATTGGAATAAGCTGATGAATCATAGTGAAGAATGGAAGAAACAAATTGACGATGCAATCAACGTAAGTTTTGAATCATTAAAATTTCTCTTCTGTTATTTTTTCAACAGTATGTCTTTAAATAGGTTTATTTTTATTTTTATTATTTTCATGATTTATTTATATCAATTATTTTTGAGTAAAATTTGATCCTTATTCGTTTATTATAACCGATGATACGTTTATGGTTTCATGTGGTTACATACAGCTTTACATTTATATACCCGACTAGAAATATTCACGGGCAATGCCTTAGAATAGATCAGAACCTGTTTAGACTACAGCAAAATAATATTCCAAAAAATAACTGATGTTATTTCAATATAATAGCACAGAGAAAATTCTTTTAATGCAAAAATGTTACATCATTAAACTAAAATCTCACTTTCGTTCTTTGAATGTGATTATTTTTTTCACCATGTTGCATTCTTTTTGTTCATGTTTAATTTATAGAGATGCATACATTGTGATGTTTTTGTTTTATTTTTGAGATTATTACATTTCAGTTGTCACATGCAACTGAACTCTTTATCTCTAGAATAAACTCTATTAACAATGTGAATGATCGATAGCAAATAATTTTTTATTCAAACAATGAAAATAAATATTTTACTATGGCTAAATGTTTCAACCAAATTATCAATTAATTTATTGAATACTTAGCATTAAAGGGATTTTTTATAAATGATTGATAAATTTATAGTTTCCGACATAGAATAGACTTTTTCAAAGTCCTACAGAGACATAAGTGTTGACTGAGTTGAAAGTACTCATGTGAGACTTTTTCACACGTGTCTGTTTCTGACAAGTAAAAACTCTCGATCAGTATGGCGACGGTTATCAAGGAGAATACATGACTCATTTATACAGATTCGCTGAAAAGTATACTCGGCCGACATAATACACAAAGAATCACTGTTTGTAGTATGAAAAATTTCAAACATGTAAAAACAATTACAACAGTCCTAAGTGGTTTTTACAAACTGTATTTTAGTTATTGTTAATTTATTTCAAGAATTGAAACATAAATTAGTAATTGTTGATTAAGTGATCATTGAAAAAATGTTGCACCAACATATTGGCACACAGAGTGTAGATTCAAAAAATAACGATGGTTCAATTAATGATAAAGATGAAATACCTTCAGAATCTAATTTATTTGTAGCAGAAGATCTCTATCATCAAGTTATATCATCATTAGAACAAGAAGAGGTATATATGTAAAAAAATATAACACTTCTTTAATTATTTTTGGTGAAATTATATGTCAAATATTGTAGATATAAGTAATGCAATATATGATTTTTAATGAATAGGTAACTTACATTTAATCATAATATTTATACTTTCCAGTGAGTTTTTGCAAAAGCACTGAGTGTAACAATATATTTATTTAATTGAATTGAAAAATATTAAAGAGATAATTTTTATAAAGAATTGATAAATTTTGCTCGTGCTGTGAATACATATTCCCATATAAGTATTCAATAATCTCATGATGCAGGGACGTTTTACAGAGACTGTACATAGATATGCGGCTTTATATTATTATTATACTCAACGGTTTAGAAATTTAAGGGATTATGAGCGTGACTTCTTTATGTTCATTAAAGGGATATGAATGTTATCAGAATTATTAGAAAAAATTAACTAAATTATTTATTTACTTCAGCACTTGTATTCTCTATCGTATAGTTAATCCAATGCGAAGAAGTGAAAATAAAAATGTTGGAAAAATATTATCAATTGCATTATAAAAATTTTTTTTACAGAATACAGGATAAAAATTTAATTGAAAGATTCTAATAGAAAATATATCTAAAAATAATCCAAGCTTTTTATCAATAAATCAGAAAAAAACCAGCTTTCAATCTGCATTTGATATCATCTTTATCGAATAGAGTTTTTTTTGCTGATATTGAGCAAAAAAATAAAAACTATCTTTTTTCGGTATATATACTATGGTTATTTCTGATGTATCAAAAATATCCAATGTTCCTGTTGAATGAACTTCATCACTTTGTAGCTAAAATTTATAGCTTTTATCCTATCCAAATTTAATTGAACCAATTATTCTCAATTTAAAAAAAATTCTTTCTTCAGCAATACTGTTATTATCAAACCAGATAACTTTCACATGTTTCATCATTTATAATTATATTTATGTTGACATGGTACTTTTATATTGTTTCAGAAAATATGCAATTTTGAAAAATTATTAGAAGATCTTCTATCACAAATTTCTGCATTAGAAATGATCCAATGTAATTGGACAAGTCCTTCAAACTCATCGGAAGCAAGTGATATGTCAAAACAACTGCAACAATTCGGCAACAAAATGAGTCTTATTCAACAAAATATTGATGAAATCAATGATCAAGCAAATTTATTTACTACAATCAATATCTTAGTATCACATGGATTGCTAATGAAGCTGGAGGATGCTAATAAAAGGTCTGTACAATAAAGATTTCTCTTATACCAATTTGATTTTCGTCAAACAATCTCATTTGGATGTGGTTAAATTAATTAATCTCATTATACTCTACATGAATTAGTTTTAACGACGTACAATTAAGTTATTCTAAAATTAAATTAAGTTTTATTATAACGGCAAGTGTTTTTGTCAGTAAATTTATATACTTCATCAATAAGAAATTTAATTAAATGAATTGTAACTATTTTTTTAAATAGTAAATTTTAATTACAATAATAGAAATTATAATTTATTTATCTCATTCTCAACAAATAAATAAAGTGATTAATTATTTTAGATGGAAAATATTACAATCAGCTGTCGATGATCGATATAAAACATTGAACAAATTCGGAAAGGATGAAAATATTCTTCACAATCAAGACTTTCTAGCTAGTAGTGTTGAGCCGCCTTGGGAAAGAGCCACTACATCTACTAAAGTGCCTTACTACATCAAGTAAGAGAATTGAATTATTTCACATCTAAAAAGTAATTCCACAATAAAAATTTAATTAATTTTTTTCTTTATTAGTCACCAATTGGAAACAACACATTGGGATCATCCAAAGATGATTGAATTAATGTCATCCCTATCCAATCTTAATGAAGTTCGATTTTCTGCTTATAGAACAGCAATAAAACTTCGCACCGTACAAAAACGATTATATCGTAAGTTATTATGAAATAAATTTCATCTTTTCAACTGATATTAAATCTTTTTTATTTTATAGTTGATGCATTGAATCTCTCCACTACTCTTGAACATTTCGATTCTCATGGATTACGTGCACAAAATGATAAGCTTATTGATATACCTGATATGATCACTGTTCTAACATCCTTATATATGGCTATTGCAAGTGATCATGCTAGTCAGATTCCAATTCCATTGTGCATAGACTTAGCGGTTAATTGGCTTTTAAACGTTTACGATAGTCAGAGAACTGGTCAAATTCGTGTGCTTTCATTTAAAGTCGGTTTGGTGTTGCTTTGTAAGGGACATTTAGAAGAAAAATACAGATGTAAGTTGAGTCAATGTTTTATTATACTTGGCAAATCTTTCAAACTCCGATTGATATAAAACACTATCAATTTATTTTTCTAGATCTTTTCCGTTTAATTGCTGATCCAAATAGACTTGTTGATCAACGAAAATTGGGATTGTTATTGCACGACTGTATCCAAGTTCCACGGCAGCTTGGCGAAGTAGCAGCGTTTGGTGGATCAAATATCGAGCCAAGTGTACGAAGTTGTTTTGAAAAGGCAGGAAAAACTAGAAATGAAATTGAAGCTAGCCATTTTTTGAGTTGGTTACAGCAAGAACCACAAAGCATGGTATGGTTACCAGTTCTTCATAGATTAGCAGCGGCAGAAGAAGCAAAACATCAGGCAAAATGTAATATTTGTAAAGAATATCCAATCATTGGTTTCCGGTAAGTTGATATTGATCATAAAATATATATTCAAAGTTAAGTATAAAATTGAATAATTCTAATCATCATTTTCAGGTATCGTTGTTTGAAATGTTTTAATTTTGACATGTGTCAAAATTGCTTCTTCTCAGGTAAAAAAGCGAAAAATCATAAATTGACGCATCCAATGCAGGAGTACTGTACAGCGGTAATTAATTCAAGATTATATAAATAAATATATTTATAAAATTCTAACAAACAGATTGTATTAATAATTATTATTAATTTTATGTTTATTCTAGACAACATCTGGTGAAGATGTACGAGACTTTACCAGAGCTTTACGAAATAAATTTAAATCCAAGCGGTACTTCAAAAAACATCCTCGTGTTGGATACTTACCAGTACAAACAGTTTTGGAGGGTGATGCACTAGAAAGTCCAACTCCATCACCCCAACATAGTTCTCTCAGTCATGACATGCATTCACGTTTAGAAATGTATGCTTCAAGATTAGCTGAAGTAGAATTGTCAAGAACAAAAAGTAATTCTACACCTGACAGTGATGATGAACATCAGTTGATAGCACATTTCTGTCAAAGCCTTAATGGAAATGAAAATCATCTACCAAGAAGTCCAGTACAAGTGATGGCTGCTATTGACGCAGAACAAAGAGAGGAGCTTGAATCGATGATTAGAGAATTGGAAGATGAAAATTCTGCTCTTCAAGCAGAATACGAAAGGCTAAAATCTAAACAAACACCAGGATCAACTCCAGAAGATAATCATGGTGTACGTCATCCAGAATGTGATATGATCGCCGAAGCAAATTTATTGAGACAGCACAAAGGACGTTTAGAAGCAAGAATGCAGATCCTAGAAGATCACAATCGTCAATTAGAATCTCAACTACATCGACTTCGACAGCTTTTGGAAGAGGTAATAATACTGAATATTTGACTTCTACCTTTTTTAAACATATTACATTTGAATGGCATTAAATTAAATTCTTTATTGAGTAGCTATTTAATATAAATATTTTTCTCCAGCCACATATCCAGTCACCATCGAAAATGGGAACTTTACAGACCCGAAGTGTAACTGCTTCTCAGCTAGCTACTGATTCACCATCAAAAGTGAATGGAAATTATTATGAATTACCAGGTATAGTTTATCATATGTTATTTAGATAAAAAATCATCATTGAGTATCATTTATTCAATTTTACGACTACGATTACAGAATTTATACAATCATTGCAACTCTTGATATTGTGTATATATTGATAGATTTTTTATATGTATTTTATTTATCAGTTTTAACGGTAATTCAATTTTTTATGAAACTCTATCTCTTTATATGTCTATTGATGCACTTAGAACTGGTTTTATTTGTAAATGAAGTATAATCTTACTTGGTTGTCATTTTATAAAATTTTTTAATATAGCTTTATGGATTTGAAATCGATATAAAACGATTAATAACTAATCCATAATTCAGGAGAAGAAGAAATCTCTGATAACAGCAGAATAAGCAGCTTGGAGAGACCTCCACCTCCTCCACCACGTTCTCATATTGTTCCAAATATGGGCGATCTTCTACAGATGACAGGTTAGTATGCGAATTCTTTTAAAAAACACATCATTTTTACCTTTTTTCATAGAAAATCATTTCATTTCTATTAAAATGGAAATCCGCATAAAATATATTTGAATATTAATAAGCAATATGTTGTCAGCTTACTAAAATAAGAAACTAAAGTTCAAGCATAATACCCAAAAAATAAATTAATTATCTCGACAAAGGCGGTGAATAATTGTGCATACTACTTTTATTTATTTTTTTCACTTAATTGTTAATTTATTACGATTATTTCCAATCAACACTAGATTTCTTTGATTTTTTCTTGAATTTTCAAATTTTATAAATACATTTTTAATGATTAAAAAATACTAATGTATTTGATCATTTTTTGTTAAATTAATTGTATAAAATTATTCACATTTGTAATTTAATGATGAAAGTTCTTCATGTCAGCTCATAATTATTTCTTAAAATAGAACAGTCATTAGCAAATGTAAATATAATTATATTACATTCACCCTTTATGAAGTTTGAAGTATAGAAGCCTTTTCTGCACACTTGACCAACTTTTTTTCAATTTAAGAGCAATTGTTACAACAGTCTCATATTGTGCATAAATAAGTGTGTACCACACTGGGTATTACGCTCACACGGAAATGCTTAAAATATTCAAAGTGAGAAATAAAATAATTGAGTAATCTTGGTTTAGTTTAAACTAAAAAATGTTAAATATAAATGTATCTATTGCTAGTTGTAAAATCAATAACATTTCATATTTTTGCAAACAAAGAATGGATGTAACAGGTAAAATGCAATACTTATTACATGATTTAAATTATAATACAGTTTAATATAAAAAATTTTATACACATAAACAGATAAACTGGGCGAAAAAATTTTTTTAAAAACTGTAAGTTAAAACTCGAGTATAATTTTTTATTAATATTTCTATTTTTCCAATACCAAGAATGAAAAATAATTTTTAATCTTATTTCATATAAAATTTTTTTGGTATTTCGGTATTATCAGCATGATTAGTAAGTTTTAATAATTATTAACTATAATTTTGTTTATCAATTTTCTTAAACTAAACCAAATTAGATTTGATGTTATAACTATACAATTTTGAAAAATGATTATATTTTTTGTGTATTTTAAATTATTAAATATATAGAGACATAAAGACCAATTACGCATCTCAAGACATTCACTAGGACGCTACATAAATTCATATAAAATACCTATCTCATCTAAATGTATCAAACTATATTTTAAAAATAATTTATACATTTTCAGGAAAACTGGAAAATGCTATGGAAACACTTGTTTCAGCGATAACTGGAACCAATTTAAGCGATTATTAAATTTTTACATATATTCATCTGCATATCCGAAAAATAGAAATCACGAAATCATCACATATCTATTACTAACGCATATTTCTACTTAATAATATTTTAAGAAATGACGAGTTAACTGATTTATGTGGACTGTTTTAATATAAATATATCTAAGTTATTTACAATTAGTCATTACACATAAGATATATATGAAAAATAACGTATGTTAACAATAGTATTCAATGGAATCAATATATTGATGGCACAAAAATTTTCATTGATATATTCCGAAGGGAAATGTTTGACAAATGATTTGATTTTATTACAACAATAATATCAATTTTTATTTATTTGTAAATTGTATACGATTGTGATATAAAAATATTTATATGATTAGATAATAATTTGTTACTAACATATCGTAGAATTATAATAATCCTGCATAAATTTCAAAGAATGTTATGTAAGAAAGTTTTATCCTAAGTTTCAGTGAATTTTAAATACTTATATGTACGATAAATACAGAATTGTACACTTAGTTACAAAAAATAAACCCTTCGATGTTTAAAATGTGAATGAACGATTAATGATTTAAATACCTTTTATGTTATGAGAAAAACTTAGTTATAAAAAAACATAAGCCATCTGACTCGTACAAGTAATGTCAATCAAAGAAATTTCAACGACTACGTACTGCTTCTAAAAGACAGACACTTAAGATTCTTCAATGAATAGGCCTATCTCGTAATTAGTTATCTTATTTCGCTCCTTATAAGCATACTGATGAATCACTTTCTTTAACTTCAAAAAAATAATTTGCTTACATCACGCCGTAATATTTACAATTAATTATTAGACGTGGATTGATTATTTAGTTCATCACGGTAATTTGCATTTGTATTAATATTTCTTTCATCTTGTAAGAAATGAATGAAAGAAAAATTGTTCTGATTCGTTGGTAGACTTTTAAAAAAAATTGGTGAATTAACAGCATGATTTTGTACATTTATTGTCAAATTTTCCTGTTGTTGCCCTATCGGTTTTTTAATAACTACTCGATTTTTCTGTTTAACATCAGTTTTTATAGGTGTATATAAATATGTATAATTAGATATAGAAAACATTTTCTGTCTATCTTCTAATTTAGTTACATTCAATTTTGCATTATTAGTCGTTCTTGACGTTGATGCATTTTTTTCAAAAATACTTTCGATCCATGGATCAAAGTTCAATTCATTTAGTCGTTTATCGTTACACGATATTCGTTTATTTTTAAATATATCAGGAGTTAAAAAAGCAAAAGGCTGTATTGTATCGATATTATCCAGTGTTTGACACAAAATTTGAGCCAAAGTTATTCGTCGAATTCGATCGAGTTGAAGTGGAGAAAAGCTATTTTGGAAAGCACCATTTTCGTACCAGAATCTATCTCCTTTCCGTAGGTTTGAAAATTGTTGAGCGATAATACAAGCAAAAGTAGGACCAACAAGACCACCTGGAACAGGCTTTTCAGCAAGACCTGCAGGAAACAGGTCAATATCTTCTACATCACTATAAATTTTTCGAAATTTTTTGGCGGTTTCAAAAGAAGTACTTCGTTCTAAATCTTGCCACGTTAGAATTGAAGATAAACCACATGGCTTTCGCCAGTATACATAAGGAGGTAAACCATGATCTCTTCCTCTCTGAATGTTTATTGACGCAAGATCCATACCAAATGGAAAACTTGGTAGTTGAAAGAGATGATTCGTAAGTTCTGAAGTTATGAATTCATCTCTTCTTTGAGATGGTTGATTTACTAGTCCTAAAAGTAACCGATCAACTGATCCCGCACTATGCAAGTCAACTCTATTGTTAAATTCTTGGTGAATTGTGACATCTGCAAAAATAAATAAAAGTTATGAATCAATGATAATTCGTTTAAAGTGCTTCAAAAAATAACTTAATAATCAGTCAAAGTATAGATGGGTAGTTGAAATGATAAACATACTCTGAAAAATAATTTTATGTTGATTATCATATCTAAAGAATCCACGTTGAACTAATGAATGCCCAAAACGATAAGCTGCTGTTGCAAATGAATTTGCAATCGTTGGATTAATTGTTGGATCGTAACCATCATAATATCCTGTTCGCTTTAATTCTAGTCCAAAAATTTTCATGATCGTTGATCCTAAAAAATAAAATTTAAAAATCAACGATTATCGAAGAAAAAAAAATGAATCAAAATCTTCAAGTTATGAAGTTATAATTAGCTGGTTACAACTTAAATATTGAGTCAAAAATTATTAATACTAACCCAGAACAATTGGTAAAAATTCATGATAAGTGATATGTTGAATAACTGCACCAACAATTTTACGGCTTTCTTGAAAAAGTCTTTCATCATTCCAATGAGGATTTAGTGCAGTTAATTCCATTGCAATTTTATTATGTAACCTCAAGAAAATTACATGAAGTGATGTCAGGGCTGGCTGTTCACTTAGCCTAGCATCACCAGCTTTGAAGCAATTAGTTGATAAAGAACCTCTTCGACAAAGATCATTCAATTCTCCTCTTGGGAGAATTGGCTTTTGAGATGCTAGCTTTCCATATTGTAAGAGCCCTGAAATTGATAGAATATTAGAAAAAATAAATATGAATATATTATTCATGAATCATCAAGTTTGAAAATAAAAATGTCTAATAATTTTACCGTTACGAAATAATCTGAGACTATCACTATGATGAATATTGCTACTATATATCATAGAACCATCTAAAAAGCTTGATACTTGAGAAAGCTGCTCTCTAGGACCAAAACCACAATCATTCCTTGGAGCAGGACCACTTCGCACAAATTCGAGACAACGTACTCTAAATTGTTTAAAAAATTCATCATCGGGACTTACTGGAATAGGCAAGCAATCTGGATGCTAAAATATACGTTACATAGACTGATAATAATATTTTTGCATTTTTATACTAAATTGAAATTCATTATTCAGATACGTACCATTAATTCAGGACGTTGAAATTCGGTACCAGAATTACGACAACATTGTGGAAACGATCCTTGAAATCCTTTACTTTGAGCAGTAGCTATAATTCATATAAAATTTTCAACACAATAATACCATTATCTCTTTCGTTAATTAATTTATATTTATACATACCTATCATATCATGATCAATAAATTGTCCCCATTGCATTAGCATGTGTGTTAGTGACGCCAGAGGTATATCTTTATCTCGATGAATTGTTGAAGATACATCTCGAGGACTTGGTAGAGGATTATTATGTTTTGATTTCCGTATAGTTTCTATACCGTCGTCATAAAAAGGATCCAGGAATCTATAAAAAAACAAATATGATATTTACAATATTTGAAAATTTCTCATCAACATAACTTTTGAAGACAAGTTTATATCATTAGATAGCAATTTATTTAAAAAAATGTTTGATTTATTTTTTAGAATGGACTATTTTATCAGTCAACTATATATCTGATCAGTAAGTGTGAATGAATTTGGTTCTATGAATGTCATATAAAGAGGGACAATCAACACCTTTGCATTGTTGACATAGCAGAACCCCACCAAGGATGTTTAAAATTATTACAGCTGCCGTCTGCTGTACGATATTTCAAACTTGTTGTTGAACATTGAATATGGTCAGACCTAGGACAACGTTCCCGAAGACTTACTCGTCGATTTGTTTGGGATACATTAACATCTTCTTTGAAAATATTTAACAATATGTCTTTTGAAACATGTTTGTACCTAAAAAAATAACAAGCAGGGACTTTGAATAGAATATTTTTATAACAGAAAATGTTATTCAAAAATCCATGACCTATAATAATTTATTCAGAAATATGTAATTGATTGCCTACTTATTACTAAGCTCCTTGGATCCTTTTAAAGCAGCATAAGCTATTTTAGATAAATTTTTTGCTTCATCTGACTGGTGGTTAAAAGCAGCAACATATTGAGCTGGATGATCTGGTTCCAATGTCAAACCTACAATAGAATGAAGAACAGAGACAAATGGTTATATTTGCTTCCTTCAGAATAGAAAGATCTTACAAACAATAAAACTTGATACAAAAAAATTTGATATTAGAATAAAACATTTGAGTTAATCAATTTTTTTTAAACTGATATTGATAGAATATGTAATAATAAACATATCATAAATCTTAATTTACCTAATTCATATAATTTACGTTCTTCAACTTCAAACAACTCGTACATGGCACGTAGTCCAAAATTTGTAGCTTCATCAAATTCATTGAAGTCTATGTTATCTTGCGCATGTATATTGTTCGTAATATTATTATTCGTAAATTCCACTTGACTTTTTTTGTGGATTACATGATTCTGGTCATTAACGTATGTACTATAGGTGGTGTTTTCTAAATTGATCAATGCTTTTTGAACATTCAACTCCACAAATGATACTGATACTGATATCAACGGAAAAAATAATCTGTTAAAAAAAAGGAATTAGAGTAGACTTTATACAAAGAAGAGTTTCATCTTTTAATTCTTAAAAAAAACATATAAAATATAATGCTAATTATGTATATTTTTAATTAACAAAATTAACAAATAACTTTATATTTTGAAGGAAATTTCATTAGCAATTTTCTCATCATTGTATGAATATTTTTACTTTCTATTAAAATACTCATGTTATTAGAGCTCAGTACAAAATCATTATTCATTTCTCAGTTCAATTAGAGTACGATCTATTTTAAATGGCAATCAATAAAATTTCGGCGCAATAATAAAATGTGCGAAAAAAATAAAACATCGTGCAGAACTTACAATATTGTGATGTACATGTCTTCACTGTTTTCAACGAATATATTTAAAATTCTTGCCTTTTTTATGGTTCAATCAAACATGCGAGAACGCGACTTGTTTGATCAAAATACTTTGAGACGCTATAATACTTAGTATTTTTCATTTTTTTTCTGCTGTTACCGTTGGTTCACTAATGACGTAGAACGGCTAGCCTTTAGGTCAATGCTCCCAAACCGATTGATAGTATTTTAAAAAAATCTAGATAATTTACTATAAAATAATGTTTCTTTCCTTTATATAAAATTTATCCTTTCCTTTTTTCAAAGCAAACATAGATAAAATACACAACATTAAGCTTCTAAAAACGAGTAATAATTACAAGAATAATCTCATCATTGGCTATAAGAAACAAGTCTATAAATCATAAACGTTTATATTGAATATAAGTTGAAATTAAATTACGTATTTTTTGTTTAATATAATTTACATAAAAAATAGGAATAAATATTTGTAATGAAATACATTTCATTCACTTGTTTAAATATTATTTTTCTAAATTTTATTTATTTTAGTTGATAATATTTTTAATAAAAAATCAAGTTAAGCTCTGGTTTATATTGTTGACAAAAATAGAATGCGATTTCTTTAGAAATAATTAGATTTGTAAACATTTTTTTTATAATTTACTTGAAATAAATTTTTCAAAGTATTATTAATTTTAATATACAATAATAGATCAACGAATTAAATATAACGATAATCATTATTATTTAACTATTCACTTAAAGTAATTTGAATCTTCTATCTATTCGATACACTACTTATCATACACATTTAGGTAATTATTTAAAAATTCCACTCAATCGTTTTAAAAAGTTTTAATTGTCTGACCATTTTCCTAAAAATTATTATTGGAAGCCATAATATTATTGCAATCAAATTTTCTACCTACATTCATAACTAATTAATACTTTGTATTAAATAAATAATTATCAGATCAAAATGAGAAAACATTAAATTTTACATACATTTTAAAAATAATTTCCTATAAAGTAGTCCAGATAGTAAAACTTCTTAAAACTATGTTTGGAATAACTTACAATTGTACCGTTGGTGTTATATTGTTTGGTTCTCAAGTAGACTTTAAAATATTACAATATTTTTTATCATTTATATAACAATATGTTTTAATTTTACTCATAATATATTTTTAAAAATAAGCTCCATTTAATTTTAAAAGCTTAAATTAATTACATAATATAAAATTGAGATCTACGAAGAAATTAGTTATAAATAGTAAAATTATTTTTAACTAAAGCATACGTTTGACATAATTTTTATGCAAAATAATATCAAATTTTTCGTAAATCATTAAATGAATTTATGAATATAAGTTAATTCTATAAATTTATCGAAAATATTTGTTATTACTATAAAAATACTGATCAATACAGCAATAAAATAAATTAATTTTGTTAAATGAATTATTTTTCAATAATTATTCATATAAAACATTTATATATATATTTGTATATATATATATACTATTGACTTAGAGAATTATTATGTTACAATAGTAATTGCTTGATTCTTCAATGAAAACAGTTTAAACAACATGGAATTCAGAACCTCGTTCTATTATTCTAATGTATTCTACTATCCTCAGTCGCTTACATACAGTCTGGTTATATTTGCAATCTCAGAAAATATTTAAAACGAATTTATTACGAAACAAATACATGAGCATTAAACTTGGCATTCACTTAATGTGCCAGTGCTTCTTTCAACTAAGCTATGAATTGAATTAAAGAATTTGGTTTCCCATTTGAGTATTGGTGTTAAAGATTACAAACTGGATTATTATTAATTTTTTTTCCTTTATGTCTTATTTCGATTTTTTTTTGTTTTTCTTTATTTAACGTTATAAATATGCTGTATGTTTACTGCAATGTTCTAGAGCTGCTAAAACATCTTGTTTAAGTCGAACATACAGCCGTCCTTTTTTCCACGGATTTTGAAGTTGGAGCGGTTTGAAATCATCCCTCAAACAACGTTCTCTTGCACCAATTACAGCAACTAAACAGAAGTTTGAAAATTCTTCAGAAGAATAAATCGGTCCATTTTGACCTTTTAACACTACAGCCATATTAAGTTGTTTTACAACTAAATCAACAACTTCCCGAGCGGTTGTTTTAGGTGTTACATGAAGTTTTAAACTTGTACCTACTGCTAAACCAGTATCATAAGCTGCATATACCTGGAAAATTCAATAAAATTTTATATGAATCACCACATATAAAACACTAATATTACTTGTGTGTTAAAAAAATATAAACAGTGATATTTTTTAGAGTATAAAAAATTCTTTAAACATCTTTATTCATTCTTTCAATAAATATAATAGAGTAAATCTTATCATAAAATAATAAATCTATTCAATTTTTATTGTTATAAAATATATCCCACCTGTAGAATTCCAGGAGTATTACCGGATGATGATTGATTCTTAGATTTATCAGAATTGTCGAGGAATGTATTCGAAATTGACGCAATAGTAGCAGTAGGATTTGGCAATTTGACTTTAAAATTATTACAACTGTTAGTTTTGGCAGTCGTACTCAAATAAGAAACTGTATTATAATGTTCACTAGTTGTTGGATTAATAATGATATCACTGCTATTGTTGCCAATACAGAGTAAACTCGTTGTATTCGTTAAAGATGTTGTTGAAATATTCATGAACGGATCATTACATAAACCTGAATTGATGTCAGATTGACACATATTTACTGGGATCATCATTGACTGTTTCATTACTGATAACTGATTTTTAGGTGCACTGTCAGATTTTTTATGTTGATTGGAGGTATAAGTTTCTTCAGATGACGATGATGTCAAATGATCAGATCGTAATTTAGTGGACATTTTATACACATATTCACGATTACTTGATTGCAGAGGTTCTAGATTTGGTGCACTCGAAAAATCATTTCCATTTTTTTTACAATCAATTAAGATATTTCGATGAGAATTAAACGTATTGGTAGATTCTTTAACATTATTTTCGCTTACTAATTGTTGTTCACTCTTACTAAATTCAGAACTTTGGAAAATTTTTGATGCTGAATCATTTTCATTAGGACCTGGCCAACTCCCACGTCCTGAACTGGATTTAACTACCTTTGAATCTCTTATTGGTAGTTGTAATAAACTACGTTTCAGACTGTGGCTACTACTTTGTTTAATGCTTAATAAATTTCTCATAGATATGCCTGCAGCTCCTAAAGATACCTAAAATAAAAATATCGATTTAGTTGTACTTTTTAATTTAACTAATTGGTTTCGAGAAAAAAATAAATAATAACGGAAAAATATGTAAAATGGAAATGAATACTTACACAGTGCGAAGATCCTCTGTCTCTAGCAAAAGTAATCACATCAATTAACCAGCGAGCACCTTTCCAAATATTATTTACATCTGATTGAAGATTTTGAAGTTTTGTTAATTTTTCTTTTGTAGTGATAACTTCTGAAGAACTGAAAGCTTCTCTATAATTTTGTTGGGCTTGAGCAATTTCTAGCTCTAAAATACAACTTAGTTTTGAATAACAATTAACGACATCTTTTTGATATGCATTTAAATGCACCATTTCAAAAACTTGAATTGGAAGAGTTAAAAGATCATCTCTTTGAAGAAGAATCTCATGAGCTCCAGGTACTAAACATACAGTCTCAACAGGAGGCACAATAATAAGAAAAGAAACTTCGCTTGAAAGTTCAATAACTTCTGCATCATAAAGCCGATGAGTTTGAGAATTTTCAGGACTAATATTCATATAAAAAAAGAGACGATGAGCTGCGTTGATAAGTAATTCCATAAATGACTTAGCTTGTTGTGTCGTTTCGATTTCATTTGTTACGTTTTTCTTTTCATCTGTATTAGAGTCTTTATCAAAAAAGTTTACTGAAGTTTGAGAGCCCGTAACTTTTTTAAGAAAACTCCATTCTTCTACAGATACATGGGGATTATCACGAATTTTACAATGGGGTAAGACATTTGGTGCTTTGGACGGCACGACTACTTGAATTAAATCAACACTACTATGCATTTTTAAATAACCAAGATAAAGGCCTCTAGTTAATCCGGTATTGCTTGACTTGTGATAGGCAATTTGATCTGGAATATTTGCCATAAGAATTTCAGCTACATTACTATCATCTTGTAGGATAACTTTTTTTGTTAATTTACTATATGATATCCATCGATTATTAAGCAGTGACATTAATTTAGGAGATTTAATATAATGCACAGTTGAAATCACTAATATTCCCTGAGAATCCTTTATCGGCTTGTAATATATTTGACCAAGATCCTGGATGCTCAATGCATTCTAGAATTAAAAAAATATAATCGTTAAAATAAATTCAAAATAAAAGTATTTGAACATATTATTTGTAAAAAAATTTAAATAATTAAAATCATCAATACAATCATGGATATAATTATCTTTATACAAATAATAATGGAAATAATATCTCGAATATTTACCTGCATTTGGATAATTGCTTGAAGTAATTTTAATCTAAAGTGATTTGTTGAACAGCCTTGACTCTTTTCCATGTTGTTTCGCAGAGTTTTGACATTGTCCCATGTACATGCAATTTTCATAAGCCAATGAAAATCATTATAAATACAACTAGGATAAATCTCATCGATTTCAATTACTGGTAAAAAATCTTCATTCGTAACTAGTATTTTATCATCATGATATAAAAGACAAGATAAATAAATGCCTCGTTTTAAATGTTTTTGAAATTTGCTCGTCGTTGTAAAAAGTTGTTTAATAGTCGTTTTTTTTTTATAATTTCGACGTTGTAATGCTGGAGTATCTTGAGTATATTCTGGACGTTGAATGTCAGCAAATAACGAGTCTAATTGTTTTAATCGACCATCAAACCTGTGTGGTCGTCCATCGATGTCACGCCAACCTTAATAATAAAAAACAAGTAAAATTTCATTATAATAATTACTTCTCAGAAATATAAAAGTTTCGTTTATTAGTATTTATTAATGATATTTTAGAAGACTTACTACTTGGTGTTAAGTAAGAAGGAACTGAAGAAATAAACCTATTATATCCTTTGGAATTTCCTAAACATACTCTAAAAAAGTATTTTTGACCCTGCATAAGTCCATCAATACAATATTCTTTTTGTTTTATATCACTTATTTCTTTTTCACCACTCATTAGTGAAAAATCTTCTTTCGTACTCCATTGTACTTTCAGTTTAGTACATATAGGTTCTGATTTTTCATTTATTTGAAACCTGATGTTAACAGAGTTTACTCCAATTACATCAGCATTTACTACACACAGTGCAGTCAAAGGGCCTGTACGAAAAACCACAAAATATATGTTTATAAATTTAAAATAAACTACTGTCAAGGATGAGTTTTGATGTAAGTCAGTTGACATTAACCAGTAGTTTAAACAATGAATACGTGATAATGAAAAAGACCAGAGAACAGAAAGTTGAAAAGAAAACCAATTAAAACTTACAATGCGTTTTTTCTTGGGCACCGTATGAAAGTAGCATGTTCACAAGTGTTTTATTATTATTGAGCATAGCTATGTCTAGCGGCGAAAACCCATTGCTATTCAAACTGTAAGAAGTAAAACAACTTCAATAAGTATAATCTTTCGTGGAATGATCATACTTTCAATCTGCATAATAATACGATCATTCCCATCCAAATTAGAAAAAAAGTAGAAAATTCTACCTTTTAGTAAAATAACAAGAAAATAAAATCTTATTGGAATTTTAATTTCTTACCTATTGACATTCACATCCGTAGTTTCTAATATAATTTTTACTTCATCTAAACGACCATTTTCAATTGCTGTAAATAAAGCTGAAAATAAAAAAAATTTTATTATATACCAAAGTAATTAAATAATAAAATTAGAATCTATACATATACAAAGTTGTCTATTAGCTTTTTTAAAATCTAGAGATTTTTTTTTGATATGAAAACATCACCTATGTTCTAAATAAAGCATTACACTACGATTTTACTTGTTATTATTCATGGGGAAATCAGTTATACTTAATTTTTTTCCCCAACTATTTTTAGCTATAAAATTCTACAATATTTAAATAATAAATTATGTGTACGAAAATACTGCTAACGAAGATCGCTTAAAGCCCCATTCTTTTGCAATATATCTTATTTTTAAACTACAATAAATAAAAGATAACATATTTAAATATAGAATTAACATAAAAAAGGTAATAACATCAGTAAAATAACATTTATTTAATACATAAAAAAATAAAACTCAAAAAATACCCTGCGTTTGAGAATTTAAAGATGTTTGATTAATCAATGGATTAATAGCTCTAATCAACACGTGGTTATTTTCTTGATTTTGTTGTTGAAAATAATTTCTTCTTTTCCCAAAGCCATCCATTTTATATGTTTTTGAATCTGTCGAAAAAATAATCAAATAAAATTAGACTAAAAAGCTTAAAAGAAATAAAATATCTGTAAAAAATAAAATTAAATGCCGAAATCTAATATGAATAATTTGCTTTACCAATATATTATGTGAAAATATAGAAAAAAAAATCGTATAAACGAAAAAATTATAATGGAATTTAATGTGATTTAAGCTTAAGATTAATCCAAATAAAATTAAAGTTAAATGCCAATAAAAATTCTGAAGGAAAAACATACTAGTCGAGACATCAACGTCTTGATGATCATCAACAAGGGGTCGAGTCTTAGATGTATTAGCTTTATTTTTCTTTTGTAAAGTTACTTTCTTATTTCGAAACCATGAAACACTGAATTTATCATCTTCATTGTGTTTTTTCTTCGAATTCATATTTTGATATGCATAGCTATTGGGCACTTCTAATTTCTCATAAAGTATACTTTTTTTATCATAATCGCACACTGTTTTATTGTAATTAATTGTTACTTTGTCATGATTAATGCTACACTCTTTGTTTTCAACTTCACATTCCTCATCAAGAGTCTCATCAAACAAATAATCTGCAAGAGTTGATTCCAATGATAAATTAAGTACAAAGCTTGGATTTTCATATCCATTTTGATTTTGGTAGCTTTCGTTAATAAAATCATCAGCATATTTTGTCATTTTTTTATTTTTGTCAATTTTTTCTGATGTATTAATATTATGACTACTTGTTGTTGCACTAGTAGCACCAGAGACAGAAAGTTTAGTTGTAAAGTTGTCGATTACACTATGAATATCAGTTGTTGAGTCTGTACATTTGTCTTCTATCAGACAGCTCTTTGATGATTTTAAGGATGTTTTATTTTCAGATCCTGAATTAAATATATCTGTTTGATTTCTCATTTTTGAAATTAAAGAAGCTGGTATTCGAAAAGATTTTGTTCTTTTCAAATTAGAGGATTTTAAAGAATTAGCGATATTTCGACGACTAATCGATTGAATCTTCGAACTTTTTAACTTGGTAGATCGAATCTTCATATTTTCAAAGTATCAATCATTTCCAGTTCATGGTTAATAAAAAATAATCTCCAGCCATTACAATAAGATACACAACAACTCCAATTCACTTGAGTAATACTACGGAAGTATATAATTGTATCCACTTTGTAAATAACGAAGTATACAAATTATTCAATTATCTGAATAAACACGTCTTAATAGTGCACTGATTGCTAACAATTTTAGAAAATTTTTATAAAATATTATTATAATAATGCTAGTCACTAAATATTCTTTCTAACTATGTACATCATAACTATTTGGGCAGTCCTACGGACCACAAACTATTGGGCCGTAACTCTCTTTCCATGTGTCCTCGACCCAAACTATCAACAGCTGCGTCAAGTTCCCCCTCCCATTCTTTTTCCGTTACTACTTCTTTCCTCAACCATATTACCGGTACATTGTATGTATACAACTATACATGAAAATTATTTCATAGAAAAAATTATCATATTTAAAATTATACATTTTTTAGTAACATATTATTATCATGGGAATTTCCAGTAAATGTAGTAGATTTACTGTTAATAGTTTCCCATTATGTTCTTAATAAAAAAAAGTGAGCTACTAATCCGATTGAAAGTTGCTCGTAATTAAATTTTGTTAATAACATTATTGACACATACTTGATTAAAAAATTGTAAAATTTATAAAATTATAAAGTGTACATAATTGTAATGCAGGCATTGATCGAATTATTTTCAAAATATGTCGAGAAATATTGTTTGATTTATTTTAAATATTTTTATAAATAATTTTTATTATAAATATCCAAGTAAAAGAAACTTGTTGCTATAAATGTAAATTTTAATAGTGCTTTTTTGTTAAATAGAATAGAATTAGAACAAAGGATTTTTGGTTATGCCAAAAATACGTTCTTTAAAGTAACCATGACTGCACTATATAAAACAATGCCACAATCGAATTACGTCTAAATCTTGTTTCTTTTATTTGAGTATCAATCTCATTTAAATTATCGAAGATTAGAGTATTTGAATAATTATTTAAATTAGCTTAGACTGTAAATTTATATTCTATTTTCTACTAACTTCATCTTAACCCTATCAATATTTCAACGAGCTGAGTCAAGTGTAAATTAATTACCTTTTTTTATTTTTATCACAATCTCCAAAACTAAAGTATAAAATAATAACTCTTTTTTTTATAATCTCCATATAAAGCAATTTTTCGTTTTTCAGGGGCTCCTTGTAATAGCAAAATTGTCTGAAAAACTCATGTTGAAAAGGAGATAAATCACTGAAGCTTTCACTGGTAATACAAAAAAAGTGTACTTTTAACTGATTTTTCACGTTAAATTACCAAGACAAGAAAATTTATGAGACCCACATAAAAACTGAATAAACCTGAACAGTCGGAGACAACGACTGAAGAGTGCATTTGACTACTATACATATAACAGTTGGGCCCTTGCGGGCCACTTGCCTGTTCCTGTCAGCGAACTACCTGTAGTATTAAGTGAAATTTACCTGTATTCGTACGGTTTGTACTTTCTCGGGGCCTCACATGTAGGTAAACAAACACAACAATGTATTCCATTGTAAGTAAAATTAGTATGATTACTATTAATTAATTAATTGAGCTAATAAAATAAAAAAGATAACCTTGTTTTATCAACCAATATATTGTTTATTAGAACGAATTTTTTAGATACTTTCAACTCAGTTTTTAATTGTTGCAACATTAAATATAAATCTAAAAATCTTATCATTCAAAGTTGTAGATACATTTTTTTAAATATATATTTGTTTTGATTTCCAATACCAACATCATATTGATGAAATTTTATAAAGGATAATTACACTTAATATCTTAAAAAATTTCGAAATTGGCAAATTAAAAAAAAACTTGACATTTTAATCTTTTTAATTTTTAGTTTATCTTTTATAGCATTTTTGCTTCTGTATGTTAAATAGTTATATTTTAAAAATATTAAATAAATATAAAATTATTTAAGATAAATTCCTACCATAGATTATTTTTCATTGCTGAACTACTCATGTGTTCAGCCAAATACACACACACATATTTGTATGTATCTATATAACTTATATGTTACAGTTTAAATCGCCATATTTGTTAGAATCAAGGCTCACTCCGGTTCTGACGATTCAGACATTTATGCAATACTGCAACGTTAGTACTGTGTAATACACTACTTTTGAGCAAGGCTTCAATTTATCAAAAATAAACGTACAATAGTGAATTCATTGTTGCATCTCCACTTAGATGATGTTCTTGAGTATCATATGACCTGACTATATGACCTAAAAACAGAGCTGGCCAATAAAGTATTAGCAGATCTATTAGAAGATCCAGCTATGAAAAAATCTTCATTAAACTACATATTAATTTACTTTAGAAAAGTATTTTTTTTAATTAAAGGCACCCAGGATTTCATGTTTACAAAGATAGCATCCACAAGCATACTATAAATATTTATTGGAGTAGAGGCACCTGTTAAGTTAACTGATAACCCCACATTAAAGGAATTCATTAAATTTATTCTTAAAAAATAACTAGAGCAATTAAAAGAATTCCAATTGTTGATAATTAGTTAAGCAAAATTTAGTTATAAAATTCATTAGATAAGATATAAGCATCGTGGAACTGAAAATTTTAATTACTATGATAACAATGTTTTAAAAGCTTTCTCAAATAACTTTTCTGCTTTAGTTTGCTAATTAAAAAAAAACTTACCTTCATTACTAGCTTGGACATCTAATTCACTTTCACGTTTTTCATTGCATCGTTGAAGTTGTTTAATAGTTGCATTTTTATGGTCGGCAGCAATAGTATTGTAGTTTTTTAAACTATTGAGACTATCAATAGAAGTACTTTTTGGCATTGACAAAACTAATGAAGTTAAATTCATCAATCTAAATATTGTAGTATTATCATCATACCTATAAAAAAGATTATTGCATTTAATCCAACTGAATATAATCAATCTAGAAGATGTTTCCAAAATACTTTATTTATAATTCTAAATATCTGCTACTCCAAAACATAATAAATTCAGTTTCCAACTAATTTGTAATATTACAATCAAGTAGAACTTCATAATGATTGATGTTAGTTGTTATCAACTAATATCAAAGTTAGATTATAATACGCAAGTTCTTATTGAAGGAATAACAACAAAAAATTATACTGGTTGACATTAAAGTTAATCTCTCTTTTAAGACCAGGTGGCTAAATCATTTTGAACTCGTTATTATAGGATTATACCTAAACGAGTGAGGCTTTTACTCAATAAGGGTCTTATTTAGTGACTAACATAACAAAAGGGCAAAAGTACAAAATTCTGTCGAATATTACAAAACATCTGATCAATGTATTCAGTGTTGATTTAACATCGGACAAGAAAGATGAGTCAATTTTTTTTAAAAGGATAATTATAAGATGTATGAAATAATTTCACTCCAAAATAATAAATAGCTTAAAGCTGAAAAGTATTGCAAGTATAAAGATTTAAGTAATAACTAGAATCTAAATATTGCAAATAATTTTTTAAGAAAATTTATTAATATTATTCGAATCTAGATATCTAAAATAAAAAATATTTGAAACATTTATATGTATTAGTATGAAATAAAATATTTAATAGTACCTTTCCCACAGTAATCCATGAGACATTTTATGATTCGAATAATCGTCGGTTCTTTGGTTTAATAGTTTTATCAATTTTTTTATCAACTGGGAACCATCTGGAATATTATGTCTACTTGGTGTACTACGACTATTATTAGAACTTTTATTTTGAACAGTATTTGGACAACTATCTTCAAGGGCTCTGGATGTTTCATTACATCCTGTAACAATTAACAGTCATTGTTTATCTTCTTATTGTATAAAAAAACTACAAATCATTTATAAAATACTAGCATTGCATTTGAATTTATTGGTTTCGTTTCTTAAAACACAAAGCTATTGTACGATGAAGAGTGTAGAATACAAAGAGAACAATAGCACAGAGATTGTCCTGAAAAAAAAAGAAAATAAAACTCTCTCCACCCTATAGATAGATTGCAATGGACTGAGAATAAATATTATTCTACATATAGGGTGAAATTTTCATTAAAATGATATGATTTTTATACATTAGATGTATTTTATTTATTGATTGATATTTTTACCAATAATGTTAAAATTGTTGTCAACCTATAATTTGCAAAGATAAAAAATAGAGGAAAATAAGATAGACATGAATACAAGGTAATATTGAATGTGGCTGTTATTACATGAAAACAGCATGAATGAATTTCTGAGAAGACAATCACATAAAAAATAATGATTAGTTTATGGTTGACTGTGATGTAAATTTATGTACCATAGAAACAGTGAATCAAAGACAATAAAATGGCTCTCATTAGTTAACTATAATGTAAATTTACATTTAAAAAAAGTTAAAAAATTTCGTGTTATTTTTTATGCTCTCTCAGTGATTTTCTTTGAATGTTGTTGGCGATTTAAAGCAGATGGATGTATCTATTGAAAAAGTTTTCACGTAAAGGTAGTTATGATACAATTTTTGATATATAGATATTTCTGTCTTGATAAATTCTTGATGAAATCTACTTTCAATATGATGTAGGGTGATAGGTATATATCAGATTTGTATCGAATAGAAACAAAATCAAATTACTAGGAAAAATCTTGTATAAAAAGCAATATTACCTGATACTTCATTCGTAGATACAATCCTAGGTACTGGTGATGTATTGTTTTTAATCATAACATTAGATGGATATGTATTGCTTGTGAATGAAGATTCTGGCTGTTGATTATCATCATCTTGATGTTCAGCTATTCATAAAGTTTAATAAAAACAGTCATATAACTTTAATTAATTAATTTCGCTAAATTATTTCATGTCTTTAGCTTACGGTAACTACTGGTGGCATAGTTGACGTCAATTTGTTTTTTTAACACATTCACATTCGGTACTATAATTGCAGGTAAAGTTTGAGAACGTAGAAGAGGAGGTGGTTTATAATGGCCATCTCCATGATCAGTATTTCTCACTGGGTGACCTTTTACAGCTCTTACTGGCTGTACACATTCTTCACTAGTGAGACTAAAAACATGTAATTTTCTGAAATTTGATTTCGCCTAGCTTTATTACTTAAACAATAGCACAATTTTCTTCGTTAACCAATATTGTGTCAGATAAAAATCTAAACTGAAGGATATATTTTCAGTTTTTTTTTTCAAATGTGACCTTCTTGATTTTGTATTATATATATATAAGTAAAAATCAATCTGTTTGATAAAGACTGTGAAAAAGTGACTTCTCTGTCATTTTTTCATTCAAGAATTAAAAAAAAACACTTATTGTAGTTGTAAGTACATGTCAACCAATATTATCACTAGGACATAAAGTTATTTTTTTTTGTCTTATTTAATAAAAAAAACTTAAATTGAAAGTATTGAAAGACTTTTCTTTATTAGGATGCTTGTATTGAAAGCTCAATAAATGTCATTCGGTTAAAAACATGACAAGGCTGATGATTCAATTTACAAGAATCCACCTTCTATACGACAGAAAATAAATTTCTTCATGTTTGATACTTTTTTCCTTAGATTCCATCAAATTGAAGGTATGAAATATTTATTCTAAAAAAAAACCTTGTTTAAAAAACTAATATAAATTCTATATCGATTTAGTTATCAGCAAGTAAAAATAGTTTAATGATCAACACTAGCTGATCATCTACATCATATTATTTTTGCTGAGTCTGTAATATTTGTAAATAATATTTATATTCTGAAGTAATCCTTTCTAAAGCAATGCAATTTTATACAACTAATGATATTAATTGAGTTTTTTTAAGTCGTTGAACTTACTAAAATAAAATCAAATAAAATAAAATTGATAAGTTCTCTAGCCTTTTACTATTCAGATGTGATCATCATCGGATTAAAGTTTCTACAATTTATTTTTCGATGAATCCTTTTTAAATTCCAATTATTGGAGAATTGATGATGGGTAATTTTATCCTAACGACATTTTTGAGGGAAAGATTTTATAAAGCACCAGTGTTTGGTTAAGTTAAATCTTGCATTGAGTTAAATCTAATTTGTATACACAATAAAATTGAATTTGACGAGTAAATTTTTTTTATTATACAACAATTTATGTTGTTTGCAGAATAAATTTTACTCTGGTATATAACATAGATGGTGATTTCACGAACTAAATCAAATCAATCTATATGATTACTGTTTATCTTAGAGACTATAGTATGGAGGAATTGTAAACATCGAGGATTTTGTTTTTTTTTCCAGAAAGAGACTTTAATCAATTATAAAATGAAAGCTAATCCTGATTACTCGTGACTGATAAGTGTAATTATTAATTACAGTATCAAATAAATTTATATATTTTTATAAATTAGTAAGTAAACAAATGTATCAGAATAATATCCATGGAATTACGTAACTTTTGAAAGAAACTTTAATGAATTGTTTTTTTAATAAATATAAAATATTTACTGTGCCGATATGTGAAAGCTATGTTAATAACACTGATAGAAAATTTATAAAGAAAAAAAAAATTGTTGTAAAGTATATTTATTACGGTTTATTTACCAACAAAAAATATTTATAAAAATATGAAAAGTTAAACTTATGAAATGTCAATTAATAATAATACATTAAAAATTTTTAATTAGAAAAAATAGTTTATAACTTACTTTTTCTCCTTTTGACCTTGTTTTTTCTTTTTAAATGCTTTTTTCACTCGTAGAAGTAAAAAAGCTGCTCTGTCAATTGTTAATCCTGGTGGTGGTTTATCTTTGTTAGGCATGTTGACAGTTTATTTAAGTCTTGATTTTATTTCTAATACACTTTCATAATTAGTATATTTCCTTAAGTAATTTTTTATCCAACATTTTACTGTCTTATAAAAATGATTATGAAAATTTTATTAACAAATTATCTAAACCATCTTCTTTTTCACAAATATGTTTCAGATATTTATATAAGTTATCACCTACGATTAATTGTCAATTAGGTAAAAAAAAAACAATTTTAAAAGAGGAAAAAAAAAATATGTAATATAATCAATTATTTCACAAGAAAATGTTTGACATGTTGAAAATAGCACCGAAAAATATGATTTGAAAATATAATTCATAGAAGTAGTCAAAGCAATGATAGTAATGTATAAGTAGAACAAATAGCAAGAAGAGAGGAAGGATAACGTAATAAAAACACCCTGAGCAGATAGATGCTCCAAAGGTGCAATGTATACGTCACAATGTCTGAAATCAAATTGACACTGCGTCGACGCAGCTATCGTGATGATTGATAACAACTATATGATATAATCGTTGACTTATGTCTTAGACTTTCGTCTTTTTTACTCGACAGAAAAGTTTTTTATCTGCATGAAGAAAATACTTATCATATATTATAACCAATCGCTATTGTTACTATAATCATTGTTATAAAATGTCTCATGTTGAACTATTAAAAATCGTTGAACTTTTATTTTGATAAGACATGTTCAGTAAAATTCTCGTAATCTTAAGTTCGATGGTTTCTAGTTTTCCAACATATGTAGAAATAGTTTCCTTTTTTTCAAGATTTCTGGAAAACTACCCCTTTTATTGTTGATGTAATGTTATGGAATATATGTTTTTATTAAAAATTAAAAGTATATTCTAACAAAATCAAGAATAATTTTATTCGATAGATAAGTTTAATAATTTTTATTTTAGTCGATGTTTGTGTCCTTTGCTTTTCATATTTTAGTATTTTTAAGAAGATAAAATTCAAGTTATTCATTCAAGCATAAGATAACAATCTACAATCTTGAAAAAAACAAATTCTAATCGTTAGAAGATAATGTATTTCACAACGTATTGATTAGTACAAAAACAAATAATTAATGTTGAGGATGTAAAATAGAAAAACGAGTTCCAATACAAGCTTGTAAAATTATCTTTATTAATGTGAAACGAGCCATAAAAACATTAAATGGTTATTTACATAAGAATTAAAATTCACATCAATTATCGAAATATGATAAAAAAATAATTCATCATGTGAAAATGACTACTTCATATATTTAAAATTGTTCGAAGGTGTAAAAATTTTAGATTTAAAGTTAATTACTAATTTATAGTAATGTGATTTGATGGATACTTTACTTAATTTTCATTGGATATTATGTGCAGTTTTTATGGAGCAAGCACTGAATAGAATTTCGGCTGTAATATACAAAAATAACATGATACCAAATATCTATTAATATGTTTTTGGAATAATATATAAAGAATTTAAAAACAAAAAGTATTTTTACTTTCAAAATGAAATGAAGGTATTGAAAGTGAAATATCTAAACAGTACTTTTTGTTTTCAAATTCTTTATATACAACAATGACAATAAATAAATATAGTTTACCTCATCATGCTTTTCATCTTTACTATTTTCATCTTCGTCTCCAGAACTATCACCACCTGAACTATCTGCTAAATTACGTTGTTGTTCCGAAGTCGAAAAACTATTTATATCTATTGATGTTGCTTTTATTTTACTGGCAGCATCATAACATTGTAAACAAACTCTGACAGCTTTTCCGTTTCCTTGTCCAGGTAAGAATAATTTTTTATTACTACATGGACCACAGACTACAGCACCACATTGTCGACAATGATGCTAAAAATTGTGAATAAAAAAATATTTAAAAAGTTTGAAGAAATTTATTATTTTTTAGTTCATTAATAACTTTTTATGGAAGATAAAAAAATTTTTTGCTACTCACTCGTCGGTTTAGAACCGTAAATTGTGTTTTATTACAATGCATGCAAATAGTAGCTTCATTATCGGGAACCCAAACTGCAGCATGCACTTCTACTGGCTTTTTACCACCTAAAAAATAAATTATGAGTGTATTTATTTCTAAATAAACGATATTACTTAGACAAAAATGAATTAATTATTTACTTTTTCGCAATAAGTCTTCTATGCATTTTGTGATATGAGCCATCCATTCTTGTTTCTCTGTTGCAGTAGCAGCATAAACAGCAAATGATTTTGTTACTGTTTTTATGAGCCACCCGTTTCGATATTCTAAAAATAGTTTACACTCACTGATAAGTAATATTATCTGAAAGTCTTTTTATTTCAAGTGTTAACTGAACTTATTATCAAATTATGAAATAAATTTTTTTCATATAATTTTGTTGTTAAAATAATGAAATTTTTGAAGTACATAAATTTTCATTAATTTAAATAAAATTCACAAATAAATAAAAGATAATTCAATGATAAACTTAAAATAATTAGCATTGATTTTGAAGTAAAGCATTTTATGAAAATTCTGGCAAAAAATAAACTTACGTCCTTCATCTACTAATGATTCCAACTTGACTTCTTCTAAGGGTATAATGTGCTGTTTATTATACTGTTGTAAAAAAAAATAAACGCAAATAAATAATAAAAATAAAACTAACAAAAATTTCATATTATCTTTTACTAACCTTTTTCTTATTTATTACAATATTGCCATAAACTAATATATCGTTAAATAGAAAGAACTGCCGTGGTTTTGATTTTTTTCGACACATTTTTATCAACACTCCTTCACCCACCAAAACTCTCCCAGGAACTGCCAAAGACTAAAAACAATACAAAGTATGTTATTGATACAAAATAGATAAAAGTACTAATTATCCGCAATTACCAAATAAAAATTTTTTTCTGGAAATTAAACTTTTTTTGTAAACATTATAATTAAGAAATTTACAGTTATAATACTTCGTAAAATAAAAAATCAAACAATTAAATTTTTTGCTCCAAAATATCCTAAAAAGCTCCATAAAGCTTTCAGTATTGATATGACAGAAACAACTTGTCGTAGGTGTTTATTGTAATATACAAACATACAATACTAGGGAGTTATTTTTTTTTTAAAAACACTCAATAATAATGGAATTAACATTTTACCTGACCCGAACTACCAAAGCAGTTTTCCACCATTGCGATACGTCTTGCATTAGCTTCACTGTTTACTGTAAACGTTAAAAATAAAAATTATCATTATATTATAATTAATACATGCTACTTGAATTAATTTTTTGATGGATTATATTTTATACCAAAAACTTTCAAATCATTATGTCAACAAACCATCCTTTTAATCTTATAGTCACTTAAATATTTTCTTTAATTAATTCAAATGGAATAATTTAAGATTTAATTGAATAATACTACATTACTCATAAAACTAAGATTTATGATAATAACTATGATCCCCACATTGAAAATCTCGTATAATTAAGAAAAAAGAAAAAATATAAGTGACAACTAACCAAGTCGATCAACCATGATGTAAAATGTGTCATAGGCACAACACTCAAAATACTTTCTAAACTTAATTACTAATAATAAAAACTTTCACATCTATTTAACTCGTATCAACTATTATGTATATTTAATATACACGGACATTTTAAATCAATGTATTGAGTGAAATAAAGTACTTTTTTTCTTTTGTACTTAATTTTTGTTAAAAAATTGTCTCAACTTATTGTAAAACACTCAGCCACAAAAATGGCAGTCCATTACCAACAGAGTAAATCTGTTTATTGATAGCAATGTGTCGGCCATAGACTTGAACAAGATGGTGGTGATGTGCCTGAAAATCGTCCTCAAGATTCTCGCGCATGCGCACAGCTGAGATTTTATTATCTCACGGATGATAATAAAACGACGCAAATAGAGACAAAGAACTATGCCGCCATCTTTTGATATAATATTAAACTTCGAAGAAATCAAAATAGATTCTCCAGGTATGGTTTGTTTTCCAAATAGATGTTTCTGGTGGATTCTACACTATTCTCTTTGAAGACCTTTTAAAAACGTTATTCATTCGCAAAGTAGTTGAATCGACGAAATCAAAAAATCGTAAAAAATTCATCAAAACATTATGATTGATACATCGGATGGAAATTCAGACGATGTAAGAGTGTCATTCATTAAAATTCATTTATATCGAATTCAATTATTTAAAAATATTTCTTTTGCAGCTTAAACTCACGTCAGTGTCTTTAGATACGTCAACAAAATTAGTAAAATCAACAGCGGTTGTAAAGTACTCAACATTTCCAAACCCCGCTACTTTTGCACAACTTCAATGTAATACTAATTTAAATCTACCTCCAAGTAATTGGTTGAGTAGTTCTGCTGAAAGCTACGGTCTCCAGAATGTTTGGTGTCATAACACAGGTTTTTCCAGCTTTCGCATGGCTCATATGTTCCCTGACTGTGTTGGAGAAGTAGATGTAGTTTCTGATGCTGAAAACATCAAAAAGCTACTCAAAATGCCATATTCTCAGGGTGTTATATCGATGATAGTTCATAGAATTGAAAACACTTTATTACTAGATGATTTTGATATTCATAAATACCTTTTACGCCAGGCAGAAAGTGATTGGAAGTGGCTGAAAGATTTCATTTATGAACATGTTTTTCACAATGCAGAAGATAGAGAAAAACGACTTTATCATAAAATAAATAGTAGAAATGCACTGCAACAGAAAAACTTGGTATCGAAATTTTTATACCACTCATTAGTTCCTGCAGAAAATCAACCTCTAACAAAACAAGAAAAGCCACCTTTACCTTTAGAAGTTTCAGAACCAAAACTACCTGAGCCAACTAATGAAGAGAAATTACCAGATCCTGGATATGATCATAATTTTGCTAGAAATGTGGTTTGGACTTTTGAAAACATTCAAATGCTGATAGGTACTGATATGCCAATTTTCGGTGGCAAAACTCATCCCTGTATCAGTTTAAGATTAAGAGACATGAAGAAACCTATTAATGTCCTCACTGGAATTGATTACTGGCTTGATAATTTAATGTGTAACGTGCCCGAAGTGGTAATGTGTTACCATCTTGATGGGATAGTTCAAAAATATGAACTCATTAAAACAGAAGATCTTCCCAACATGGATGATGCCAAATTTAGTCCAAAAGTCATCAGAGATGTAGCTCAGAATATATTAAGCTTTTTAAAGAGTAATGCTACTAAAGCTGGACATACATATTGGCTATTCAAAGGTAAAGCTTTTAATATTTATTTATGATACAAATGAACAATCAATTTTTTTTACCTAATTTTTATCATTGTAGGAAAAAACGATGATGTGGTTAAGCTTTACGATCTAACGTCACTCTGTGGTGATGTATCAGACGATAAAGGACAAAATCCATTTACTGTACCAGTAGCGATGCTTTTATATCGAGTTGCAAGGAACATGAAATATTCATCTGATAATAGAGGACATCAGGGTACCATTCGAATGCTTTTAAAAAACTGTATCCATTTATTGGCTCGTGAAAAATATCCTCAAATTGTTACTTCAGCACACTTTATGTTGTCAGATTTATATATACCTGCAGATACTGATCCCGTGTCTCCAGTTTTAGTGGATCAAAATGAAGATGATCAAAACGAAGATACTCAAAGTGAATGTAGTACTAATCAAGAAAATGAAAGTTCAGAGTATTCAGAAAATGATGTAGAAGCAAGTGCTACGGTTAAGTCACTAACATTAACTTACATAAAAGATGAATCTGAGCAAGAAGTAAAATACAAACCTCCAGTTATAACTGGAAGTATTTTAGAAAGATGTCGAACTGCTTTAAGTCATGTATCTCATGGTTTGGAGTGTTTGAAATATTTCCCAAATGATTTAGATGAACAGGAACAAGAAAATGAATCAAAAAATACAGATAAATCAAAAACTATGGATAATTCAAGCAGTAAACATGTTGAAGAAACTCAGAATTCAGCAAAACCATTTGAAGCCATTCCAATGCCGTACTATTCTTTAGAAAAATCAAAAGATCAAGCTAATTTGTCCAGTCCAAATCTCAAAAAAAAAGAAAAGAAAAAAAAGAAGAAAGAAAAAACTGTGAAAGAAAATGTCTCGAAAGATATTGTTGATACTAGTCCCAAAGCTTTGATTTGCAAATCGAAAGTTGAAACTCTGCCAACATGGCAAGCTCCTAAAAGGAGCGATAATTTAAGTTGGAAAGCACATTTGAAAATTTTATTATACGAAAAAGCTTGTTTAATTTTTGGAGTATTATCTGAGTATGAATTTACTCATGAAAGATTTGGAGCTTCCTTGAGATACATAAAAAACGTTTTGAAGTGCCAGAAAATTCTTGAAATATTTTGTGGTCAACCAAATGAAAAGTTGATTAGTTATTTATTAGGAAGGGCTGGAGATATTTGTTTTAGAATAGTACAACATTGGAATAAGATTGAAAGTCACAGAGAAGCATATGAGAGCACCGATGATATTGAAGAGAAGATACTTAGCGAATTTTCAAAAGCAGAAGATATTGATATCAGTGAGTATAATTTTTTATTCACTAATACACTTTTCGTTCTGATCTCCATAGTAATATATTTATTTCATTTCAGATGTCATTGAACTCTTCCCAAAAATTTTAAATAATCTTGAACAAACACTTATAGCATCTTTCCAACTCTATGAAAAAGCATTGTCATTAAATCCTACAGAAAACGATAAAGATAATCTATTACGACGTCTCGGAAATATTCATAATGAACTTGGAGTATTTTATATGAACCAAGCAATGTCTAAGTACAGTCAATATGACTTAGATAATTTATCTGAACCACCAGAAGTTTCAAATTTATTGAAAAAATCTATGAAACATCTAGAAGATGGTATCAAAGCATTTGAAGTAGTTCATGATGAGGTTAATTTAGCTCTGTTACATTCAAACACTGGCAGGTTAATGCGTCTTTACGCTCACATGAACGCAGAAAAACAGTCTGAGGAGCAAATGTACTATAAAAAAGCTGTTTCTAGTTATCAAAAAGCTCTCCAAGTTTTAGGTACGAAGAAAACAAGTCCTTCGACATGGGATGTCGTTACTTGGGATCTTTCTACCACACTTTTTTCTATGGCTACTCTAGTGCAAGAGTATTCTAGTTCTGATAAGGTGAATAGTTTTTATACATTTTTATTTATCAATATTAAATTTTTTAAATTAAATAAAACCTAATAATTATGCTTTTTTTTTCAATGATACATGGATCAGACGGATGATGAAATGGAAAGAGAAGTTGTAGAAATTCTCCAAAAGGCATTAAAGTACTGTGATCCGGAAATTGCTGGCTCTAAAAAGCCAGTATACGAATTCCGAGCAGCTATAATTCATCATCGATTAGGGTCTCTTTATCATCGCGTTTACCGTGAAATGGATGCTGATGCTGATCCTGTAAAGCGTAAAAATAGTTTGCAATTGAGTAAACTGTATTATGAGAAAGCTGCTAATCTCTTATCAACTCTGGAACAACCTAGAGAGTATTTATCTGTTCAAATGGAGCGTGAAGCACTTTGTGAACATCAAGCATGGGGTAAATTTACTTTAAAAAAGTTTTTATTACAAATTGAAAATGAAGTACTATTACTTTGTGTGTATTAATTAATGTTTGACTATTTCAGTCTCATCAAATTATAATGCAAAAATAAAAGCCTATCAAAGTGCATTGGAATACATGTTACAATGTGAATCGATACTTAAAGAACTTATTGAAAAATTTAAAGAAATAAAGCAAGAGAAAGAAACGAGAGAAATAAATAAATCAACAGATAATACCAATAATATAACAGAAGAAAATTCATCAGATAAAGATAATATTGATGAAGAAGATAAACTAAATGAAGATGAAGAAAAACTTATTCAATTATTGGAACAGAGACTTCAAAATGTTTTGAAATCTTTAACTAAGTTATGTCTGGGCAAACACAACACTGCTAACAGTAAAAAAGAGTAAGTTATGGCAAATAATAAATACTTAAACATATTTTATTAATTATTATTATTATTTTAGGATTGAAAATATGACCAATGTCTACAAATTATGCTACAGTAAAACATTGAGACAAGATCAGAAGTCTGGAATGGATTTATTATATCATATGTATGAAGTTTTGAAAGATATTAGTCCAAGAATTCGTGATATACAAGAAGTAAATTAGTGTTTAATTATTTATTTTTAAATAATATAATTTATTCAAGATAAAATATTATAAATTTTGTTTCCGTACTGTAAATAGATCGTAAAAATTTATACTTAATTCAAAAATAGTTATGAAACATATTTCTCATAGGCTTTTTTATTGCTAGCTACTATACATTGATGGAAGTGAAAAAAAATAACCAGGCAGATTTATTTTTAACTAAACTGTATTTACAATTTTTATGATACACAATAAATAACCTTTTTTATTTACATTGAAATATTTATTAATCCCATAAATGGATATTTTTCATATAAACAAATACTTTTATGTTAATAAATATAAAATTTTCTTTCAAATAAACCCCCATATGACCACTTTTCAATAAGAATAAGGTCATTGAAAAAACAATACGTACATGGTATTAAAAAATCATTAAATTTTGCATTAAAAAAATGTTATTTATTAAAATATTTAATTTGCTATCAATTATTAAAATTATAATCACATAAATTTATGTTTATTGTTAATAATCATATGAAAATCATGTTAATAATGCATTCGCGCCTTCAAAGTAACGAAGAAAGATTTCAATGTCATAAATTCGTCGTTTTACTGTCGACTTTTGGACACAAAAATCGACACATGATATAGGATCACAGAATAGCATTGGAGGTATTCATTGTCTTCGTATCAATTCGGTTATATTCGGTTAACTCCGTAAAATACCTTCTCATTTTTATACTGCGCCTAATACTAACATCGAACGAGCTATCGAAAGAAATATATCGAACGAGTTATCGAGAGAAATATATCGATCAATATAATAATCGATAGTTGAAAAATGACGTCAATTTGGCGGGAATTTAAATACAGAGAAAACTTATGCTATATTGTACGCAGAGTAAGAGCTCTGCTACTTATTCGAGTTCGTAGCTCATCAGCTCCATTAGTTCGATGCAGTCGTTCCACTCGAAGAGTCAAGTAATGTCAAGGTACCATTATTATGAAAATAATCAAGAACAATTGTGCTATAAACACATAATGAAGAAATGTTGGCAAACTATTTATTGTGTTTAGATTTTTTGACATAAAAAGTTTAAACGAAATAGGTATTTTTTATACATTATTTATTAAGAATTTACGTATATTACATAATTTCCATTCAATATTTAACCTTAATTCTTCTGTTTTGGAGTAATCATAACACCGAGAAAGTGATTGTTATTTTTTATTTAATTAAAAAGTTAAAAATTTAACTGAAAGAAAGTGAATTTGATAATATTTTGATCGTAATGTGAGCTATTAAAATATATTAATTGACTAAATTGACTAAAAAACGTCCTAAACTATTTAATATTCTATGATATTAAAAATAACTTGAGCCTCGTGTTTTCGAACTTTTTAGCAATGGCTGGGAGTGAAGTTGGCGGGGACGTTTCTTCAACAAATGATCCAGATCATAAGTCCAAGATCAAGGATAAACTGGGACTTACTACGACGGAAGCTCTAGAAATTCTCCATAGAGAAATAAAACGTGTATTAGTGGAGTATGAGGAAGATTATCGAAAGAAAAGGTACGTAATTTAAGAAAATTAAAATAATACAATTTTAAAATGAAAATTAATAATCGTAATAAATAATATTAATAGAAAATATAGAGCCTGGTTAAAAGACACTCTGCATCATAAAAGTCAATATACTACACTGTGTTGGACTTCAGCATTTGCGTTGCTTATGAACGCTATTTGTTTGCTAGTAGCATACTTTAATTCTAATGATTCAAGGTAAGAATATTTTAATTATTTTGATGATAAATTATTGTTTACAAAAAGCAGCAGTATTAATTTTTTCAAAGGTACTGATGCTCTGATTAAATTTGAAAAACTTTTAATATTTAAATAGACTCTTTCATTATTCAAATGAATCAGTAGTCTTCAATATTCGATACCACTTGATAATTTATAAAAAAAATAGTTTATTTATTTTGAATAGAACAGAAAATTTTCATGTTTTGGATTTTCAACAGTTATTCTATACTGCCATACGAAGGACTTATTGTTTGTTGCCTTGTGATATTCAATTTCATCTTAGTCGTATCTGACAATATTTTACGACATCATGAAATTTTACATAGGGTAAAAATTCTGTTGAAAAAGTTAGAAGGTATGAATGAAAATGAATTAATTTATTATTAATCGTATGTAAATTTATAAAAACCAAATTAAACAAAAATATTACGTAAATTTTGTTACAGCTGCACGTTCATTATGCAAGTGGAGACCAGAAAATTATCCGCATCTTTGTACACCATTATCACCTTGCGTAACATTACAATGGACATACAGAGATAACGTAATAGTTAATTTACCGTGGGCTCTATTAGTAGCTAGTGATATAATTGTCATTAAACCGGGCCAACAAGCTCCAGGATATTGCGTTCCAGTTGACGTGAGTTTATTAATAACTGGTACATTAATTTATTTAAATAACTCAATAGTTTATTTTGTATATCACAATATATTACTTCTTAGGACTCTAATGGACCAGTTTTACATGCTAAAGAAGTTTATTGCCCGAAAGTTCATAGTACAAATGAAATATTTTCAACACCTCAAACAAGAACTCCATTAAAAAATCAAAATTATAAACTACAAGAGACACCCTATTTAGCTAATTTACGTATGGCTTTGGATCAAGCTCTTAATAGACCTGTCACTTATCACAATCGTGAACGTCATCTTCTGATGATCTGTTGCATTGAGCAACTGGCTTATCCAATCCTGTTGATTCTTGTGCAATTAGTAAATTTATTGAGATATTTATATTTTCAAGAATACGCCGGCACTGGCCACTGGACCGATGTATTTTTAGTCCAGCCTATTGCTGTGACTTTGCCACTTTTGCCAATAATATTTCCGGCCTTTTGGATCTTCCTAAATTGCTTTGGGATGGCGCGGTTCAAAGCCTTATTTGAGCTTTATTTGTCTTCAACAAAGATGCCGGTTAGTTTACTATTTTTAAAAAGCAACTATTCTTAAATTTTCGAACAATGATAATTTTTTTTATAAATGAACAATATTTCAGTTTGTTGATCCTTTCGAAGATACAGATATTTCAGGACCAAATAATCCAGAAGTAGTTTACAATTGGTCAGAGTTAAGAACATATTTTTTTGATATACTTTTTGGAAAGGAATATATGATGTCACGTTCTGCCAGTATTCTTCATGTATTAGGATCAGTTACAGCTCTATGTTGTGTTGACAAAAAAGGAATATTATCCTGGGCAAATCCTACAGCTGAAAAAGTTTTTTTTTTAAGAAATGCAAATGCAGTTTCTAGGACATCGAGGTGAAAAGAAATTTTTTACTTCACAAATACCATACATTAATTCCAAGGTAAAAAATAATATTTATTATTTCAGTACTGTAAGTCTTGATAAACCTCCAGAAACTTCTCGTACTACTGAACCAATAAAAAATGACAATTACAAAATGTCTTATAATCAGCATGGTAAGATTCATAGAGAAAGTTATTACCAAAAAAATATAATATTTTTATCATAAACTAAATTATTAGACATGTCTCACTCAGTGGCTGAAGTTCTTGATTTGACACACGACCATGCATTACCATTTCGACTCCAATTTGATGACCCTTCTTGGCGACAACATTTGAATTCATTAAAACCACTTGGATTGGCTATTCTTTTAAACACTTGTAACATGGAAACTCAAGAACATTATACGCAATTTTGTTGTCATGTTACATGTGAGGCTTTATATAATGAAAATTTGGTACCTGTTATAAACAGAAGGTATTATACAATTAATAATTATTTCATAAAAAAAAAATAAACTTGGCCTTTGTGTGGTATGATTAACAGCTTATTCTCTTGCCTACTGCATTGCTGAGTATAAACGGATTATTGTTATTCAATTATTTTAATGAAATTATTATTAAACAGATTAACAGAGATTATGTTATATGAAATTATTATTTACAACAAATATTAAAGTTTACTATTGAATAATAAATTTATTAGCTGCCAGAGCAATCACAGTAAGGCTGACTTACCAGAGAAAGACGAAATGCAAAGTTCGAGGCAGACAATTTAATCGAGGAGTCTGAAAATTTAGGAAAGACGGGGTCAGTCAAAAGTACTCATTACATTTAATTTCTTCTCTGAATTTCTCTGTAGAGCTTATTGGTGATGGTTTAACCTCGAACTCTGTAGACAACTGGCCTGGGTGCTTTTTATTAATATAAAATTTTTTTAATTCTTCAAGATTATATAACTAAACAATAAACGATGAACACAATAACAATGAAAAATTTTATTTAGATGCCTCTGTGAACTTGCAAAACAGATTGGGTTTCAAGATCAAGCTCAAGAAATATTCCAATTGGAGCAACAGCTTTCAACATTTCGACATGTCGTACGTATATTATTTACGTTACGATTTAATTTATTTTAACTGTTGATTGAATCTAAAAATTTCTATTTTTCACTTCCTTTTAGCAGCCTGAAATGGTACGACGTGACATAAAATTTGCTCGTTCTCTGAGCATAGCTACTAAATTAAAATTTCCATTTCCACACATGGTCGCAGTGGTAATGAAAGAACGTACTGGTGGTAGTTTACAATTATTGACACAAGGTACAGCTGACATAATTCTTGATTCTTGTATTGAATTTTGGGATGGACACGATCTTTGTCCATTATCTATCTCTGACAGGTATAAATTATTTTGTATTCACCATATACTAACGTAATTTTTCAATTAAATTAATTTGCTTACTAATTTATCTAATTCTCTCTTTGATGTAGAAAAAAAGTTTTGGATTTCTATCAACGAACTAGTTTAACGTCTTACTGTACAGCATTTGCATATAGACCATTAATAAGGAGTATCAATAATAAAATGTCTAATATTTATTTGGAACTTCCATCAGATAGTAAACATTTATATGCACCTCATAGAAGTCCTACACCTTTACCATGGGATTTTAGAAATGTTTTAGATCCACGAGTAAAAGGCTTACTTGGCCAATTTCATTCAACAGGTATTATTTTATATAATTATTAAAATAATAAAAAAAAAAACATGTAAAACAAAATATCTTGATAAATGTCCTATTTAGATTCTTTACTTTGCACGGAGAATAAAGATGAAGAAGTCAGTGATGTAGATAGCTGCTTTGAAATCCAATGTAATCAAATCTTCATTGGGATGGTAACAATGCAATATCAAGCACAAGCAGATATGGTAAGATTTTGATGATTTTTTTAGATTCGAAAAAAACAGTATTCACATTAAGTTTACGATTATTAAATCATCATTTCCTTAAACTGGATCCATCATTGATCACTTACATCAGGTCCAACTGATCGAACAATTAGAAAGAGCGTGCATAAGATTTGTTCACTTCAGCAAAGAAAATGAATTACGATCGCGAGTTTTCTCCGAGAAGATGGGTCTTGAAAGCGGATGGAATTGTCACATTTCGTTACTCAGCGAAAGGGCTAGGTATTAACTTATTCATCTTACCATCAAAACATTGAATTATATCCGTGATTCAATGATTGCTTATTGGCTTCTTTACTTATTTGTATTTCATTTAGCAATTACTCATCATCGCCATACATTTTCGGTGTTCGTTTTTATTATCATTGTTTATTGATTTGTTGCAAAAATCTTAATTTATAAATTATTTTAAAAATTTCAAATACGAAATATTATTAAAAATCTAGAATTCTAGATTAATCAAATTGTTTTAAGATTTTTGCAACAATTCATAGTCAGATGTGATATTAATGTTGTATTGATATAAATTTTTATGTTTATCAACAATATTATATAAAAATATTTCCAGGTGGAAAATATCTCACTGCTAAGAAAGCTAAAAATATTTTTGTATAATAGAGTTTATTATTCATTCAACTAAAAATTATTAATTCTTAAAGAATAAGTATTTAACTAACATTTCAGTTTTGTTTACAAAAACTAAAATATTAATTTTATCATTTTTTTTGTGATAGTTTTGATTCTATATAAATATTTCAAGATGTTCTCTGATGTCAACCTGTATCTACATCTTTTTCTTCATCTATATCTTCATCTATTTATTTACTACAAGTTTTATTTAAATTCTAATGCTTCTCACCATCTTCTGGTTCACTAAATTAACAAATATTATCTAATATTTAACAGCTTATATCATATTATAAGTAATACATAAATGAAGAAAAAAGTATTTTTATCAGACATTCAACAATTAATAATTTATAGTTGAATATAAATTGATTGAATATTATAATAATTTAAGTGGTGTGTATTTAATAATTGTTTTACTACATTAATAATAAATGATGTGTGTCACTAACAAATGGTGATAGGTCAGAGAGCCCAGTTGGATGTTGGGTGAGCCAGGCAGCAGCCATGTCCTCACTAACGTCTTCTGCCCAATTCCATCAGTATAATCATTCGTGCATGGATGAGGCCAGCCAATTGCTTAATCATGTATGTCCTCGGTACGTCATACAACATTGTTCTTACCGAGGAATTTTAAAATAACTCATTTTTATCAGCAGAAATCAAAAACTATCAAGCTTCTTTGAATTTATTCATAAATCTCATTAATTATTTATTGTGTATTTTTAGTTTTAGTATTATTTTATGGCAATGTTACTCTATTTTTATCTCATTATTATAATTAATATTTTAAATAGATTGATTATAAAAAACTTCATATTTATTAATAAGTTTTGTATTTATTTTCCAGCTCCAATCTAGACACAAGTAAAGCTATGAGTATGTCTGCTCCCAGTGCAATAAATACAGATTTTGCAACGGTAAAATTTGAGAATGAAACTACAGAATGGCACAATCCAGAGCCATCACATACTAAAAGTGCCATGAGTCACAGGTTATTATTTATTTTAATGTTAATAAGTATTTGAATATAATAATTATTTTTTTGAATTCATATTTTATTTATTTATTAAAGTATGCAATAATCGATTTTTATTTTATGGTTTTTTTTAAATTTTTTTATATAACAGCTTGAGTCATTCCCCAGACGGAAATGGAAGTGCAGAAACGCCATTACTTCCGTAATTATTTTATTTTTATTTTGATAATATTAATTTAAAACTCGAAAGCTTCAATTCCTTTACTTTATTTGATTAACATTTTTATTTATTATATTTCATTGTTAAGATAATTAATTTATATAATCAATTTAGGGAACACGATACAATAAGGAGTGAGGATAGTGTTCTGGTTCAAAGCGTAGATTTAGGATCCGGTCATGAAGCATGGAGATCTTTAAGTTGTCTAACTGATAGTACAGAACAAAGTGCACCAGTGAATTTTGATCTTTCAAATAGGGTAAGCTACTGCAAGATCTATTAAATAATTTTATTGCATAATATTTAAATTTTTTAATAATTCTAAATTTTTATAGGCGAAATTACCTCGAGGAATAGATAAAATTCGTCCACATTTGGAAATGATCGATAATGTGCCCTTATTAGTATCGTTATTTACAGACTGCAATACTACAGTCACAAGAGAAATGTTACACATCATGCAAGATTATGGAGAAGTTGTTTGTGTCCTTGGTTCTTCTGCTAATGCAGAAAATATGTCAATTTTTATGCAAGCAGATGCAGGGTAAAAATAATTATTATTTTATTTATTAAATAATTGATATTTCTTACGTTTTAAAGAACCTAGTCCGTAACTAGTACTGTAAATCGTATTACTACTCATTTTCGATGAAACTTTGCCAGGCTTATATTGAGGACAATGAACTTTCATAGATTTTACATTAAATTGTTTATAAGATTCTCTATAAATCGTCTGAAAATCAGGCTTAAAATTACTTGGCCATTTTTTCACATCATATTTTTGAGTTTGGATTTTCTTATCTCCTTTAGGCATGAATTTTTGTTTATATGGAACGTAAGATTCTTTCATAACTGTCGTATTTTCCATTGGTACAGAAACTAAATATTTCTTTTCAATTTCTTTAGGCTTTAAGCTTTTGACCGTTTTTATTTGTCCAGGATTAGAAAAAGAGTTCATGTAGATTGTAATAAATTCAATTGGAGTTGGCTCACATCTTAAACGAGATCTAGGATAAAACCGTTTAGATTTTTCTACTATTTGTGGCCACTGATATGTAATTTTATTAACTGTATTTAAATCTAGCTTTCCATATGTAACCCATTTTCTATTCACACGTGGTTTCTTTTGTGGAGTAATCTCATGTTTGACGTAAGAAGATTTATAGACAGAGTTTGATTCTATAGGAATAGTAACATACTTTTGATATTTTTGAAAACACATGATCTAATTGTCAAAAATTCTAAATTACATATGCTGGACATAATCACTAATTTATTCCAGGTTAAAGTAAAAACAAATGAAGGATTAAAAAATATTAATATTCCATAATTTATATTACAGGGTAGCTGTGGAACCTCTCTATCCTCAGGTTTGTCAAAAAGTTCCTGTAATGGTTCATACTCGTGAAGAGCAAGGACCATCTCCTGTAGATCTTAGTCGAGCTCTTAACTCGATAGCATGCTCTTTAAGTGTAAAAAGAGAAGATCCTATAGCTCTATTTCATCTTGTAATGGAGGTAATTATATAATAATACTTACAAACATGAATAAATAAATAAAGAATTAAATTAATTAAATATTTACAGGCTCGGGATTATATGAAGTGCCTATGGAACTGTGTTCAATTTTGGCTGTGTTGTATTATAACGCTTTCTTTTGCTCAAGCGTTATCAGTATTTTTATTATTACCACCGTTGCTCTCTATTAATCAAGTAATGTGGTTGATTTGTCTCATTATTCCGCTTTTATCTGTGTCGATGATGGCAACACCAACTGATCCTACAATAATGCAAAGAGCTACAGGAAAAAATCAGTGTGTTGTTAATGGCGAGGTATTTTTATTTTTAATTTTATATAGTCGAGACATAAAAATACGACACTTACTGTTAACTAATGTACTTGAATTTACTTTAGGTGACATTTTTTGTCTTATGGTGTTATGGCAGTAAATTTCTACCAACCATACTTACTCTCATTGTATCAGAAATAGTGATGTATATGTTTCTATGCCCATTTTATGCTAATGAAAATGCAGAATGTTTTTATATCTATCCTGATGTCAATAGTGAAGGAAGCTGGGGAGGATGGAGTTCACAGCCAAACATTATCAATATGGCTCAACATGTTGCTTTGATAATAATAGTTGCACACTTCGGTAGTAAATTGCTTTTATAATAATAAATTATACTGAGTCTAATTGTCTGTTTATTTTCAGTTGTTATCTCTGTCAGTTTTGTCCATAGAGAATATTTAATTTGCCGGAAAATGCCTTTTAATAATTTATTGTGGTTTTGCAATGTTGTTATTGTGTAAGTATCTAGATAAAAAAATATTATCACTGAATATTCAAATTTAACTTCAGTTAAATACTTTTTTAATAGGCTGGCATTACAAGCACTGTTTTCTGGTAATACATTGTACGAATTATTGAAAACTGAACAGCAAAAAAACGACAAATTTCCAATTTATTTACCACTCATTTTCTCAGTATCTCTTCCGTTAGTATTTTTATTGAATGAACTAGTCAAATGGCAAGAAATTAAGTAAGTATTATTTTGAAAATAAATTAATTCGAAATTTTAAAGAATATTAATTATTGGATATTTGATATTTTAGAACTAATGTAAGATATCAAAAGAGGGCACGTTTAGAATTTGGTACTAAACTTGGCATGAATTCGCCCTTTTAATACTCTCATAAATGAATTTCTAAAAAGGACTGAATTTGTTATAAATATTAATGCCAAATATTAAATACTGAAGATTATAATTTAATAACCACGAGGTCCAAACAATGTTTTTAACAAACTAAAGATTATAAATAGACTTTTAATGACCTGGGTCTTGTCTATACAAGTGTTTTTCCATAAAAATCGAATTTTTTATAATAAACTTTTAGCTCAATAAATATTCTTTTGCTATAAGCAGTGATAAATACGCACAGATATTTCTACTTATGCGTTTACCGTACTTATACATATATTGATCATTATTGCATAATTGTGTCTTTTATTATTTTTAATTTAGAATCATTTTTATTTCGTTTAGTGACCATTTTTATCAATTATTTAATAAGCTCTTTAATAGATCAAGCATTTAATGTTATGTTAGTTAAATAGCAAACGATGGAATAGATTTATAAAATGAAGCAATATATATGTATGCTTAATTCATTTTAAAATATGTTGAATTCATAAAGTGTTAATTCAAAAATTAATATTTTTATACAAATTAAAATTTTTTTATAAATTTTAAATACTGCAATAATTTATCGCAGAAAGTTTTAAAATAACGAGCTTAAACATTGTAATTACTAAATCAAATTTTTATTTTAATAAAAAAATTAAAAATATTTTCATAGTTGATACGCGCTTATTAAAGTAAAAATTCAAATAAAAAATATACTTTTGGACGTTACTATTTCTTTGAGTGTGTTTCATTATTACTCTTTATTTTTAAAAATAAATAGTGCAATAATTATGTTAATGCATTTTGTTTGTTAAAAATTTTTATATAACAATATATGTTGAATTTTTTTAATATCCAATGCGTATTTACTACTTTACTGATACAAAAAAAAAAATTGATTTTATTTCAAAACGATATTTTTCTTATTATTCAACTGATATAGTAATATAATGTGGTTAGAATATGAACAACGATGAATAAAATTTTTTATAAATAAATTTGTTGGTTTATTTCTTTAGTAATCCATCCAATAATTGTGTTAATATTATTATACTAAAAAATACCGCAGAATGGACGGCTACGTATAAAAGTTTCGGAGAAAATACAGTCCATACAAATAAGTGATATCTTTGGAAGCTTATTATTATTGTATACGTAATTATAATAAATATTATAAAAATAGTGTAAATTTGATTTATTGAATGAATTTTCGACTTCGACTTACTTCTGAAAATAAAACAAACTTTCCTTTATTTCATGGAAAATATTTAATAAATTCTTCTACTTACTCAGAATATTTCTCTCGATTAGAAGTTTCATGACATAAAAGCATTAAATATGATAAAATTGGAGCTGCAAATGTATTTATACACAGAAATAATGTAACCAGATAAAAGTTGTATGAATTTAAACCTACATATCCCGCAGAAATATCCACAGTAGCTAAGCTGTTTGAATTACCCTGAAAATAGAATTCTAATTATTATTTATGCGATTAATATAAGTAATCACTTCTCTTAATCGAGAATAAAAAAAATTATACCTGATAAAAGTAAAATACGTTTCCTAAGCAAAAATGTATGAATGTGTGATTTATTTTATTTCCATTATTTTCATTATTTTTATTCTGAAAAGAACTAAAAATCATTAAATGCACAATTAATTGCATTGGTATCAATATCACATTATATGGTCGATGTAAAAAAGCTGAGATAAAAATCCATATTTTAGTAACTAATAATAAAAAACTGTGTAGATAAGTCTGAGTATTTGATCTTTCATAAATCATTTTCCATAAAGAATAAATAGTCAATAATGCTAAAGCGTTCCAAAATATTTGTACTTCTTGAATGCTCCTGAAATATATTACATTTTTAATAAATGCTAATTTTTTACATTTCGTAATTCAATATGATTTAATATCTACTTAGTCTTTGGAAGAAAAGGAATCTCCATCACAGTATTTTCTCCTACATGACGTTGATATATGCAGACAATTACAATTAAATGGAAAATTAACAAACTTTTATTGTCTTCTTTCTCTATAAAAGATGCTATTAGAAATAATAATCCAAGAGCTGAAAAATAAATTATAATTAACAGAATTGTTTTAAATTATGTAGAAATTATTAGATGGTAATATCTTTTTCACCAAAAAGTAAAATAACACTTATAGCAGTAGAAGACTCTTCGCTTTCAATCCACCCTCTGATATCTGGCAAATTAGCATATTTATTTCCTGTGCTATTTAGTTTTCTCAAAACTCGATGAACGATCATCATGAATATCATTTTCATGATATTTCGAATACTATTGCTATTCAATTTTCTAAAAATAATCATTTTTACTTTACTTTGATTCATATTTAATAATTTGTATTAACAATGATTAGTTATTATACCTTAAATAGGAGCTATGATATTCTGTTATGTAATTAGTAACTTTCAACAATAGAAAAGTAATCCAAAAAAAATACCATGTTTGATGTTCTTCTTCAATAAAACTACTGCTAGTCAAGCTCAATCCATAAACAATTAATAATATTGAATATAAAGTACTCCATTTTTTGAAATTGTATTTAAATAATTCTTTCCATGCAATTCGAGCAAATAAATAACTATTTAGAGTAAAACATGTCATTACCAAGATTATGAGGCTCATGTTAGTCACTTCTATAATGTCATTACTTTCAGAACACAATAAATAATTCATCAAGAACCAAAAGGTGACAGTTGCTATCCACCAATTGAAAAATTTATAAAATGAAAACGGCTCTAATGGATTAGAGTTGAGAATTATCAAGAGAGCCTAAAAAGCATCGTATTTATAACTTATTGAATAAAAAACATTAAATATAAGGAATAACGGTATCAATTCCTTACTTGTAGCATCAATAATATCGCAGCATTCATAAAGGCTAGATTATAATGAATCATACTTTGTACAAGAATATTTTTTACTCCTTTTAGAGCATTATAATATAAATCCACTATATGAGAAATTTTCCCTGGAGAAGTGATGTTTGTTTTCAATTCTTCTGAATGTAATTTTATTGCGCTTATGTAATTAAAATAGCACCCTGAAAATAATTTTAATTAACTCGTACTTCAATAAATTATAAATAATTTTTTTTTATTTACTCACGAAAGGACTCATAGTCGGGTAATTTTTCAAAATGCTTAAAAACCTGCACTGCATTGTAGTGAAGCATAAAAAGTTTGCTTTGGAATGGAAGAGTATTAATTATGTCAATAGAAACACTCCCCAAATTAGATGATGGTAAAGGAAGCCCTAACATCATAGCTATTGTAGCAGCAATGTCGATTTGTTCTATTTTATCATGGTTAGCTGCTAGATTACTGGAGGAATAGTCGGTTCCATACGCTATCAAAGGGACAAGTGTTTCTTCAGGAGTTGAGCCACCATGCCCTCCTGAATCTTTCATTCCGTGATCTCCACAGACGATTAACATTGATGATACTCCTTTTTCATTCTATAAAAATATATTTATTAAAAATGAGAATAAAAAAATTTATTAATTTGATGTTAAATAGATTATATTAAAATTTTATACACCCATTGATTGATTTTTTCGATAATTTGACCAATTATTCGATCCATTTCTTGTAATTTGGGCTTGACTAAAGAACTTTGAGGACCATAAAGATGACCAATATGATCGAGTCCTAAGTAATGAAGAATCATTATTGACCAGTCAGTGTTTTTATTTAATTCATCGCTTATATGACGAGTCACATTATTATCAACCTAATTTATTATTCAATATTATTTAATGAAATAATCCAAAATTCGTATAAAAAAAAATTGTGATTTTATACAACCTTATGATCAAATAAAACCTTTGTTTTTAATTTTCTTTGTACTTACTTCTGTATAATCAGAAACAAAAAATGAAGTAGTTCCTTCGTATCGAGAAAAGATATTTGGATATAATTTCAACCAGGTATCATCACCATAAAATATTAATTTATGTCCATGATTTTTTGCCTGTAACAGTATATTGTCACTTGACACAACTGCTTTCCCAAAATTGAAAGCCACATCTATGAAGCTTGATACTGCTCCAGTTGTCATAGCCTAACAAAAAATTGTTGTTAATAATTTGAATTTAAGTTATTAACGTGTATAAATATTTTAATTACTTTTATCCTGGGCATCGTAACAGTTGGAGCATTTACTTTAACTTGTAATAAACAAGCAGATTTATTTCGAAGTAAGCTACTTGTGATAGGCATTGAACCAGTAATGTAAGAGTTATTCACAAAATCCCATCTCAATGCATCTATGACCATAATAATCATCTTCTGGACCAATGGTTTATACAAGAGATCTTTGTTAACTCTTAAAAAAAATTAAGATATTGCATTTACGAAATGAATTTAATGTGAAAGAAAATTTAAAATACTTACTTTGTATGATTAATTGAAGTTGGGATATCATTTCTAGTAGATATTGAATTATCATACTGCATCATTGGGAAAAAACCATACAAAAACAAAAATACAGCAAATAAAGTAGTGATCAAAACATACATAAAAATGATAATTTCACAATTATGATGAAATATATTATTAACATAATTTTTTCCTGTAAAAAATGGAAATAATTTATTATAAAAATCAATCTGATATAATTATTTATTTAACTTAACTTATAATATATTTGTATAACATACATTTATGCATACAATTTTACCTGCTTTATGATATTTCATTGTCACTGGTTGTATCAGTAATAAATAGATAATGACCTTCACAATGGTTGAATTAATAATAATTTATTATGGATTAAAATAAATTGATTATTACATTCAATCAATTATCAACCATTTCATTTATTTCAATCATTATAAATAAATTGTGAACAATGTATCAATTAAAACCTAGATTGAGAGGTTATAAAACTGTACGACAATATGTATTTCATACTACCTGTTTCATTTATTTTATAATTAGTTAAAGATAAACTTATTTTTTCCTACACATTATGAAGAATTATTCATTTTTTTTTCAATATTTTGTCTAAATAAGGGGAAATGGAGTAAATTTAGACCGAAAAACAGGTATTCAACCTTGAAAGCTTTCATCTGATCTCTCTCTCTCTCTTTCTCTTTCCGATTACTATCTGACAACAACTTATGTCATAGAGCACGTGTAGCTAGAGAAGGAGAAGTGTCACGTGTTCGTGCACTAATATTGCAAATGTAAACAAGGACTCTGAAAGACTGGATTAAATAGAATAATACTTATTAGATTAGTATAGATTAGTTATGATTTTCCAATAATTTCAAATTCTTATAATTATCTGTATATGCTTTAATTCACATGAATCTAAACCTAGTATTGAAATAACAATTAAAAATTAATAACATGATACATTTCGTGTGGCACGCTTTAGATTTATCACTGGAAAACTTCTCAAATATTAATACTTTAACTCATGAATAAATTGGCCCTTTAGCTGCATGACGTGTAATTTTATAATAAATATTTTCAAACTCTATAATTTTCTACAGTCTTATTGTAATTTCTTCTCTCAAAGATAGGTTAAAAGAATTTATTAATCATGACAAATAATGATTTCAATATTGGAAAACCGAAACTACATAAATTCGAACCATTAAAAGTTGATTACATGAATAAATTTATCAATGAAGCTAAATTGAAAAGTAATTTTACACCTCCACCATCACTTACTCTATCTCCAAAAGATACAACTCGATCTAAATCATCATTTAAAAAATACCTGGTCGAATATGCTAGTGCGTCAACAGTGCATGGACTGAATCATCTTATTGCACCTCGACGGCATATTTTTGAAAAGTAACAAAAATTAACCAAATTAATTATTATTTAATTTATCAACAATCTCTATTACGACTTTTTTTCAATAGATTACTAGTGGCATTCTTCATCATTGGATCATTGGTGATCTTGATTATTTTGTCAATAGACTTCTGGGATCGTTATCAGAATTATCCAACTGTCATTGTCTTAGATCATGAATACAGAAGCTTTAATGTCACTAAACCAGGAATCGTTGTTTGTCCAAATCAAAGAGTTCATGAAGAATATTATCCTTCTGTGTTTGAAAAGTAAAACAACAATTTAATAATTGTAACTTTTTAAATTTTTTAATGAATTAATAATAACCATAGATATGGAGTAAAGGACACAGAAGAGGCTCGAAGCTTTTTTAACTTTTTATCAACTGCATCATACGAGACTTTTAGTCAAGTACCTGATTTTAATGAAGTGGATCCAAAATTATGGTTATTCATACTCTTTGATCTTAAACCTGATGTTAAATATGTCTTTGAAGAAGAAAAAGCAGTCTGGCTTGTTACTGAAAGAGGAGTTTGTTTGACATTTAATAATTATGTTGCTCCATATTCGACTCCTGAGTAAGTGTTTAAACAATAAATAAGTCATTCGTATACTGATTGATAAAAATGTTTCAGCTATTGGAAAGCTAATAATTGGACAGTGATTCCAGTTCCTGATTTGCCAGTTTATACCTATCAAACAAGAGAAATATTTGATAGTATTAAAATAATAACACATGATGTTGAAGTAAATATTAAAAAATAATAGATCATTAGTTATATATTCAAAATTTGTTATATAATTAATAAATTTTTTTAGTTCTCTCCCATTTATCCTGGAAGTATTCTAAATCTAGATGATAAATTTTATTTATCATACCGTAAGACACTAAAGTCAGTAACACTTTCAGTAGCTGAAATAACAAGCTCTCAACAAGTCAAAGATTTGTCTTTGACCCAAAGAAAATGTAAGTTATTTGAAGAGGGAGGATTAAAAATGTGGCCTATTTATACTTACACTATGTGTGCAAGTGAATGTAGATATCAACAAGTATACAAAATTTGTAAGTGTTACCCGTATTTTGCTAGACCAATGCGTAAGTATGTCATTATTTATTTAGAATATAGGTATCTACATAATAGACATGAAATATCGATTAAAAAAAATAAAAAATTCTAGCTGATATTCCTGTATGTAATGTCAGCCAATTAAAATGTATTGGTGAGCATTTAAATGAGATTGTATTACCAAGAGAGGTGATAATAAAAAAATGCAACTGTTGGCCAGATTGTGATATGGCTAAATATATGGAAGAGTCTATTTCTGGAATTGCATTGAAAGAAGGATCACCTCCCGAAGCTTTATTGAATATTGTCACTTCTTTTCCAACAGATAAATTCAAACGAGAATTGCTGTTTGGATTTAATGACTTTTTGGGTAATTTAATTGCTTACATTTAAAGTATTAAATATCGATTTCATTTTTTATAAAATATTTTAGCATCCGTTGGAGGAGGTGCAGGATTATTTTTAGGAGCCAGTGTAATTTCTTTTATTGAAATTTTGTACTTCGCCACTCTACGTTTGTTCTGGTATAAAGTTAAATTATATCAAGAAAATAAAAAAAAGCGAAAAGTGGCATCCGCAATTGTCAATTAAATATAAAAAAGTTTTTGGTTACTATACGTATGGAAAATAGTATTTTATTAATTCATTTAGTAAGTACACTATAGTGAATTAAAAAATAAATTAATTTTAAATATTTATAAATATTTAGACAGATAAACAATTATAAACACTGGGAATATTTGAATTTTTTACAATTATATACACAATTTTTAAACATTCGGAATGGATAACACCTATTATACTTGCAAAGACATCATTATATCACTGAATGGAGAGCTAGGCTTCGATTCTGCTAATGAAAAACTTTCAACAAATGCTTGCCTTTGCGCTTCACTAGATAACTGCAATAAATAAATATTAGTTCAAGATTTGTTTAATTTCTTTCATGCTTGATTATATTAATTATGAACTATTTAAATGATTAAACATACCTTTCTATAAAAATCTAGAGCAGCAATAGACAATATTTTTTTATCTTCATACTCATACTTTCCTATTCTTGATTGTACGTATGGAAAACTAAGACATTCATTAAGAAATATATATTCCATATTAAATTATAATTAAGATGTTGGTAATATTTTTTTCTAAAAAAAGGATACAAGGCTCTTAGCCATGGATTTGTTGATGCACTGACAAAAAAACATGATAAACACCAAGTTGATGTGACAAGAGGTAAACTTTCAATAAAATTTGGCAAACTAAATATCACCCAATCTTGTAATAGTGCTAATTGTTCCGGGTTGTCCGTAATTCGTTCACAAACCTGAAATTTGAAATAAATATACATCTTTAAGAAAATATTTTTTAATAAAAAATATTCTTACCTTAAAGACTATGCTTGCAATCAATTTCTGATGAGGCTGCTGTGGCAATAAAAATTCTCCAATTACTTTAGTGAGTATTTCAAAAGGTGGAAAAAAATCTACTAAAATTTCTGATATCACTGCACATAAAATTTTAACTTCCATTGGATATCCTCTTTTGATCCTATCAAATATCGTTGATGTTCTTTCAATAGTTCGCATAAGGACTTCAGGATTAACATCAGGCAATGATGTTTCGTCAGATGAAGTGGTTTGATTAAATCTATCAGCCGATTCTGTGTACATACATGTTAAAAGTAATCTCAAAGCTGGTAAAACAAATAACAAACTTGGTTGCCTCAATCTGTCTAAAGACAATTTAACTAATTGATCAGCTACTCGTCCAGTAACGTTTCTTGTAGCAATAAGTCTTTCAAATCCTTGAAGAAGAGTTCGATGAACAGCAACAGAAATATTAGGTAATGCTGCTAAAGACAAAGCCAAATCTAAAATATCAGGAGCTTCACTGTCAAATACTGTATCTTCTGCATGTTCAAGAAGAAAGAATACTAAAGCCCACATAATTCTTTGATAATCTTCGCTTTCGTTGACAATAGAAAGATCCATACGTGATTGAATATATTTTACAGCTATCGGTTGAATAGCATTCATAGTTTCTTCACAATTAGCTTGAACAGCACTTTGAAAAAGATATAAAATACCATGGAGAGTAGCTATTTGACATGGAAAATAATTTAATTTTAATCCAGTTTCAATCACTCGCTTAACTTTTTCAAGGCTTTCAATATCTAGAGGTGCCAAAACAGCTGCAGATTTGCATATAGCAAAAATCAGTGAATGATGAAGAATTTCATCATCAATTGGATGGAACCTTTCAATTTCCCAACATGTATCAAACATCCATTGAAATTGGTTTCGTTCTCTAAAAAGTTCTGATATGAAAATAATACTTTTAATTACTTCGTTTAATAATCTTGGGAAAGTAGTTGAAGAAGATGATAACCAACGGCTGTATAATTCAATTAAAAATATTACACATGAGTCTAAATCAAGAGAAGCTTCAGAAAGAGCTTTATTTCTTTTTTCCTTTAATGATATAACAGATGTAGATAATTTATCTTCATGAAGAGAACATGAAGACCATAGATATTGAACTGAAAGTTGACTGTAAGCACAGCTATCATAACCATGAGTTATATGATCTCTTTCGATATTTCCTCGAGTGAAAAGTTGCTCAAGATCTAGAGAATTGAAACCAAACTTTTCACGTGAACTACTGGAAGTATTTATTTTTCTAACAGTAGCGTATTTCCAGGATAAAAGATCTTGAACGGCATATAGTCTTTTTGAAGCTGGTTTTTTTAAAGCGAGAGGTGGATCCCGAGAATGATGAATAATACAACTATTGATTGGACTTCCTGGATAAGGCAATAAAAATGTTTGCATTAATAATCTTGTAATTCCTTGAACTGCTAAAATGGTCGCTTCACAACTGCCTAAATCTTCAGGCTCTGATGACTTGTTTTCACTAGAAGATGCACTTAAAACACTGAGAAATACCATCCAAATTTCTTCAAATTGAAGCCGAGATGTCCAGCCGAGGAGAGTTACTCTATAGACAAATTGATGAAGTACATCTAGCTCTTGAAGAAAATTGGAATCATTTGCTGTCAATAGTAAAGGAAAATGGCATAGTGTGCTACCTGATCCTTCAGCTACCCATCCATGTTTCCAAACTAGTGGAGGTGTTAAAACAAACGAATTTACTAGTTCCTGGCGACTCACAATAATAATTAGAGTATTCATGGATTCTTGAATAAAAATTGGAATCTTCTTCATATCATTTTTTTTTGCTCTTTCCATCCATGCTATTAGAGAAGCCATTTGAAGACATGCTCGACCATATATTCTAGTAGAATCATTCTCTAAAGCTTTTTTCAACCCGCGATCTTCAACTTTCAGTTGATTTTCCAACCGATTCCAGTGATCTGTACTCGAGTTAAAAATTTTCCGTGGTAATATCCAATATTCCACCAATTTAATCAATGTATTTGATGCTGAACAAATCCAAGAATAATGATTTTCACTACCAAACACTTTCGAAACTTCTTCATTCTTCAGTAATTCAGCAACACAAGTTAAACAGAGGTCTAAATTGTGAGGTATTAGACTTTTTATTGATAACTCATCAGCATAAAGTATCCAATGAGCTGTTTCTAGACATAAAATAGAAAATTTTGCTAGATCTTCATAATTAATTCTTGAGTCATAAATGATTTCTTTGTCATCAAATTCACGTATTGATTTCATATAAGCAGTTACTGCTGGTATAAGCGCAAATAGTCTATCCCAATAGATTGTATCTTCCATTAAAGCTCTAAATTTAACAGTATACTTGATTATTTTGGAATTTTTTACATCTTTACTATTTTTTTCTTCTTCATTCAACATAGGATCATAAACATAGTGAGGTTTTGGCACCAGTTCATTAATATTTTGAATATGACTAGATAAACAAATTGTAGCAGATCGATAAAGTGGAGATAAACAATCATAAGGCAACGAATCTTCAGAATCACTTTGATGAGAAAAATCTTTGGCTTTGAAAATAATTTTATTCATGTGTTCTTCTACTGTAATTTGTGTACTGAGTTTTATACATTCTTCTAGAATATGAACGTTGAAGTCTTTAGACATTAACAGATCATAACAATCTTGAAAATCCAATCTACTTAATAATTTCGTGAATTCTGATAATTCTGAGGATGAAGTTTGAATGTTACATCTTAATTTTATTTGAGAAATAAACCATTGTTTATTTAATAGTACGTTTTTAACAGTTTGAGGATTGAAAGGACGACAATAGTCTAGTTCTAAAGGTGACATATCATAAAATTTAACCGCAACTTTATTTATTAAATCAACCAAGTTTCCATGTTTTCTAATAAATTTTATTGATTGAAGTGTTTCCATCAACATGGAGAGATTTTCCTTCGATATTTGCTGAGAAAACTGTTCAGCATTCATAGTTAATAATATTTCTATTCTTCTTTTAATAATCTGGTTAGCAATTTCCGTTAAAATGGCATGAGAAGATGAAATAAATCGAGGAATTAAAATAAGTATCAAAGCTCCACTCTGACTTTCATGTGCACATTCCAGAGATTTTAGAAGCTTTTTAACGTAAGCTGGTTGTGACAGATCTTGACATTTAGCAGCAATTCCTTGAATAAATAATCCAGATGCTGCAGAATTTTTATGAACTGCTGTTATAAAATCTCGTACTGGTAATTCATTCTCAAGATTCATTGTTTCTTCAAGATAATTCATTATTAACCATGATAAAGATTCCACATCATTTAAATTATCACAAATATGATCACAGAATAGAATTTTAGCACATTGAGATACTATTTTAGAATCAATATTTATTTTTTGTTTTCTATTTAAACAATTATTATCATCATTTAATTTACTTTTTTGAAGATTTTTTTCTCCTATAAAATGAGACCAAAATATTTGATCATTAGTCGTCAATAGAGTCATTAAATGAACCCATTGAACGGTTAACATTGGAAAATTTCTGTTTGCAATGTTTACCATAGATTGATTTAAATTTTCAATAGAAATGATCGTTTCTTTTTTTAGAAAATTCACCACAGTAGTTGTAATTTTAGGATGGGTTCGTGATTCAAAAATTTGAATGCATAGTTGTAAAAAGAAAGATAATTCCTGGAGAACATATCTATCTTTCTGTGATTTAATGAGGTTATCACAGTAATCCACTGACTTTAAAAAACTACAAATTTTTTCTGAAGAAAGAGAGATCACTCTGAAAATAAAAATAGCAAAAATCTGCTCAGGTGAAAATAAAGAGCTTTCGATATTGGTCGCATTTAGTGGATCAGCTGTGTCAGCAATAATTGAAAGAGTATCTGGTGGATCTAGAACGTGCATTAAATCAGTCATATAGATCCGTAATTCAGATAATCTAGCCAGCATATTTTCTTCTTTTGTGTAAGTGATAAGAACTAAGAAGATGATATTTATCATTCCCAGCCAGCGTTGAAATTTAGTGGTTGAATCTTCCGGTAATGGTGGGAATGTAAAGAGAAGCTTAAGAAATGGATCAACAGGTCTTAAAACTACTGGAGAAATTGCTGAAAATAATTTAATTAATGCAACTGCAGTCTTTTCATTCTCAATTTCTATTTTTCCTGATGATAAAGCACTGAGCAGAGCATCAATAATCATTCTGGACCATTTTCTCCATTTCTCTTCTCCATCTTCATCATTTCTACATTCTTTCAAACAGTTAGATAGCAATAGAATTATTTCATGATACTCTATAAGTCTTAGAAGCATTGACATTAAATATTCTCGTGTTGTTTCCAACTCAGATCGTTCAAAAGTATTTTTTAATGTTGCTGAACGTGCTAAAAAAATATCCTCAGCAACAGGTATAATCGCTGGAATAGAGTGGGTTGAGTGAGATTGTTCACTTGCCATTAAACCATCACAGAGCTTTATTATCTCTCCTATTTCAATGATAATTTTTGAATGAAATTTTTCGTAAGATAACTGCACCAAAAACTTGAAGATTTTAGGAAGAAGAATTTCGATAGATGGAATTTGAAATTCTTCAATAAATGGAAATTGATTTAAAACAAAATTTATAAAAGTTTTGTCTGTATCTAAAAGACAATAATTAACATGGAATTGGACCAATTGACTTAATAAGCTCAAAACTTGACACTGACAAGCTATTGAGTTGGTAGTTGAATATAAATTAAGAGATTTAATTACCATTGGTTCAAAAATACGAATAAATGATGCAAAAAACGCTTTTTGATTAGAGCGTGAAAATGATTTAAAGACCATTGCTAATTTATGATCTGAATCTTGAGGTCTTATGAGCATTAGACCACCTGATCGTCCTGTATTACATTCATTGTCTTTGCAATTATTTCCCATAGTTTTAATTAAATCAGTCATTTGTCGAAGTGGTTTCTGTAAACAACGATCATACAATCCTCTTTTAATATCATCCGAATTCTTTTTTAGTCTTTCATCAAGACTTTTAACATTTTCTAGCTCATCCCATCTTGCACTGAGATTCATACCGAAGAGACTTTTGAGTAGTTGTTGAACGCATTTGATTGACATTGCAATTGACAATGTCAAAGTACTTTCAAGATAATTAAGAATCTCTTCAGCAATTTTACGTGCTTCATATGTACTTGCAATTTCTAATATTTGCGATAATACTTCTAAAGTAGCATTCAATAAGCCTAAATACATTTGACTAGCATTAACATCAATAGTGGAATTATAATTAGTATGAGCAGCTTTCAAAATATCATGTAATTTCATATAGTGTGGTAAATTATATATAGCACCTAAAGGATCTTTTCCAATTTTTAATAAATTACTTGCGCCTTTTTCATTACGTTCTTTAGGTTTTTGTTCCAGTTGAATTAATTTTTTTCTCGGCGATAACGATGGTGTAACTGGAAATGACGGTAAAGATGACTTCCCATAAACAGGGACTTGAATATCATTAATAACATGAACATAAATATTTAAAAGTCTCATTATATGTTTGAACATAAGTTCTAAATAATTGTTAATTTCCATACTATCAAATAAATTCCACATTTTTATCGAATTCTCTTTCAGATCATTTTTTTCACTCACATCTATATTTTTTAAATTCTTCAGTGCTATCCCGGATAGTAAATTTCCACCTAATATTATCAAATGCCTATGAGTAGCAAGATCTAAACTTAATGTGTCCGATGTAATGAGTGATATAATTAACGATAAAAGTTCTACAGCTACTGAAGAAAGATGATCACATATTGATGGCATTTCAATATTATTTTCACTATTAATACTTCGGTTACTGGAATTTATTTTTGTGTTTGTTCTTTTAATTAAAACTTTAGTAAGACTACAATTCCATGCATCTGGATATAAAGTTGTTGGATACACTTGGCTTAATTGACTTAAAGTTTGAAAACAACCAGATAATAAATATTTAGATGCATTTGCGAATATTTTATCGACAAGTAAGCCAATAATGATAGAAAGAGCATCTTCAATAATTTCTCGATGATATAAATTTTTCTGATCGTCAGTATAAAATGAGAGAAATGGCTCAGCCAAACCATTTACAAATGATTTGTGCTCGACGTCATACGATCGAATATCTATCGAATTGATAGGAATTATTTGTGTTAAATATCGCTCTGTATAATATGTTGCTCGACGAATTACTTCATCTTCATGAGGTTTTTCAAAGTAAGCCGTCTCCACAAATTTAATTATCGCTTCCGATGTGGCATTGCGTACACGAGGATCTCGATCATTTAACAGTTTTACGAACACCCACATAACATCATCTTGCAATTTAGAATTCCCCGTCAAATATTTTATCGTTATATACGGTAACTCACTCAGAACTTGAACTAAATCAGATTTCACGAGGAAATAAATGTTGCTTGAAAGTGGAAGTAGTTGATAAATTAATTTGATTCCTTGTAAACTATCTTCTGATTCAAGAATAGAAGAAATGCAAATGTTGAGAGCAACAAGAGCTTGACGACACGTAGTGGCAGATTCATCATTGATTGCCTGTAAATTTATTTAAAAAAGAGAAATATTTTTATAAATATAATTAGTTGTATAAAAATTTACGTAAAAATTTAATACCTTCATCATTATTTCGATCAAACTATCTAAATTTATAGTATCGTAATGCCTTTTTTGGTCCCCAATTTGCAGTTCAAAAGTATGATATGAAACTCGGTATTTTGCATAAATAGTATTTAAATAATAACCTATAATTATCGAAACATTCCCCCGCAATTGGGGATCAGAATGTTCAGCAAATAACAAAACATCTGAAATCATCTGATAATAATTGTTTTCTGATCGACACTTAGGCTCCTTTTCCAGTGTATTCAAAAATATCTCAGGATATAATCTGACAATTGTACCGATGCACGTCAAAGTTAGTGATTTGACACTAACACGAAATAATTCATCAGAAATTAATTGTCCAGGTGATCCTGCTAATAAGAAAGATGAAGCTAAATAACGACATAAATACTTCAAAGGCACATCTTGATCTGTAAAAGATCCTATGTTCAATTGCTTCTTTAATTTATCATCTGTTGTATCCATTTTATCATTTTTATTTTCCGACTCACTATCACTGGTTGTGTTATACTTAATATTTAAATCTCTTTCAACTGAATTGTCCGTATCTTTCATTATTTTTTCCTCTTTAGCTGAATTACCTAAAATATGTTTAAATAACAATTCAATTCAAATTAACTAAATTCAATAAAGTGACAATACGTACAATCACTTTCATTATTATCTTCAGATATTTGATCATCATTAATAGCAGAATTGCTTGAGGATAAACACAAAGTTGCTTGAAATGAATTAATCATACTGCTATCAGAAATTCCATTATTTCCTGTGAGTACTCCAATAAACTTTTCATTATTACTACGTAATAACTGTGCTAAAGTTTCCAAAGTAGCATTTACAATATTGTGGTCTGAATGTCGTTGAATATAACGTAAACATAATTTATAAATTTGAATAAGACAATCAAACGTGTAGCCATCAGTTTCTGGATCATTTTCAATTGGTTTATCTATATGAGGCAGCATTATTTTGAAACATCCAAATATTCCAACTATTCTATGAGAGTCTTCTTCTTCTTGTTGCGATACCGGTATCATTGTATCTACATCAGAGAAATTAAAAATTATGTTATCCTTCGAATATAATTTTATATTACCAAATGAATCGAGAATATATGATTGAAAATATTTGTTAAATGAATTTAATTTGTTGAAAATGATTTTACACATGAATTTTTCGTGACAAAATTACCAATAAGATATCGCAGCACATAAAATAAAAATACTCTTGGTTTTCTGCAGTAAAGACATGTTGCTAAAATCATGTTAGCTGCATTTCGTCGAAATACACTTTGCGATGATGACAAATTTGGATAAAAGGATTTTAACAAGGTCTGGAAAATATTCGTTTACATAAAATAATCAGAAAATGAAATAAATTATTAATTAAAAATTGGAAATCATTTACCTTTACATTTTTATCCGTCATAAAAGACCCTAAACTTTTAAGAATCAACGTTAATGAAGAGGAAAGTGTATCTATCACAGCTTCTTCAGATCTTTTTGATATGGCTACAATACATGGAATTAAATTTGATATATAAGGTTTGCCTTTTACAGGTTTTATCATGTGACTAAGAAGGCCAAAACGGTATAAAGCAGCTCTTAGTGATCTTGCATTGCCATTTCTCTGAATTTCGTTGTATAATTCAAATTGGATTTTCAAGATATTTCCATCTGACATTGACTAAAATAATAAAATCAAGTATGAACATTTTAAGGTGTTTTTAACGATTCCTAGATTCAAGGCCATCAGTAATTAAGACTCTAGTAAGTTATTTAATAAACGTTGACCTCGCTCACGCAAAAATCAATATGTAACATTTTATTGTAAATTACATTAAAAAATAATTCGCTATTTAAATAAAATTAATTATTTTACCCTCATTATTCTATTGAGACTTTCATCAGCCAGTGTTCTAATATCTGGTTCCTCATCATCGCAAAGACTTAATAATACTTTTACTGACAATCCAAGAATTTGGGAAAATTGTCGAGTGTTTTTTACAGTTGAACAGCTAATTCCACTAGCTACTGCTAAACAATTGTTTGTTTTTTCTATTTTCCTATAAAATGAATTGACATCATTAAAAGAAGTCATCAAAAAAATAAGCAAATGGTTATGATTATTTTACCTTGATGCTTGATCAAGAGTATTATTAGGTTGACACAAGATATTCAAGTTTTCAATAGCTTTTATAACATTATTTAATGTCGCCATATTTTTATATTTTTAATTAAATTGGAATTTACACAAACATATACAAAAAAATATTTTTATATAAAATAATTTACACTTTTAGTACAATTAGCTAACTAGTTGACACTGACAAATCATTTTTACATGATTATTATATTAAATACATTATTTAACATTTTTTTAAATATTGTGTTAACTACTTTTTGAATAAACACTTTTCAATAAATTGGTAACACTTAATTTTTTACACAATCACTTATAAAATTATAATATTTTTTGAATGTGTTTATTTTGATTTACACTCATTTCCCAGAAATTCAATAATCTTGGAACCAAATTCGCGCACTAAGTTGGATTTAGGTTATATACAATCAAGAATATACCTTTGTAAAATACAGACTGAGTCAATATTTATTTTTCAGCCAGATTTTTCAGGTCAAAAAAAAATTTTAAAAATGCATTCAAGAACACACATGAAAATGAATTCTTTTTTGCAAATGTTGCAATTAAACAATAAAATGGCTCAATCTGCATCAAATTTTTCGCCATTTGTGACTGTCGCGCCTCCAGAGAGTGTTATCTCAGCGCCGCCAGTGTTCAAATCATCAACTAATAACGTTAGACAAAATTATTGCCAACTCAGGGTACAGACTTAATTATTCGTCATAAATGTGGCACGTATTGGCATTAGATTATTTTATTCTTTCAATTAGTCGTTGTGTAATTATCAGTTTCAATAAATACTGAGTTTACCTTACCTCTTTTATTGTATGTCTCCCTTTCTAAAGAGACTAAATAAGCATAAATTAATGTGTAAAATTCTGGCTAAAACAACAGATACAACATATTAAAGTGTTTGATTGTTATTGAGATTTTCAACGAATTTATAAATTATAAGTGTTTACATTCTAAGTATTAATTTTCAAAACATATTTTAAATTTATCTTTCTCTGAATGTTTTCTGAATACAAACATTCAGTATTGAGGTTACGTTATTTGATAGAAGAGTAATCGTTTGCGAATATATAATCAAATTTGAATATTTTTCATTGGAGATTGAGCATGTGAAAGAGCAAAAATGGTACGAAACCTTTATAATTTATTCTAAAAAACGTAAATAAGTATTAGACACTAAATAATAACTTAGACTTTTTGTTAATTATTAAGTGCTCCAATATTTTTTTGTAGTAAACACTGTGACAATAGATAATTTGTAAATATCTTATTTCAGTCAATGCCTAAAAATGATGTGGAATTACCAAAGAACATTCCCAAATTGCTTTTGGAAAAGCATGCTAGCTATATTATTTCCTATGGTACAAATAAAGATGATTATGTGAGTTCAACAAACATAACAATATTAAAAACTATCTAATACAATTTTAAAACAATAGATATTCACCCTTGCAAATTCCTAACATTTTTATTAAATATTGCAGACGTTTTTTATGACCGAGCACTTAAGAATGTCCGGAATGTATTGGGGACTCACTGCCTTAGATTTGATGAATCAATTAGATAAAATGAATAAAGAAGAAGTTTTAGAATTTATTAAACAGTGCCAGCATGACTGCGGTGGGATTAGCCCTAGTGTCGACCATGATCCACATATTCTTTACACTTTGAGCGCTGTACAAATACTTTGCATGTTCGATGCACTTAATGCAATTGATATTGAAAAAGTAGTAAAATATGTCCAAGATCGACAGCAACCCGATGGAAGCTTTACTGGAGATATTTGGGGGGAAGTAGATACTAGATTCTCATTTTGTGCTGTTGCCACTTTATCTTTATTGGTAAGATTTATTTCTAATAACTCCAATAATTTAAAGAAAAGAAATTTTGCATTTATTTAAATATGATTACTTATTCTTTAGGGTCGATTAGATGCTATTGATGTAGAGAAAGCTGTAGATTTTATCAGACAGTGCATGAACTTTGATGGAGGATTTGGATCGAAACCTGGGTCAGAAAGTCATGCAGGATTAATTTATTGCTGCCTTGGACTCCTATCAATTACAGGTACATAAAGTATTGATCATAATTTTATTATTTTAATAGAAAAAACCCCACAGAAACATAAATAAGTGTTGCTAACATAATATTGCCTTACAGATAGCCTACATTTAGTAGACGCTGATAGGCTAGGTTGGTGGCTTTGCGAAAGGCAATTACCATCAGGTGGTTTAAATGGAAGACCCGAGAAACTACCAGATGTCTGTTACTCGTGGTGGGTATTGTCATCATTGACAATTCTGGGTCGTCTCCACTGGATCAATAAAGATAAACTGGTAATACTGCATTTTATATCATCAAACATCGGTTCTTCCTTGTTATAAAATAATTGATTATCAACGAATAATTACTATTCATTCCAGGTGGATTTCGTATTATCATGTCAAGATACAGAAACTGGAGGATTCAGTGATAGACCTGGCGATGTTGTAGACCCATTCCACACATTATTTGGACTTGCTGCCATATCACTTTTGGATGCAGATTCAACCATCAAACCTATCAATCCAACTTACTGCATGCCTGAATACATCATCGAACGATTAGGTTTAACTCCTGCTAGACTAAACAGATGATATAGTCAATGAATGTCATTAATCACAATGATAAAAATGATCAATATTACAAACAATCAATATTATAGTCTGCAACGAGGCATTAAATTGTTTTTTCAATGAAAAAATAGCAAAAAAGACATTTAAGAATTTTATTATTATTAAATTAAAAGAGTTTTATCAATTAAGTATTCAATTTATCGTTTAGTAAATCATTATTTTATGCAGAATGTTACAAATTACGTTAAAATTAATAAGAATCCTTAGCATCAAGACCATTTTCACGATCATAATGTATAATACCTAATGCATAAAGTCAATGTTTCAAGACCTTTCCCAACACCTACAACGACCAATGTATGTTTCATAAATAAATCAACGATTAAAAAACAAAAGCCAGACTTTAAATAATAATTACAGTCGATTCATTGTAAAAATATTTAACTCCTTGAACAAATGTCTGATTCTTCAAGCAGGTTCACGGATGAGATAGGCGGAGTTTCATCCAAACTCCGCCTCTGTGAAGAGAATCTGGTGATTGAATCAGGATGGAAGAGGGTTCAGACCCAGTGTCACATACTTAGAAAGTACGCACACTCCAGTATTACCCTCACTATCAACAAGAGGAGGCTTCCCTAACCGGTTTTCATTCCCATTGGCTAGCAGTCAACAAGCCAGCTAATTATATTTACTCAACTCGAGTTGTGTATAAACCAATGGGCTTATTCCTACATCATTCCCGCAAGCTTGCGCGGAGGGAGAATATCCAAGCGGGGGTGTGGGGATACTAAACCGGCAGTGTTTGAGAAACTCTGAACGTGGGAGCTGTATTCCTCTTCAGCATCACTTGTAGTCTTGCCTTCAGGCTCGCTCAACACTCGCCAATGTTTTTGTGCTCTTTATTTAATAAATTGAGTGAATTAAATACTACTAATATCTAGTGAAAGTTAAGTGATAGTGTAAATAAATACTTCAATAATTAATTACATAAACAAATAAATAAAAAATTAAAAAGTCATCAATAAATAATTGATCATGGAGACATCATAAAATAATTAACAGAAAAATTAGTGATCGTGAAAGAGTCGATGATTAATTTTGCTCAATTATTACTTTCTTGGATACCAAGTGCTCCAATAAATTTGAATAATGCCGCGGCCATCAAGAGATACTTATGGAGATCAGAAACCTCCTTACTCCTACATCTCTCTCACCGCAATGGCAATATGGTCTTCAAGAGACAAAATGTTGCCTCTTGCTGAGATCTATAAATTTATTGCCGATCGTTTCCCTTATTATCGGAAAGATACAAGAAGATGGCAGAACTCTTTAAGACACAATCTTTCATTCAATGATTGTTTCATTAAGGTGAGTGTAGTAAATTCTTTACAACCAATTAATAATTCCAATAATAAATAGTTTAACATGAAAAACAATTATCATTCATTTCATCATATTTTCATAATAAGAGATTTATTGAAAGATATTTATTATCATTTGTTTATAAAAAAATAATGATACATACAAATTGGCTATCAAAACATGTGCTACCAAGAACCGGTTTTATTGCCAATTTTCATATTATTTATTAATAGCAATGCAACAAAGGATTATTTATTAGAAATAATATGTAAATGTTGATTTATTTGCTACAATAATCGAAGCTTATTGGCAGCTTATTAGCAACATATCGAAGTAGAGAGCAAGGTGTTAGCTTTAGCCGTCGGCATACAAAACTATCATTATTTTTTCGCCATCTGGTTCGCACCTGCCAATCTGATGATGACTTTCGCGCCTTCTCATATCGACAGGATCAGAGAACATAGGTATTTTTAGCCACAATTTCAAGCCAAATTATCCTAACTATCCTAGAGAAGTGAGAATGATATACTACTTGACCACAAAGAAATAGCTTTTGAATTCTAGAATACAGAAATGAAGAAGTTCTATGGCCACAAGGTTCTGCAGGTTGCTTTTATATCCCGCCGGTTGCATGCTAGGATGCATCATTTATACACATGCATATACCCATCATGGTATCAGTTAGTTTTCAACTTGAACCATATATTTTTTGTCAGGATGCGTGACAAGATGTTTAAAAAAGGGCGTTGAAGCTATTGTTGAAGTACATATTATTATTATCTAAAAGCCGAGATTAACGCGTTAAAAAAATGAATTGCTTTTAAAGACTTAAGTTTTTGATATTATCAACAATTGCACCTGCTACAAAAATGTTTGCCTCATCATAAAGATGATGACATCAAAATTGGTTTAGAATTTACTTTAAATTATGCTGTATTGTGTAAATGTTATTATTTTTAATAATGATATAATTGATAGTATAATGATAGTTGAGCTTGTAAAGATAAAAATGATGGTGATAATTATCAACATACTGTAATAGATGTCACGAGAGTGAATATAAAAGGTATTGATTATTAATTTATTAGTTATTTATATTCGTAGGTTTATTAAGTTTGTAATACTAATGTTTAAACGTTGAATATTCAGTGGCAATTGCCTTTCAAAGAGAGAGAGAGACATTAGAAATTTATATATATCTTAAACCAAGAAGTACATTTTAGAGATCGTAAATCGCGCGGCTCTTGAGAGTGCGTGGGTGACCGCAGGCATTTTTATTTCAAACTGAGATATTTATTGAACGTTATGTGATTTATATCGTTGTATGTCGGCGAATAGCCAATAGTAGATTGCTAAATCTACCTTTCGCTTAGATCTATCGGTCGCAAAATTATCCTCTAGTCGCCTTGGAAAATTTATTTATTGTATTTTATGCCTATTTTTTATTTTATTGTAATTACTATTTCAAAAATCAACAAAAAAAAATTAACTAAATTGTTTCATGTTGTTTACTAAGTAATTTATTTTTCATATTTGAAAATAGAATTTAAAATCCTCAAAAACATTCTTCAATGTAACTGTGGTATATTGAGAATATTTTATTCTCTATTCCAAATTTTTATAAACTGTATTTGCTTTATCAAATATTTCATTATTATAATGATTAAATATTGTCTAATATTCGATTCTGATAAAAAAAACTTGAGCTGATAAGAATCAATTGGAAATGGAATTTTTTCAATCTAATTTAATTTTTTGTGTGTATGTACACTTGAGTAAACATTTCTGCAGACGTATGTCATCTATCATATACTTGACATACATGTGATTATATGAATAATAATATTCACTTAATTTCAAATAAAATACCAGTCTGTAACCGTTTAACAACAAATGAAAATTTGTTTACTTTAAATAAGTTAAAAATAAATTATTTATCAATTATATTGAGAATAAAATTCCTTAAAAATAAACTATAAAAATGAAATTGACTAATCCAAAAAATTCAAAGTAATAATTTATTTGAATATCATTTGTTTATTTTTGAGAAAGTTTTTTATTGGTTTAGTTATGTAGTACACGGCATATTAATAACGGAATCAAATGAATTTCAGGTACCACGAGGACCACATCGTCCAGGAAAAGGGGCATACTGGGCGTTGCACCCAGCAGCTCTGTCAATGTTCGAAAATGGATCCCTCCTACGTCGTCGAAAGCGATTCAAGCTCCACAAACCAGACAAGGAACTTCTGAAGTCTGAATTACAGGCATTAGCGTCAGCAATGCCTCCACCTCATGCAGAAACTGCTGGGAGTGTTGGGACGTCAGTATCAAGTTCTACAGGAAGTCTTAATGCAGCTAATCTCCATCGCCTTCGAGAAGATCTTTTAAGGTGGGAACTTCAAGAAAGACGAATGATGGTTGCTTCGACTACTGCTAATTTTGCACTGGAATCCCCACCAGAAGCAGCTCCTGGCTATTATTTATTATCAGCAGAAACTAGACAACGACTAGCTGGTGGCACACTTCCGGAACACGATGTAAACAGATCTTACGATGCTACGACACTTTTACAACCCAGTAGCTGGTCTTTTTCTGGATTCAATGGTTCTTACATTGGTCATCTTCCTACTTATTTACAGTCATCCAATAGACAGTCAATTCTATCTACAGATTTGCCAGAAAGCCGTGGAATATGTAGCAGACTTCCTGCTATTGAACCTAATCCAGTTTCAGGACCTCGAGAGGAATCATATCGCGATAGAACATTTGATGTTTATCGAGACAGACTTTATGATGAAGAGAAAAGACTGGATAGCTATTCCCATTCACCAACACTACCTTCCAAAGTCTACAGACCTCCTGATGTTGTGTTTGGATCAAGTGCCTCACCAAGACTATCACCAAGTTATGCCGACGGGACTGAAGTTGTTGTTGGGGTTGATCAACGAACACCACAAACATCACCTAGTCTAGAAGCGACTGTTATACCTCTATCAAGTAATCCAAGTCGTCAGAAAAAAGCCAAAAAACCATTCACTATTGAAAATATCATTGCTCCTGATGAAGATGATAAACTGAAGGATGATGATAGCAAAAGATTGACGAGTAAAACTGGTCTTATAGCACCTAGACCTTTTTTCAGTGCTTTCTCATTAACTTCAACAGAAAATGGTCTTCATAAATCTCCTTTTGGTACTGCAATTTGAACATAGTTCTCATTAGGATCCAATTTTAAGTCAAAACCTGAATAATAAGTGGTTGAAATTAAACACGAGTTTTCGTTGGTGTTTCTATGGAAACTTAATGAGGAAACGTTTATCGAGCAACTTTTCGTCTGCAAGTAAAGAAGACAGACTTGTGGGAGGGATCGATAAAAGACTCATGGGCAAGTGCCTAGTTGTCTGTGTATTATATACTTCAAGCTTGAAAAAAAGTGTATCAGAAAGAATGCTGTGATGATTGTATGTGTAAACACAGAAAGGAAAATAGTCAAGTCCGAAGGACTTGTTATAGACCAAGTCTAGTTATAATGATACAGTGAAAGAGTAACTCTTGTAGAAAAGTGTAGGCTATGTATTTCCGTGATACATCAATATTTTATCTATTTCAACGATTCGACGAATTGTGTATCTTGTTTCCGTGATAACTATGTGCATATTGGATAATAAAGACAGGATATTACGAAAGACGATAAACGCAGCTAATATAAATACCTAATAAAATTTGTTTATATGTAGTATAAAATAAATAATGAATTGGATTAAATCGATCAAATGCAATTTATAAATGTATTATTATATATGAAGTGAAAATAATCTAATAAAATATATGATTTATTTTTTAATCAACAAAGTCTGGATTTATTTTTATTTTTTATGTAGTTATAGGTAAATTTATTCAATTGTTGATCATTTCTTTAATTGACTAATTCATTCATTCATTTTTTTCTTATTTATTAGCAGACGTTTGATCGATTTTCATCATCTTGTAATTATACCTCCCTTACGAATCACGAGAAATATATTACGGATTAAATTAAACAATAAAAATATTTGTAATATTGTAGCAAAAATATTCAACGATTAATAAATTATTGTACAGATGTATCAATTACATCCATGATATTCTTATTTATCATTCGAACATTATTAATCAAGAGTTATGTAAATTTTTTTGAAATAAATTAAATGTTTATTAATTTTAAATTTAAAAAAAATTATATCTTAATATTTGCTAAAAATAGATGAAATATCAAGTGTTATTTTTGGCACTTTATTTGTCTCGATAATGAAAAATTCCAAACAGAATACCTTTCATAATAAGTCATAATTGGCATGAAAAAGTAGGAATTTAAAAAATTGAATAGAAATTCCGTAATTTACATAGAAAAATAAATAAAACACACAATTCTAAAAGAAGAATGAATAATATATTGACTGTCATTAGGACTTTGAAAAAGTATCTTGAGCAAGGGCTTATTTCGAGTCATTGTAAACTCGATTTCAAGTTGGAGTATTGTTAGAGAGAATTGGAACGACCCTTTTCAGACAGTACGGCTTCTCTTAGGCTCAATCAGACAAACCTGAGGAGACTCACAGGCTCCTTTTCTCTTCTTCTTCTTTTTTATTTATATTCCTGATGCTTCTTATTTCTTTTTTCCTTCTCTTTTTACCTTTAGCTTCTCATCATCATCCTCATCTTTTTCTTCTTCCCACTCACATATACATACGCCTCCGTCGGTCGGTCGTCACTTTGATGCCCCGCCGCAAAGTTAAACAAATCATCATTAGTTCGAGCGCATATAATTTGTTTGGTGAGCCCACTTCTTCCGCGATCCAACGATCCTCTTATATACATTGCGAGATATTATATCCAATGGGTTTATATCCTCCGTTTATGTCCCAGAACATCAGGGGATTAATCCACACTGGTGTTCTCTCGTGATCTTAACTATATATCCTTGTCACGAATGCCTATTGGACTTGACGGCTCGTCTTCAAAAAATTTCGACGCTTTCGAGATACCACTATTATTGATGCCGAAATATTGAATATCATTATTGCACTGACAGCTCTTAAAGTGATGTGATCAAAAAGGATTATATTAAACGATTACAAATCGAATGTAGTCAATATTATATACCCACCCATTCGCTATTTATCTGTCATTTTATTTTTATTACTTTGAAAAAAAAAAAATAATAATTCTTCAATAGAAAAACATTATTTCAATCATAATAATAAAAGGTATTCAAGGATTTTAATGTACAATACTTTCTTGAATATATTAAATCAATATCAATCACAGACTGACAATAATATCAATTAATGAGAATAATGAACTAGAATTTTTTGATTGTGAATTAAACTGTTATTAATTTTAACTTTTTTTCTTATTCATCAGTCACAATGTTCAGTTGATTTATTAATTTATCATTTAGTAGTTGAACAATTTAAGAATAATCAGTGATTGAAAAAATTAAATTATCCCGGAAGTTAATTTTTAATTGTTCATTAATTAATTTCTTTTTAATAAATGATTTCTTGATAATAATAAATATTCATGAAATCATATGAAATTAAATTATACTCCAAAATGATTGATTAACTAATAATTGATAATTAAATTTTTCTAACTATGTTTCAATACTCCATTTTTTGCTTTTCACCTTTTTTTTTCTTAAAAGTGCAAATGATGTTTTTTTTTTTCTTATAATTTAAACATATATTCGCAATCTCATCAACACTAACACTTAATTACTATACAGAAGTCAACTTGTTGATACATTTATTCTCTGAAACGAAAAAAAAATGTTAAATTAATTTATATAACATTGTTTTTTTGTAAAAAAGATAATTATGTAGTTTGTTTAAAGCTCATTGAGAGATCAAGGATCACTAATGTGTATTGTATTCATATTGTTCTTTTTCAGGGATAAAAAATTTTCCAACTCACAGAATAATTCTTACAATTATTTTTTATATTGTATATACCTTTTATAAACTCAAAATATTTTGTTTACCATCATCTATCCATCCAGGATCACTGGAGAGCAACATAAGTTATTCTATAAATAGAGAGACGAATTACTGATTGCATTATATTCTGTGTCCGGCGAGTAGATTCGTCACGCAAACTAAGAGGTCACGAAATATATACAATTAACGTATTCTCTACTTGTACAAATCTAATGATGTATATTCTTGATATTTTTTATCCACATTACCTCAATTCAAAAGGATAATAGACTAAGAGATATCACTGTTGTTGATCCGTTCATTTTGTTTAGAATTAACTTGTGCTAAATCACAACAAATTCGTTACGATTTGCGACTAAATTAAAAGATTTTCAATTATCACTTTTTTCAGGTCTTCCATTTTATTTAATTTAATTCTAATTCTTTTTTTTTTATGTTGAACAGAAGTAAGCGTAAATTCTCAAGCGTGAAAGTGCCCGGGAGTCACAGAGATTGCGAGTCAAAAAGATGATTTTCGCTTCAGAGATCAGAAAGTTCGATCACTTGAGGATACTTTTGAAAGACCAGAGCAAAAAGTGGCAAGTCATTTTAGGCTTGTTCTGATCTGGTATAAGTTGTTGACGCGTGTGGGTGTCCACACGCCATAATTCTACGTGTGTCTAAATCATCACACCATTTTATTCTCGCTTAATATCAAGTTCTATTGTAAGTTCTCTAGAATTCTTGGGGGTCGTTAATTCAATTTGAATCATACCGTGTGATTATTTAACAACAAAAAATTAATCCTATCATATTTTTTTATTTTTACATAACAATAAGATTTCTATAATCAATTGGATGAAAGTTTTTATTTAGAAAATAACTCAAAGTGTTATGTACACTTGATGAAAGACAAAAAGTTACAAAGAGAATAAAATTATTGACCATAATATTTCTTGTAAATGTACTTCTCGTTCGATACTTCGGGTCACACAGCAACACTAGAGAAATTATTCAACGAACAAACTGAAAGTAATAGCAGACAATGCACATATGTACCCTGATAAAGAAAGCTTTTTACATTTATCGACAATACTCTTCATAGATTATTTATTAGACAGAACAGACTTGTCATCACAATATCAAGCTATAATTGTAAGACTAGAAAATACATAGCACTGAAATATAACTTGAGGAGAAACCGTTTATGCTTACAATATAAATAATTAGCAAAGTAAAGAGGAATCAAGATTATACTGTATTGAAACCATTACACTTTTTTTTCCTCAAAAATATCAAGATTAAAATCTTCCTTTAAAATTTTTTTTGTTCAAAAATTCCTGGTATCCATTAAAACATTACCTCTTTAAGTGAATATTAGTATTTACTCAACAATAATTGTAACTTCAACTTGCTAATACTGTATGTAATATTCAACTGAATAATTTGTTAAAGTTGTTTTATATATTTATGTATTTAAGTTTCGTTAAGAAAGAAAAAAAGAAATGGTGATAAAGTATGTGAAAAATGGTTAAAAATCCAATGAAATTTAAAGACTTGTTGAGAGTAAAATGAAAGAAACAATCGCGTGACAGACATGAAAGCGAAAAACATATTGTGAGAAGTGAATAATATTGTACAAGGCGTTGTTCGCCAAGCGATACAATACATAAATGAATTATACTCCCCATTCGCACCAACGTCTTCTCAACGCGAGAATAAGAAAGGAAGACTATAAGGCCAAAACTTCTCTCTTTCCTCATCATCCACTATACTCATTTTTTTTATTCTTTTCTCTTCATACTCATTTTCAGTGTACTTTGAAGCGCGCATCGCAGTAACCAGAGTTACTCCAGGCCTTGTTAAGATACCGCTTTGGTCCCAGTACAAGCGCAAAGGCCGCGCACATCGTAATGGTATGAATAATCGCCCGGGTACCAATTTGTCGGCAGTACCAAACTCACAGCAGATCGATACTTTCGAAAATCGAAACAACCTCAGGGCTCAATAAACGCTTTCCCAGAACCGCATTCTGATAGTTTTCATATTAACCTCTTACCACATGTACTGTTACAAATGTAAGCCATATTCACCAATAAAAAAATACTTCCCCTCATCTTGACATATTTTGATAGATTCATCAACTCTCTTACTTGTCAGATGAACATTTATATTAGATAATCATTCTTAAATGTCTTGTCAATGATTACCTGTTCATTTATTTATTTATTTCTATCAATAAACATTAAGTAACGACTGAGAAATATTTTTTGTATAAATAAATTGTGTCTGACCTGGTTTGAAATAAAAAATGATCAAAGTTTTTTTTTTCATTAAAATTCCTATGCTACTTTTAAAAAAAAAAAATAGTTCTTTTTATTTGAGTTAAAAATTTGCTCCAATTTATTTTCAATGATTGAAATCATTTTTGTTGTTAAAAAAAATTTTAATTTAATTTTTATGAAGGACAACAAAGTTGTATTAACAAGTGAAATGACACACACATTGAGAAAGAAAAGAATTTTTTTTTTTAGTTATTATTTGCATTATAAAATTGATAAAAATAAATAATGAATTCAGAATAACAAGAGCTGATAACTCGTGGTAAAAGTCATTTCCGTTTAAAAGATGACTTAAAGTAGATGATTTATCAGATATTATCATGATTTTTTAACACGGGACAGTACTCCTTTAAAGTTTATTCTCATAATTAACCACAAATTAATCACATAACTAATTAGACTATCCATCTTCAGCTCAATATTGATAATGACCACACCAAATAATCGAATTACCATTTATCTATAAAATTAACATAAACAAAAGTCTTTTCCATAGATTAAAATCAACTTAATTTAAACTTAATTGCCAATAATAATTCTATGACATAATGAGTAATAATTACATTCCACATATTGGTTTATATTTGCAGAATATATAAAATATATTTAAATATTAATATACTTATATTTTCATCATTACACGGTGATGTATAATTATGGAAATTCAGCTAAATTAACATATTAATTGGTCGGTCATATAGCAAATAAAGGGGAATGAATATCCTCTCCCTTGTTTATCCTACAATTCCTCTGTATCTACATAAAGTAACTATGCATTGAATTCCGTTAATTCTACAGACATTACCTATCATTTGAGATATTAAATACTGCCTCATAAATAAGATCAAAATATAAAGAAAGATCTAATACTTTATATCGTAAATATAAAATACAATATTTATGTCTTCATAATCATAAAGGCTAACAATATTTTCCTCTGCTCTCATACATTATAAAAAGGAAAACATATTATTTGAAATAATTACATGTATCTTGAATTATGATGTATTTATTTATATGATTGTCAACGATAAGATATATGTCGTATTGGACTTGGCTTAAATACTTTATTATTATTATCATCATCATCATCATTATTCCAAACTCGAATTTGTTTTAAGGTAAATTAATTCAATCATAAAAAATACTTTGATACTTTGGGTGAGTTGGCAGATGCCTTGAGATTTTAAGGTGGGCAATAAAATAGATAAAATAATCATTTTTACGAAATATAAAATTATAGATAAAGTGAAAGAGCAGAAGGCAAATTCTAGTTATTTATAGACTGAATAAATCAATTCTACATATCACAAATTAAAAACTAATCCAAGTAGAACATTGATTACATTCAGAGAAGGCTGGAAGGTGTAGGTAGAGTCACAAGTGAGAAAGAGTGAGAGAGTTTGTATTAAAAGGATGCAAAAAGACAAAGATAAAATAGCTGAGAAACCTTGAGAGGAAAAGAAGCAAGGATTCGCTTGTAGCATTTGAGTGTGTGATGGTGTAGTTGGCTTTAGCGTCTGGTCATCAACACCTGAGACTTGAGAGCGAGTCTTCTCCGTTCTCACCCCAACCCTCGTTTTCTCTGCCTCACACTGCCCCTCTACCTGAATATATCCCTGCGGCAGCAGCTTCCCGTCCATAGGTATATACTTATGTATATATATATCCTACTGCCTATAACTATAACTAACACGGCGTGGCCTAGCCTTGGCTGATGGATGGAATTCCTCGGCTGGGATGCCGCCGCAAAACCGAACCAGAAAAAATTAGCTACAGACCGAATGGTTTAACGCCTGCCTTTTGTTGCCTTTGAGACACTCATATAACATTTGTAGACTTGTAAATTTGTGTGAAGTTGAGAAAAGTATCTCTTAATGCTTGATGAGTAGTGGGGATTAGTAGTAGGAGAACACTCATGTCTGACTATATCTCGAACTCGCTTATGCGGATCGAGAACTAATATTTACACAAATTTATATTATTTATTATGTACAGACACTTGGGATAATTATTTGCATTGCTAATATTTATTGTCGATTGTGCCTGTTTTTAACTTTAGTCATTTATTTGTTAAATCAATATCTTTCTTGGGGACTTTTTTTTTGCAACATTAATATTGGTTTTTTTTGAAAATATTTATTTTAATTATTATTTCTTTTTTTTTTATATATCCTGGATAATGGTGGTATTTTAATCAATATTTTTATTTTTATTTGATATTTTATATTGATTTATGTTGAATTTATTGGTATTGTTGTGTTTTATTCTGTAACATTTGTTTTTGAATTTTCACCTGTCAATTTAATTTATGAATTAAATATTTCCTTATTATCTTTTGGAATGTAATACATTGGATTATTACCAGGAATTTTTTTAACAAATATTTTTAATCGATATTTAATTTTTTATTATTCTGTAAATAAATTTTTTTTTTATTGATATCTTTGATAAAGAGAATTTATTAATCAAAAATATTTTTAACAGTTATTGTTGTTTGATAATTTTTCATGATATCGACATTACTGAAAATATTATTATTAATTTTTTTTTGTTTAAATCTTTGAATGAAATTAATTTAATGAGCTAAAATGCTTTCAGTATTCCTTTAAAATGAAATTCATTGAGTTATTTAAGTAAAAATTTAGTACAAATTTAAAAATATATTATTCTCTGTTAATAAATGATCCTTTAATGATCCTTATTCAATTCTACTTGATAATTTGTATTTTAGTTTTTTTTTGTCATTATATCCAAGTATACGTTAAGTTAAAATGTTTCCTCATTTTCTTTGGAAATAACACATTGGGTCGATTTAAAAAAATTTTTTTTAAAAGCTTCTGCAAAATGAGATGTCCATTTAACTTGACCGAAACGTTTAAAGTCATTGAGATAATTTTGGAAACATGATTACATTGAACTGGATGATGGAATTCAAACAAACTGGTGATGATAAATATACTGAGAAATAATTTGTTAACCCCAGAATACATATATTTCCCGCATTCTTATTTCCAAATAATTTTTTTGACTCGTCGGGATTCGGTATTGAAGAGAGTGTGCCGAGTAATTTGGGCTCGTCGAAAAAGTAATGGGTTTTAGGGACGCGCGGTTCTCGGGGGCCGACCGAAGAGCCACGCTGTCTGGTACTGCAGTATCGAAAGAACAGCGTCCACGGTGTGGATCCTCAAGCTTGAGGCTGCTACTCTACTCTACTCTTCTCTCTCCTCATCCTCTACTGCAACAACATCGTGTTGGGATGAGTCTCGCGCGGTAGAACTCAAGACACAGCACAAAGGCGGTCTCTATAAATCACTCGGCGATGCCGAGAGGGCCTCCGCGGCCTCTTATATTCCTTCTTCTTCGTGTTTTCCGACCTTTCGCCTTTAGCTCTATCGACGGCTGCTGGGTCTTGGCCAATTTTCATCACGGATCGTCACTATCTATTTAATTCTGAATTTAATTATTTTTGCAACAAGATTCCATGGGCTTCACTTTTTTTTTTTGCAATTTTAATATCAACTACTAGTCTATTAAAAATAGTCTTTTATCTATAAAAAATTGATGATGATTTTTTTCATCCACTTTAGGAATAAAAATGACTCATTGTGTTCATTTGCCTCTAATTCTTGAGAAGTGAGATTTTTTCTGCCACAAGTCTATCAATGCTTTGTAGACTACTTTTTCTTTTCATCCTGATGAATAGAGTATTCAAATAATAATTTTAAAATATTGTGTTGACAGAAAACTTCTCTTTCACTACTGAAACACAAGTCATCAACAGCAATTTTTATGTAAAAATTTTTGACACTTGTCATAACTACAAGTCTTTAACTAAAGTTGAATCATTTGAAAGAAAAGATTGCTCTTTTGTTGATAAAATATAGACCATAAATTTCAAATTGTAAGTCAAATTATTTTCATCAATAACACAAATTATTTATGAACAAAATCTATTGTCCACCAAACAATTCAAATTGACATTAAAATAATTACAACTTTGTATTTAAATTTTCATTTTTTTTTTTTAATAAAAAAAATTATAAATGAATATTTGATTCTCTTAAATATATATTTTTCAGATCGGAATCCCATAAAATTACCCTAAAGTCCTAAACCAACTGAAACAGAGAGCTAAACATCAACCACAAAACTCATCATTTGTCGAGTGTCTGTTTTTTGCGGTATGCAACAATCCTGAGTTGAAAGAGTTTAGAATCACCTCGAACTTGATTACCAGTTGGAATACGACGTATTTCAATGTGAAATGACAATGAGAAACTCGGAGAAAAACTATTAAAAATCCAAATCATCAGCTAGAGCCATGAATCTAGCTGATACATGTCACGGTTAATCAAATGTGAATATTGGATTGTCGAGTTTGAAGTCAGTAGGGGTGAGATGCTGCCCAGTAAATCTTGGGTGGCATATACGTGACAATAGAGGAGAGTGAGAAGCATGGAAAGGGTGATGGTGCTGGAGAGGTGCCGGAAAGCGATTCCAACGCTAGACTTCTATCATGAGACAGGAGTGCTGACGTTGAGAACACGACGTCTACTGGTCTGAATACGACATTGGAATGCAACGAGGTGGAACATTGAAACTTCACGGATCCACGGATTTCAGTAGTGTGCATACCTTATAGTTATTTTACATCGGTTATAACCTTATGATCATGTTGATGATGGTTGGATCCCTTCTTAATCCAACCCTTCCTGGATTCTAGACTCTACTGCACTTAAATCAGCCAACTTATATTTTTAAAATTATTATCCTGCTTATATATTCAACTACAATGTTTCCTAAGTAGAAATTTCAATAACGGAAACAATAATAAGATGCATGCATCGTTAAGTTCGTGGTGGAATCCTAGCTTCTGAGTTTTACATTTTTCACGCGTTATTTAATCGACGACAACGATGCCTCGGTGTTTTATAATCGAGGAAATAATAAAAGGAAGTACTAGAAGACAGAGTATAAAACTTTGTTTCATAAAGTTTCACTAAGATTTGGTATCTATAAAGAGCTCCCAAAAAATATAAATTGAATTGTTGTTGTTGTTGTGGAGAGATGTAATAATAAAAAGTGATTTCATTCTTAAGTGTCATAAAAATATTTCAAGTTATTTAGTTCCTATTATAGAAGAATTTGTTTTAACTTGCAAAAAAGTATATTAGAAAGTAAACTAATATTTGAAATTTAAATTATTTGTGGTAACTAATGAGTTAGAACATGATCTACTTTTAGTGTCAGTTATATAAACATAATTGATAAAAAGTAAATAAATTGCTAATGAGATTGATTTAAAAAGAAATATTAACATAAATCAAACTGAACATTGATAAATTTTCTGAACAGTTTTAACAATGATCATAATTTCTAAAAAAAAACCAAAACAATTTCGTGATTATTATAAGTAGGAATATCACTTGCTGACATTTTCAATGTCTAGTTATCATATAAATTTTTTTTTGTCAACGTGTATGAATGGCAAAGAGTTTATGGCAAGTTAATTGTGAAAAAGTGCCTATGGGTCATAGTGAAATATAATAAAGCTCATCATCTCTATATAAACTCCCTGATGGATAGTATAGGTATACAATCTCGTGTCTCCCTTCTCGAATCTCCCATTATTCACTTGTTCTCTCAGGGAGAAATAACAATTGAAAAATTGCCCAGGGCGCGTGCTCCCGCAATGGCAATGATTCAATGAATTCTGCAAACACGGCACTTTCTACTTGCCGAGCGCCCGAACATTTTTGGGATCCAAGAGACGTAAGAGGGTGCAAACACCACGCAAGCGACTTCTGAGATTATAACAAGCTTACGCTCTTAGTTCGACTTGTTGAGAATTAATAACAATAGACATTAATACGTAATACAATAAAGTATATAACAATACTAACAACAGAGTAACTGAGATGATTGACAACTCTTGTAGAATTTTAATTGTTTTTCAGTCATTATGTAAACGAGGCTTTTATAATACTACTACCAAGACGAATTAAATGAAAGCTATTTTATCGTTTGGAAATAAAGAGAATAAAAATGTTGAGATTTCTTAAGACATTTTGCTAAATGACTCGCAACTATTTAAGTTTAGTGATAGATTGTAATGAACTCCGGATACAATTGAGTCCAATTACCAGGTAGAAGATATATATAATTATTTACGTCCTGAATGGAGTAATAATGGAATAGGTGGAGCAAATATATATGGCAATTATTCAATGCAATATACCTGGCATATTGTGTGTATCATCTATATAAATACTTTTTATTTCCATCGGCTGTTCCATCACAGCGGTGATTATTTTATTTCTTCACCTGCACCCTAGTTCTTTCGCGCTTTCGCTGCTTCATCTTCAACACTTTCAAATCCCAATTCCAATAATAGTGTGGATTAAAAATACAAATAATTGACGATTAATTAATTGGTGTTGGTCGCAGCATCTAAACAAATAAAATAAATAATTTCATCATTATTTTGGTTGTGAAAAAAATGGTAAAGTGATTTGTTGGCAAGAATAGGGTCTATATTAAGGGAACAAGACGGGAGAGAAGAATCCTTATGTTTGCTAGTGTTAAGCCTGGGGTTAGTTGTTCCGGGCAATGGACTCGCAACAAAATGGCCGTCATTCTTCACCCCGTAATGGCCGGCAGGGAATTGAACACACGTGCGCATGCACAAACGTGTTTGAAACACTTGAAACACCAATATGATGGTGTACATACTTGAACTGAAGTAACATATATCGACTAGTCATTCGACACACGCGTTAAACCGATATTAGTAGACAGAAAATATATATATATATATAGCGACGAGATTGACGGTTCTCCAACTCTCAGCACGCCGGAAACACGAATGCGCGAAGAAGAAGGGATTTTACTGTGCACCTATATGCTCACTCCCGCACCATCGAGCAAGAGAGAATAGCCCGGCTATTTTACTTTTATGACCCCAGCTAATGCGCCCTTTGTGTCGACCGTGGCTTTTCGTCGTGGTTTGCAAGCTTCCCATTCCCTTCTTTCCATTTATTCGCCTCTTTCTCCTTCGTTTCCCATCAAATCTTTCGCCTCATTCACTTGGAAGCACTACACAATATTTAATTAACGTTCTAGTTACCACGAAGACGCTTCTGTTGGTCCAAATTACCATGAAATTTACTTTAAAATCATCATCTATTTAATACAACTTTAGTGATACCAGTTTTTGTATAGTCTGCTCTATCATTTGTCAGTTAAAGAGTTCAATTAGCACAGTAATTTTTCGTTAACAAAAACGCTGTCTCTACTTTCTGAAATTAATTGAATAATTTCTAGAAGAGCTTTGCAAGCTTTGAAAATTTTTTTATTTTTCACTGTTCCTATGAAAATCATCATTTAACTTTTTGGAGTTATTTTATTACTCCAAAATCTTCCCAATCTTTGAAAAGATGATTTAAGTTTGGAAAAAAATCTGTGAACAATTTTAAATGGCTTTGAATAATGCAATATGTTCAAAACAATCATTTGATAAATAATGTCTGTTATAAATACTTACACATAAATAGTAACACTGGGATGTTGGTTTAAATTTTCTTCTCCTTTTCCAGACATTGTTTAAGCTTTGGAAATGACCGTAGAAATTTTAAAAATATTTCTAGAGATCTGAAAAATGAGTTTAACAAACAATAGCATTAGAAGTTGTTTGCAAAAACTTGTTAGAAAGTCATAATGGCATACAGTAAACATTCTCTGAGGGTAAAGTTAACAATACAAGGCGATTTTTCATGGCTGTATTTTTTACGAGGCACACGAGTACAGGCGACATCGGAGTGTCGATCGATGATTGTATAGAATCCCTTATGGATGTAATTTATTTTAAATAACCGTCCGATTCAATGTGAATTAGTCGCGGTCATCCGAATGCGACGGAGGGAAAATGTTCATCATATGTTGCATAGTCAAGTCGCGTATTTGACTCAAATGAGGGTGAAGGGCCACAACGATTCATAATACAATCTATTGAGTCTTTCCCCCTTATGAAAAAGCGCTTGTAATTCGTATATAATAGAGTGAAGCCACCCCTTGCGTATTTTCTAGATATATATTTACTAGTGTAAAGCGAAACGACGTGTGTCGTGTAGTTTCTGTTGCTATTTCTGTCTTTTACAAACTCGTTAAAAATCTATCACTATTCTTATCTTCCTTTACATCCGTGTCAACAAATTCGATACAAGTAGGTCGAAATATTGAGCTCTGCTACTGCCATTTAGGGACATCCACATCTTAGATATTTGTATAATAAATCATTATTCAATCTTTAAATAACCTCATCTGTCATAATAAATTACAGTAAAAATCTATTTGATTATAAACATTTATACATTTTTTAAAACAATAATAAGGTTTGTGTTATTTGAATAAATTATTAAATTTTTTTCTGAAGAAATAATTGAATTTTATATTTAAAATTTATTGAGAATGATAAATGAATAAAAAGTCAACAAAGTTATTTATAAAATTATCACCTTGAAAAACGATAGCACATCCTTAAAAAATGTATTTGGAAATTTTTCCTGATGAGATTGATGATTGCATAAAAGATTAATTATGCGTATATAAGTATAGAAAGTATAAGAAGAAATATGTAAATATTTTTTACGTAATTATACTATTGAACTTTAGTTCAGAGTGTAGTGGTAAATTTAGTCTAGTCCGTTCTATCACAATAAAAAAAATCCAAGTATAAATGAAGAGTAATCAAAGCATTGTGTATTAGTTTCAAGATTTTTTTTCTTTTTTATAGTAAGCATATATTGTGTAGGCAAGCTATAGATAATAATGGCTTGACTCTGCTTAATCACAATTATTCATTGCCATTTATCTAAATGTGTATACGTCTAGATTTTTGCAATATTAAATTGAAAAATAGTCGAAAGAAGAGACTGAATTTTTGCTTCAATAATCATCAGTGGAGAGCACGATTGTGGCCTTTTGCATGCACATCAAAGAGCTAAGTCTCGACCACGCATAACAAGCCTCATTATTTACGCTGATCATTATTTTGACGGCGCTGATCGGCCACCGTCCATCACTCTCCTATATCCCCTCTGCAGTTCACTTCATGCAAGCGCGCTTTTATTATCCAGGGCCAAAACTCGCGGTAAATGCCGCTGCTAACTCCGATATCATAAATCTACCTTAAAGAATGGCTCCACAAATCGGGGAGGGAGAAGCGAAGTTGTGGCGTTATTATTAATTGGAAACGTATGAGTTAAAAGAAAAAAGACTAGGACTACTATATAAAAGCCAGGAAAATACTCAAGTCAGATTTGTCCAGTCAGTTTTAATTACCTAACTTTCCTTTTAAGATGGTAGCTGTGCTACCAAATGGTCCACTACCCCTACAACTCTTTTATAATCCACTTTTTACAGATAATAAGATTTATGTCATAATTCATTAATTCTGTTTACTATTAATAAGTTATTTAAAAGCATAGTTAGATAATGGAATACATTTTTATATTAATCATTAAAACTAATAAAGTCAAGTTATACGAAAAAACATTGTATTATTCACGCTACTTTAATGGAAATTTATGTGAAATCTCACACTTAACTCGACTGAAAATTCTCTTACTCAAAATTAATTTATAGTTACGTCAATTCTGACGCCCTGTTAAACAGAATAACGTTTACATTTATTATAACAAACATGAATGAGATAATTCTCGTTGATAAGAATTTATTGAATTAAATAAATTAATAAATTATTTAGAAATAAGAATAAAATTCATTCATATTTAGATGATACAATATTTGCTCTTGATGTTCAGGAAATCAATTAACAGCAAGCATAAATTTCTAAAATTTATCAACCAAATCGAATTATTAATTGCGATAGAATGTATTTTTTTCATGTAAATTTCTTTAATTATTCTTCACGATTTTTATTTAAATATTCAAATATTCAAAACAGAAAACTTCTAAACATTTGCATTTCGTTAGAAAGATTAATTTTCGCGCATGGGTGAAATCATTAAGATATTTTTTCCAGATATTTTCTGAATATTATCAATTAACATGATTGAGCAAATGTTTTTTTCTCATGTATGTTAACATTCAATGATAATTTTTTTTCAAATGCTTACATTTTAAATCCTGCGCAACTCAAAACAATAGGTAGCATAAAAAAAATAGAATTATTTAAAAATCACCGATAAAAGATGCGTATTCATGTCCGCCTTTTTTCAATCACGTTAATTAATCATGAGTTTTAAAAAGAAGCATAAAGAAGCAAAGTTGGAGTATTCGTTATAATCTCTGTCACGCCTTCCATTAGTCTTAGCTGATAAAATGTCAGTTGCTAATGCACATATGCAGGAGGTAATTATTTTTTTTTTTCTTCATTTCAACACGCTGACATATTTGTTTGATAGTAAGCAAAAAATCTAATCTCAGGTGTTAGAGTCTTGTCATCATTATCTTCACTTACATAATACCATAGTGTTGACGTGTCTTTTTCGAAAATTGAACAAGGTCTGTTTTATTACATGTCTCTACACACCAGTCTACACTCTGAAACATATAATAAGATATAAATAAATTTACTCTAGAGTCTATATACCGCAATGTAGTAGCTCGTATATGTATACTTACAAGAGAGCAAACTTTCCAAGTTGACGTTGATGATTTTCAAGTAGGTATTCGCGTTTGAGGGAACAAGCAATTAAGAGCAACCGTATGTTAACGATGATAACATCAAGCAAGTTCTGACATGTTTTCTCTTATCTTACAACTTATAACTTGAGTGCACACCGTTTGTATTTAGACTGACGACACTCCCAATCTATTCATATTACGATTGTGCATATTCATGAATTGGTACAATGCTCATTAACTGCTCAAATCCATTTTTTAAATTTTTTGCTGATGACTCTGATTATCACTGAACATCACTAGTCTTTTTAACTACTGTTTGTCAATCAACAAAGTTAAAATTTTAATTATTATCGATTAATGAAAGATGATTAATTTGCAATTATTGAATGAATATTATATAATAATGTTTGGAAAATAAAATAATATTAAAATCTATTTTTTTTTTTTTAGAAATAGAACTTTTCATGACAATAATAAATTAGAGCATTAATTTGCGAATGAAATTGTTCATAAAGAAATAGTAAATTAAAGTATGACAAAAAAAATGACAGAAGCCAAAATAACAAATGGGAGAATATATAACGCGGCAGAGTAAATGAAAAAAGCGAATTTGTTTTTAGTCAGACACAAAACTCGTATATATTCATGTAGTAGTACTGCATATTCATGAATTTATATCAGAATATATGTATTCATACAAATTTTTTGAACCAACTTGAATATCTTTTTCATGACAATTTATTTTTCATTAAAGCTCTGATAATAAAGAAAGATTATTTTTCATTGTTGATGGTGCGAGCAATAAACAATTTCAAAATGGAACCTATGATGGGAAGATGTATTTTGTTATAAAATAATAATATATTGAAAGTCATTTACTGAAGTGTTTTATCGCTCAATGACCCATAACGATCGGAAACTGAAATTTTCGAGTTGGTGTGGCTGCTGTGCGCAATTTATTGAATGGATCACGCGTTCACCTGCCGCGATGATCCCATAAACGAACTGTGATGATCGCAGAGTGATGATCGGTGAAGAGTAAGAGAGTAAAGCATATGCTTGTTGGAGATATAGTGAAATCGAGTGAGTGGAAAAGGTTCGCGGGATATTAGTGTCGGATATATACTGGCTCGAGGCCTCGTTGCCGATCTAACAAGACAACCCCTTTCGTCTGTTTTATGCTGGCAGATGAATTCCGAGCAATTTCTCGTTGGTCGGGCTTTCTTTGATGCTTTGAACTCTCACCGCGCTGACCGATCCTCGTGGTAATCATGCGAGCTTGCCACGCCCCGAAAAACACCTTCTCGCCAACAAGAGTTTCCTCTTTCCTTCTCTCTCCTTAGCTTCTCTTCATCATCGGCCTCACTTGTCCCATCGCTTTTTTCTCCTTTACCTCCGCGGGTAATATCGCCCCAAGAATCTGATTCTAAGACCGATCGAACCGGCTGATCCTATCGATTGCTATTGCCAAGACCGATTCCAGCGATTCTTCACGCCGCGGTTGCACGGAATCATATTATTGCCACGAGCCGTATATGTTCCTTCGAAAAACACCGCCCATAATCTAACGGATTGAGAAATTTGTTTCTTACAATACTTTATAGTTCTATTTTTAACTCGAGAAATAAATACGTATCCTATTTAATTATTTATTACTTGCCGAGGAGTAGTGTAAATTCCTCTTCAGAACTGATAGCACACTTGATTGGCTTGTGCTAAAATAAGCAGATCCTTTAACCATTTTATTTTCCCTTGTTACCTGTAAAAAAATCAATCAAGTGATTAATGTGTGTTATTATTATTTATAAATAAATATTATTTATTACTTATTACTTTGAAATCACTTGAATATTGTAGGTAGCAATTTAAATCCAGTCTTTTTCTGGAGTAGTGATAGGATAGTTGGGGGTAGTTCTGAATTATAATGAAATATTTAAAAAAATTATAATATATCGTAGAAAAATATGATCAAACCCATATGTAATCATATTTTATTACTACTCGAGATACTTTTGAAATTTGTTATTTAATATGAGTTAAAGATTCACAGCTAAAGTACTAGAGTTATAATTTACGTATAGCTGTAAATGTTATCATGATATTTGCACTCTTATAGATAAATAATAAATAAACATATTTTTTTATTTAAATATTGTATAAAAATATCCTTTCATTTTAACTTTTATCTACTGTTATAACTATTACTCACATAAAACCTATTTAAAAGCAACATAAAATACCAGTCTTGAAAGTTAATGTTCCCTGTTTATATAAATATAAAATAAAACTTGAAATATTTATTTATGATTAAATCAATATATTGAAAACGTGAGTACATAAGACATGTATGAACTTTCAATCTGAAAACCTTAAATTATTTAATAACATGTAAAATAATAATACTTGATATCCTAAAGATTAGTTATTAGCTATATGCTTTACAAAAAGACTATTGATAACTAGACCTTTCACTTATTTTAGAAATTATAGCATTTCCCACGCTTACTTATAGGTTCATATAATTAGTATCAGTTAAAAGATTATATGCTGTTAAAAATGTGGACAACTATAAGCAATAGTTGTCACCAACTATCACTTTTGTCTGTTCTTGACACAATAAAGTTAAAAATAAATTCTATCAATAAATTAGCATTCTCAAACACGTCAAAAACTTTATATTACATAAAAGCTACTCTTCAATGCTTCAACAAATTGCTTACAACACCTACTTTCGGTAGTTAATTTTTCATAAATATAAACACATAATCAAGATGTCAAGATTATAACTAGACTTTCAATGTTTATATAATTTATTTTCAAAACATAAATTTTATGAGTCATTGAATCTAAACTAGAAATACTCTATTACACTGTAAAAGTGAAAGAATAAAATTTTTATATTGTATTATTGTCCAACCCTATAATATAAAATCCAATATGAATTAAATTTATTTAACCACTCACAGACTGTTTCTTTTTTTAAAGTCTACTTTGTCATCTGTTCAAAAATACATTGGATTCCATATTTTACTAGCACGAATATTTCTTCTAAATGGCTACATGCAACACAATAACAATAATAGTGGAAGCTCTGCTGACTTCTGCTGAGATTTAACTAAATTTGAGGGGTGCTCACACTGGCACATTGACGTTGATGCAAGCAGGAACATAAATGGCAATCTCGAAGTTGCGATAAATCGTTGGTATACACACGCGTGGTTGCAGCACCTTTGGGGTCGCGATTCCCGATATGCCCCGCCGACCACGACCCTCATTCTCAACTACGGTGGTCGTATTGCCATTGCTACGCTTAACATTTATGCTTTATACTGCTATCAAATAGTCGCAATCGTCATATAATGGAGTATAAAAATTTTATGAGTCTATCAAGTCAACTAAACTTTTTTTCCACGCCCTCAATATGTTCTAATAAGGTTACTTAAAGCATCTCTGCTAATTTTAAGCTTAAAACATTAAGGTGATACTATCAAAAGAATGAGTAAGAGTGGGGCATAAGAACCTCGAAAAGTCTGCCAATTATAGTATAATTACCGACGATAATATCTAACTTCATAACTGGCTTTTATGAAAAGAAGAAAATATAGTAAGTATATATAACTACACCTACTTGAAAATATGTAAGGAGTTTGCGCTGATAAGATCATCATCACGATTAGTCTCCATTAACTTATAAAATTTTATTTAAAATAATATACTCTGGGCATTAAATAATATGTTAATAGTTCTGTAGAATAATATTATAAATATTTTTCAATTCTTGGATTCAAATAAATTAGATATTAAATTTATTCAGAGATACACTGATCATAGTCACATTATTTACCCAACAGGAAGTTCTTACACCGGTTAATCGCAACAAACGTAGCTCATAATCGTACGATGAAGGATATAATATGCTTCTTCCCAAGCTACCGACGGAGCAGGTGCTCGAAACTGCCGTTTAGTCCCGCATTGAACACCGTCAAATAATAATGAATGAAGAAAGAAGATTATCGCGGTTCTCTGCTTTCATTTCGTCTACGAGAAAAATTTCATACTCCAGGAAAAAAAAAAAAGAAGTAGCTAGGTCATTCAACGGGTCTTTAAATGTGATTTTATGGTTTGAGTATCGTTTAATATATTAAAACGTGAAATATATGTGGATAAATTATTGTATCACTTAATGATGTAATAAGAAATGAAAGTTGGATCCGTTAAGGGTTAATGAAAGATGAGTTTACGTTAGAACTTCAATCCAGATGTTTCAATAAAGAAATATGCTATTTTTTCTTATTTAATGGAGAACTATAATTAATCATTTAATTTTTTCCATTTGAAAGAAATTTTTCATGAATTTTAAATTATCAAAATTTGTTATAAAATAATTTTATGCTTTTTAGAATACTCCTTCAAGAAAATTGCAAAAAAATTACTTTCTTATTCCATCAAATTTACCATCATATGATGATATTTGATTTCTTTACAATTTAGTCATTATATTGAAGATAAAAATAAATATAGATAAGAAAACAGGACTCTTAGACAGAAGTTTATTCTCATACTGAAGTAACATCCTTATATTTTATAGAAACACTAATTTAATAACATTCAACAGCCTCACGTATGTATAGAAATTTCTCTACCTTTTTAATCCCATATTGTTGATGCACGTGAGTACCAGAATTTTACATATCCGCAAAACGAAGAATTTGCCGTCTTCATGTAATTCTGGAGTGGACGTAAGTGAAGATGAAGAGGAAGACGGAGATGAAGAAGATCGAGATGAGGGAGCGGAAAAAAGATACATTCGAATCAGCGGTATTCATCGAAGAATGAGAGACAACAAGCGAGAAGCTGTGGCTGAAAATATATATACATGTATAAATATATATATGTATACAGATACAAGAATCAGGAGAGAAAAGAAGAAATGGGTGTGGGGATATTCTTTACCTCTCTTGGCTGAGTAGAGGTGTTGCCGGCGGTGGTATTAATTGGCGGGGAGCTCGACCGTCTGTGATTAGCCTCTGCAGCCGCCGCCACCTCTGATCCTCTCCCTGCTCTCACAGGTCCCGATCGTATATCTGCCGACGTACGTGTGCGTCATACCCTCCTTTACTTTCCACCAGAAAGACAATCTTCTCTTCTCATTCTTCATCTTCTCGATCTTCCTCTTCTTCTTCACCTTCTCTTCACCTCCTTATACTTGCATCATTGAACATGCAGTAAATATACATTAATGTGCAAAGGATACTTAACTGCTTGAAAATCTAAATCACAATGTCTTTAATTATTTTTTTTTCATAGTTATGAATATTCGTAAAAATTAATGAATTTTGAAAATAAAATTCAGTGTTATGACATAGTTTAAATAAAGAATTTTCATAAAAATAAACAAACGTTTTTTTGTAAATTTTTTTTACGCTTCAAGGAAAAAATTTTTGCATAAATGAAAAGTAAATATTTTGTTGTTTCAGTTTATCTTGAGTTATTGTTAACTCTAGAATAAATTTTTTCCTGAAACAAATTGAATTTAAAAAAGTTATGAGATTTAAGTGAAAAAGATAACTATTATGGTCAGCCAGAGGATTTTTTTTTATATATAATCAGTTAAATATGATAAATATATGGCCCTTGACTATGGGTCCAGGAGTAAAAATAATCATTAATCCTTACTCCAAAAATACAAAAGCTTTAATATAAATCAATCAATATAATAATTATTTGAAAAGAACTGAAATTATGCCAAATATGTCGAATGAGACTTTGGAAAAAATTTTTTTGAAGAATACTTATGAGTTTTTTTTTTGTTAAACAAAGATAATATCTATTAAATACATTTTTCCAATTAAATATCACAATAAAATTATTTAAAGAAGAGAATTCACTTCTCTTTTATTTGAAGACTTTTTATTTGCCTGAATTTGTATACCATTGAGTAGTTGTTAGGGTATACTTTGTGACTGAATTATCTCTATAATTTAAAAAAAAAATTTACTCACGAAATAATTATTCTTTCATCTATTTATTTTTGCCATCACGTGTTCCAAGCTTGCATGCTACTTTTCGTGCATGCTAATTCAAGTAAAGCAAATAAAAAACTAAATTTAAAGTAAATATAAATATTTCAATAGCGATTCTAAAAATATGAATATGATATTTGCAATGGTAACTGTAACTATATAACTCATCATTTGCACAAAAGATATTATCATTTTCCAAAAAATTTTTAGAACCTTTCAACTCCTCTAATGATTACACAAAAATAAAATTATAAATATAAGAATCTACTGAATTTTTCTTATCACATTTTTTTCGTCACGAGTGTGAAAGTTTATTTGCGTGTTACATTCTTCTAAATGTGCTATATACTTTGTAATATATTTATACGATCAACGATTTTACTTATGCATGAAGTATGTATGTATACATAAGTACTCAAGACACTTTGTACCCCTTTTATACTGCATGCAGAACCGCGATCGATAAGACACACTAAGCGAATGACTCTGCAAATCTTGGTGAAAGATTCTCTAACAGATACTCATGTCAATGAATAATAAAAGTCTGCTTTTATTTGCATATTAATTATTCATTTGTATTAATGTAATAAAATATATTGTAAATAAAAATAAATAGAATAGCGTGTGAGGCATATAATAACGGATAATTATTAGCGAATATTTATTTTGGATAATTTTTTGATGACTCTGGCGAATAAAAAAAAAATCTCGTGAAACCTCGAAATTTTTTAACTGACTTAGGTACACCTTTGGTGTATTTTTACACGACGGTTAGTAACATTTTTGGAAGGAATATTGTTCGGCGGCTCGTCTGGATCGGACAGTAATACAGCTGGGCAGGCAGTTACATGCCAGGCGAGATAATTACAGAGCGCTGTCGGACCGCCAAGTCAAACAACCTAAACATCAGTCTGTTCCAGCCATAGGCGGCTGATTTCGTGGACAGGTTTCATAAAGATACTCAGTAACTTATTCTTTCGTCCAGGGAGTATGAAATGCGAATTATCGAGTAAAATATACAAGTTATGTATACAAAAACACCATACTAAATTTGCATGATTTATAGCACATACAAAAGTCAGTCTTGAATTTCTCGAGATAAATTGAACTAAAACTTCCAATCATTCCTCAACTATAACCACTGACTTGAGATGAAATCACAACTGAAACAAGAAGAAATTGGAATTAATAGATCTGAAGAAAATAATTTACAAATTTCTATTAATATTTTCTATCAGATAATAAAATAGAAATATGGTATAAGTGAAGACTAATAAAAACTAATAATAAATTGACATAATTAAACTTTTTATGCTTTGAAGTACCATTTAATTGTTACTCCTCATGAACAATAATGTTAATAGAATCTTTTCTAACTAGAGAAATCAGATAGAGATTTAATTGAATAACCGTGTTGGATGTAGCAGATAGACTAGTATGTGATTTTAGGATGATGATGATGATCAAACTGAAAAAATAAAATATATAATGAGACGCCTATGAGTATCTTGAGAAGATGGGTCAACTTGTGTTCGACAGTGGGTGTTACAAAGATTAGAAACACGCAAAAGGGGTATGGACATGATATAAAACTATAAATAAATCCGGGGGCTTATAAAAAATGTAAATCAACGATGTATGATGAGAGAGACTGTCTTGGATGGAAGATCAAACGCTGCCGCTGGAAAAAGGATGAGCCGGGGAAATTGACTTTTACTCTCGATTATGATTATCAACGTGATTAGATGAGCGAATTTAATAGTTTATCGCGGTGAGAAAGCGTAACAAGGCATGTCTATATACACACACGTAATTCCCACTCAGAAACATGGATCGAAAATTTGCTTAACGGAAGTGATTTGAAGAAACCAACAAATTGTGTTGACGTAATATTTCAAGTCAAACGTTAAATTATAATGTCGTATTCCTGAACAATATAATAAGTGAAAGTATTTTTTATTAAATAATTTTTTTATCTAATATCATAATTAAGCAATGGAATTCAATAAAGAAGTGTTTTGCATATTTTACTGGTCAAACAGTTCTAGAGATAATTTAGCATAGATTCCGTATGAATATTTAACAAAAATTATTGTAAAATAATAATACATACGAGTAATGATCGTAGTAAAAATTTTTTAGTCATTAAAAAATAAATAAGTCGGGGCTATTTTTGCTATATTACTCGTCTTTTTAGGATCAATAAAATTTATGTATTTGATGTGAGATAAGTGTAAATCAATTAGTAATGAGAAAAAAAATGTTTTTAAGTATAGATGACCATCCAAACTTTTTTCCAGCAGCGTATCTACGAAATAAAAAGAATAATAAATTATTATGATGAAAAAGATCAAGCTAATGATTTTTGTAATTATGTATAATATATTTATATTAAATGAAAACAGTTAAATTTTTTCTTATTTTAACTGAAACTTGCGCAAGTCTCATAGTACCTATTATTATCACATTAACCACGCCTTTAAGTAATCGTTTAACTAACAGTACTTTAGTCTGATTCCTTGTAAAAAATATTATATACTATATACGTCTCTTTATAGAAGAAAATTATTTTATTTAATCTACAGTAGTTTATGAGAGAGTTGAGATTGAAATTATACATTTAAAAGATTAAATGTTGTTATTTTTAATTAGATTTAGAAAATCAATGTTTGTATTTTTTTTACCATAAAAATTATATTCTAAAGAAATAGAATCAACATTAGTAATGAATTTCATGGAAATTTTATATATATCCCAAAGCTGATTTTCTATTTTTTTTTTTTTTAAGAAGTAAAAGAAACTAATCAATTTGAAATTGAACCCGTGACGGGATTCTTTCCCATCCGATACTTTTTCTCTAGGATCTCTTCGATTTCTTTGACTGGGTGCACGACCACCCCAGAGCCATCACCATTGTCTGGAACAAACGTGCGAGGACTAGAATGAATTTTAAGTCTGTGCGAAAAGAATAAAATTAACTGCCATCCTTGTCACGGTTCCTTTTGGCTAAAAAGCATCAACTTTAGACCAACACTCTAACTTCAACTCTAGAACACTAAACTTTTATTGTATAAGATAGTTCATGATTATCATACTTCTAAACAAGCTTTCTTTCTTTTATTTAGCCACTTAACTTGAAAATTTTCTTTTGAGAAAAACAATATTCCATACTGAGAAAAGCAACTCATGATTAGAAAAGGTTCAGTGAATTTCTTTGGGCTGGGCCGCTTTATAGGTTTAACACCTTACGGTCTGACAAGGTAACAGTTTGAGGGAAGAATTTGTTTGTTCTGTGGGCGGTATTTTTGACTAATGATATCTCACACCTGTTTCTTCACCTATTGAGTGAATGGATATCTTTGAAAAAGACCAAAAAGTGCATCCTCACACACAATACTTTGTTGAAGCTCAAGAGGGTATCGATTTAAATAATATACACAAACTCAGGTATAAATAAATATATATGCTTTTGTGTGTTAAGAATAATGAAGGGTAATTTACATCCAATTTAAAGTGGTGACAATATCGCTTAAATTGTTAAGTCACCACGATATGCATTCAGAAGAGTGGTATGTAACAGAGTATAATAATGTCAAAAATTAGTCTATTTCAGTTTGGTATTCAGCAGTCACGATAACTTTAAACTCTAGCATTTATAAACATTTATGTAAGAGCATAAAGTTGAGGTATTCGTGCGATTGTTAGATATATTTACTTGTACAAACTTATTTATTTAACTTCTGCTATTGTGTAAAATTGCCAGAGTATTTTTTTCAAAGGTTTCGTGTTCATTTTAATTTTAAAATTCGATATAAAATAACTTTAAAAAATATTCAGCATAAAAAATGGAGCTAAAAATAGTAATAAACTGACTACTGAAAGTTCATATTTATTTTTGGGTTGGAAAAGACATAATTCAACCGCGTATTTAATTAGAGAAACATTGATAGGTGGGCTCATTTAAATAATTGAATAAAAATATTTAAATGAAACAAATATAAATAAAAAAAGACAAGATAAAAAAGTGTAATTATTACATAAAGATTTGTATAATATCGCTATTTATATTTATCTAATTTTTTTTCTCATATTTAACGAGAAAAAAAAAAGAAATTAGCAGAACAAGACAAAGAAATCTAATTAATATATACACACGGCTTCTAGCTATACCATTAATTTAATCAAGTTTTTATCAAATATTCAAATAGAATTGGAATCAGAAAAACCCAAAGTAGATAAAAAGTTTAATTATTATATAAACATTGACTCTAATAATCCTATTTATTTTTATCTGAAATTAGCAAATTATGTGAATGCATGTAGAAGAGTAATATATTTTAATAACTCCGCACTTTGTTTTATATTCCAGAGGATATAAATAAACTTCAGTAAGACTGTTGTTATATTCAATAACATAACACCTAAATAATTCACTGTTTCCTCTGCGCAGAGTTCATCGTAGACATAATAATGATGAAGAAGGAAAACCGGTCGGTTTATGATGTTACCGTCGCGATGGAGAAACACAAGCAGTTGGAAGTGCGCGAATATTAAACTCTAAAGTATATTACGAGAGTCAAAGCTTCAAGTAGGACGAATTTTCTGTACATTTCACTCAACAAATGACTCTGAAACACTAGTGGTGAATATAAGGTTGTCTTTAACAATGGCCTATATAAACCAAGAGAAAAAGGAAGAATGAAAAAAATAACACATCTAAGGGAGCTGGATCATGGAAGAGTTAAAACTGTTGGATATTTTAAAGATTCTGCGGACATCGTAAAGTGAGAGTATCGGCAATACCTGTGGAAGATGGTAGCGTCGGCGAAGAAGAAAGAAGATTGAGGCGCGAGAAACGGACGAAACGACCGTTAAAACACGACTTCTCTCACCTTCATCTCAGAGCATCCTTGTCCTTTTCTCTTCATACTTGTTCTCCTTTTCCCTTTCTTGTTGTTTTTCGCTTCGTTCAAGGGTCCGCCTCTCGCGGAATCACCGCGAAGGACTCGTTGAAAGGGGGCGGCCATGCTATGAAAACCATCAGCTAAGACTTGTGGGACGTATACCACGAGCATAAAACTATTTTCCACGGATCGGTAACGACCGGGACCAATTCAACGTTATATACTTACAGTTCTTGAATATTCACTTCAATAATCATAAACATTCAAACAGAAACTCTGATAGATTATCTAAAGTATCTGAGAGTAGAATATATTGAAAAAGACTGTAAACAATATACATTATAGACTATTTTCTTTATTATAAAAAATTACTTTATGATAAAAGAAACTGTTTTTTTCTTCAAACTAGATTTATTATGAGATCATTGACATTCTCTCACACTTAAATTTTATTGAAAAAGGTTCATTAAAATTCTTTTACTGAAAAAAAGTATTAAAAAACTATTATCAATATTTAATTTGAATATGTAATTAGCCACAAAAATGTCTTTTGTTCACAACAAGACAATAAAGTACAAACATAGGTAAAGTTTCGAGGTTGCCTCGCGGCTTTGAGTATAGTATACATACCACTTTGGTTAAATACAGGGTAGTTATGAGAAAGCATAAACTGTTTCGGGCTTGTAACATGCACACTTGGGACGCACCAGAGTCTATTAAACGCATTGGAAGAATGTTAAAATCAATGAAAGCATGAGAACAAATGACCCAAACACCTAAAAGCGTCAGAGGAGAAAGAAGCAGCCTTAAAAGCAGCAGGTATACCTGCTGATGCAGACAATTAATTAACACTTGAGGTATAACTTAGCAAAGTGACATGAATGTGAGCGAGAAATTATCGAGTAGTAATTCCAGGGGAAAGTCATCAGGAAGAAAAAGGTCAGGATGACCGAAAGAGAGAGAAAATGTGATGGGGAATGATGTGGGAGATAGTAAAAGATGGATCCAACTCATAGTTTGGGGCGGAGCACGTCCCCTCGTCCTGGCACAAAACGGCCTGCGGTATAAATTGGTTTGTTTGCCGCGGAGATGAAAGGGGCCGCTAAATGCTATCTTTAAGGTGTCGGATCAACGCAAATGTGGCTGAGTTACTCGTAATTATAGGATAGTCCAGGCTCTGAGCCACGGATGGAGCTTACCTTACACCTTCCCGCGCTCTCTAGATTCTTTCTCCTTTTCTCTCCTTATATTCGCGTCGTTTCTTAACCATGTCTACAATGTCTCGTCGCTGTGCTGCAAAATACACTGGCGTGTCCTATTGGGGGCTACTCTTGCTTTCTGTTCCATATTGTAGACAATAATCACCTTTTGACTCCAATTTGTCCCCTTCACGAACCGACTTCCTACATAAACCATGAAAGATTATTATTTTGGTTTTTCATCATATTTGTTTTTTAGCCTATTTCATGCTTATCGTGATTTACATCATTTATATTCTTTATCTACTTTTTTTTATATTTTAAATTAAATAAAAAACACTGAATACAAGTACTGGTAATTCAAGTATATTAATTGATAAAATATATTTTACGATGAAAAATAATTTTTAATTCAAGTTATAACATTAAATGGTAATTGTTTTTTAGAAAGACTGATTTTATCTAGGATAAATTACATCTTAAAGTACATAAGATGATAAAAACCATTTAATAGCAATGACTTCCAGTTACATGTAATAATAAATGTACTCAGATCTTATCCAAGTCCATAGAAAATAATCTACATTTAAATTAAAAAACCTTTTAATTTTCTTTCTGAATCGTATATTAAATGTATATAATCATCGACATAATGAGAGAAAATTTACTTATCAAATACTTTTTCTCAATTGAACACTTTTTTATCGATTTCTCACCACAACAATTTCTAACATAATTTTCTACTCAATACATTATTTATTCAGTTCTCTATAAGGTAATTACAATCATTCCTAACACGACATTTAATAGCATCCGGAAATAATCACTCTCTTTGCGCTCTACGTGTGGCTTCTGTTACTTTATTTTAATCTATCAGACACGCGAGCATTCGGGAAAGGATTTATTGACGGGAAGAATAAGAGGTAGATAAAGATTACTTACTAGTAGGATGAGCACAATTATAATACGCGGCCCAGTTTTGATTCTTCATAATGTTATGTGTAATATTATGCATCTGTGTATAGTTGAGATTTTTTCTTGCTGACTAGTAGTACTGACTATTATATGTACCACAAAGGTAAAAATCGTGGATGTATCAGCGTAGAGGGATGGAAGAACAGCCAACATTATACTGCAAAATAATAATTCATAAATTATACGAGCCACGTCTGTTTAGTGCGGTGGCTGAGGTGTTCGGCTAAGCATAAAGGAGCTTTTTCTTTGTGCCTTCAGGTCGCGAAGATGAATACTGCATAACTGACCACTAATATACGATGATAGAAGATATTTTTTCATAGAAATTATGGTATTTTACTAAATTTTCTAATTTGTATTATCATGGGTCTATAATTTTGACGCAAAATATGTAGAAAATTTTTTTTTTGATATTTCCCTTTTGATAAAATATACTTTAAATCGTTTTAATTTATTTTTTGATACTAGTTGACTTTTTAAAAATTTAAGAATCATTCAATAATATCCTTACGTTACTCATACTGAATAATAATTAATGAATAGATACGCTATAAATATTCTTATTACTGACAGAAATATTAATTGAATGAATACAAAATGATAAATTGTGTCAATAATAACCTAAAGAAAATTTTATATATCTGAAAAAAGGAAATCTGATGACAGGATCAAACATAGTAATCAAACCGTTAATAAATACATTGGAAATCTGAAAAAAAATAAAATCCACAACAATAATACCTCAGTATAATTCCGCACGCTTATTCTGCCATGTTGGAATGCGTTTATATTGTAAGATTGCCTCGGGCATCTCTACTCTCGTCACATATGTGTGTAATACGTACACTTTCTTCTCCTACTTGACAACGTAAAGATCAACGTTTCTTCCTCAACCTCGTTCCAAAGCCTATATGACAACCAGTACACAAATGTTAAGACTCCAGCTTGATTTGCATAACCAGTAGCACAACCGTGTGTAATTTACATTAATTATTTCTAAATCTTGCGTTTGGCGCCGTGATCCACACGATGAAAATGCTATATTGAGGACAAAAAATGGAGAGATTTGATTAAAGATTACTTGAAGATATTATTAACTGTTGTATGTACAAAAATTTTAATCTTATTTTTATTTTAATAAGTCTTTTGAGCTGAGCTCTATATTTGTATTATTTGATTCAATTAATAATCTGTGATTATAGAAATAAGATTCATCAATTATTCGTATAAATGAAAATTAAAAATCAATTTTTTTAAATTCATTTCAGATAAAGATCAAAGAAACATGTCAATGTATAAAAAATTAATGAAAATAAAAATAAATTAAAGCTCAGTCATTAAAATTGTAAATAGTCAATTTTAATAATTTTTTATAGTTTATTTATTTTGTCAATGCTGCTCAGCACTTTTAGTAGATGACGATGGTTTTATTATACAATTAAATAATTCTTGTCTTACCTTTTTTCAACTTATCCTTTATTTATTTTTTACATTCTCACTTCGTTTTATTCCCAATAACATCGCCGAAGACCATACAAGTCAAGATGCAGCTCATTCACAAGAATACCCCCTGTTGATGCCATGGTGAATTCTCTCGTTCATCTTTGTTTCTCATGTAGTCTTGTACTCTTTTAAATAACAGGTAGATCATCTGAGACATACACACCCGCAAAACTGGCAACTCATCGCGCTTGTTTTCCGCCTGCCCACGATTAGAGACCGTCCGTCAGCCACCTGGGGATCACCCTGTGCCTTTTACACCTCAGAAATTGGTCCTTCACACCTCAAAAATGCAACATAAGTGCCTATCATTTTTTGTCAATGAAGGTTGAGTAATACACTGATAAAGTCTATTAAATTCATATTATAACCTTACATGATTTATAGATAAAATATAAAATTATCTAAATTGATAGTTTTTGTAAACCAATTTTCGATAATTTGTATTTTTATTTACTTTTAGAACTCTGTTTACAAGTTCTGAAAGAGTACGCGTCATTCCGCGTCAACGTCTGTCTGCCATTTTGATTGTTTACGCTTCATTGGTTTGATCAATCATCACTTCCGGAATGTCTCGAACCCAAAATCTACGCACGAAGAATTTCGAATTTTCATAAATTAACTTAAATCAGAAAGAATTTTTAATATTTTTTCCTAAATTTTAATGAATATTGTAATTTAGTAGCTAATTATAACCGAAGATAAATAAAAAAATATAAATAATGTTCTCGTGATCAACGCAGTACTAGTGTAATTGCGCGCCTTTTTATTGTCGTATACGTCATTGTGAGGTGGAGAAGAGTTTCTCATGATAATACATGTATGTATTCGATTAATTAATACTAATTAATTTACACTTGTAAGTAATAAATAACTTATTTTAAATTCTTTATACATAGTGATTATTTGCATTTTAGATTTGTTGAATAAACATCTATTCAAAGGGTAAATAAATATAAATCTGGATGAAAGAAGCTTGGTCCCTGTGATGGTGAGTTAACCCCAAACAATTGTCAATAAATAATAAATATTTTTCCTTTCACTGTTATTCTAAGTAACATGGGGAATCCTAATGATAAAAAATTATTTTGCAGTTAAAAGTTAAGTTTTATTTTATATTCTGTAATTTAAATATTTAGAGGGCAAACTTCTTATTAATAAGAATTACCTCACTATGAAAAACATTTTAGTGATTACAAATGTTGAGTTGGATGTATTAGTCACAATAAAATGTGAATTATATAAAAATTATCCACTAATCAACACGTAAAGCGAAACGAAACGGAACTCATCGCTTCTAAACATCTTTCGGCGCTATTAATTTCATTATTTTGTAGCGGCGTGCAAGCTTTCATCACTCGACAAGAATACGAACAGTATTCAGTATAGTACTTGTGAAACGGTAGCTAAAATATGCGAATAAGCAGTGCACTCGTCGGTACAATTCCCAACGCTCTGTAATCATTTGCACGCGAAGAATAATTCTGAACGTTTAAAAATTGCATTTAAAAATCACTCTGCAATTTCATAAATTTTTCATTCAGCATTGCCGTCATCTGTGTTAATTGTTTAAATTTTGTTTCCCTTTCGGTTCTTTTAAAGCAGACATTGATAGCAAAGATTATATGAGTTTCGTGTTAAATGAAAAATAAAAAGGGTATCATCATGAAAGCATCACACCTGCAATACTCTTCACTCTGAGATCATCCAGAGAATATTATACATCGCATGATGCGTACGATCGCACCGGTTCAAGGCTTCACTCTTGAGGAATCCACGAAAATTTATGCCCCGATTCCAGTAGTTATTAATGCTCTTGATCACGATCATCCTCGAATAATTTTATCAAGCAATCGTGATGGACGAGTGCATAAAATGTCGATTTAAACTTTGTACGACGTTCGAACAACTTAAAAAATTAAAATACCACTAAATTTATCATAAAATAAGATTAGGCTGATATCAATAAATTTACTTTAATGTAGACTTTTTAATAGTTTTGGCTTACGTTCTATCAGAATGAAACTACAAAAAGAATTTAATAATATATATTAGCAATATTACAAGTCTATTTTCGAAGCTTTATGTTCTTGTTTATCAAGAATATTATATTAATTATAAAAATTTTTAATTTAATTAATTAGAAACGGTACTCGAAAATTATATGATGTTTATATTTTTTGTTTTAAATGTTGGGTTTGCTATGTTATTATCAAATTTGAATAATTTTCAATTAATTTTTTGAATAAACATTTTTCTTTTTATATTCATTATTTATTGATAAGGGGCTGAATTTCGACTACAATGATCTTCACTTGTCATGCTGATTATTTTTTCCTTATTCGTGAGTATCTTTTCTTTTAATTGAATATCCTGTCAGAATTCACTGTCTGATTTTAGAAAGTGAAATTTTTCTGAATAGACTAGCAATTTTTGCATCATTTTGTGGGCAGTACATTAAAATATTATTTTATAAAATGAGACTTTGACCTTGGTTGATCATAATATATAATTTTGTCAATCCGTTGTATTATATCTGATGCATCTCCTTTTGTATTTCAGAGCATAAAAGATTCTTCTGCAAGTGGATTGGTTTGTTTTTTAAGCTTTCGTGTGACCACAGTTATCCGTTCTTCAATAAACTCTCCCTGAAGATGATCTTTGAAAATATAATCTCAGCTATTGATGGTTTTTATTGAAAAAATACACGACCGGAATTCTATTGGTGTATCAACAAAAGTTGAAATATTTTCACGCAAATCTCGATTTTTTTTCCTAAGGATAACGAGATGTTGCGAGTATAATCGGAAGTGGTTCCCGACGCTTCCGGTCGTGAATACTCTTCGAACACACGCCAATATCTAAAACTCTTGTTATATTGTTATACTTGGAGGGCCGTTGGTTTAGCTGCAAAGACTTCAAGCTGTCGTGCATTGGCAATAATATAAGAAAAAAGCGAACTCGACGACAATGAAATTGCGTGCGGCAAGGATGTGGTCACTTCTATTGTCCAAGTCGAAGTCTTCTCTGTACTGTGTCAATTTACAATTGGTTTCGTTGTACATCTGGCCTTCTTCAAGCGACTCTTCTACTGTCAATTCATTCAAGCACCACACAGAGGGTGTTAAGTATATGGTAGATTATCTTGACTTGGTATCTGCAATATACTAAGTCATATGTTTAAAAATAAGTTTTTTCTTGATCTCAATTATTACTATATTTTAATATAGACATATAGACATAAAACCAAAACTTATATGTTATATTTTATTTACTCTTTTGTTGAAATTGATAGTAATATTGACTGTAAATAACAATACATTTCTTGATAAAAAAAATCCAACAAGTATAAAATGATTAATGGGTTCGATTCGAATACACAATTACTTCGATCTTGATAGTAATTTGATAGTAGCTTTTTTTTACTTTTTTTGTTACTTGAAGTTATAATTCATCGATTGAAATATTGAATGGAAATAAATTATAAGTTTGAAGCATAAGTTAACGAATAACTGACAATTAAAAGAAATGTTTCTTTTCTTAACGAAAATTCGATGAAGAAGATATTGATAGAAAATATTTTATATAAAGAAATTTTTTAATTAATTTTATTATTCAATTGCAATTAAATTGATATCCGGCTTAAAAATAAAAATGTTTTTATTTCTTAAACTGAAAACACATAAGGTACATTATTCAGAAGTTCAACGGTTTCTTAATAATTCATCATCTGAAATATGTGTAACAGAAAAAACAATTTTTATTTATTTTCTTCCAAAATAATAACCATTTCAAGTTCTTGAGTTATCAGTGGATTATAAAAAAATTATAAAGATTTTTTTTATATAATTGAATAATTGAAATAACCATGAAAAAAGTTTCTAATAAAAAATTTGGATTTTTTAATAGAAGTAGTAAACCATAACCATAATTAATTTCATCATTATCGAGTAATTAAAAATAATAGTACTGATATTTATCTTTGATAATTATTACTATTCAAATTACTTTGTATTACATTTCAAATACGAGCTGGTCTCCTATGAAGTGAGCAACAATTAAACGGCCAGTAAACTGTAATTAGCACAGTAATAACGAAAGAATTGATGAAGCAATTTTACAAATAATCATGATATTCTTTAATCTCTTAATTATCAATGAATTTCAATTTTTATTCATCTGCTAAATCTTTACCAACTAATATTTTCAAATATTAAAATTTTAATTTCAACTGTAAAAAGCACATATGGCTTACTCAAAATTTAATGACATATTTTTCTCACAATATTTTTACGGAAGTGGACAAAGTTATATAAATTGAATATTATCATATATTCAATAAGCACCAATGTAGTGAGGGGTCAAACTAAAAATACAATGAATTGTAGTAAAAATTGATAATACTCTTTTTTCGTATCAACCTGCGGTTCAAGTGGACAGCAGTATCGAACGAAAATGTATTCACATGAAATTTTAAAATAAAATTCAACGAATAAATAATAATTACAGGGCTAAAACCAAATACGCAAATGCCCATGACTAAAAAAAGGACTCCACCCTTTAATTCGCGGTAGTAAAGTGAGGTAAAAAAAAGAAATAATCGAGTATGAATGTATAGAACTATTGGTTATCATTGACCATGTGATGCCCTTATTCACTCTGCTTGTTGAATAATTACAGTACTTTTAAATAATAAAATATTACAAAAAAAAATTACGAGACACGAGCTGCTATCGTACGAGTTGTAACGCTTCTTGATTCCAATATGGTTGTAAAAGAAAAACATATATGCAAAGTTTATGAAGTACATAGTAGTAAGAAAATTAAATTGTATAAGAATAATACAAAGAATATGTGATGTAGCAAGGGTCATTGTTCTCTTATGTTGGTTTCCGGAAAATCGTCAGGCTTGATGCAGATGAAAATGTTTATGATTATTAAACATATATCTTGAGTTATGTAGAACGCGGAAGCTTAATTGTTACTTATTAAATAATGCATTTAAATCCTTACTTTTGTATAGTATTCTTGCAAGTCTTTTATCTTTTCGGTGAGCGTTAACCACACCCTCGTGTATATATTCAACATAATATATGAGAAAATAAAACTTATTGCTTGTGGGAAAATTTACACGAAGAAAAATTTATGTCATTTCATTCATCCTCTTGAAAATATTGTCACAGAGAATTTGTATAACTATTTTTTCATGGAATAAGAAATTATTCTGTGTATTTGTATATACAACTAAAAGCTTTTATCGATGAAAAAATTCTACTTTTATCACTAACTTTATTTTTTTTTTATGAAGTAACTGAACACTAAAAAAAAATAGTTTCATCTAACATTTTTATTAAAAAGTAAGTCTAAATATTGCATTTAAATAATTAATCTACTATTATCTATTGTTATTTGTTACTTTATTTATTAAATTATTTCTTTCAGATACTCAGCAGAAGCTGTCAATAGATGATCTCCAAAAGTGCAGTAGCATTTGAACGATCAATTATGAAATAAATTTCAAAGAAATTAATCTCAAGAATAATTGAATAAATAGTCACCTGACAGAATTATCCCACAAGGCTGACAGCTCTTACCGTGATGACAAGAGTATTAGAATCTCTGGATTTAAAGGCGTGGTGGGAAGTACTCTGTGAGAAAATAAAGATGAACTTCCATCCGCTTACGTCGTGCAATTATAATCGCGTGGGTTTCACTAACTACGACAAGTCTTTCATCTTATTCAGGGAGTGGAGATGAGCACTGCGAATCTACCGTATAACGCGTAGTATAAACATTACGGCTTTACTTGCTTGATTACTAGTATTACAAGTACTAAGACTATCTCAAGACTAACTTGCTCTTCACAGATATGCTACATTATCATGTTTTTTTCATTAGAATAACAACTAGAATTTTTGTATGATAGACCACACATGCTCAGAAAAAAAAATAGAACAATTTTTTTCTTCATAATTACATTTAAATAAGGCTTGAGAATAATTTGTTTTATCAAAGAGTATAAGATGTACAAGAATTTCCTTTAAAAAAACCACTTAACGTTTTTGGAGTAGTTTTATTGTGAAAAAAGTTGATGATTATTTCTAATATCATTACTATAAATCAATTAATTATATTTATGATGAATATTCAATTATTGATAAAACGATAAATTGTCTTTAACTAGATATGATAAACAAAAATTTAAGATGATACAAGTTCTTCTGCAAACATGATTACACCATTAGTGATTATCATTTTTAATTTGTTGTCTAATGTATATAATCAATAGATAGGCATGTCATACTAGTTAGAAAAATTACATTCAATTGCCCTTGTATAGCTAATCGGAGGTCAACGTTTATGGGAACGTTTATTTCCCCTTCTATGTGGTGTCTCATCACAGTCATATTACACTATTATTTATCCTGAATGCAATACCATCCCTTTACGCATCATTTTGCACGCTCTATAAAAGATTATCTGACTTTTAGATACTTCCCTCCGTCATGTCAATCAAAAGTTGTAAACGTTTATGGTTTATGTAGTTAAATAGATTTTTTTTCATTCGATTCAATATAATTTTGCACGATAATACATCAACGTATTTTGCTTTATAAAAACCCTAGTAGAAAAACTGTCAAAAATTGTACATTAGAAACAGATGCACTCTGTATTTAACGGTAGTTCTAAATGTTTATTAATCAAAATCTTAAAATGAATAATTACAACAAAACGTTGATTTAAAATAAAATAAATTATTTTTAATGTCTTTGATAACTCCAGTAACTTGAAGAATTTATTCATTGATTAAATCATTCGCTGATCATTAACGAAATTAACAATACAGAAAGGTATATAGTGGTATACTATTCAAAAATGAATTAAAAATGTTTATTCATTAAATAAGAATACTAATTAGGATATTTCAGATTCAAATATAGAAAGGAATTTTGATGCTTCCTTGGTTATAATAAATACTGAATTAATTAAATAATAATTTGCGGATTATTATGATGAATTATTGAAAAAAAATTTCATTTACTTTTCAAATCAGTTTAAATTCATTTTTTCTGAGAAAAAAGAACATCTTTATTCTTGAATGTAAAAAACGATTATTTTATTCGAAATTGAAAATTACCTACTAATTAAGACTATAATTTAAGGATCATTAATATGATCGATTGTAAAAACCTAAAAATTCTATTCATCACAGAAACAGGTGTAACAAAAGTCATTAGCAGTTTTCAAAAAATGTTTTCCTTCATGGAAACATTGTTCTATAATTTTAAGAATGAATCTTTCTTTTTCTAAGAAAAATATACCAGAAGACTATTAGAAATGCATTAAAAGTATTTGAATCTTACACAAGAACAGTGAGTAGGTAAGAGATGAAGCAGCAGATGTTAAACGTACTCGTTTGACTAGCGTTTAAATATAAGTAATGTAAGTAACGGTTAGAACAAAAAGACCGTATAATGTAAGAGTATTCAACGGACATCATTTGCCGCTACTGTAGTCGTTTGAAATATTAACCGCTTGCTAAATAACATCCCTCAATCTCCGAGCACTTCGAAGGTATCTCTATATGCATATATGAGTATACCAATTACATACACGACATATATAGTCAATAGTTGGGCATAAGAATTAACCATAAACATACTAACATCCCCCATCTCAACATCTATGTGTATTTCCTAGCAAGATACAGCAATATGTCTTCTTGCTTCCTTCAACTTTGTCGACCCTCTTACTGTAATTAATCAAGATGCTCCTCTCCGTATCTAACTTTACCCACGGTAGACATTTACACGCAAGCATCCGTGACCTGACAATCAGCATACACAGCAGAACAAAAGGTAAATTTTATTAATTTTATTTAAATAAATTTCCAACATAATTATTTTATTAATTTTTTTCAGACTTATCTTGGACAACTCATCCAATTTTCACTTAATCATTCTTAATATCTAAATTATTATCTAATATACTCACACAAAGGAGGAGAAGATTATTTTGGGCACGTTTTTTGTTCAAAGTCAGTTGATAGTTGCTGAAACTTAATTTGAGCTGTCCATTATTTTTATGACTGGAAAACTGACTGGTTTTAATCCAAAACTTTGGCTGAAACTCTTGATTTTGATGATTGCTTTTCATTTCAAAGGTAATGCTTTTTTTTACTATGTTTCAATCTAAATGATTAAATATAAGTTTATGTATGTATTATCAGAGATTAACTGAAAGCCAGGATGAAAAGTTTAATGCAAAGTCTATTACTTTTTTCCATACCGAGTAGTCTTCTTTATTCACTTTGTACATTTTAATAATCAATTTAAATACATCAATTTCTACAATAACTTAGTTATCTGCTAAATATTCTATGAATAAAAAAATTACATCATCTTATTGTTAGCTTTAATAAGACAAGAAATTACCTGATCCATCATCTCGAAATTCTCTTTTTAATGATGCTCAATTACCAATTTGTTACAATGTAAAATAATTATTTTCGAACAGTTTCTAAATAGAATAGCTGTAGAATCTTCTCAAGTTCTAATGATAAAATATATGATTTCATAATTCTAGCTAGCAGTGATTATACGCCTAATAAGGAAAATTATGTGATCCGTCTTTTAGAAATTTCATATTTATAGTATTTTACCTTCATGAATATGTTATACATTGTATGTTCGCAGTAATAATTTCCTTAATGGCTCGAAAAGAAATTACTATGTGTCTTACTTCAAATGCTATAAGTAAATAATACTGTTACACAATCTTTTCGACTAATTCACTCGGGAAATGATATTATCAATTTTTTTTTTCGAAATCGCATCCTAATAATTCCAATTATCAACTCTACACAATGTATGCTGAGTAATAATTTATTCAATAGTGCATATAGAAAATTACTGTATAAGTAATAAGTGATCTTTTATACTATTGTACTGATAAACAAGTTTACTTCATAAATTATCATTAACTAAAGCATAAAAAATATTATATGATTGATCATGTATGTGTTTAGGTTTCAGTAAGTTTCATTGCAAGTTTTTTCTGAGAATTCGATATTTTATGTATTTTTATTAAACTCTCTTCTCTTCCTTTTCCATTATTAATTCTGTTATATTTTTCCCAGATATCACCATTATATTGGGAAGTTTCTACATTCAAACTCGAGACTTTTCTCTATGGCTTGGCCCGAACTTGGACATGAAGGGAGAATAATGGCCTCTATACTCGTGGCTCCAGGAAAACAGAAACGAGTGTTTATCGAGCCGTGTAATTATGCAAATAATGTGCATGTTTGGTAGCACTAAATTAGACGCGCGCCTTCAGACGTTTAAGTGTTAGTTTCTTAGGTTCTTGGTGTATTTATACAGCGATACGATGTGCACTCGACTTGCCACGTATGAATGTAACTATCGTGGAGCAAATGAGAAGCAGTAGCTAAGCTGTATGTCGTAGCATATGTATACAGACTCATGGGGAAAGTAAATACTGGTGTTCTCCGCGAGGAACATACACATTTTACTTCGGTTTTCATACTCTTAGATTGTTATCCAAGGTTGATGAGGGCTAGCTACCAGTAACACTCAGCTACTGTTTATGTGTATACGCACACCGTCAGCGTGCTTCGACATAATTAATTCATCCGCTTATTAATTTATTCTGTTCGTGCCTCGTGGCGACTTCAAATCTTACATATTACTACGAAAGAATTTTTATGAAATAAAAGGAAAATACAAAGGCTTCATGTACTAAATGACACTTTCTTCTGATTTATTGCTCCCCTTAAGTAATTATTTGAATCTTGATTAGTTTTATTTTTTTCCGCAGAAATTAATCAGTTGATCTTGTCAAAAAATGTTATTTAATGAGTAATTTAATATTTCTTTTTTAAATCATTTATTTTTAGTGATCTTGTTTTATTGTGAGTTCTCGTAAAGTAGAGTTAATTAAGAAATTATTAAACAATTATGAAAATCTTTATCGACTTCCTTTTCTTTTATAAAAGAAAAAAAGTAAAATAATTGTTCTAAATTACTTCAATTTTTATATTTAAATAACTTTAATAGTATTGAGGAATATTTTTATTCCTTTGTTTTCTGTCGATTAAATCATTCAAAGCTTTTAAATAATTTTCTTACAATGATATAATAATAATAATAATGATAATAACAATAATAATAAAAAAAATGTGAAGTCGAGTTACGTTAGAGTGCACGAACAGAATTAAATAGTAGTGCAATTGTAAAGGATTTGATTAACTTTTTTCCATATTACATTGATGGAAAATAATCAATTAAAAATATGGAAAAAATTGAAGTAGATTTTTTTAATATTGAATCGTGTGCGAAAGCATCAACAATTCATTTTGTCACGGATACGCTCGAGCCGATATTCTCGCAGAATTTTTCGATCATTGACTTGTAATTCTTTATTTCGTTCCATCTTCTTTTTCCATCATTCTTTTTCTTGTTTCGCGCGTGCTCTTGCAAGCTGAACTGTCTATAATTGATTGCTCCTACCACTTTAACTGCTAATTCACACCAATAGCTTTCTCTATACAATTACACGAATTAAAATTTTTTGCTATTGTTTCTTTTCAATTAAAAATCTCTTTGAGACATTAAGGGAGTAATATTCCCAGCCTTTTCAATCATTAAATAAACTATCTCACACTTCATAATAAATTAAAGTCTTCAAGTTTTAAAAATTATCAATAAATAGTTTTTCAATTACTTAAACAACTGACCTACTGATTCCTATTGAAGTTTCCTTCTTCAAAATTATGTTCAGTCCATTACAAACGTCCAAATGCTGTTATATTACAAACATATTTATTTCTTTTTATCTTCAAATCCATTATGTTGATGGAAATAAGTAGAAAAAAAAGCTGAAATGAGTTACAAAAGGTGGTCTTACAATTTTTTATTATTTTCCCAACGAATTTTTCAGGCTTGTTAAGGTCAAAATAAAGGAAACATAGAGCGGAAGTTGACTCGATTTGGTGGGATCATCAATTTCACAGCCATCTCAGTTGCATTAGTTAGGATGAGCAGACTGTTTTGAATTAAATGTCGCTGATGGTATATTACACGTTGTGAGGGAATGTTGGAGATCTAATCCAATAGAAATAACATGACGATCATGTTGAGTGAATAGAAAAGAACTGCAGAGTAGAATTCTTATGTATAGTGTGCAGAGCGTGAGTGGATAGGGTGTATATAAAGCATATAGTGATGAGGATCTGCCGGAGGCTCCCTGAGCGCGTGGCGAATCGCTAAATGAACAACGGCCATCACCAAGTGCTTTCTCCAAGTTCTTCTGGTTCGTTTATACAGCTTGTCCCACACTGAACCACCATCAGTTCAATTTACTCTTAAAATATATATGTGGAAGATGTTTTCTCATGCTATATCGCATCAACAGCTATATAGCTAGCATCAGCAGCAAAACAGCGGATGGAGTAGTCGGCATAACTAAAAGACGAATGAAATGCCAACGGGTGTACAATCAACAGCTTGACGACTTCTCGTCGATTGAATTAATGTCACAATTGCAGTGAAACTATGAATTAACGTGTCAGAACATCAAGGATTGAGGATTACAAATGATGCGGGTGAACTGTACACTTGAGTATGACAACTGCAATGAATTCATACAAATTATTGCACCAAGAACAGAACCTTGATGGCTTCGCAAACAATTTAAAATATTCAATGATTACAAAATGTTGTAAATAAATTTAATAGTAAATGAAAAATTGCCTTTTTGACATTTAAGCTTACATTTCTGCTTGCAGTAAGAAGTCATAAAAGTAAAATCACTGATTCTCAATTACTCAACTTTTTATGACTTGTGTCATTATTTTATTCTATGCAATTTAATTGTTTATTTAACAACAATTATTCATCAATCATTATTTTTATGATGCCACAACATTAAATGCACTTCAATAGTAATATCGATTGCAGTGGAATTAAATAAAAGTTCCCAAGAAATATTCGCTCCCACGCAAATGTTCCAGTCGAACATTATTATTTCTTTCAGAGTATTTTTTTTTCTTCAAGTTTGCTTGGACTTCAGTATCAAATTAGTGATCGGAAAGCGAGAAGCTATACAAAATCGTTTCCATGGTTCAACGGATAATTCAACAAAAAATATATTGATCTGACTTTAACATCAAACGATCAGACCTCACAAATGCTCTGGATTACATAGTTTATAAATCTATTCAACTGATCGTTTATTTATTTCATAATACACCTAACCGAATCTGCGGTTTATCGACGGACTGATTTTGATTCAATACCCGAATTTATATCAAGTACTTTTTGATTATAACTTATGGATAAATGTATTGATAAATTCAACTTACTACAGTCTGTACTTCTAGCTATTATGAAGGATGATGCTGTAAGTAAATAGCATAATATCAACCATAAAATAATTTCCGCAGTTTTTGTCTGTTACAGAAATTCAAAAGTTTTTTATGTTGATATAATAATAATTCAAGCGTAATGATAATCTTTTTGTTAGATAGAAAAACTTAATACTTAATTTTTCAATTCGCTAATCAGAAATAAATGCATTTAACAAGTAAGAACGATTGTGCCGATAGTTTGCGGTTTATTCATTTAGTTTTTTGTAAATAACTCAGGCATTCAGAGTTTTTAAATCAAAAACATTCAACAATAATAGAGTAATTAATTGTTTTATTTAATGATAGATAATCTGAAAGCTTTAAATAGGATTTCTAATAATGGAAAAAATTATAACAATAATTCATTGATAGAAATACGTACGAATGAAAAGCATTGGTTGTTTGGAAAGTACAAATTCAATTTTTGCCAGTTAATAAATAATTCAAGTTTTGAGAGTTTTGTCTTGTAAAAAATTTAATACTTGAGTACTTTTGTCATAAGACCATAAGTAAAAGAATAAAAATAACGAGAAAAGGACCCTCCTGACAAACGAGTAAATGGATACGATGGACAAAAACTGAAAGAGGGCGGGTCTCACTGACGAGCTGGTAACTGGCTGTGAATAATTTAATAGATATTGCGTCCTTTACCGTGTACCTTTTGCTCACTCTATATCCCCTTTTTACTTAACTTAACACTTTTCTTTTTAGTTTCGCCCTCCAAGAGGTGACGCTTCCACTTTTTTGCCCTCTTCTTCTTGATTAAAGCGTCCCATTATGTTCAATTTTGTGCTGCAGGAATTGCCAAGAATAATTCACTCTTTAATTTCACTTTAACTTTTTGAAGATAATAAATTTTTGTCTTGTCATATTTAATTAATTTCAATACTTCAATATTATTCTTAGTTTTAACAGTATTTATTTCTTTATTTTAAATCTATTTAATACACAATTACAATTTAATTATTAATTATTCATTACTTTGTTTATTGTCAGTTTGACATTAAGTACATATTTTTTTTTTGTTAAAGGAAAAAAATTCTGCAAAAATTTAATTGGAAATTTTTTTTTTTATTATTTAAAATCTAAATAAATTATAATTATAGTATGAGTTTCAAAGAAGTGTCAGTCATTTTATTTTTAATATCTTAGTAATTAATCATGATTGCTAGATTTTATTACTCATTAATTTTTGAAATTAATAATCAAATGATTTTCTAAAAAACAAAAGATCATAAAAAGAATCATTTACAAACTTACACATTTAAAATAGTTATACAAAAGATGAGTACATGTAAGAAAAACTCTAAGAAACCAAGTACTGAAGAACAATCGTATCATTAAAAGCCCTCAGCTCGTGGTTTTATGATTTAACCATCCGGTAGTTTAACTGCTAAATAACAATAATTGATATCGCACTATATCTGACGTCTATTGTAGAACGACAGAAAGTTCAGCATACACTTGTTTATTATTATGTACACATGTACAATAAAACTTACTTTGGTTATAATATTCAACTCTTTCCGACACAAATTCTCATTCGGCTCTTTATGATCAGAGATAAATAACCAATAAGAGCTGAGATGGAAAAAAGATCATGTTATTGATCTTTTAATGAATGTTTCAGGCTAAATATATGCAGTAAAGAAGTTTAAAAAAATTCTGCAGGTTCATGTATAGCCTCATCTGAAGTGTAGTTACATGCTTCTTCAACGCTTAATAACGTATGGAACACTTTTTTACCGTTGTCCATAATTTTCAAACAAGTGCGTTAAAGGAACACTTTATCAACTGCATTAAAAGTCCATAAAAAAGTTCACACAAATTTCAAATCACGTTGGGGTTAAATCTTTACAATTTTCTCCTGTGTATGAAGTAATTTCCTTTAATTCGATACTAGAGTTTTCAATCTTAGGAAACTGAAGTGATGGTGGCATTGGTAATGAAGGAAGAGTCAATGTTGATAAACCAATATTCTCTTGAAAACCTGTTGAAAAAGTGGAAGCTGAAGTTGAATCTAGACGAAAGAAACTTGGTAGCCCTCCTGGATAAAAATTATAAAGCGGGGATGACGCTGTAAGACCGCAGGCTCCTCCCTCAGGGAGTCCTTTAGAAGTCTGGTGGAACGACGGGTGTGAAGCAAACAAATTTGCTGTTGCCAAAGCTGTTGCGTAGACCGCCGCTGCTTGATGAAGATTTAGGGAATAGGAGCTCAAGGGATTGGTTAATCCCGTGGAATATAAATTAGAGTTGGGCCATGGTAATAAACTTGTAGTTGTTGGAATATCTACAGGACTAGAGACATTTAGTTCAGCATCCCTGGAATAAAAGAATAGAATTGTTGCACAATCATTTTCAAATTTAATTTTTTTTTAAAACACTCGCATTCCTATGAAGCAATATTGCAGAATGAAACTGAGTAGATTATAAATTGTTGTAGACAACTTTGAATTTGAAGTAAAGATTAATGTGTGTAGTTTAGTAAAAAAGCCCAAATGTCAATTTAAATTTGCTACTAAATAAGTGTAATTATAGCCAAGTATGTTTGTCTGTATTTTATGTTTTGATTTATTCTGTTCAGCATCATTTTGCTAATTTTGTAAATATTATAATTCCAGCTTGCTAGATCAAGCATGATTGCTCAAGTAGAATAAGTAGACTTTGCCACTACTACTTCTAGGAATTATCAAGTACGGCAATTTTTTTCTCTGTAATTTTTACCCTCTACTATTATACCAAACAGGACGGAAAGTAATGTTTAAAACAAAATTATTTTTTTATTTAATTTAAAAATCTGGATTAAATTATAATAAAATAACTCCATACCTACTGAAGACTACTCCAATTCAGATTAATTTTAATTCAAGTTTTTCTTCTATCAAACATGATAAATTTTATCAATTTTCTATCATGATAAAACTACCGATTTAAGTCTGAGTTTTTATTAAATAAACAAATAAATGTTTACTACCAAGAACCCATTAATACATCTATCCAAGTTCAAAAAATAGTTTCATGATAGTCTACATGCTTTTATAATGAATTCTGCAATTTATTAAAATTGTTTATTCAATCACTTACAGAAGGATAACTTCAATATGCGAAAAATTTATTGAAGTTTCTGCAATATAAACTGCAACGAATATTCATATTATAAATAAATAATCAAATTATCAATAATTTAAAGCACATGTCATGGTCATCTATCATGTAAACTCTAGTAGAAGCTCATGAAAGAAGTATGCTATTGTTCCCTTCGACCACCCACATCCAATTTCCAAAGTACATGCACTTATTCAGCGAAGGGTAACGATGAAGATTACTATGCCACTCTGAACTCAATGACAGTAGTATTTACTAACTAGTAGTTATAACTTATAAGTAAAGTATACATTACCTAGAAGGTCGTCGTTCGCTCGAACTGCTGGTCTTGATGATGCTTTCAATATTAAATGACTTAGGACCCATGGGTTTAGGTCTCACTACCTTCGTTTCAAATGAATCTCGATGATGACTTGATAGATCTTTTATTGATTCTAAAGTTTTTTTAGCTGCTGGCGAGTCTTCTAAAATCATTGATTCATTCATTAATGATCTACTTTCTAGAGAAGCCTGGGCAGAAAGTCCAGCAAGGTTTGATGTAAAATTCAAGAAGTCAAGTTGACGTTGGGTCAGAGGAAGACTTTGATCTTGATAGCAATTTCCATGATGGGACTGATGGGTAAACAGTGGATTTACTTGACAATCAGTTATAGAACATGAATTGCTTGCAGCCAACCTTGCTGCTGTCTCAGCCAACACCTGACTTTCTTCTTTAGCTTCTTTTGGAAGTTTAAAGCGTTTTCGACGTCTTAGGTAGGATCCATTTTCAAACATTGACAGTGCAGCAGGATGAAGAGCCCAATATGCTCCTTTTCCTGGGGTATGAGGATTTCGTGGCACCTAGAAAAAAAAAAAACAAATTCGTTTGTACTTGTTGAGAATTATTAAAGAGAAATGTGTATAGCAAATTAAATGTAATCTAAAATAATTTAAAATATTTCTCTAGTGTCATTATTGTGTTAGAACTACAGTTGAAACATTTATCGTGAGCGTGCAATAATTCTCTTGAGCGGTAAAACTTTTCGACAGGCAACAGGCATGATATGACGGCTGCTACTTAAAACTTTTCTGGTTTTATAGAACCCCTTTGATCTTTCTTATACTTTTGAATTTACATGTACATCACGCTCAACTTGTTGTGTCACGACACTATATATATTTCTCATTTCGCAATTGATCATACATAATTATCCATCGCTTTTAATAATCTCACACGTGCTACATTTGTAGATAATAACCCATGTCCTTTTATGTTATGAGTTCGTATAAGAACTATTGAAATTCGAAGAACTATAAAAAATAATACATCTGCATAATAAAATGTATTTCATGTACAATTGATAAATAAAGTAAATTATTCACGTTTATTTCATACATTACCTTTACAATTTAAACAGGCGATATAATAAAAAGAACATTGCGTTTGCTATTGCACACATTGTATTCATTAGTAATTAAATAGAATTGAATTATTTCCCTGGTATTTGTTCATGTCAATGACTTTTAAAATTATTGAACGTATTTTATTTTCAACGTGCAAACATTAAAATCACGTGAATTAATAAAAAGATTGTTCTTCAAACTGTTTATAATTTATTGTTAAGTATTATATTTAATTTCAGTAATATTTGAAGAAAAAATCTAATTATTATTTATTGAATATAAAAAGTTTACAAAAATATTAATAATTTTTTTTTTATTCTACAGATATTTGTTTTCAATAGTCTACTGAAGATCCTTGGAGATTCAATTCTACATAAATGATTAATCATCACAAGTCTTTATTATTTCCATCTACATACTGATTATAAACAATGTATCACAATAAACTGCGGAAAAGAGCATTTTTGAACAAGTGTATGTCTTCATAATAGTTTGCTCGCGTGTCAGACTTGCCATGCATCCAGGGTATGATGAAAACTCACGCGGACTCATTAAAATGACAAGATAATTTCACGACAAGTTTATCACGCTACGCATATCAGTTCAAGTAATGTATACTCTCTGTCACTTATAAAGTCTACAATTATAAATATTAATAAACTATCATTTTTTTTATTTTTCCAGAAGATAAGGAGGTATAAGAACGTTAACTAGAATGGACGATCAACTGTATTATCTATTAAAGACTTGTCCCCTCTTCTACTGGAATATGAAATTATCAACTCATTTCAAGTAATGGGACATATCAAGTAATATGTGCATGACATGATAGATGATAATAACAATGTAGTATTGACAACAAAAATACACTTTAAAAGTTTATAGAATAATATTTTGATGATAAATATGCTATTATACGCCATAATCTTATGATACTTGAAGCCATCAGTAAAAATTCACATACAATCTATTAAAAATTTATGAAGAACTTGGATAACTACTTTTCTTCTTTATATTATACATCGGTAATATTGCGAATAATTCATTTTAAACTAGATATCAATGAGAATTTAATTTATGCTCTTTTCAAGCAATTATTGACCATTTTTCTCATACGATTTAAATTAAAGGCAATAAAAACATCGATTACTCATAAACTCTTAAAGACCAATCAATACCTAATATTTAACTTACAAGTTATTATATAATTATCAATGGTAAAGATGTTGTTATCTTTCTAAAATATAAGAAAATCATCGGATTAATCAACAGAAAATTTATTTATTGATGATCAAAGGATTTAGAATCAACATAATTAAGAAACTCAATTTTTACCTTGATAAAACAATCGTTGAATGACAAATTATGCCTCAAAGAATTCTGCCAGCGTCTAGTATCCCTCCTATAGTATGGAAAACGATCAGCAATGAAGCGATAGATCTCAGCAAGTGGTAGCATCTTGTCTTTGGAAGACCAGATTGCCATGGCTGTCAACGAGATATAAGAGTACGGCGGCTTCTGCTCGCCATTGTATGAATCACGCGACGGCCTTGGCATTATTTTTTTCCCAATTCAATTGCTGATAATAACAGTGAAAGATTCTCATACGTGATGATCAATTAACTACAACAGGTTCCTGCGAGCCGAGGTCTGCAGGACTTTTGTTATCTTTTTGGCTACAGTTTATCAGTAATTATTATCTGATCACTTGGAAAGCTTCTCAGAAGATCGATTGCAAAATATGAACATTCTTCACATAATTATTAACTAAATACTAAATAGTTAATAAAGAGTATAGTGACATCAATAACCAATAACAACTATAGACAGAACATAAACAAGTCACCATTTCCACGATTCACATGTGGATTCTTATGTCTGACACTGATCATCCTTTTTCCACTACTTGCTTCATTTCTATAGTCATTAGAGAATCAAAAAGTCTTGAATGCCATTAGAAATGATCATTTATCACGTGTTAGTATTTAGGGGAAAGCCACTATGAATAAATAGATTACTTATCTAGTCAATTAATCAATTAGTGACAGTAGTAAATATTATGTAATGATGAGTGTTATGTAATTTCAATATAACTTGGGGGATTTAAGATTGACACTTAGACAGTGGCATTTGCAAATCTGTACGATAACGTGTACTCGTGATTCCACTGGTTAAGAAACTATATCGATATCTTGGGTAGACCGTGGTGTTAGTCGCGTTTGCGCATCACCTTTGCGCTTTCCTCAACATCTTTCTCCTCATACCTTGATGCTATTTTAACCAGGAAGACGGTGTTTCGCGGTTGCTGATTTGTTGTTAGTAACAGTTAAGGCGGATCCCAGTTCGGTTTCTTCCTCTACCCAGATCGGGTTTAGCTTCTCTATGTTGGTCTGGAACTCATGGTAGATGATATTGTGAATCACTCCAGTAGCCACGCCTTTGGTGGGTGTGTGCATTATACATCCCGCCTCCTTCATTTGCTGATGTTGTTGATGTTTATTTCATTTTTTACAAGGTATACGGCACCTACAATAAATAAAAAATATTTGTAGATGAGCAACAGAAGATGGTTTTTTAATTGGAGCATATTTTTTTGGCAAGAATTTAGGTGATTAAATTGAATGAAGGTTTTTTAACACGTGAATTATAACGTTGGTGAAGAAACGGGTGGAGCAAATGTATACAAGATCCTCCATTTTATTTGCTCCCCTTTTACTGCAGCCGATTACGAGGAAGAAAACGAGTCTGTGCAAAACTGTTGGGCTTCATATTGACTGCGAGCACGGGTTCGGTATCGATCAATCCAGTAATTTGACGGTTCACCATACCGTAATGCTATAATGGCTTGCTGATGGGCATTGTTGCTTGCTCGTTCGCTTGTTCGCCGATCCGATTGCCCAGTCGGTTTGTTATTAGACTTGGGTCATTATAGAACATTAGGAGTCTGAATATATCCATGGAAACAAGGAGTAGCTTCTTACTCTCCAGTTTATCTTCTCTTTCTCATTTCACCATACAGTCTTCCAAGACTGCTTACTAGCCACTTACATCTTGCTGTATTCAATTTTACACCCTTCTTATTATTACCGTTCATACATTTGCCGACCAAGGCCATCAGCAAATATGTTTTTGTAGTTATTGAATATTCAAAAGACCTGCTATGGAGAGACTAATTTTTTCCAATGAGTAACACGTCCGGAGAAATAGAAATAAAAAATTTTATTGACTGATCATTTACTGCATGAGATATGATTTTTTATAGTTCTCTAAGTGTAAAAGAATAATAGCAATGTTTAATGTTTTCATAATACTTTATTATATAATACAAAAATTATCGACAATGAAAAATTTTCTCATAGATAACTTTTTTTAATAATTGATAATTTCGAATATTATGTATACATACATAATTAATTATAAAAAAAAATTTGTGGTTTGTTAACATATTGTAATCATGCATTTACTAAAAGAAAACATCTTGGAAAAAAAATGAAGCATCATGAATAATATATTGTGCAATAGTATAAGTATTTATATATACATAATCATGTATATATTAATTTATATTTTCTTCTCTTTTACATTCAAATATTTATTATATAATTATATAATAATTATACAGCTGTGCGTAATACAGTCGACTGAGTCGTGGTCATTTTACATTATATATTTTAACGATTCATACTATCGAATTTTGGAGTTATCAAGCTTAGTCAATAATTATTTGAAAAAATTTTAATTTATAAAAATTCATCATAAAATCATTTATTTACTCACATAATTACTTGAATTGTGCAATTTGTTGTTACTCTAGAGAAATTTTACAAACAAAATATCAGTGATCATATCAATAAGTGTCATCAATCGTAACCAACAGTTAGCTTTTATTTATAATGAATTTTATAAAAAAAAAATTTTTCTCTATTTCATTCATATTATTTACACAGACAAAAACTTCAATATAAATAGTTTTCAATATGTCAAACTGTGTATTAATGTAGCAACAATCTATAGGCACTAGAACCAGAACTTGTTAAATTTCTTCACTCTGATAATTATAATTACAATTCAAATAATTAAAATCAATATTAGCTATATAATAACTGCACTGTCATTGAAAAAAAAAATTAAATACTCGTTTATAATTTTTAATTCTCATAAAAAGGATAATTAGTCTATAAACTGTTTGATTTTATTTCATTTTGCTTAGCTCATAGCTATTATATATAAATTAATTGTAAATAGTGGTAAGTAAGGTGTAGAATTATACGTCTCAACATTAATTAATCATTATCAGACGTGTATTAATCATTTCGATAACATCAAACTGTAAGATTTACGTTAGCAGATTTATAAATTCTTTTTCAACTTTTTATAGACAATTATACCCTTATATTATAGGCATAACTGTTTCTCATGCTCCTGCACGTCATCTTTCTTTTTAGTATTGCGACTTTGCAGCATTTCCGCTAAGCATTCACAGCCCACATAAAATTATCATTATTATCTTGAGTTTCATCGTGTAAAACGCAGTTATTCTTTTTATTCATCACAATAGAACGAAATGAATATTTAAAAAATTTTAAATTCTTCAATTTTATAGTTACTCTACTTTTTGAAATATCAAAAATTCATTATATCATACTTTTGTTCTCATTAAAAATTCAGTTCTTCATGTTGCAAAAAAAAATATACCTAATTGATCCAACGAGATTTATTAAAAAAAATGCATTATTTTGACATATGACCACGTACAAAAAATTATCCTTAGCAATATTTTTATTAAATGTATGTTTAGGTGACAATAAATCTTTTCATAATTTATTTTTTTTTACTAATCAGATGAATTCAGAATTTTACATTATCTCAATTACGCTGATCACATGTAAGAATATCGAAAGTTAAGTGCTTTATCGGTTTGAATTATTACAGATTGCAAGAATAACATTTTTATCCTTCGTATAATTTTTTGTCACTATTATATATCAATAATTTATCGAAAAATTTTTTATTAGACCATAAAGAATTACAAATATATATTGTATCCATTATTTTTGCTTTTTAAAACAGTTTAGCTGCTCTATCTAATAACATTTTGTGAACCTGGCGAATTACAACGCGGAAGTTTTGATTGTAAGAAAATGATTTTATAAATATCATGATCGTCAAATGAGAGAGGTAGTAACGACTACTTCACATTTACAATAAGATTAATAATGATAATAACGTGTAATAATAATGATGATGATGATGAGACAATGAAATATAAAATACTTCTCCAGTACTTCTTATAAGTATAATAAATCATGAAAATATTCTTTAAAAAATCTGTTTTTCAACAAATATAAAATGGATATAATTTGTTTTAGAAATAAATATTTCACATAAACAATAACAAAAATAATTTACACAAAAGCAAATATTTTTTTCAGAAATGTGAATTACTAAATGAAAACTGTATCACTTGGAGGGCTTCAATGAATATTAATATACGATTAATATTTTATAATTATTTTCTTATATAAATTCTTGGTAATATTAAAAACTTTCAATTAACATCATTGATGTAGTCAAATATTACTTATTAAATATTCAATATTAAATATATCAGTTATAATATAAATAAATAAATATATAAATGAGTAATTGCCTTTGTTTATGCTTAACATCGACGAATTGAGTATTTCCTTTCAAGTTTTGGAGTTTGAACATAAGATCTGTAAAAATAAAAACATCATATAATAACAGAAGTCAATTACTTTCACAAAACAACAACTATTTTCATCCAAAAAAAAACGAGAAATTTTTTTAATAATTTCTTTTCTAATAATCAAACTGGCACTAAAATATATTAGAATTTTAGAAAAGCCAATAAAATTAAATCAAACATCATAAAGTATTTTTTTGTTTGAAACATTAGCATCAGTAGCATGAAATTAATATAAAATTAATTTTCTACTAGATCACAGACTCAATCAAGACTTCATGCGGTATTAATCGCTGCTTACATTAGCCTATCTTAGTTCTTTAGATACCAGCTCACCTATTTTATTCTCTCAAAACTGGCAGTAGGGACCTTTTTTATTGAAAGTAAAGAAAAAATTATGAGAAGATAATAATGAAGAGTTGATAGTATAGATGGATTATGAAGAATATTTTTGAGAATATTTTTTTTTCTTAAATAACTGTAATAATTATTAATACTTACAACTCGATGCTTTGTATTGTTGACGTAGAGCACATTGACTCCACTTTTACATGACAATGTTTATGGCACTTTAACAAGCAGTCTCTGCATTCGTAACCCTGCTTTCCTAATCTACGAGCTAGAGTTCTTTTACATACTTCACATACAGTTCCTCTGTGAAAAAAATTATTTCACATCAATTATTTAATTCAAAAAATATAATTTATTCTGTGAATGATTTTTAAATACACTTACCCAGTTAAATGTTTTGCAATAAAAGTGTGATCATTAAATATATGTAACTTAGTGCCTTTTTTCCTCCATTTGCTCTTTTGTGCTAAGGATATTGGTACGAGGTAGTGTCTAAAGAACACAAAGTGAATTAATCAGTTGACTTGGAAACTATTAAAGCATGTTTATAATTAATTATACTGGCAATAACGAACTTCACAACTTAATAACTCGGAGTTAGATTAACTTTTCTATAACCGTTATATTATATATATTAAGTCTTGCTTATTTCATATCATATTATTTATGAACAACAATGTTCTAGCTAATTTTATTAGTTATTATCAATTTATTCCATAAATTAGAATTATTATACATAAATATAATAATTTCCAGCTAACTAGAAACTTACTTTTTTACTCCATTTTCCAATGTTTCTAAGACTAAAGTTGATGCTTCGTTGACATACGTCCTCGTAGAAGTCCCACTGATGCCTGAGGCTTCACTGAGACTCGATCGTCTTGAATGTTCTTCTTTTCCTGGCACAGATAGCAAAGCTGTGCAAATTTATTTATTAGCTTAACACTCAGCATTCATGCAGCTGTTGAATACTATTTTTCTTTTCATAATTAATCAATTAATAATGAAAAAAAAAACATCTGTAGTATAAATAAAGTTAGTTAAGCAAGCGAAATCACAACAACTATTTTTAAATTAAAAATAAGTTTAGTCTCTATGGATTGAAGTTTATTTATTTTTCCAAGATGAATTGTTATTTACCAGATCCAGCATCACGAGCTCTATCAGCGGATATAGACCTCGAGTGAGCATCTTCATGATTCGTATCTCCATCAGGACCTGCAGATCGACTTCTATTCCTTGATCTATTTAATCTTCTTTTTATTGTCCCAAAAAAGTCTCGTCTTTTCCTCCTTGTTCTGCCTCTTTCTACAAAGAATCCTCATCGATTATTATCTATGCTTGGTAAAAACTTTAGAATGATAAAGAATTAAATACTCACCTCTAAGGCTTTCAGAATTAGAGGAATTTGGAGTACTTTCTAGGCCTGAAGTTGCACTGGTGTCTCTATTGGCATGCTAGAAAAATATAAAAAATTTATGGTGAACAATTATGTTATAAATCACATATCATTTCACTAAATATATGATGGATTGTTGAATACAAATAACATTTATGGTGATGAACAGTGGCTGATGATATAAAATAAGCTTCAATAATTAATTGATTAATTACCTCTGGAGAAATTTCTTGCCAACTTCCATCCTCTGAGAGAGTAACCTGTTGGATTAGTAGACACTCAAGAGTTATTTCATGCCTGCATACATGGATTAAATGGAATGATATACTCATTCAGCTTAGTCAACTGTATATTACAATGGGAAAATAATCTTCAATTTTTTTCAAATTATTCCTTATTATAAGGAATATCTGTTTGCTGAATAAAATTTTTATGGTTAAACTATTCAAAGAAAAATTTATTTAACTTTCAAATAATAAGATTTCATTGCTTATAAATTTTAAGTATATTTAATTTTGAGAAAAAAAAGTAAATAAAGAATAATAAAGTTATCGTCAAAACGCGACAACACTAAGTTTATTGAACATAACGAGCTGAAGTAGGGTTGAAAGAGTTAGAAAATTATTGAGTATGTTTGTCTTTACTTATATGGTTAGTTCTAGCCAACTTTTTAGCTATATGTCAACTTCACTACGTCGATTAAGTTATAAATAGTATATTTTACTGCCATTAAATTACATAGCACTCTAAATAAATTCCTTTCTGCTACTTAGTCTCATCTTATTATTAGTCTAAACTTAAACCCAGAAAAATAAACAAGTGACTCAGTAGAGTGCATAAGTTAATTATTAATTTATTAAAAATAATAAGGAAATAAAAATTTGGACATCACGTCACTTACCTTGACAATTTGACGTTCTGGTTGCTAAAAAAATAGAAAAAAAAAAATTTGTGTAACAACACACTTTTTAATTGGAACATTATCATGCAAGGTTCATATTGCAAAGTGTTTAAGACAAAATTGAATGTTTCTGTCTTAACGAATATATTTGACGTCAAAAACGTGAAAATAACTCTTACCCTTTGCTGGCTGTGCACAATGAGTGTGCCTTTGTTTCCGTTTGTTTGACCAGTTCTGTAAGGAGAGTCGACGGTCGTGCCGTTCGTTAAATAGTCTGAAAGAAAGGATAATTCTAATATAAATAAGAAAGTGGTACAAGTTAACTGTAATACATCATTTGTAATAAATAAATTAATAAATAAACAATAACTAGGTTGTCACAAAAGTTTTTGGTAATTAAGAGATCAAAATTTCAGTAATATAACCGACTATTTTTTACCATCCGGAATCCAATCGTTTCATTTTGATCACCGGATGTTTGATTATGAAGTAAGTATCAAAAATAACAGTAGATTTTCATTTAAAAAAATATTCTAGAAAATTTTGTAACAACCTAAAAAAGATATAAATAAATAAGTGGAATAGGTAATCACACGATTGATCTACTGAGAAATCACATCACACTAGTACTGATAAATTCTAGAACTATATTCAATATTTCATCATTCCATCATGCCAATTCATCTATTTGACTACATTCTCTGACTACTGTGAGGATTTGGATAAAAACAAGCAAATGAATTTTTGCGCGAATTCACGGAGGTTCTTTGACCTTCTTTCGTGGGAGCACAGACGGCCAAATAATCTATACCAATATTTTGGCAGCTATAACAGTTAGTAAGCTTGCCTTTTGTTTATATAGTCAATCATAATACAGAAATATTTAGTTTTCGTAATCATAGACAGCTACAAAGACAGTTTAATACCCAGGTTTTTGTCCTTGACCATTATTCATTTCAAAAACAATACATCTTGGTACTGTATCTTTACTTAGAATTGCATCATAAGATTTATATTGCCTTCTCTTGAAAATTTTACAACGTTTCATCACGTTATAAGCTTCGTTCTAAATGATACAACAATTTTACAACAGCTAATTAAAAGTTTAAAGAACAAAGTGATTTTTAAAATTGAAGGGTAGTCAATTATTCAATTAAAAAAAAAATGTAACAAGAGTTTGACTGTTGAAGTATCTAAAAATATTATAGGAATAATTTTTTTGATGATAACAAGGATCTAATATGGATCATCCGTGCTTTGTAATACAGAGTTGGCGTGCCAGAGATGAAACTAAAGGGGTTGTTCACTCAGGGATGGATGCCTCGGCAGACGTTATAATCGGTAATTACCCCCGGTCGACTGAGCAGAAGAGTCGTACAAGATAAGAGTGCTGTTACCATTGTTATAATTAAGGCTACTATTGCTGAGCACATTCGTCGGGTTGTATGTGCGAGTTGGTGATGCAGGCTTTATTGTTTCCTTCACTTTGAATGGTTTCGACCCAATTTGAGGGACTTCTGCTCCTTCAATGAACACAAACTGAAATAAATAGTAGTCTAGTTACCAACTGTTCAGTATATTACACATTTCTTAAACAAAAATAGCTATACATTTGTAGAAATGTTATTTTCAGTTACTTCATTTATTTATTGATTAACTTTATTAAATTTTACCTCGACTGTTAGAGTTCCAGTAACATCCTCTTCTTCATAAGGCCGTGCTTGCAATGGGATTATTTGTCTTTGGCTTGGATTAGTCAGTAATTCTTCAATTCCAACAATTCCTAAACCCAAAAACCTTTGGTTTTTGTTAGCATAATCATAGATTTCCAGAAGTACTTCATACGTATTTTGACTGACGTCACTGTAATTTATTAAGTAGATTATTAAGTTGATATATATTACAGGTATCTGATATTAATATCGTAACAGCATGCGAGGTAATTTAGGACTTACAATAAGAAAGCTTCATCCCAAACTGGACTAACAGTATTCTTTTTCACAGCAGTCTGATGTTTCTGAGGAGGATCATCTAATTCTACCACGCAGTAGGGTTCTGAACAGCCCAGCTGGCCACCTAAATCATTCGCTTTCACGACTTTTACAAGCAAACGTTTATCTCCAGCAACATAATGTTGATGTCCACCAGGTGACCCTGTTGAGTGAGTCTAAAAACAATCCGCATAATAATTTATTAATTTTTTTATTCCTAGTTTTAAATTACATTTATTCTTATTTACAATATTTATTGTCACAACAATAACGAATTAATTCCATTAACAAGTTCATGACTCAATAAAAAGAGCCATTAGAACATTTTTTTATACATTGTCCTTCACAATCTAAGCAGACATATTTTTTATATTACATGATGATTATATCAGCAATGGATGAAAATAGAACCATCACTTCCTTATGATCATCTTTTTATGTAGCATAGAATTTTTTGTATGATATTAAATCAACTTTGCTGTCACGGAAATTTATTTAGACGATTCCTCACCATGCCATCGTAATGTAGAGGTAGAGAAAATCCAGATTGTGGTGGTGGTTCTCGCCAAAGTCTTGGACATGTTGGATACTTGGAAAGATTTAAATGGACGTTGGTTCCCCTGAGTGCACCAACGACAATTTCATTTACGACTTCCTGAAGCTGGCTTTCATCCAAATCCTTTTTTATCGCACCCACAGGAGCCAAAGAGACCTTAACCTTTAATCATAAAAATATAACAATCAATCATCACCTTACACATATGTCAGTCTCATTCTTTCAATTCTTGCCAATTGATCTAATTATTACCATCTCAAGTAATATATCTACATCGACGTCTTTTAAATCGATCAATCAGTTCACATGCTATCATCAATTATTTATTATTTGTCAAATCATTCACATTAACATTATTTCATTTGAAAGAATGTAACGTTCGTGTACTAATGATCAAATTAAAGATTAAAATTACCTCAGGCCATCCATCACATTTTAAATCCAACAGAAGTTTGTCAGTAATACAAACGACGTTGAGACGAGCACGGAAGCGGTTTACATTTACACGATAATGACTGACCTCCACCTTATCTCCTTTTTGTCGAAAGGCTTTTAATTGTAGAGCTGGAGTTGCTTCGCAATCACATGTTATTGTCTGCAAAATGAATATAAGTTATATTTAATACAGAGTATATAAATTAATAATAATTATATATTAATTACACCATCTATAGCATCAGTCTGAATTTTAAAATAAATTTAATAAAACTTATTCAATATAAACCTATTAATTATAATGCTGTCATACTTCACAATTACTCATAGAGACATTTAATTCATTTAACATAATTATAAAGTACTCATTATAGCTTTTTATTTATTTTATTCATGTTAATGATTCATTTAATTCTAAAGATTTATCTTTATTATTTGATTTTAATGACGATGCTCTTAATCTAATTAAATTTAATAAAAAAAAAATAGAACTATGTCATTGTTAATTAATAATTATTATTACTTACAACATCATTTTTAGAATCACACTCGCAAAAAATATTTGAAAGATTCGGTGGTTGAGTTTCCGGAAGTACTCGAACGAATTCAACTCCAACTCCATGCTAGAACAATTTAAATAATAAGTTATTATTTATTCCACCTCTTGTTCATTATACTTTTCTGAGCTCTTTTTATATTTTTATATCACAATATACATGTAAATGTACCTAGAGTGTGTATTATTCTTTTATTGAAGAAAAATGATGACAAATAACACGCATTATCTTCATCGATTCGTAACGTGCAACCCAAGTACATACATTACATTATCCATATTTAGTGCATACATATCTCTCTACATAAAGTACAATTGAAAGTATTTGTAATGATAAATTGTACATCATAACAATAAAAAATAAAATGTATTTATTAAAAATCCAACGAAGCAAATAGTTTTGTTATAAAAATTATAAATCAACAGTATAGAATATATTTTTGTCATGATCACTGTATTTTAAGAGTTAGCAGCAATTTTTAGCCTGATGAGTGGAAAGTAGGTCTCGAGTGTTGATTAAAAAGAAGAGAATAGGGAAAAAAGTATAATAAAAGTTTTTCGACTCATGTGTAAAGGTTTCTCCGCGTGTAGTTGAATTTATTTTGAGAGTCAATGACGTCAGAAAACGCATGCGAGGCAAAAGGATGTTGACAATATGTGACGTAATTTCTCCACCGCTCCTACTCTATATGACGTAATGAACCCGACCCAAGATAAACTACAATAGCTTAGGCACTCCTTCTAATACATAAGATCTATATATTAATAGGTAAAAGCTCATTTGATACACCTATTAAAGCTTGGTAATATTATAAACAATACTATAATATCGATTGACTATAAAACTAATGTTTAGCTACTACAAAGTGTATCATACTTACACCATGTTTTTTTGTATCATTATTGTGTCAATAAATCGATCAGCTATTTACATACAATGGAATTTTTTATTGGTGTATAATCAATTTTATCTAAGAATATAAGATAGAAAGTAGATCAGGTTAATTCTCTTTGAATTATTATAATTTAAAATTTAATTTTTCAGTGAATAGTTTGATCAATTTCCGACCATTTCCTGGATACGAAATGAATGAGTCAGTCATCAAAAATATCGATTGGGTCGAGGTACTGAGTGGCCGGACTCCCGAAAACAACTCGTTCTCGTCTTAATGCTTTTATACACGAGGTTGTGAGAATTTTCGTTCTGGAAAGTGGGTTACTCTGAACACGCATGCTCGAGTCTTCATCCTCGTGTTTCTTTGCTGTGGGTGGTAATCGTAAAATCATTTATCTGAGTAAACAAAAGAATAAAATATAAAGCAAAATCTTGTACTCTAAAGAAACAATCTTTTTGTTTTTTGAGAGAACGAAAAAAAAATTTATTTTATCAACAAAAATTTGCTTCTAGCAAAATGGTGAAAAAAAAATTTTATCAAGGATTTTTAAAATAGAAAAGAAGTAGCTGACTAGAAGATTTAGCGTAAATTATAGAGAATTATTATCGTTATTAATAATTAAATGTTAATGAATTCTTACGTATGCAGACATGCATGTTTTTATGGTTGGACTTTCATTCGATGACGTGTAATGTTTAAATTCTCTAGTCAAGTCTTTGGAGTTGTAGAAATTATTAGCAATTTAAATTATTATTTCATCGGTGATATTTAAAAATATATTATTATTATTCCAGTCATGAAAGATATTTAATAATGCAAAATGTGTAGGTTTAAGATTTGATGTCATCTTTGACATGTGTATAAATGTCTTTAAAAATAGACGAGTCGAAAGAAAAGTGTAAATTGATAGAATCTCAGACAAACAGACGCCTACAATTAACGCAAAAGTATCTGGATCGTATTTCTCATGCTTGACTTGTCGCTACTCGAGCAGAGACTCTTAACTAATGAAAACACGTAGCACGTGAGTTTTCTATTTCTTACACATGTCTATTTAATTAAGACCCTATTAGTTTCTTAATTTTGTACATAATAAATTGAAAGAAGAGCAATTCTTACTTCATCAACGGAACTGGCGACAAAATCGTTGAGGGAAACAACCCAAACTGCTAGAAGCTCATTAAGAATCACCATATCAGAGTAAAGCCAAATGACGAGCTCGTTGACCCAGCGAACAGCTTCAGCGTCAGCACCGGTTGCTGCCGGTAGATGAAGGGCACGCGAGCTTCTTGCAGGGCTGATAAGTGGACCGGAAGTTTTCCTAGTAAGACGTTTACGTGTTGGTGGTGTTGGTGGTACATATCCACTTGCCCCACTCGAGCCATGTTGACTTATAGAAGGTCCAATGATACCAGAGCTGCTACTGCTTGTTGCTAAATTGGCAGAAGCAGACTTTGCCATGGCCACCTTGATTGGCTTGGCCTGTGTAAGAAGTTTGCTGGCAATATTTCCTGCTGATAAAAGTCCTTCACCCAAACCATGACTGACGTTAGTATGCTCTTTGTTAACACTGGATGTTGTATTACTGACATGAACACTTGCACCACCGACACTTGATGCTGATGTTGGCGATGAACCGATTTTTTCGTGAAGCACAAACCGATTGTAAATATATTTTCCGACGCACAAAACAATAAGACCGAATAGCATCCAACCAAATATCAGCATCGACAGTGTATCCATCGTCGTGTCACCAGACGAGTCGAAACTGCATATCAGATCGTCCACCCGCTCGGCCAAGTCGGCCATATTGCCCCATCGTTCTGCCAACCAAGTCCAATTAGATTCCAAAAACATTCTTTTCTATTTTCACCCGTCGAGCGGCCCCCACCTTTGTCTAATCTATTAATAACGTTCGCATATACCCTGGCGGTCGCGCATGCACTAGCTGCCACCTCGTCGGAGATTTTTGACAATCACCAACCGATACCACTTACTAAGATGCTTGTCTAGATCTTCCGGCAACACCTTGATCAAACGTCACGTCTGAATTCAAATTCCCGCTTTTATTTGGATGCTTCACTGAGTCTCTTTAATCAACCGGAACGACTAATCCTAAAATAAATAAATTCTTCAGACTAGAAACATTCTTAATTTAAAATCAATATCAAAGTTTCATGATATTCAATGTCACTAATGAATTCAAAATTATTTAAGTGATAAAATTTCTTAATTAATTGGTTCAAAAGTGGAGATTTAATCAAACTGATTTAGTGAATCAAATATTCTAATGCAATTTACATCAATTCGACAAATGATTGAGTAATTAACCAGGATACTGACCTTTCTTAATATGATCCTTGAAAGTAATTATAGATTGTAAGATAATCTTTTGAACTAACAATGCAATAATGAATTACATCTGATGATGTATGATAAAATCACATTCATCCTATTAACTTTACTCAATTTCATACGTCATTTTCATGAGGATAATATATCCCCGAACAATTAATATATTGTCCTTCTCACGTGGCTGTTGCTGTTGTTACGACTTATCCCGTTGCTAAGTAGCACAAACTCTGATTCCAACAGTTACTACTATGCTTCAACCACTTTGTATGCTTAATTTTTGACTCTGGAACAAAAATTTAAAATTATACTATTTCGTTTATCTTCAAAGTTGTTTGAACAATTAAAATTAACATTATGAAGGAAACAATACAATGAATTTATCTCTGCGTTCACAAAAAGTTGTTTGACAAACGATAATACATGTCGATATGAAAAACTCAGCATATTGTACAAAGCCATAAATTGACGTCTACATGTTGATAATATTGTTTTTTTGATGAACTTTAAAAATTCTGACGTAACATAAAGTATATTGACCTTGAAACAAATAAATTTGCGTTAAAACATATTAGTCCCATAAAAAGAAGCTATTCTTAAACTCATAGAAAATTTTATTTGCTATAAAAAAAATTTTAAACTCCAGAATTCTATCAAAATTATATTAGTTTACTTATAAAGTTGAATGTTAATCAAACTAAAAGCTGATAGAATGGGCCAATAAATAATAAAGTTTATTAAATGACCCGAAAAAAATTAAAATGGTAATGGAGTCATTAAATTTATCAAAAACAATCATAATTTAGGCAGCTTTTAAACTAATGACAGTTTTATGAATGGTAAACTACATTAGTGAGCTTCATCAAACTATAAATGATCATTTATTTTTAATAAATTATCCATTTTTTTTTTAATTTGAAGACAGTACCAGTATGTCAATTATAATTATTCAAAAAATTAAATTCAGTAATAATTCAAATTTACGAAAAAATTTTAGTAATTACTCCAATTCCAGAAGATATTGATAATAAATGAAATAGATATAAAAAAAATATTAAAAAAACAAAACAATAGTTTATAAAAATAATAACAATATGAATGAATCAAGTAGTAATAATAAATATATGAAATGTTACATGTTATTTTTTTTTCATCAGACTTGGAAATGAAGGTGACTTAATATCATATCATTAATATTAAAAAGTGTAAAAAAAATATAAAAATATTCTTACCGAATGATAAAAATAATCACTTTTTATAGAAAAACATGACACACATCTAAACTCAGATACAGAATCACTTATCAAACTTATAAGCCAGACAGAGTATCTGCTTTATGCTACGCTAGGTCATAAAAAAGATGTCAGACAGTCTGGAATTGCCTTGAAGACAGTGAGTATGGTCCAAAGCAAAAGCAAAAACACAAGACGCTGCGTGGAAGGACACGCCGATTGTGTTGAAACGAATGAATCGTACATCTGCGGCAGTCCACGACGGTCTGACTTTCGATCAAAGTGCTAAACGTAACACTGCCACGCCGTCATCGGCGCATCGTATTCCACTCTCTGTCTAAGTCATAGCACCGTGTTTTTCCTTTCACGTTCAGTGCCCCACTCTGCAATAATCTACGACCTGGCCCAGTCGTGGAGTCTTCTATTGATCCAATGCGCACCCACAATGCTGCTTTACTCCTGCAACAATTCAAATTCTGGTTAGAGGAAAATATTTACAGTTTTTCTTGAATAGTTTTCCCTACAAAATTGCGCTGATTCTCGGTGATAAGACTAAGTCGAAAGGATGTGATAAACAATTTAATAATAAGCTATCGCAAGAGTTTTCGCCAATTATTTTAATAATTTATTTTACAAGTTTTCTTTCAAACATGAAATTAACTTTTTAATTATGTCTTATGAAATAAAAAAAATAAATGCTAACTTCTAGTGTATGCAATATAAAAGTTGAATAAAAAATATAATTACATTAATGATGATTAAAACTGATTTTATCATAGCAAAATACAAGTGACTGTTAATTGATTATATAAAAGTTATAAACAAAAAGCAGTAGGCTTATGTCAAGAATTAGCTCAACCAATTTTATTGTATATGATACTTTTTATTGTTTTTCATTCATTTACATACAAATATTTTCCAAGATACGCTTAAGAAACGAATTAATTGTTTTGTATTATTTTATTTCATTTATTTATTATCGCTATTATCCATTTATATTTTTTTTTTGCTCTCCTTTATCCTCTGTTTATAGTTCATTCACCTGGTGTGCCGTTAGACGCGCGATTAAATCGTAATATCAATACAAACTTTTCAAACTTCTTTTACATTATATTACTTAAAAACCTAATTTCAAATACTATGTGGCTTTGTTTTATTTTTATCTGTTCTATTTTTCGTTTTGAATCATTCCTCCATTCATGTTTTATTTATTTATTTATCGTTTATTATTTATATGTCCTGACTCCTGTCTTAGTTACAAAAAACCTTCTATATGTTATTCTCCATACAAGAGTCAACAATCGCATGAATTTATTTTTAAAAAATCCTTAAATGTATCGTGAATAAAATGATTGATACAATTGTACAAACACCCTCTATTTCATCTTAAATCACTTATAAAAGCAAAAAGAAATATATTGCTTTGAATAGTTTCTACGATTTTCATTTATTTATTGTTCTAAATGTACTTATTGTTGTTTACTAGATAAATAAAAAATATTTGAAGGCAGTAGTAAGTGACATTCTAAGTTTCAAACTGATGATAAAAATAATTCCATCAAAAAAAGATATTTAAGTCAAAAATTTATAAATAATTATTTATAATTATATAAAAACTTACAGCCAATTCCACTATTTTCAAACTATATGTTTATTATGATTAAAAAAAATATTTCATTTGAAATTTTATCTTAATAAGTATGAATAAACTGATAAATTAAACTCAAATATTTTGTTCCATATATAAAAAATCATTCTTTGCCTTCCTGAAATGATAAATGATCTAGAGTCGCTTATCTAACGTGTTGGTTATATGAAAACGAATCGTCCGGCAATCTTTGATGTATACGAGTCAGCACTTAATTTGATATTAAATGCAAATATGATTATCGAGTTGTATTAAATAAAGATCACGTTTCCAATCACAGCCCCATATTGGCAATTCTGAATGACTGCCCAGCGTTTAAACGATGTAAAACCTGGTGGAAAGTCTATTGAATCTACGTTGATGCACATTTACATTGCAAATATAAAAATACAAAATTATGATTAATTATCATTATCATATGATTATTTTAACAATCTTAAAAAATCGACATACAATTAGTAGTGACGAAAAGCTTCATTATAATCAACATAAAAATAATATAAAAAATTATTTTGACTACTGCAACAATTTTTTATATTACTCTTATATTAAAAGTACAGTGTTACAACTATTAATATTATTCCTATGTATTTCCTCTTGAAGTTAGTTTTTAAATAATATTATTATTCTTGATAAGAAGTAAAAATTTATTAAACTCGTATACATAAATTGCCGAATTATTCACAATGATAAGTCAAGTAATAGAACAATTCTTGTACAACTGTACAATTCAGACAACTCATTATTTACTATATTAATTAGTAGTCTGTTAATTAATTTCTTAAATATTAATAAATCCAATACAATATTTTTTTATACTTATAAATTAGTTATGAAACAGTACGAGCATAAACAGTTTAAAAAGTTTTATATTTCTTTTCTAACTGTCCATGAATATTGTTTTCTTCGCGGTTCTCATAGGAAATCATGAGAATGTATCAATAACATTACAATTAGAATTATAATTACAATACAAGGTTTTTAATCATAATTAGTAAGCAGTAGTCGAAGATTTTTTATTCTTCATTTCGCAAAAACTTGAAGGCGTCAGGTCATTTGGAATAAAATGAATACATTTTTATCTAAGTCACATTAGCTTTTATAATTTTTGTTAACTTGGGCTTTTATTTTCTTTTTTTTATCGCAACAAATGTCAGGGCTAGAGTTTAAATCAGCAAATCGATATATGTATCGCATAAATGCATCTTAATACTATTTACTATTTCTGGTCCACCTCTGTCATCTTTTCACATTCATTTTCTTTCCTTTCATATTTATTTTGAATTCTTTTCATAAATAAATTCACATTTGATGTATGAATATATAATTTTTTTTTTTTTAACATTTTAAAAATTTTTATAAAAAAAATTCAAAATACAGTACAAAAATTAATACATAAGTTTTTATAAAAAATGAAAGGCTGATTAATAAAAAAAATTACTACTTAAAGAATAGTTATTAATCGGTAGTTTAGTAATTATGAAAAATAAATACATATTATAATAATAATAATGGAAGGAATATCAATAATATTTACAAAAGTAATCATATATAAAATGTGAGAATATAAAACTGACATTTTCAAAATAAAGTGCATAGCTATAGAATAATTATCGCATTTTTATATTGTTTATTATCAACCATTAATTATTAATGATGAACTTAATAATCCTTTGAAATAATTTTTTTTTTTTTTCATCATATAATAATTATCATCATTTATAAAAAATTGACTACATTGAAATTGAAAATATTTTAATATAACAAATAATATTTTACTTGTTTTTAAATATTTCATATGAATTCTCAAGTAGTTCAACACATCTACAAATCTCGTCTTCCACATGACTTTACTTGTTTTGCGATATTTTTAATCAGTTAAGACTTATCTTTTTCTACAGCAGAGATTCTCAAGCCTATAAAGCATTTTTTTCTGGTATTTTACATGGGGAAGAGTAGTAGAGCTTAGCAAAAGCATGTGCACGACCCATAAAAATTGTGGAAATACGACAATCAGCCTTTGAAATTGCCTTATATGTTGATATAAATATACCATTACATAATGTATATTACTCTTAAAGCTTATAATAATTTTGCTAATGAATATAATTTCATTACCAATTAATTTTTTAATTTTTACTTTTATTACTTAAGAATGACTTGACTTAAAAATTTGTGCAGTTATTAATAATAATAGTAATTATTATTTATTATTTACTCATTATCAGTCAAATTGTTTCCTGATTTTATACGCCTTTTAATTTATTCATTTTTATTATTATTTTAGGATTACTCTCATTAGTTCAGTCTTCGTCGCAAAAAAATGTCAAAATTTTAATTTATATAAATTTAATGGAAACTTCACTCAAATCTTTATTATTTTTTTTTTTTTTAAAGACTGACTTTCCTTTATTTTTTTTTCAATCGATTTTTAATTTAAGTGCAAAATAGCAAATAACTTCGCGGCACATTACTTCTGCTAATACGAAAAATTCTGTTCACTATCATGTTCCTTTCTTTCTTTCATTACTATTTTTTATTTTTATCATTCTTTCGTATTTTTAATTTTCTTTTCATCAATAAACTATCGAAATCCACGTTATCAGTATTTTTATCATTCTCATCATCGTAGGCTTTATGATTCTCTCAATAAAAATTGTTCTTTGAAAGACGTTTGGTTGCACTCAAATTATTATTGTTTAGTTATTTCATGTTTTTTTCATTTACTATTTATCATTATAAATTAATTTTAGAATTGTAAGAGAATATTTTCAAATAATTCATATTTACTTAATATTATTAATTTTTTATAGCATGTATATTCATTTAGTTTCATGAATTTGTCAAGTAAATAAAAAATCATAATACAAAAAAAGGTATGTATAATAAAAATATATCAAAGTGATAAAATGTATGACAATTAATGATATGTTTCCATTTAAATGCAGTAAAAATTATTTTACTTGAATCACCAACGATTTATTCTATTAACAATATTAATATCAATAATTGTTCAAGAAATGACATAAAAAATGTATATTGATATAAAATTGTTAAATTAAGATATAGTTATAAAACTAAATGAAAGCCTGGTGTAATGCATCTTTAGTAACCAGTAACTTGGAGTTTCGATAGGATTAATTAGATAAATCGGTCACCTTGTTAGAGATGATGTATGGGGTATCGAAAATGTGATTCTTCTTAATTTACTAAGCTAGATTAACGTACTTACACACAATGGCAGATATACATGGATATTACTACACTCTGATTTTTCAAGTATGTAATAAAAACCTTACACGGTTATCATCGATGATGACTGCAGTTTAATTATCTAGTCAAATCTCTCTTACGTTTATTAATAGCTATATGCCATTAATCATCAATGTTTTAATGTTGACGCATCTACCTTCGGTTTAATTCACCTTTCAATGCTGCAACAAAAAATTATTTTAATTCTATTGTTATGTGTATACTAATCAAAGTTTAGAATCAATGTAAATTTACTTTTATCTTTTTAACGGCTATAAAAATAAATTGATTTAAAATATACCAAAGTTTATAAACGATTCAATAAAGTTAATTGGTTTTCCAATCATTAAAAACTTTTCTCTAGTCTTGATAAAATGTTTTAATCAATAAATATCAAATTACTGAAGTAAAGCGACTTTGTGTACCTTCAATTATTTCTTGTTTCATCTTTTGGAATTCTTTCTTGACTTCTTTTATAATCTCAGCTTTAAAGGCCTCCATCTCTTGAGCAGTAAGCAGAGCTCCATCATTGACTCCATTAACTCGAAGAAGAGTATCTTCAGATGCTGACCCGAACCTTTTACGAGCTGATTTCGGTGACTCTGCACCATTTGAAAATTTACTATTCGCCGAGTTATTTTTGTCCCAAGACTTTTTATCAGGAGAACTCTCTGGCTCCTACAAAAAAATTAACATTAACCATCATCATCTGCCATTAAGTCTTATGTAATTATTTAATTCTTTCAAAGAATGAATAAAATAAAAACTCACAACTGGTTGTTCAGGCTGGGTCTTTTCAACAGCTGCACGACGACGTGCAAGTGTTTTAGCCATCTCATCCATCATTGATGCCATTCCTCCGCCACCTCCACGTCCTAGAGTCCCATAATTGCCACCACCCCCACTGCTAGACCCACTATTTTCAACTGGCTGTGACTGCTGTATAAAATAAAACCAATGAGAATGAGATCATAAATAAAAAAAGTATTTAAGATACTGTTTATCAAATAAACAAAACGTAACAAACCTTTTTTTTCAACTTAGCTGCTTGAAGAGCAGCTGCAAGGGAATTCACATCAGGCGCTGGTTCAGAATTAGGGGTACTGTTAGTGTTGGACCCGGCACTGACGTTAGTGTTTGGAACTGGCGGGGGTGGAGGTGGAGGTGGAGCAGCTGGACCACCAAGGGAAGCCATCGGCGGTGGTGGTGGACCATTGCTGCTAATGGGAGCATAAGTGTTAGCGTTTGCTGCAGGCCCACTGGCATAATTAACAGAATTTGCAGGAGTCCCGTACGGATTAACAGCATTCCCGGTTTGAGCGTATTGCCCTTGTGCCTGGCCCACCACGCCATACTGCGATTGGTTTTGCGCAAATTGACTGGGTGAACTGGCGTACTGATTAATCGAGCTATTACTACCATACTGACTACTGCCATATTGAGAATTTTGACTACTAGCATACTGACTACCTTGCGCGCTATTTGTTTGCGAATAATTCTGATTATTACTGCTGTAAAGACTACTTTGACTTGAGTACTGACTCTGATTGGAATTGTTAACATATTGATTCGATTGCGAATTATATTGATTGTTCTGATTACTGCTGTAAATTTGTTGGGATTGCGTTTGGCTGGAGATATTTGATTGGGAAGGAGATTGTGCGTACTGATTCATCATCGGGGGTGGCACAGGGGCATTGAAGTTCATCATCGCGGGTGGACATGGAGGCGCTGGTGGAGCTGCTGGAGGTTGAGGTGGCACAGGTGAACCGGATATTTGCGGCCGAGTGGTCAAAATAGAGTCGGGTACTGGTGGAGGCTGGGGCTGAGGTGCTGGTGGCGCTGAAGACGTTCTGTGATGACCTGATTGTTGTTGCTGCTGTTGCTGTTGTTGTTGTTGTTGAGGCGCTCCTGATGGACAGCTTGGAGATATTGCATTTGGACCATTAGAGCCTAAATTTGGAATAATATAGATCATTATTAATGTTACTTACTATAAATGATATTTTATCATAAGAAAAACTTTAAATTCCATTTGGAATGACATATGTGAGTTGATTGATAAATTTTCTAAACTCTTGAGCCATTTTCAACTTACTTTGACTTTGCTGAGACATTCTACGTTCCTGAATTATTGCTACATCTTCTCTAGTCATGGTTCTGTAAAAAATTCAATCAAATTGAAAATAAATCGGTTAGAAGATTTTATAGAAAATTGAAATGTCAATATGAAGCAAAACTATTCAGCCATCTAAGGTTTAAAATTATTAAAAATAATGGCCAATTTTTATACTTCTCTATCAAAAAAGGCTAATAAAAACGAGGTTAAAGGTAATCTAAAACCACCTTAGCGATTATCTCTACGGAATAAACTTCATAAAAATAAGCTGTACATAAATCAATAAAAAATACGAAATATTTTTCGAAAGAAAATGAAATACTTACCCATTTATCAGACGAGTTTTTATCGCTAAGGTGGTTCATTTTTAATTGTTCTATTGAATGAATGCGAAAAATTTTACAAATTATAATAAACAATTATACTCAAACTTTAAATTTAATTATAATTCCAATTTACAAAAAAAGGTGTTAATTAAAAGTTAGTTCAATTTTTTTCGTTTAATCAACGCTTCACTGACTGTGAAAAATTTTGCATCAATCCAACAACTACAATTCTTATATCACACATGATAATTCAATCGTTTATATATATTGCGACAAGTTATTGTTAGCAAAATTATTCCTGGATAGTCTAGTCATTTTCCATCTCGTAACTACTGTCGTTGACAGATGCAAGTCACTGTGAACTGATAAGTGGTGACTTAGCAGAAGACTAACACATTGTCAAACCTAAATAACTGGATCTATTCAATGCCTATGTATATACATGCATGATCGGTATAATGACTTTATTATTATGGTGAAAGAGAGACGATTAATTCGATTAACTAATGTAATGATTTGTTAAAGGCTTGGATGGCACTTAAAATGTGTCCGGCAGTCACCTCATGGTGCCATCGGTTGGTGAGACTCGAGAAGCCCCTTGATTAGCAATCGTCGCGCCAATATTATTGGATAAGTGATTCTGGTTGGGGGTAGGAGTCGGGGGCACAGAGGAAGGCGCTAAACCTCCCGTGGAAAGATGTCCAAGTGACAAGGAACTCCGTGGGATAGCTCCCACTGTGCAATAACCATGAACTTGACCTTGGATTTGACTGTAATCACCCAGAATATTCAGTCTAAATGCTACTTTTAATTAGCACAAATTACCAGAATGGCCAGTTTCCATTCATAGAAATTATTCCTCTCACGTTTAGTGTTTAATTGGTGTAATTATTGCATATAGAGTGTGAAAAGTATTGATTGGAAAGTTACATTCAATCATCATTGAAATTACCAGCATGGTTAATTATTCGAATGATGCTTCAAAATTTGTTTATTATTAATACTAATATCAATTCTTTTAAGATCATATTTTCTTAAATCTGAAAGTCAATGTCAGAGTTATTTTACAAACATTCACTTTTGTTTCATGATTGAAAGAGAGAATTTTTAAAACCAATTGACAAATATAAGTTCACTTTTAAACTGTCAATAAGACTGAAGCCTTTTAAATTACTCACAAGTTAGATTTACTACAATATAATTTACCTGTATCCCATATCCTCTTCATATTGCGTATTAGCCTGAGATGTTGGCTGTTGTTGTTGGGGTTGTTGTGAATAAACAGTCTGTTGTTGAGTAGCTGGTGTACCAACTGGAACTGAATTCCTCGATATGTTACTGCCGTTATTCAGCACCTACAAATAAAAACAATTAGAACTAAATTTAAGATCATTTCGCAAATAGCACTAATAAACTGATACAATTAATATCTGTTATTAAATTATCATCATCATCATCATCATCAAGGTTTTTCAATGATATTACAAGTAAACTTGATACTTGACTTCAAATAAAAAATTAACGTAAGTAAAAGTGGGACAGATGTTTAAAAAAAGTGTAGAAGAAGTTCAAAGGGAATTGCAAAAGAAACATAAAAGCCACGACGAAGTTGGAAGTATAATTGGAAACGTAGTAGGCTGTGAAGTTTTTGAACTCACGTTGGTGAATCTTTGTAATTTTCACTGTAAAATCGGTGTCTTAGTAATTTTCTTTATTTTTATTGCACTTACTTTTCCTCTCTGCTAAAGCAAAAAGGCAAAATAAAATATAAAGAAAAATATTAACAAACGAAATGCATAAAAAATAAAGTTGAAAGAACTTGTCGTCAATCTAATGAATTATTTAATTAGCAAATTGCTAGAATTTTTTATTAAAAACTTCATATTTTTCTTTTAATCTTCTATCAACAATACAAAAAGTTTACTAGATTATTATAAAACTTTTTTAAGATTTCTACTGAAGCTTAGAGAAATCTGATTCATTTTCATAGAATTTAATTCTTAATGGATTAATATTCTATAGTGATTAAATGTATTATCCTTATATCATAAAATAAACTCACTGCTTTTTATCAAATAGATTATAAAGAATGATTATTTCTAACCAAGTGATTTGATCAATACTAATTTTTTTTAATAAACAGTGAAAAAAAAATCTCTAATTATCTCATCTACTTTATACTCTCCAGCTACCTATTCTAATTAGCAGGAATGAATGGAGAATCTTTTAATTAAATAAAACAGAAACTCACTTCAAGTGCTTGTAGCATAGCTCTGGCGAATTGCTCAGCATCTTCTTTAGTCGAGAAATTAAGTCCATACACCCGATTATTATCTCTCCATTGGTGAAATGTTACTGTGGCCTGATTGTATTTGAGTCCTTTGAGTATCGCACAATTGATAACGATCTCATGATCTTGGAGTTTACGTCCTACGACACGGAAAGTGTTATGCACTACATGGTGATAAAGTTGCACTTTTGACAACCCAGATGATGTGCCACTTGGTATCCATCTTTTGCTCACATCGTCGTAAACCATCACCGACGCGCGGGCAGATGATATGCTTACTTCGCTGTAAAATAAAATAGTAAAATTTAATTATATCTCATTAAGTAATTAAATAATTAACTAATTATAGTGTAATTTACAAACGAAGATGCTATACAAATAATTGTCCATTCTTTTTCTTTAAGATTGCTACTGCATCAACAGGTTATTTCGTGGGAAGCATTTTCAGTAGATTGGATGTAATAACAAGTTATACACGTGGTAAATCCTGATGAATCCCACGCTGTTAGAGAAGGATAGGTTACGACAAATTGAAGCTAGTTTGTTATAATAAAATAATCTAGCATGTCTGACCAATAGCTTAACATTAACAACATTTTTGTTCAATCATCTTATCAAGTTTCTACACTGAACACTTGCTAGTTGCCTAGAACTAAGCTTTTTTTTAGTTTTCATCACTTTGATGTTATTTTTAATTCACTTTTAGTGTCTAACAACATGTTTAGGAGTTGACTAATTATATTTTTTATGTAATAAAATAAAAAAATAGCAAAATGTTATTGATTTTAACTGAAATGGGTGAGTTTGAAATAAACATTAGATTAATTTATTTTAATCAGTGTATCCAGTAAAGCCGGATACTGAATTTAAAAAAAAAAACTAAGCAGAACTAGTTATACTGTAGATTATTGATACCCCAGGGGGTCTAAAACTTGTCGATATGACCTCATTACCACCACAAAATTAAAAAAAAAACCACGAAACCTTCAACAAATCGCATCGAGTTATAAAAAATTGAGAACTCTGGTAAATTTGAACATTAAGCTAATAGATAAATGGCAATAATTGGGAATAAAGATTATTATCATAAAAGGAATATTTCTACATGTTCTTTATCAATTAAAATTAATCGTATTTATATTTATTATCAACCATTAGAGTGTGTTATATATTCATTAATGTACGATATTATCGATATATCTAACACTTGCAAATAGATAAATAGTTTGAACTTTTTTTTTTAATATTTCAATATTGCCTTTCCAATATTGCCTGTATTTTTACTTTTATTATTTATGAGTTAGATTTGTCGTATTTATATCTATGCAAATTTATCTCAATTTTATTATTATCATACTAGCCATTTACTTTCCCAAGAAAATACAGTTCATGAAATCAGTGAAACATTGATAATTTGTTCAGTAGAAAATAAATGTTAATATTTTATTGAATCATGACTAATTTAATACGTAATGAAATTTTAAATGTATTTTAAACTTTGGCAATACATTTTAAATGTTTTAAAACTTTTTTGTAGAGTTTGCAACTTTAAAACTCTTTTTAAGAACTTATTGGAACATTTCTAAATCTATACATTTTTTTTTCTTTTGGAAATCATTTACTTTTACTTATTTTTCACAAAATTTTTTAGTTTTTTACATTCTAATTTGATATTGATTTATTTTTCGTTTCAGATTGCAACAAAATAGAGTCTAAATGACTTGGATTGATAATAAAAAGGAAACATATTGAAGTTATACCAAGACCAATATTCTTGCCAGGATGAATGTCTAAAGTGATTAGTGCTGGTAGGTATCAAGTTTTCTATTTTCTTGTCATCCCGGATTATCGTCATTTCACCACCATGCACCGTTAGAGGACGAACGCCCCTTCGACTCGTCATCACAATAACTTGACTAATTCCTTGCTGACACTTTGAGTGAATAGCATTTTCATTGTTTTTTCTAAACATTTTTAACACTCTGTAACTGAATCACTAGCATCAATGTCATGTCACTGGTCCATTTAATTTTATATTCAGTTTCACTTTTTATTTTTACTATCATCACCATTACTATTATTATTATCGTTTGAATAATTTATATTAATTTAATTATAAAAAAAAAATTATTTTAAAAATCTGTAGGAAAAGTTTTTTAATTAACCACAGTTAATTTCACATGTGGACTAATAGGAGAGTGGAACCACTACTTTGCATGAGAGCAATTGAGAACTATTATAAAGTATCTCAGTTGAATATTAATTTTTAACTGAACTCAAGAACTATGACGGGTGCGCAGAGTTTGAAGAGAAAAAAAGAGGATGTAGCAAGATATTGCCACTTCCTCACGCTTCCTCTTTCTCGTTATAAGGATACCAGAACTAGAGAGATAAGTACGACTGATGCAAATTCCAACTTTAATCTCCAACACCACAAACCACACTTTTTCATTCTGTTTACACTCACTTCAAATGTGTATAGTTGTTGATAAAAAATATACTAGATAAATTATGTTTATTGTTTTTTTACAATCATCACTCATAAAGAGGTTACGATTTAATTGTCTATGCAATATCTAAGAATTTGATCACTCTATGAAAATTGAGTTTAATCATGTATAGTTATTGAGAGCTATTAATATTATCAAACGATCAAAAACTACCATGAATTCCTTGAATAATTAATGTAAAAATTTATTATTGGTTTTAAAGTTAATTTTTAAGTTGAATTTAATTTATTTCTAATGTAATATAAACTGTTTGAAATGAGGGAAATTGGATATTAATATTTGAAAATGAGAGTATAAAAATACAATGAATTCTATGAATATTTAACACAGAATGTCTGATATTATATTTTTGAGTAATTATACAATAAAATTCAAGGTTTTCATTAATCTATTTTTATCATTAGAGAATTCATTTCTATACATTACTAGATGAAATGATAAAAATAACATCAAAAATTTTTTGATAACTTTATCTTAATTATATAATTATTTTTGATAATAATATTTCTCTCTAGCATACTTTTATTTTTCTTTTATTACATTAATTTTAAACTTTCGAAATAACAATAAACAATAAATTTCACTTCATTTTTGTGTAATTAAAGTATACTTGTATTTCTCATTTTTATCATTAATAATTTCAAAATAAGAGAAAATAAAATTTCTAAATAATTTTTATTTAAACTATAAATTAAATTAAATTATTCGTTATTAGTGTTGATGATTTAAAAAAAACAGCAATAATTAATTAGATCATATTATTTTAATTGAAATTAAAATATTAATGAAATAAATGTTTTTATTTTTTTTTTGTTTAAAAAAAGTTTTGTTCTAATTAAAGATAACCTTTGTAAATTTTCGAAACGTTTAAATGAAAAAAAAGGAAAGAAAAAAAGTCAAATACAACAAACCCATTTAAAACGAAGTAATGAAAAATTAACCGAAAACATTTTTGTAACTTCAACAACCTGGAGAAAGTAGGCTGAGCAGCGAAGCATTCTGAAGGAGGTACTGAGTACATTTTATCTCATATTTCCAGCATCTAGTTTGGGACAAAGTCAGAGAGGATGCCGAGAGGTTGACGAGAAGCACAAGAGACCGGTCGATGCACTTCCTTCTTCCCGTATACGCACACTACCATATAAGAAGCGCTGCACACCTACGTTAGTAAGATCCAGGTATTCTTTGCTTTTTCGTCTTACTACTTTAATAGCATCTAACTTTATATCTATATACTGAATATCATATAGGCTTAAATCTCAAGATTGTAAACCTTTGAAATTTGATGCTTATGCCTGAAAATTTAATCCAACTACTCTCAATCAACTAGACCAAGTTCTACGTTTACCTGATGGCTTTCTTTAATTTTTGCATAATATCCAAGTTGAAGATTTAAACAAGAAATTGATTAAACTTACAATTTACATCATTTAGTGCAGCCGACTAGAAAGATATAACAGTGGAAAATTTTCCATCAACATTCTTTTTTATTCCGGTTCAATTAAATTCTAGAGAAACAGTCAGAGTGGCAAGTAGACAAACAAAGGAAAAATTAGTAAACCGTGAAAAATTAGAGAAGAAGATGTGATGAATGAAAAAATAGATCAAGACATGAATTGAACATGTTTTTTTCCATTCAAAGAAGTAAAAATCAGGTGGTGAAATGGAACTTTTATCAGATTCTAAAATCTTATGTTGACTTATTTAATAAAAGAAGATTATTCTGATGATTTATTTTTACATAATTGATCCTTTTTCATCTGAACAAATACCTTGAATAGATTTAGAAAAAAATACATAAGAGCTAATTAATTATTTTCTCGAATTTCAAAGCAAACACCAAAGAATAAAATCAATTTTAATGGAAGGAAATGAGACCATTAACTAAATAGTTGAATCATCAATACGTTTTAATTAAATTGTGTTGAGAGATATGATTAAGTAATTAGAAATAACTCCAAGGTATTGGAAGGTTTTGGAGAAGCTTTCAAATAGTTGGAAGAAATATAATTTATTTTTTTATTTTAAATTAATTCGTGACTTGAATGAATAATAAAAGAAACAAAAGCTAAGCATGTGATAGAAGTAAACCGCAAAGAAGTCCGCAAGTTATTTCTTTGTCTGACTCAGTTGACATAAATTTGATGAAAAGCTTCCTCATAGATTAATTGAAAGGACTGCGTGTAGGCACAGCATTACTGCTTTCATAATTACATTTGCTTGACCTATAATGTAAGCTATATATTTCGAAAAAGCGATTATTTTGATGTAATAACTTCAATTATTTCTATTCTCTAGAATAATTGAAGAATATTTTATATTAGTAATGTCAGATGAATTTTTCATTAAATTTTGAAGCTTAGAATATTAAGTCAAGCTTAAAAATGAAGAGAAATTAATTTTTGAATCATTTATGTAGGCTAAACTGACATTACGATGAGCTTGATTCATCAAATTAAGGTCAAATTAATACTCATGAAATCTATTTTCTACAAACATTCTGCACTCTAGGTGAACTTAACAATTTTTCAAATAAAACTTTTGAAAACTAATGCTTTTCAATTTACAAAAAACAAAAAACTTTTAATGCATTTTTTTACTTCATTTCATCAATAATGTAATCAATCACAATATTCAACTTTTATTCAAAGACATAACATAAAGAAATCTATATAAAATAAATTTCTGTCTTTTTTAATAGTTATTAAACAAAAAACTAATTCAATTATTTCTTTAAAAATCAACAATTTTCATCACTGCACATAAAAAAAAAGCCACAGACAATTTTTTAACCTTCATATCTCATAATTGCAGTTAAAAAATAAATATTTTATTTCACATTATTTTTTTTAGATAACTTTCAAACAATAATTGGACGCAAATTAGTGGATGGAAACACGAGTATTAAATATATATGTATATACAACACGTACATATATAAAATACAACGCCGAGAGACAGAGCGAGAGATCGAACGAAGGCAGGTGGCACACGGAGTAATAACTAGGAGGAGTAGAGGACGAGTGCACGAACCCGAGGATGGGTACTACCAGTTTTTTCGCAGAGCACCCGGTCTGTCATCGTTTTGTATTACTCGCCCATGGGTTTTCGCTCATCGTCGACCACGAGAGAAGCGAGAAAGGAACTAAGACAAGGGCTGGTACTTTCTCGTAGTAGATTCTGAGAAATATACATCTCTGTACTAAGAATGAGACAAAGAACGCCAAGAAAATAGAAAAGTATTTTCGCAATGACTGAGAAGACTTGAAAAAAATTCTAAAGATTCAACATCTTCGTTATTTTTATTTTTTACAATTTAGAGACTGTAATAAAAATAATGTCTGTACATTTCCATTTAAATTATCAAAAAACATCAGATAAAATGTGATCTCACCAATGTGATGCAGAAGACATAAAGATTTTTAGTAAAAATGTAAAGGAAATGAATTTAAATGATTTTTAAACTTAGAACGTATGTTGAAAATTTTTTTTCTTTATTTGTCGACAATACTTTGATGAAAAGAATGTACTAACTACGTCCTATCGTTGTTGTCAACATTCACTGAAACAATGCAAGCCAAAATGAATGTAAATCTGTTCTCAAGCTGCACCCTAGGGGAGTTATTATTGGTGAAATGCTTCGAACAGAAGGCATCATTGAAAAATAAAATAAATAAAGTGTTGATGATTAAACTAGTTTAAAACCTGATTTTTAATGTGAATGAATTTTAAATATATTTTTTAATAACTTACTAATTCATTAGAGTGAAGTATATTTGAGACAACTGGTTAAATCATTACCAGTTGATTATTACAACTTTAAATTTAAAAAATATCACTGAATGATAAAAGTAAGAATTTATGCAACAAAAGTCACTTAAAAACTGATGTAAGAAATTTTTAAAATCTCTAATAATGTATTTATATTTGCATAAAATTATTATAATTATTAATTAATTCACTTATTCATTTGCAGTTTGCTATTAAGGTGAAACTTGTTCACATTATGACCAAATGTTCACTCACTTTCAGGGAATGTTTTAAGAAAAGAAGTCGTTAGGAAGGATAAAAGAAAGTGTTCATAATTACAAGCTACTTTACAACTTGTGTTATAAAGAATAAGAATTTTTATTATCTCAAGGATTTCATTTAAATATTGAAACTCCAAAAATATTAATGAAGGCTAATGAGAATAATTTTTTTTATTTAAATTTAAATTAAAATAATAAAATATTTGCGTTAAAATAATACTGTAATTTTAAAGTATTGTGAATATTTAAATAATTTTATACTTAGATAATTAATCATTAAGATTAAAATAATTTCCTTGCATCAAATAGAACAAATAACATTTTTGCAATCAAATAGTGGTATAAAATATTTCTACAATGACAAACCACAGATTATCAATAATAAATTGCAACGTCCATTGTCTTCTACACAATAAAGCAAACGTACTTATTATTAACTATAGTAACAATAATTATTCACTGATTAAATTTTAATTGTCTTTTTTAAATGAAAGATGTCAGAATAGTAGCTTAATGAGTGTTTATTAATTAAAGCCATTAAAGTAAGACTGTAATGAACAATTATGTTGATACGTAGATTATGAAATATGGTGATAATTATAGAATTATTATTTTATATCAACTGATTGTTATGCATTTAGTATTATAGACAAACGTAAAAATTTAATTCTGCTAATTTACTGGCCATTTTAAATAAAACTTGTTTACCTTAACATTAAATAAGCAATGGAATTTAATAAAAGGAAGTAATGTCCGCTGAGGCATGCATCTTTGCGATTTAATAACGCACGTCGGCAATTCCCGCTTCGCTCCACAGTGCGTGGCCAAAACTTATTTATTCATGTAGACTTGATTCGCTTTATAACTAGCTATATATTTTTCTGTTACCCTTAACTGTTATCTATTAAATAATTCATCAAAAATACCATAATAAATACTTTTTTGTTACTAAACAAACGTTAAAAATTGATAAATAATTCAAGGTATCATTTGTTAAAGTATCAAATATACATAATTGATAAATTTATATTTTATTATCAAGACTCATATTATTAAATTCATCAGTCACAATAAAAAGAATTTATATTAAAAATTGAATCATTTTGGTTTCTTGGCATACATTTTTTTTTTTTAAAACTGTGACAATCATTTTCTTGGAAATTAATTAAGGTTTTTCTATTATCAAGTGATTGTCAATACGAAAGAACAATTTTATGAATTACCCAATAATTTTTATATGGCTTGAAAAAATAACTTGATGGACTGTAATTTACTTCTCAGCATGAAAGAAGTTTTTTTAAACGAAAATTGTTACATATATAAATGGCATAAGGTACAGATATGTGACGATAGACCAAGTTAAGTTTGTTTTTCAAGCATGTTTTTCCCTTTACACGCGACGAAGAAACACGTTGAGCAAGGACACACGAGGAGAGTGTGCATCCGGCTGACTCGTGCGTGCATTCCCTCCCTAATTTTCGACATATATCCCCATTTTTATGGGTTCGTCATTTTCTTTACCAAGGGCGAGGGTGACTCTGAATTGGGGATGAATAATACCCCTGGCGAAATACGAGTATTAATCCCTTGATGCTTGCTAAAGAAAATCCCCATGACTTTTCCACATTTTTCTACTCCAAATGTTGCGCAAAACGAAAACTATCAGGTTACTGAAGAAATTATTGTTTTTTATTTCAACAAATTCATTAGAGTGTTTTAAATTGATTGTTATATTAACATGAATTGAATAAAAACAGCAAATTGTCATTCTTTCGACGAAACAAAATAAGTAGTTATTTTAAAACGTCCGTTTAAGAAGCTTTTTTAAGAATAATTACAGTTCTTTCAAATATTTCAAAGAAAGAAAAATAATTATACTTACAAAGAACAAAGTTTACTTGACTAGTGAATCTTCAGCTAAAATAAATAGGAATTTGTCAAAATTTTATGACATTCAGCTTACCAAGAAATAAGAATAAACTTATTTAATTTATTAATCATAACTGTTGTAAAGGATTAAGGTTGATGATTTACCGTGATCTAAATAAAAAGTGAGTTAGTCATTGCTTGGATAAACCCAGTTTTAAATGAAGGAATGAAAAAAATATTTAGATTTCCTTATTGGCAATGAGTACATTTTAAAATATTTCTAAACGATCTTGAAATTCTTTAGAAAAGAAAAATATTCTAAGAAATCAGATATCAATGCAAGGTTTAAGGAAACGAGTTAGTGATTTATCGATATCCGCACGTTCGATGCGTCATTCTGTATATGAATCAAGCGATTTAATCTTATTTCATTGTTTGAAACATCTGTTCGATACACACCTTCAGTTGCTGAACTAATTTATACGTTTAAACTTGATTATTTTTATGACCTTACTAATTTAGGTTTATTCTATTTACACTATTATTTAATATTTTAATCATCCTTATCTTCAATGTTGGAGAGTAAAACAGTTGGAGTACAATGAGGAATAAACACTTGAATTATTTTAAAAATTTATTTTTCAAGTTAAACCTCATCTAGACCAAACAGCTTCATTTTCGAAGCATGAAAAGACACCAAGGGTTTCGATGACTAAAGATGAACATGTGTTGTTAGAAAAAGAATGATAAAAATAGGAAAAACAGCTGTATTCTTTCCACCAAAATGTACTACTGAAGGAAAGTAGATATGCAGAGAATAATTATTTTTTACTCCGGATATTCAAAGTATGTATTGAAAAGAAATGCCTCGCAAAAAAGAACGCCCTTATTTTTTTTTCCTCAAATAGTGTCCTATATTTTTGTTAGCTTCAAGCTATGAAGAGGAGGATAAAAAAAATTGGCAAGAATGTCTGGAAATTATTGGAATACGAGTCTGGACAAAATGATAAACAATGGACGAGAAGTCAGAGAATGAGAGAAGCCGTTGTGGTTTCCCTGTACACAGAGAGTAAAGAGGGAGGAAATGATTTTTCACTTGTACTTACTTCATGGTTGTTGCGGAGGAGGGTAAGTGCTATGCCCTCATGCAAATTGAATTTCTTCCTCTGCACAATATCTCACTGATTCCATGAAAACACGCAAGGTTCGGACAGGATTTGCGATAATTCGACATAAATAACGGGCACTAACACCACCGTGACACCCTACTGTTACACATCTGATCAGCCATATTGCTGACTCGAGACTCTTTTGGCAGATTCTACACCTATGTCTCAAAAAAGATCGATCCCACCGACAATATCGCGCTCGCAATGCGATGTATCGAAGGAGAAGTCAAGCGACTGCAGCGCCACACCATTGAAGCGCCAAATTCAGTTAGATTTGAAAAATTGCGCAATAACTAATATTTTTTCATAATCTATTGAATAACAACTTGTTTTACTAATTTTTCAATTAATAATAATCATTTATTACTTTTTACAATTTTTTATTTACTACTTGATATGTTTTTATAAGGAATATTTACTTTATTTTGTCAGTTAAGTTTAAAACGTTAACTCCGAAAGTCGTCACCTGGAGATGTTAGTGATACGTTGAACGTAAAACATGAGACGCGATGTGCGTTCGACATTTTCGAGAAAATATGTGGATTATCGTAAAATGTGATAATCCGCGATTGCGAGGACATGTTAAAATAAATATACAGATGTGTGAGAAATAGGATAATAATGAATATGGACATTGAAATGGTTTAATTCAAACTTTTAATCAGTTTTATTTACGCAGTTGATGAACCAACGCCATTTTGTGACCACTTACTAAGAAGTAAACATCAAACTTTCTAATTGTGTTTATAAGTAGCGTGAGGCAGTGGTTTTGGAATAAGACCGAATAAACATTGGACATTTAATTTATTAACATTTTTTTCATAAGGACCTATTATTTAAATTAATACGCTACACTCAATTGATGCACTATTTTTCGCGCCAATTCGATGCACCTGGTACATCTGTTCATCCAAGAAACAGCTGTCCAGCCACTGTTAATGCAGAATTCTTATCATTTATTTGTCAATTGTTGACTATAAATTTCGTAAGAACTATGCAAGGTTAGATAGTTTTTTTATTTTAATTACGTAATCTCTTAAATAACCTTAAAACGTGTTCTAGAATGATCATACATTTCTTTCGGCAGGTTTTGACAGTAAACGACTCCGCCTGTGAGTCTTATCACAAGGAATGATATTCTCTTTGACACCTGTGGATGTCAGATAAACAGAAAAATGTCCGGTGACTCAGGATGGAACGCAGTAATCCATCATCCATCGGAGCTCGAGCTTCAAAACTGGAACTGGGACGAAAACGATGGAGAGCCCGAGAGAGAGTTACCTTCCACCGTGGATATGGATGCCATAAAAGATGGTGGAAATTGGAATCCAGCAACTGGTACCAACGAAACTGATTCCATTGATTCTGAAGAAGATTCTGATTCAGATGACGAGAGTTCTGGTGGATCAGATGGTAGTTGTTCTTATTCAGACTCTGATTCTGACGACGAGAGCAGTGGTGATGAAGAGTGTGATGATTCTGATTCCAATTCCGATTGTTCATCTGATCATAGTGAGCAAACATTTGCTATTCGAGAAACTAATTTTGAGCAGGGTGCGTTGAAGTTAAAAATAAGCATGAAAGCACAAAAAAAAGAAGAAATAGATAAAATTAAATGTGATAAACCGAAAAAAATAGTCCCACGAAAATCAAAAGTAGCATATAATGCGAAAACATCTGAATGTACGTCAGATGACTCAGACTCGTCGGCAGGTCCGACGCCGATGAATCAACAAATTCCAGTGTCATCTCAATCACAACAGCCACAAGCACCGTTGCAAGAAATTAATCAAGATCATTTAACAGCTATACTTCCAGAGCAAGAAGATCCACCTTTCGATGGCTTTGAAGATTCCGAAAGTGGTCGTTTAGTGTCAAAAGCTATTGAAAGAATGTCTTTAAGTGCTGATTCGGACTCAAGTGAAAACACTGATCAAAATCCAGTGCCTGTTTACAGTTCAACACTTCTCCAGCAATTTGTTGAGAAAACAGCGTTGTTATCAGAGCCACGTAAAAGACGTAGTAAAGCAGTCAAAAAAGCAGAGTCGGAGTATTCATGTATATCGAATGTTTCTCCCGATTCTGGTATTCAGTCTGTTGATAATAGTCCTTTGCATCTGACAACGACTCCTGCTAGTCCACCAGTAACTTCTCAATCACCAGTACAAACTGCTTTGTCTAAACCAGCTGTGAATGTAGACAGAGTTTTATATCCACCAAAAAGAAAACCCGGAAGGCCTGCAAAAATGGCATCAACTCAACCACGAGGTCCTGGAAGGCCAAGATTAAAGCCTGAAGTAGTGGAAACAATTGTCAAGATTGAAAGAAACTCTAGAAGTCCTGTAGTCAATAAAGAAGTCGCTAAAAAAGATGTTAGTTCTACAAATAAACGTGGCAAGCCATCAACAAAAAATACGAAACTAGCTACTCCAGCAAGTAAAGAAGAGCCTACGCGGAATCAAAGGTTAAAAAACAAAAAATCCAATGCCGAGTCGTTACAAACCTCAAGTAAAACTTGCTCTACTGATAAAAATTCTCCAACTGAAGAAAAGTGCCTGAATAAATCTAATGTAAAGAAAGTATCTAAGGAGATTAAAACGTGTGAGCAAGCTTGTAAGAGAGTACGGCAAGATAAATCTGTAGAATCAAATAAAAGTACGTCACCGTTGAGACAAAAATCAAGTAATGACCAAGGTTCAAGCGAGGATAAAATGATTAGTAGTAGTAGAAAAAGCTCGAAAGAAAATCGAATTGAAACTTCTCCAACAAATAAAAAACAAAATACAACTAAAAAAGCAATACTTCCGACACCGAGGCGCGTTTTGAAGGAAAACAAAAGTACCAAAAAGCCATCTGAAACGAATGTCGTTGGTGTTCAAACAGTCATATCAGTTCCAGTTGATTTAAAGCCTGAAAATATTGAAATAAATAATGAAAAATGTGATCCAGTGGCTCCGCCATTATCCAATCAAAATCAAAAACATCATCATCATCATCACCATCATCATCATAAACACAGGCGGCGAGTCGTAACACCACCTAAAAAACCCATACGTGTTGATCCAACAGTAGTTGAAGAGCTCGAAAAACTTACTGAAGAGTTTAGTAAGCTATGTAGTCTTGGTAAAAGTAATAACAATTCAACTTCCGATTTACCGCAGATTTTTAGGGTAAAGAAAATTACGAAGAAGAGAAAAGGTGCAGATGCAAATACAAATGATGACCAAAAATTAAAGAGAAGAGTTAAAAAGGATAAAGTAACTTCTAATGGAGATTTAAAAAGTAATCAAAGTTCTAATACTCCTTCAAATCCTAATGAACAAAGGCTTCCACTTAAAAAGCGTCATTATCACTTATCAAGTCCACATAGTTCACAAAGTTCCAATGCTAGTTCTACTGACACAAATCCAAATGAGTCAAACTCAATGGAGAGCCATATCGAAGAGGCAATTGAAGCAACAATTGAAAGGTATAGCGGAAGTCCAGGAAGTTCACAAAAGGACAACGATTCTGTGGCTTTAAAGAAGAGGTTAAGAGATGCTGAAGCTAGTGTAGATTCAGAAGGAAGTGAGAGCTCTGAGGGTGAAGAGAAAACTTTAAATCGATCGGAACCGCCTCGTAGAAAGAAAAAAATTGTAAGAGATCTTCGTGTGACAGTAACAAAGTTAGTTACGCCAGAGAATCAATCTACAAGTAGTGTTGATAAAGTGGATAGAACAACAAACGAAAAAAGTTTGAAAAGCCATACAGATAAAAATACGAAGACTGAGAAAATATTATCTGATAAACAGTTAAAGACAGACAAGAATGAGCAACCGGAAAAGGAGCATAAAAAATCAACAGTTGATAAAAATGAGAAAAATAATACAGCTATAAAAGATGGAGAAAATAAAAATGTTATTCCAGAACGAAAAGAGACTGTTGCGAACGTTCCAAATCCTATTAATCCAATGGCAGCGTTGATTTTGACAAAGAAAAAAATACGAAGAAGAAAAGCAATTAATCGAACTGGTTTTCCAACACTAAAGAAAAAGAAAAAGAAGAAATTAAATACAGCACCTGAGTCTAATGATAATGAGCCAGAAAAATTAACCCGAGTACCACGTGTGGAAATTTCTACTACAGAATTAGATATATCTAAAGTAGATGAAAAATCTGTACTCTCTGAGAGTGATGTAAACACGGTTCTACCGATTTTAGATGAAAAAAGTAGAGATAGCGATGATGAAAAAACAGATCCTCATGAATTTAAAGATTTTCATGAATTATCTTGTAATAGTTTCTCAGATGATTTCGTAGACTCTTGCTCTGGATCATTGAGAGTTCGGAAGGATTTAGTTGAATGCGATGGTACTAAGCCTTGTGACAAACTTTGTCCAGTAAAGTTTGAAAAAATTCAAGACTCAAGAATGTATGATGAAAATGCAACTCTTGAAGAATCCCTAGAGCGTTACAATCAGAGTCAGCGAATAGCTGAGTTGAGTGAAGAAAATGTAAAGAAACTTGAACGTACTAACTCCCAGTCTAGTATAAAAATGGATCTGGGCTGTCTCAATAATAACCATAAAAGAAGAAGAGGCTCTACTAGTCCATGTAATTTAACTTTAAAAAGCATCAAGAGGCTAAAAAATGCTGGCTATGACACAGAAAGTGATGCAGTACCTAGCAGTGATGTTGCCAGTGATGAACCTGAAATAGGAAAACAACAAGGATCTTCTCATTCTCGAAAAAAACAACCAAGATGGAAGAAACGTTATCTTCAAGCTGGATTATTTTCTGATTACTATAAAGAAGATGAACCCAGAAAAGTATCTACCAACGATGGTGTTGGAAAAAATAAACTTACTTATGATCCTGCTGAGCATCCCCATGGCTTATTACCACCTCCATATCATTGCGGAAAATTTTTACGACAAAGAAAAATCCCGTTCCAATTACCCTACGACCTTTGGTGGTTACACACGCACTCCAGATTACCTGGAAGAGATTTAGTACCATCTTGGAATTATAGAAAAATTCGTTCTAACGTTTATTATGATGTCAAACCAACGACACTTTATGAAGCACAGGCTTGTGAATGTAAACCAGAGAGTGGATGTGGCGATGATTGTATTAATAGGATGGTATTTAGTGAATGTTCACCTCAAATGTGTCCTTGTGGTGAGAAATGTGAAAACCAAAAAATCCAAAAACACGAATGGATTCCAAATCTGCAGAGATTCATGACAGAGAATAAAGGCTGGGGAGTAAGAACCAAAGGCTCGATAAAAATGGGCTCGTTTATTTTAGAATATGTTGGAGAAGTTGTCTCAGAAAGAGAATTTAAGTCGAGAATGGCTACAAGATATGCTAACGATACACATCATTACTGTCTTCATTTAGACGGAGGTTTGGTTATTGATGGCCATCGAATGGGAGGTGATGGGCGATTTGTTAATCATTCATGCGAGCCTAATTGTGAAATGCAGAAATGGAGTGTCCACGGATTACCAAGAATGGCTCTCTTTGCATCCAGAGACATAAAAGCCGGTGAAGAGCTGACTTATGATTACAACTTTGCTTTATTTAATCCATCAGAAGGTCAAGTATGCAGATGTGGTAGTAGTGCTTGCAGAGGAGTTATTGGAGGTAAAAGTCAAAGAGTAGCCAGACCACCTGCACCAATACCATCTCAATTAGAAAATCAAGAACGTAGATCAGTTGGTAGACCTCGAAAAAATGTCCGCAAATCAAACATGCTTCAATCAGTTGCCAAAGGTTTATGTAAAACACGTAAAGTGGGAGATTCCAACTTGATGAGTACTCCATTAATAAAACCAATGTCACAACAACAACGATACTTTGCCCAACAGCATCATTGTTTCTTATTAAGAAATCTAGAAAAGGTAAAAAGAATGAAAACTCCAATAAATCAAGTACAAAATCAAATTGGAAAGAATAAAGAGAAAGTGGCTCCTGCAACGAAAGAAAAGCCTTGTAATGACTCCAAAACTCAATCTGATGCTTTTCTTTCACAATTGACAGCTTTAACTAATAATGCTTCGAGGACTGTAAGAACTAGAAGGTTGGCACAAGCTCAAGATGATCCAGAAGTAAATAAAACAGCTAAATTGGCCAAAGTTTTGAAGGATTTATACAATGTAGTTGCCACTGCTAATGATGAAAATGGAGAATTACTTTGTATACCATTTATAACTTTGCCAGCAAAAAGAAAACTTCCAGAATATTACGAAAAAGTACAAGATCCAATTGATTTGACAATTATGGATCAAGCAATTGGAACTGGTCATTACAAGACTGCAGAACAGTTCGACCAAGATATGATAAAATTGTTTGACAATAATGTAAAATTTTTCGGTAGAACTTCAGAGATAGGAATAGCTGCGGCTAGATTGAGAAAACTTTATTTAGGTAGTAAAGTCAATTTCATTGAAGCTATCACAGAAGCAACGGGCGCACCACCTGCTCAACGCTTCCTCCCGCCGCAGGGATCAACAGCTGGCGAGGAAGACGTTATCAGATGCATATGTGGACTTCATAGAGATGAGGGTTTAATGATTCAATGTGAGCGATGTTTGGTTTGGCAACACTGCGACTGCGTTAAAGCTGATACAAGTATCGAATCTTACTTGTGTGAGAGGTGTCAACCACGACCTGTTGATCTCGAGATTCCTCTTGAAGGCGAAGAAGAAGAGAAGGGTAAGAAACACTATGTGACACTAATGCGTGGAGATTTACAATTAAGACAAGGCGATACAGTTTATGTTCTTCGAGATACTCCAGAAAAGCACACTTATAAAACTATCCAGAAGTTTGATTATGAACAGATGGATATCTTCAGAATTGAAAGACTCTGGAAAAACCCTGAGGGTGAACGATTTGTCTTTGGTCACCATTATTTAAGACCACATGAAACTTACCATGAACCTACCAGAAAATTCTACGAAAACGAAGTTGTCTGTGCTCCTCTTTATGAAGCTGTTCCTTGCGATTTAGTTGCTGAGAGATGTTGGGTGCTTGATCCACATACGTACTGTAAAGGTAGACCAGTTGGTGCTACTGCTGAACATACTTATGTTTGTGAATATCGAGTAGATCGAGCCGCCAGGCTTTTTACTAAAGTTGCCCGATCACGTCATCAAGTCTGTACTAAGCCTTATGCTTTCGAAACATTTCCTCAACGTATCAAACATTATCGTACTTATTTGGTAAGTTAAATTCAATTTCAAATACATTTTTTTGTTGATTGTATTTTAAATGGAAGAAATGATTAGAAATTTTCATATTTATTTTATTACTTTTTCAGCCTCATAGTCTAGAAAGTATTCAAGCAATCAAAGCAATGCGAGAAAAGAAAAAGAACTCTTCAAATGCAGACAGTGATCATAATCATAAAACGGAGAGCGATTCAACTAAGGTTAATGGAAAAGATCAATCAAAGACTCTTGGGAAAAATAGACATAAACCTTGTGATAACCATTCCTCTATTACTCCTATAGTGTCACCAGCACAGGTAATTTATTTTTTTATCTTATTATTTATTGAATATTTTTATAAATTAATAAGTTGATTTCCCATACAATTTCTCAGAGAGAAGAGCAACGTAAGAGATTGAATCGCATACTGAAAAACCTACTGCAACGAATGCCGAATAAAAAAGATCCTCTTGATCTTTCATTCTTATTAGAACGAAATCGAAGAAATCGTAAACGACCCAGTGGCTGTAAACAGTGACAACGGATTACAAGTACGCGAAAAAATGCGCAACATGTATCGATGTAAGTAAAAATATATGAGAATACCGGGATTTATTGGTAAATTAATGGTTGATTAGATTTATTGATAAAACCCCATTTTCAAATCATCATTGGCATTAATATATATATAAATATATTCTACTACTACTATAGATTACTTTTAGACAAACAAATATTGTATACTCTTTTTCCACAAAGCTATCCCGTCCATTCAGCTTATTATGGCTTCCTGTCATTTTGTAGTTGATATTACATGTTGGGGCGTTATCAATTTGTTTAAACACATTTTTAATATATTTTAAATATATTTTAAATAATATATTACTAAACGATCAAAATTCAATATACTTGAATTTAAGTACCTTGGCTCTATTCGTATCTATTTAGATTAATAATGAGTGAAAATGATAAATTATTGCCCCCCAGGGTGTTTCTTGTACTTTTTTGAATGAATTATAAATTATAATAATATATAAATTAGTAGTTTAGGCATGGTAGGCTTGATCAATAAATGAATCGATAATAATAAAATGTTTAAAAGATCATGACAGGGTACGTTTCCCTGATCAACTGGATACATTTCAAAATTTGTACAGAGTTAATTGTAAATTATTTGAATTCTTAGAAACGTTGTTAAGTCCGAATAGTTGATTGTACAAATTATAAAATTACGTGCGTATGTAAACGCACTTGGAGCTTTGTTGCACAAAAGGAAATATATTTTTCATAACCCCGGTGTTATCAAAAGTAATTGTAAAGTAGAATGTAATCAGCAGATGAAATTTTACAAATGTATTTAAATTATTATTATGATTATTATTATTATTATAATTATGTTTTATTATATTATTAATTCATCATATTATTATGATTGGCCTTTATTCAGCATTTGATTGCTGACAATCTTCAATGAATCATTGTAAATATTTTTATCATCGAATATTTATTATTAATATTATATTCTTACATTTACACGTTGTGAAAAAGTGATATTTTCAACACATAACTCACCGAATGAATTGCACTTGCCTGTATGTCAGATCAGTACTATTCTCTCATTATTATCATTAATATGATCATTACTATTATTGACGATTGTTTTAATTAACTTTTAACGATGAAAAAAAAATACATTATCACTACAGAATGTATCAAAAATCTATTACAGATATAACATGAACAAAACATTTATTAATCAATTGTTTTATCTTATAAATCATGTCTATATGCGATTAATTTATTGGTAAAAATTTTTTAATTAAATTAATGAAATTTAATATAAAAAGGGTTTAATGGATTAATAAAATTTTATTATTCAATTTATATTTCTGTTTTATACAATTTCAAGTTCCATGTTAGAGCTTATTCGTACCTCATTTATCCATATGGGACAATTGTTTATTTTAAGGCTTTTTAAGTATTAAAATAGTTTTTTAATAATTAATTGAAATATCCTAAGTGATACTAATCAGTTTTAATCTGTTGGGATACATTGATATCAAATTAGAATATGACACTAAGAAATGTATCACATTATTTTATTTTATTAATGATAGTTTGAGAAATTCAGAATCTCCCTTAGCATTTTTAAAAATTATAACTATTTTTTGTTTGTATTGAATGAAATTTTCTATTTTTTGGTTTGTTGCGCCGGTAGCTTCATATTAATTTAATAATATATTATACACAAATATTGTATTCTTTTTTAGAGAGCTAAATATATGTTAAAGAAAGAAAATATAACAAGTGGTATTTATTTCTTATCAAAAAGCTAATACGGAATGTTGAAAATTATTTATATTAAAAATTTAATAATGATAATTTATTTATCTTATAAAGCATAAAATAAAATAAAAACTATCATTTATTTAAGAGAAAATATAAATAGTCATACTTTTAATGGAGTAATAATTAAATAAATGGGAAAAATTTATATAAGACACTTCTTTATTTTTATGAATGAGTTTGTACATTGTATCAACAAATAAATTTATAGATTATTTTTATGTTACTTACTTTTTCTATCATGTAAAAAGATCATCCGAGGAAATCAAGGTAATGGTAAATTTTACATAATGCTATATTAACTTTTAAATCAAATTGATGAATTAAAAATGCATTATAATTAGATAGTTCGTATATTTTTTCTCGGTTATAACAACCATTTTTCATATCTATTTTGAATTCTTAAAATATACATGTCACATATACTACTCGAATTTTATGTTATTTCAACTTTAACCTCTGGCCATTCTTTATCGTCTATCATCTAACATTTAAAATATTTTTGCTTATTTGCAAAAGTATTTATTAATTAATATTTTTTTGCGCTGTACATAATGTCGCAGAAAAAGTGATAGTACGACAGTGTCAGTTTTATATAAACATCGTAGTTAATTAGAAAAAAAAGCGTCGAACTATCCATTTTACCTGTAACATTTCATTTCCACTGGATTATATTTAAATGATCTTTTCTGCAATTCTTCATATTCATATACATTATATATTTACTTTAATAATTGTTAATATATTTATTATTCATGTAATTACAGTACATAACTTAGGCTGTTATTTTTTCTTAAAATTAATGTCACTTCTCGTAAAACAGACATGTAAATTCATATTTTAAGACTTCCGTTCAATCCATTCGTTTAAGCTTTCATTTCATCATCATAGATAATTAATTTATAATTGCATTTAATTACAGACATTAAAAATATTGAAATTTCGAATTTTTATTTTTTTAATATCTATAATATATGAAATTTGTACAGCCGTGTAAACTTATTAAACGATGTGAACAAAATGAGTGAGGTATCATACTGTAATTAAAAAATGAAAAGAAATAAAAATAAAATAAGAAAGAAAGTTAAAGGGTAAATTGACTATAACATATGATTACTTTTTCAATTCTTATATTCATTTTTTATCCAAAATATTTTTCATGAAAGGAATGTTTATTGAGGCTGTTAAATGGGTTCAAATAGTTTGAAATTTATTACGTCTTTCTTTTATACATGTACCATCAATTAAAATCTATCAATATTATCATAAATTTTCCCGAAATGTATAAAGACAGTTGTCCCCTTTACATCGATATTTTTGAAATAATATTTGTCAAACATTGAAAAATACAAATAATGATTAATTGGTTTTATTTAAACGACAAAGTCTGTACATATTTACATTACTTGCCATGGAAAAAATTATTTAGAATTATTATTATTTATTTATTTTTGTGATACTTTAAATTGAGTCGATTAAAAAATTCATACTCTTTTCTACTTTCAATAAATTTTTTTTGCATTTTTAAAATTTTTTTAAACAACGTACAATATTATCGCCTCGTAATTTTTTATAATAACATTATGTCATTTGATTTTCAACTAATTAATATTAATGATAATAGTTATATTATTGTGCATTATAGTTAATGCAAGAAAAAATGGATGTTTAGTAATAAATGTAAAGTATAAATCAAAATGTTTCTTTCACTGTCAGTAAGACGATAAAAGCACACAATTTTCCATCTAAATGTCGCAAAATTAGTTTTCTTTAATATAAACTAACTGATTTTTTATAATAGTGATAATCCAGTGGTTTTTGTGATATATTTTTCTGAAAAGTAAATACTCACTTTATTTTTGTTGTTGGGTACCAGTACTGGAACCATCAGCTGAATAGTATGATTGTGAATAACCTTGCCATCCTCCTGGATAATTGTTGTATGATGACGAACTTACTGTTGAAGAAGCTGAAGTAGTTGGATTACTACCACCCGACGTTGCCTATTTAAATAATTTTATTTATTTCTATTCAAGATTCTTTTGAAAGAAGGCCAAAGGTTATGTAAAATACCGTTTATTTTTTTCTTACAGTTTGGCCACTGGATGTGACGGATGGCGACTGTTGGCCCCAATACTGATTGTAATACTGTTGTTGTTGATTCCAACTGCCCCAATTTCCATTACCATATCCTTGCTGATTATAATTATTCTGATTATAACTTGATTGTCCATAACTTTTCCAACTACCCCAATTTTGTTGCTGATTCCAATTACTTTGTTGACTACCCCAACTTCCTTGTGATTGGGATTGACTACCAGACCATCCACCACCGTGTTGACTTCCACTCCATCCACCTCCTCCTCCTCCTCCTCCTCCAGATGAGTGTGAAGAATTATGATAGTTACTGCTGTTATAATAATTTATTCCAGCCATTATTATATGAAATTAATGAACAGTACAGTAAATTAATTGATAATTTAAATTTCTTGATGAAAAATATTAAAAAAGCCTCTTTAAAGTCAAGAAATTTTTACGATATTAATACATGTAACTTGAGTCTATTAAGGTTACTCCACTCAGGTTCATTGACTTTGAGTTAAAAATAATCTAAATGAACTTACTTCATCGGACCCCATCCGCCACCCTGTCTGGAAGGCGGGCCAGATCGGCTACGATCAATTGCCGATCGCCTGTCACTTGAAGAACTGCCACGCCTGTCAGAACCACGATGAGATGAACTTGAACTGGGTCCTCCACGACCACGCCAGCCACTAGAAGATCCATAACCACCACTACTATGTCTTATACTCCGTGGTCCTCTGTCTCTCCAACCACCTCCTCCTCCTCCCATATGGTTGCCACCACGCCACGATGAACTGCGATTTCTGTCTGAATCTATAAAAATCAAAAATATCAGCTAAATTTATCAGAAAAAAGATCCTTAATCTGCTTAGATGGGCTTAATATTATTTTATTATACTTACAAGCACTTCGGCGATCACGATAATCCCTACTATCTCTGCTGTCTCGACTAGATCTTACATCACGACTGTCTCTGTGACTATCGCTTTTTTCAAATCTTGGTCGTTTACTTGTTTGCTGTACACTATATCCAGCATCTTTGCCTTCTTTGTTGTACTTAATAATTAATTTTTTAGCTTCTTCTTCACCTAGTTCAATCCATTCGATACTGTCAAATGATTCTCCGACCACTGGAGCACTGAAATTCGCTGTAGAAATAATTAATTTAATATTAATCAAAAATCCAACTATTTTAAGACATTTATGCGTCTTCAAGTGACGACAACAACAGGTGTGCAAAGTTGTGAATGAATTTAGAAACAGCCCCAATTAGTGACTCTAATAATATTATGATTCATTATAATTAAATGAGCTAATTTTATTTGATTCAGTATAATAGCACAAGAAATTGAAAATATTAAACTTATTCATCTTAGAGTTAAAACAAAAAATCTATTTTTTTTAAAGGATGTGATGGATAAATAAAGATTTGAACTGTGTCAAAAATTGAATGAAATGTTATTTTAAATAAGTAATAGGTAAACCTAAATTAGGTCAAAAATTAGGCTGTTTATTAATTCAAAACACACCTACGACCAAGGGTTTTATCTTAATAGATGTATACAATTAATCGAAGGGCGACGTGCTGTCGAAAGGGAATAAAAACCAACCTTTCATCTCCAAGACCGTGGTATCAGGAACGTCCTTGCCTTCGATGGCCTCGCGTTTAGCAGTACGCGATTTGAACTCTTCATCCGTTGGTACTATAACTATCGCCTTCCGTTGAAATCCATAGAAATTCCTCATTTTGCGCCTTTGTGCGGAAGGATATACGTTTGTCTGTACCGGTCCCATAGAAAATACAGATGTAAAATTCGTTGAGTGTTATGGGCGCGCGAATATATATCTTTTTCAGATCTATTCGGTAAGGCAATTTTTGATGCAATTCGTTCAATTCCTTCATCTTTTTTTCTCTTAAATTAACTTACTTCTAACATACTTACATCCCAGTTTGACAATTTACTTCATAGTTATAATTATTACCTCAGCTTGGATACCAATTAATTTAAATTAATTCAATCAATTAAAATTAATTCTAATACATATCATATCTTAACTTTCATCATTTAACTTGAATTCATCTAGCGTTTATTCATTGAATTATTCATTTCTTTTTGAAAATTTTAATTTCACGATTATGTTACGATTTTATACTAATACATACCATAAAATGCCACCTCAAACGGACTGGGCTATGATTGGAAGAAAGAAAAAAAACACTTACCTTATTACAGAAAGTATCAATGTTTTTTTTTTACTTGATTTTTCTGTTTTTTACTTAGTCTAAACTAGTAATCTAATATTTTATTGCTTCCAACTTATTTTCTTTTGCATTAATATTTTTAGTATTCTATTTTTTGTCTAATTTTTAAATTAAATTTTGAAAAATAATAAAATTATTTCTCACCTGGTCCAAAATGTAGTTACGTCGTCTGGTAGCCGCTACTTCCAAAAGTTTATTTAGACAACGAGAACATTTATCTATCAGTGTTTCCCATCTACCATGATAATTGCGTTTCCTTGGCAATCCAATAACCTAAGAGAAAATATGAAGAAAAATGGAATGCAATTAAAGAATTTTTTTATGGAAGAAAAACTTAAATAACATTATAAATTTATACTTACTTTCATTTTATCAATAAGAGCGTTAGTTCCTAGAATATTATACATTTTTTCTGGATTTTCCGACGCATATTTATTAGCCCAAACAGTTTTTCCAGATGCTGGTAAACCACACATCATTAGCATTTCACATTCTTCTCTTTTATCAGGTCGTCGTGGACCAGGTGTTCGATCTTTAATGTCTACTTGACCTACTGGTGAATATCCATCAAGAATTTTTTGATTCCACGCTTCTTCATCACCGAAATTGCAAACGAAAGCACAGTTTTTGGTTAATAAATGTGGAAAAAGTGCTTTTCCTTCAAGTTCAGATTTTTGAATTCTAAATGCTTCACCTAGGCTTTCTCCATTTAACGTATAAGTTATTACAATTTCATCACCTGATTCCATATCTAAATAACATCCCAGTATATCATTTAAACCAAAGGATGGACCATAATCCGTGAAATTATTTCCTGTAGATATTTTTCCTGTACCCCCATATCCATAACTGAATTTTTCTTCACCTAATTGCATAGATGTAAACGCTGTTGACCATCCAGCTCTTAAAACATGAGGATATTCTTCGTTTTGAAGAGTAACATTGCACTGATGAGTAACTTTTACTTCATAATATATTTTTCCACTGGTAAAACCATATGATGCTCTTGCACCAGCCCAGACGTATCCAAATCCATCATTATGCATTGGGGTTGCTGATAAAAATTTTGATTTATCAATTATTAAATTCAAATCTGAATCATACCAAGATAATAAAACTCTAGAATAATCTATTTCTGGTTCATCGTCAACAATACTTGGACTTTTGTGGCGATCATCTTGTGAACTAGTAGATCGCTTCCTTTTTCTGTCTTTACGATCTCTACGATCATAGTCTTTTGATTCCTTCTCATCGGATTCCTGTTTCACATTTGGCTTCATTTCAACATCTTCTGGTTCAATTTTAGCTGTTTCATTTAGATCATCAGTCTCTTGTTTCAAATTATCCGATGATTGTTCTTCGAACTCTTGTTGTATCTCTTTATTATCAGAAACACTTGAAGAATTAAGGTCATCAAAAGATTGTTCTTCTGGTTTAAAATCCTGATTTCGATCATCGACGTCATTAATTGCCATTTTTTCTTCTGTTTCTTCACATTTTTCTTCTGTTTCCTCAACAGAATTAAACATCTTATCATCTTCTGATTTTTCTTCAGAATATTCGTCAGATATTTTATTATCAACGTCATTTTCCTTATCATTTGTAAGTTCTTGTTCCATTGGTTCATCATTTTTGATTGCATTTTCTGATATATTAGTTTCAGATATCTCGGAAATCGGCTCGGATTCATTTATCGATTCATCTTGAGCTGGTCTTATTTCGGGTGCTTCTTCAGCTGGTTGAGGAGTACATATTTCCGTCTCTGATGACTCACTCATTTGCTCCATAGCTGCATTCTGTGACTCTGTCATATGGGAAGGTTTATCATTTTTCTCCAACTCATCTCCACTATTAATTTCCGTTGTCGCAGAGGTATCTGTTATCGGGATTGGTGTTTCTTTAATAGGTGATTTTACAGGTGAAGGAGTTTCTTGCGCTACAGGTGTTATTATAGTCTTTGGAGAGCCTCTTGTAGGAGTTTTTATTGGACTACCACCTGAAGAACTCCTAGGAGATCTACCAGGTGTCCTGACAGGTGTAGTAACCTTAGTGGGTTCTGGACTTTTCTCTCGTTCATCTTGGGAACTTGGATCTCCTGAACTTTCAACTTGAACATCAGCAGATACTGTTCCTTGAACGCCTGAAATTCATAGAAAATTGTAATAGAAAGTTCATTTCGATGTTTAATCTTTTTGGAGTTATCAATAATAATCAATCAAGCATCAAAACAAGTTGTATCAACTACGTTTACATTTAACGTAACCTACATTTGTCCTATTAACAATTATCGATCGTCATAACATAGAAAAAGTTGATAGTTGAATGATAATGTAAGAGAAACGTTGGAAAATGGAAAATCTAGAAAGTAAACAGCGTCAACTTACTATCGCCAGTTTCATCCTCCAACGCCTTGCGAAGCCGCTCAACTAATACCGCTTTATTTCCCTTAGTATCAAGGCCACGTTTGCCCAATTCACTACGTAGCTCGACAACTTTTAATTTAGCTGGATCCATTACTATCAGTTTCATACAACTCGCGGGTACTTATGCTCTTTTGTATTGACAAAATATCTTACAAAACGACCATGCACGCACAAGTGACCCGCGCTAGTCACACAATATGGCGGCTTAGACCGCAAACAACGCGTTAGATATATCACTAATTTTATTGGTCGAGAGAAACTCGAGATCGAACTGCTGCTAACTTCACTCCTCACTGTATTACTCATTTCATTGGTCAATACTGATAGATCTGTAACGTTATTGGTCAATTTCAATAATGTTTCTTTAGTAAAAGGTTATTCGATTCGTTGACAATCTAATTTGAATTATTATTGGTAAATACTAACCTAATCATAAATCAGAACTCGTTATCATTAATTTTTGGTTCTTCAAAATGAGAATCATGTGATTTGTATTTTTTCATTACAATTTTTAACTGAAAAATAAACTAAACAGATAATAAAGTAATTAAAAAAAAAAAAAAAAATTAGTAGACTTAGAAAAATGGATGAAGATCAACTAATACGAGAAATAGAAGAACTAAAAAAATTATTGAAAGAAAAAGAGGATAACCTTACGCAGTTGAGGTCGAAAAAACAAATATTACAGAAAAATGGGTTAAAAAATGATGAAATTATGAGATATAGTCGACAAATTCTTATTCCAGAAATTAGCGTAAAAGGTTTGAATCATTTTATCAGAAGTACTTTTAATAAATGTTAATATAATAAAAATAGTAAACAAGTTTTTTATGTATCATTATTGTTAGGACAAGTAAAAATAAAAAAATCATCAGTGCTGATAGTTGGGGCTGGTGGATTAGGATGCCCTTCAGCTTTATATCTAGCTGGTGCTGGAATTGGAAAAATTGGAATCATAGATTATGATAATGTTGAGTTAAATAATCTTCACAGACAACTACTTTTTACCATTCATGATCTTGGAAGAGCTAAAGTCGAAGCAGCTGCTGAACATCTTACGAGGTACTAAATGATATTACTTATCAAATTAAAGTATCCATCTATCAATTACATTGTTTTGTTTTTAGACTTAATGAAAATGTTGTAGTCATTCCTTACAAAATGCAAGTTGATAGTACCAATATTTTAAACATCATCAAAGATTATGATATTGTTCTTGATGCAACTGATAATGTTCCTACACGATATTTACTAAATGATGCTTGTGTTTTATCAAAAAAACCACTAGTCTCTGGATCAGCTCTAAAAATGGAAGGTCAATTAACTGTGTATAATTATAAAAATGGACCATGTTATCGGTGTGTATTCCCACAGCCACCACCACCAGAAACAGTTGTAAATTGTGGTGATGGAGGTGTTATTGGAGCAGGTACTTTGATAGATACTTGTATCCATTTTAACAAACAATTATTTAATTCATTCTCTTATAGTTGTTGGAACAATTGGAGTATTACAAGCCTTGGAAGTAATCAAGATAATTTTAAACATTTCTGGAGTTCTTTCTGAACGACTCGTACTCTTTGATGGAATGGAAGCAGCATTTAGGACAATCAAATTACGCCCTAAAAATCCTAATTGTGCTATATGTGGTAATAATCCAATGATTACTGAATTAATCGATTATGAGCAATTTTGTAAAAGTCGAGCAAATGACAAGAATCCTAATTTAAAACTTTTAAAAAATGAAGAAAGAATTACTGTTGAAGAGTACCATAAAATTAAAAATCTTTCAACACCTCATCTTCTGATTGATGTTCGATCATCAGAAGAATTCCAAATTTGTCATCTAGATGATGCTATTAATATTCCCTATATTGACATAAAAAAGAAAGGAGGTTTAGAAAAAGCTGAAGAAATAATCAAAGAAAAACTACAAGGGTGTAAAGACACTGATGGTAAGGAAATACAATTGAATGAATATTAAAAACTGTTTACTATTTTTCTTTTTTAATAATTTATGCCTTTAGTATATGTTTTATGTCGTCGTGGGAATGATTCTCAACGAGCTGTAAAATTATTTAAAGAATTTTTCAAAGATGAAAATAACAGAATAAAGGATATCGTGGGTGGTATCCATTCATGGACACACAAGATTGATTCTCAATTTCCAATTTATTAATAATAGAACTAATAAAGGTAAATAATTTTTGTTGACCGATTTTGTACAGTTTTAAATAATATAAAGTACATTACTTATTGATTATGTAATAAATTATAACAGAAAATAGATTTATTTATTTCTCATATTTTTTAAAATAACATTGACTATATTTGAATTAATTATACATGGCAATTTGGTCTGAAGTTAAACTTGTCTCAGGATGACGATAATGTTGATCTGGAAGACTTCGCAATTTTTCTGCTGCTTGTTCTGGTGTCAGATCTCTTTGAGCTTGAGCTAATAACTCGTAGCCTACCATATGTTTCTTTATTGTAGCTGATCGAAGTAAAGGAGGCAAATACATGCCATGAAAAGTCCAATGACTAGAATCTTTATTAGCTAGAGGTCCTGTAGGAGCTCCATGCCAGCCCATTGAATAAGGGAATGAACAAAGAAATAGATTATCATATTTTGTACATAATCTTTTCATTATCATAGCCAATGATTCTTGTTGGCTGGATGTAAGATCTTGTATTCTTGGCACTTGTTTTTTCGGTAGCACCATTGTTTCATAAGGCCATACTGCCCAAAATGGTACAAGGACAACCCAATCACGATTTTCAATTACAATTCGCTCCTATAAAAAGTACTTTCTTATTTATTTTTTTTACATTAAAATATATCAAATAAATTATTAAAATACATACCTTTTTTGCTAGTTCTTTTTCAACGTAATCTACCAAAAGTGGACGATTATGACGAGAATAATACTCCAAAAGATGTTGATCCTTTCTTTTGGCTTCAAATGGTAAAAATGAACTTGTCCATATTTGACAATGAGGATGAGCATTGCTACATCCCATCAAAGCACCTCTATTCTCAAAAATTTGTACCCATGTCCATTTTTTTCCCAATTCTATCATCTCATTGATCCACCAATAGATTATAATTTTTCAATTAATACTTTTGCAATGAATGATTAATAAAAAAAATTACTTACTGTTTAATTACTTCTGCAATCTCGTCAATTTTCATTAAAGCAATTGTAACGTTAGATTTAGGATGAAAACACATGACTTTGCAAGTGCCTCGTGCTGTATCCATTTGAAACAATTCATCCTGTGAAGCTGGTGGTCCAGGTACGTCTTCCAATAACGCGGGAAAATCGTTGACGAATGAATATGTTCGTTCATACTTTGGTGTCACCTGAAATATTTATTTCAACTCAATTAAGTAAAATCTTTTTTGAAAATTACAGATTGATGTTGAGTAATATTAAAAATATAAAAATTATTGAATAGAGAGAAGGAAGAATTGGTACCAACTTTTCCATTGACTCTAGGATTCCCAGGACACAGTGGATTATTTGGATCATATTCTGGTAATTCTTCATCATTAGAAGGTTCAATTTGACCTCCCCAAGGTCTTTTCATTCTGTGTGGTGATACTAACACCCATTCTCCTTTCAATGGATTATACCGGATGTGTTGATGTTCTGAAAATAGAATAGTAATTGAAAACTGTAAATTTATTGATACATCATAATTCGATACAAATGTTTAATTGGAGTGTCAAACAATGTCACAATAATGCAATTAATACCTTTTGGATCGAAGATATTAGATTCACTTCCACTCATTGTGTTCTCTTATTTCAATTATCAGTACACTGAATGAACTTCTCAATGTCAGCAATAAATAAAAGCGCTTCTCAGAAAAATAATTGGTGTAGAGCTTGATTACTCACTATCACATATGACGATTATCTAACCTTTGAAAAGTATAAACATTATGAAAACATTCAAAATAGAAACTATTTGAAAAATTCTGGAATTAAACAACACTTCATGCTTATTAAATAATGCAATATTTCAATAAATGACGAGCGATTTATTGCGTAATATATTAATTTTGTTATCAATCGTGTCAGCACAGAATGAATAAAAATTTCCAATTCATTATGTGAATAATCTTTAGATAATTAAGAAAAATTGAATATAATACAGTTAAATTTGGTGAAAAAAAATTAAAACGTACAATAAATTTAAAAACTCTCTACAATCAGTATGGAAAATGTTAATTTATGGATTACTTACATTTGTTAGTATGAAGTTGAAAAGAATTTATTTAAACTTGCGCCATAAAAGCAGAAATTATTAGTGTCTTCTATTGCTAAATTTTTATTGGATGCTTGATATAAATAATTCCATTGTAACTGTTGTATTTTCAAAATTGCGACCGCGAGAGGGATTAAAGTCAAGTAAACTCGATCCTTGTCATCCGCTTGGTAATCTTTTTTCTGGCTCCACTATTTTTGTTAATCATTAAACATGGCGAGAGGTAGTAGTGCAGGTTTTGACAGGCATATTACAATTTTCTCGCCAGAAGGGCGATTATATCAAGTAGGCAAGTATTATTAAATATTCATCTTATGTTATTTTTATATCTTAAGAATTTTCAAGAAATCATTGACATTCACCGACATAACCAAACATACTCCGCAAAGGAAGACAGCGTGATCTGCACTTTTGAATGGAGTTTTAAATACAAATCATAAATTATCTATTTATTGTTTACAGAGTATGCTTTCAAAGCTATTAATCAAGGTGGACTTACTTCGGTAGCTGTTAAAGGAGCTGATACCGCAGTTTTTGCAACACAAAAGAAGGTTCCGGTACGTATAACCTCCATTTTCGGTTGATTCTTTAATTTCACATAAACAATTAAATTTATTTATTTACACAAAATAGGATAAGCTTCTTGATGCATCTAGTGTTACCCATATCTTTCAACTTACTGAACACATTGGATGTGTTATGACCGGAATGATTGGTAAGATATTTTGCCTTTAGTTTCTACTGAATCCAAGTATTTTATCTAATGCTTTAAAATTGATTATAGCTGATAGCAAATCTCAAGTCCAACGTGCTCGTTATGAAGCAGCCAATTTCAAATATAAGTTTGGCTATGAAATTCCTGTAGATACACTTTGTCGTCGTGTAGCTGATATATGTCAAATTTATACACAAAATGCGGAGATGAGACCATTAGGATGTTCAATGATGCTAATAGCTTATGATAAAGAAAAGGGTCCATGTATTTACAAAGCTGACCCTGCTGGATACTTCTGTGGATACCGAGCTATTTCTGTGGGAGCTAGACAGACAGAAGCAAATTCGTATTTAGAGAAGAAGTTGAAGAAAAAACAGAATTATAATTATGATGAAACTGTACAATTGGCAATAACTTGTCTTTCTACAGTTTTATCTGTTGACTTTAAGCCATCTGAAATCGAAGTTGGAGTCGTTTCGAAGGATAATCCAAAATTCCGGTAATTATATTTAAATAATTAGCATCATAAGCATATTTAGTGTATTGTTGATTAAAAAAATTGTAATCTTCCAATTTTAGTGTCCTTACGGAACAAGAAATTGATAAGCATTTAACGGCTATTGCTGAAAAAGATTAATCAAGCGGTGATTGCAGCATAAAGAAATTTTTCAGGCTTGCACTAATATTTTTTTTATAATTCATAAATTAAATAAAATTATTATACAGATACAGTTTCCTAATGCATTAAGTGAACTTATCATAATAAAAAGAAAACAACGTTATACAGATGAAAATGACTTATTTATTGGCTTAATGAGGTATTAATTTACAAAATTTATAGAATAGTATTTGGAGCAAATGAAGGAACATTATTACTTTCCTGATGCAGTAGCCAATGGATTTCGTAGAACTAAAATTACTGAATCGCCTCGTAGAAACATTTTTGATATAAACCGATCTTTATTAACTGGTTTTGCCTATTTTAACAGAAAATTAATAAATTATTTTTTGTTGAAGAACCCGTGAGTAAAAATAATTACTATCAATAAAGTAAGTTTGAATAAAATACTCACTTTTTTCTTTCCTTTTCCAGTTCTTGGGAGTTCTGTCCACATTTCTTTTACATTTTCTAAAACCATATTACAGTGTCGATCAAAAGCTTTCACCCTTCCAAGCAATTTTTTGTTATTTCGACAATTAATTAATACTTGAGTATTATTTTTCACTGATTGAGTGAGAACTGATAAGGGCCCTGTGTTGAATTCTTCCTCTTCTCTTTTTGACAACTCTTCTGGAGTCATCTCTGATTTAGGTTTGGTAAGAGAAGCCCTATAATATTTTAATGAATTAAATATTTTTATTACCATTATTATTACAATAAATAATAAATTATCAAAGATAAATTAAAATAATCAAAAAATAAAGTGACCGGTAAGGTTATGTACAACTTTGTTTTCTTTTGAAAAACATTATGAATTTATTTTGTATGAAAAAATTTATCAAGTATCAAATTTTTTATTATTAACTTACATTCTTGTATTCCAAAAGAATTAAGAAATTGAACTAACAATTTAATTTTCCAAAAATATTTAACGTTTGATTACGATGCAATACAAGCGTTTACAACTTTCACAATTGAAAAACAATTCGCCATTAATCGGTAAGAATAAATAACGAATCAACTTATCAGCAATCGATAAAAATTTTTTTTTAACCTTTAGGTTCATAAGTAATTACTAGATGACGTAATATGAAGAAGCAAAATTCGCAATCATTTATAAGATGGCCGAACAGGTGGCAGTATAATGTTCAAAAAAGCGTTGAAGAAGGGACAAAGTGAAATGAAACGGAGTATGTGAGCTCTGGAAGCCTGACTAGTCGACTTCGAAGCCGCTAAGTTGTGAGATTACTTTAGTGATTCAGTTGTCGCTCCTGCAATAACGAACGCTAAAACTTGTGTGTGTAAGGTTATGCATTTACTGTTTTGTTAATTAACAAAATCAGTTGGAAAATATCGTGATTGAACCGTGTATTTATTATATTTATTGAGTGTATTAATGAGTGAATAGTTGAGTAATTGCGTGGTTCATTCAAGGATAAAACCACTTGTTTTTGGATAAATTTTATTTTCGAAGGAGGAAGGTATGTGCTTAATTTGCACAATAATTGATCGATTCATTATTTAAATGTACGTCAATTGATAGACATAAACTTATTGTCCATTCCAAGAGCATGCTTCCATTCTTTCAATTCCAACTATTTAAGATTTACCGGTATAATCTGTAGATAAATCTACCGAAAAAAGGGCACACGTGGAGACCCAATTCTTCTGGTCTCCATATAGTCCTGGAATTCTTATAACGCATCTGTGTACTGTCTATTTTCAAATATAATATTTTATTCCTATCATCATTATGATGATTAAGACATAAAAGTAAACAAAGTCAAGCGCATTATTTACTTAGTTTTAAATTGAAAAAGTGAGCGTAAATAAAGTATAAGATTGTTTATATTATGCAGACTCCAAATAATAACATATTTTAGAGTCGTTCAGTGTAACTGAATTTCGCCGGTATCCAAGAATTTCTAGCTAAGTATCTCTAACAAATCTATTCAAAGTCTAAGAATCCTATAGGTCGCGTCTGTTGATCAAATTCAACAAAATAAACCGGAAAAATAATATAATAGCCAATGATATGAATTTTAGAGAAGTTTACATAGAATTTTAACAGACCTTCAAATCTGTTTCTGCTATGGAACCAAAACTCTTGCTCCATAACAAGAATTGAATTATTTTTCTTAGAGATTTTTAAACAAGAGCATTTCTTGATCTGTTTATTTGGTATTTCTGACTCTAAATTTCTTTGGAGTGAAGTTTCAAAAGTTTGTTTTTCGTAAATGATATTTATTTTAAAAAACGTACCGGGTACCCGGTGTGACATCGTACGACGATGTGTGGCCTGCGTTTTTTCCATCTTTCTCTTGCTTATTCCCGCTCTTTCACATTAAAGTACAGCAGTCTCACTCCAGAATCTTTGCTGTATTAATGTTCGTGTGCGTTCACCATATAAACACGTGGCGCACAATGCAAGAAAACGTGCGCAGCGTGTGCGTGCGTGTTTCGTGTAGACTTGCTGGACCGCTCCTGAGTCCTCTCTAACTTCTCTCTTTCCGTCTCTTTCGCTCTCTCTTGATTCTTCTTTCTTTCTATATACCCTTTAGTCTTCGTTCGACGCTCCGAAAGAAAGTTAACGAGAATAAAAGATAGAACGAGAGAAGGAATAAAGGAGAGAAAAAATATCGTTAGGCACGAGGCATTTCGGGGTTATAAAGACAAGCAGAGCGGGTAGATCGTCAGGTTACGGATTATTTCAAGGCTTAAATTTTTTAAGAAACTCTCGAGGGCCCCATACCGCTTCCTGAGAATCGCGAAGAGTCATGGGAACCATTTTACCCTCATAAATATATTTTCTTTCCTGTTTGAAATTTTTCTTTTATTGCCTATCCCTTTTTTTAGGGTTATTTATAGGCAATTTCTTCATTTAGTATGATCGTGGTACAGTTAATTCAAAATTAATGGTTTTTAATTATTTTGTAACATATAATAAATATGTCATAAATATTATTTAATCTTAATTGAGGAAATGGTTATCATTTGTTGGACTCGCTGATCGACAATTAAAGTTCAATTGATTAAAAAAAAATTATTTTCGAGGTGAATTTATTTATGTGACCTATATTTTATTTTATTATCAGTGTAGTTTTAATTCTAATTCGATTTAGCTATCATAAAAATTCAATTTATCACTTATCTGTAAAATTAAATTATCCTAATTTTTTAGTGTTTATGTGAAGCCATAATCCTCGATGTCATAACACAAAAGATCCATTGATGACTGTAGTAGTGAAATAGAGGGTCATATAATAGGATTTCTGCAAAAAGTTAAAATCATATTTCCATGACATCTTATCTTCGTCGCTTCTTGCTATCTCCTGAAGCTTGTCGGACTTATTTTATTTATGACCGTGTTTTTACTGGGTTATTTGAATCGTCGTGTGTAAAATTCAAATATTCATAACTCTGTAATATTCTTTGATGATTCATATAATGTTAAATAAAATTTTCCAGATAAATAAAATAAAAGTAAAGATTAGATGACAACACTGCAAGAATAAATAATTTTTCTTAACATTTTTTTTAAATTTTATTTTTATTTAACATACTTACTAACTCCATTTTTACTTTAAAAATTCTCGGTTGTAGCTTACATAAGTTCTACCTTCTTTCATAAAATATTTTGAATACCATCCTTCGATAAATACACAGAAAAAAAATCTTATAAATTAGGATACTGTCAGGATCTAGTATTTTCTAGATTTTTTTCTTTGTTAGATCATCTTATGAGTAGTTCATAGAAGTCCTTCAATAATTAAGATGATTATCTCTGGCCCCTAAAATTGTATTGTATAGTACCGTCGGTTCTCCTTGTGACTCTAGAAAGTCACACGACTCAGAGATACGTTAGGCGGCTTATATGTATTATTTGGTGCATTACTTGTCTCCTTCGTAACTTGTAATATACAACTTTGACTTAGTCTTCTTTTTTTTTTTTACTTCTCCGGTGCTTGTGGAATGTTAAATTGTCGGTAGCGCGTACTTAGGAATGTACCAGTCGATTCTCTTCCTCGTACTGGCGACTTTCTATCCAAGCCTCTAAGTTCTTTTAACTTTGCTATTTTTTATAACACTTTAACTACAGCCCAAAGGGAGGAAAAACGTCAATTAAGAAGAGAAATGGGTACTGTTTGAAATTTTCATTTGGTTATATTCAAGAATTTATTCATAAAGGATGAGAGAATTTATTCAAATAGATTTATTTTGTTATAAGATTTTAGTAATCACCGGAAATGAACTATTTATGTTCTTTATTATTTTATTCAGGATAATGTTGAGGAATTATCATATTCATTTTGCTATAATGTTAAATAATTTAATAAATTTTATCAAATTATTTTCAATTGTGAAAAATGTAAAAATAGCTCCATAACATAATGATTGAATTTTCCTTCAAGAAGGCGGATGATGATGTACTTGATCGACGAGAATCTTTTATACACGCGATTTTATCTCCCCTGTGGTAATGCCACTTTCACTCTAACGTTACTGTAATTGCCATGATTGAAAAAAAAAGAAAGAAAAAAAAATTGGCAATTCTAAAGACATTATCTGCATGTTTATGTCTTCTTATTATTATTACTTTTTTTTTTCTAACTTTGTTTTGTGGTTTATTTGTACTTTGTTGTTACCTATAACAGTTATTTGGTTATGTAGAAACATCAGATAAGAATAAACTTACATGTTAAAATGTAAACATGCAGTATTAAATTTATTTTTGAAATTTTTATTTTAGTTTATATTTTTTATTATTTTAGATTTTTTTTTTTAAATTAAAATGATTGTTGAGTTGATTTAACATCTAGTAAAGCTATTATTTTTTGAGAAAACATTGTAATCTTGCAAAATTCGAAAGTGAATATGTATGCTAACATGCATTCAGTCAACTAAATGGTAGAGGGTCACGTAGAATGTCAAGTTTTAGAAACTTTGAACGTACACTTTCACGGTCATTGAACTGCTAATGAATACATTTGTCTTGGCGACACTTTTTTTTTAAATATATATTTTATTGTATCGATGCAGAATTAAATTTGTCACTTTATCTTCACTGATATTTATTTCAATGAATAACTAATTCTTCCTCAATTTTAAAAGCGATTTTTATTTGTAATTTTAATTACTTTTATTGCCTTACTGCTTATTTTATATTAACTCATGAGATAAGATAATAATTTTTGATTTAATTTTTTTCAACTTAAAAAAATTTAAGAATAAGATTTTTCTTTTATTTATTTATTTTTTTCTTTTTTTCAATAGGATGATTTTAAAAAATTTTCCTTTACCACTTTGTGATTGATGAGTGAATAAAATGAAAATGATTAAACACGTTTGTGCACTTTATATAATAAGAATCAAATAAAAGTAAGATGGAAGAATAAATGTATCTTCTATCTTACTTCTATTTTACCAAAGGCATAAACTTTCGATTAATAAATAGTTTCTTACATAACTCTAACGTTATTTAACATAAATTCTACATGTTTTTAATTATTTTTTTTCAAATTTCTAAAATTATTAACTCTGTTAATAAAATTTTCTCTCTATTATTTAATCAATTTTCTATCATTTATTTATTTTTTTATAAATTTCCAATACATGATCAACTATTAAATCAATCAAACTTAAGAAGAATGAATAAATATTGTGATTTACCTTCAATTGAATTTATCCATCTGATGGCTACAAATAATTCTGAGCTTGGAATTTCATTTATGATGATAATAAGTATTGGATCATACACCAAAGAATACCGCCATATACATACATTCATAAAAATAACATAAAAAATTCAACAAAAAAAAAAAAAAATATCGCTCTCAACCTTATAACTTATTCAGTGGGCAAAATTATTAGTGATAATTATCAATTATGATGACGTTCCCAAGTCTTCGTGGTTTAATTAATGGGTCCCGGATGAGAAGACTGAGTATTAAAGCATGAAAAACGAAAGAAAAAATCTGTGCCTATGGTATTTTACCGTGACCTTTTTCCATTTAAAATATTTTCATAGAATTAAGGGAAATTTTTTAAATAATTTTATTATGACTCATCATTTATTTTTAAACTAAACATTGAATTAAATAAGATTAGGTACACCTTGTATACATAATATATTGACAGCTACATGGAATTTAATCATTATTATCACGATAAGAAATTTTCTAAATTATTTATTTAATACTTTTATGATTGATTATTAATTTTATCTAATACGTCATAGATCGATTTGTTAATTAAATTATCTTAATTAATTTTCGAGCTATGAAGAATTTTTATTGTCAAAACTACTATTAAATATCAATTTTAAAAAATTTAGTGTCAATCTTAAAATTATTACTGACAATGGTTATTTAATTGCACTTATTTATCAAATTTTTTTAAAACTCAATCACATCCAAGTTGAGTAGAAAAATAAATACAATTTAGTCTAGTTACTTATTAGGTATCAAGGTATGAAGTCACTTTTATATTACTGCCATATCCGTAACTTACGTCACTTCTTACTTCTCCTATTTTAAATGAAAATTGTATAATTACTGAGCAATATCGAAAAACCAGTCTCTCAATATAGGTATGTTGAAGTTATTCTATTTCTTAATATGCACTTAAGTAGTGTAAAAAACAATGATTTATTATTACTGGGAAAAATTAAAAATAACAACAACAATTACTGCGTTATTTAGACTTATGACATCAGTTATATTTAGTACTCCTATTATTTTACAAGCTTATAATCATTAATTTCATAGAAATGTTTTATTATATGATTCAACAAGTCATGTTGTGTGCTTTTAAGTGTATTATGTGGTCGAGAATTGACACTTTTTAAAAGATTATCACAGATATTACATTAGATCTTTTATTTTATCAATTTTGGAGGCTAGATAAGTTTAAGTTTGTGACAAATGTGCTGAAATATATTAGTGATTGTGTTCATTTGATATTTGTCAAGTAAATATTAAGAAATTCTTTTTCTACAGGTGGATTTCGTTTTCTGTCTTGGAAATAGATATTTTGAAATTTAAAAGGACAATATTTGTTTATGTGTTTAGTGTTCATAATATTTGGAATTATTGATATAATCTAAAATCATTCTGTGATTGACTTTTTAACTATTCTTCAAATCTAGACCAAAACAATTCCTACATAACATCCATGGTGTCTACAGATCCAATTGAAGGTTGTTACTAATTTTATAGTTCATATTAAGTTTTAAAAAAGTTCCTAAATATTATTTATTTTATGGGTTAGTTAAAATTAAATAATTGTAAATTAAGAGATAGTTATAACTTACCTGAATTTTTATATCAAACTTTATTTCTATTCTTCCACTGTCATTTCTCAAAACGATTAAAACTTCAGCTTCGTACAATGAACTAAATCATTTTTTCTCAAATTATTTTTTTGATCCTAAATATTTTTAAAATTAGTTCATCATTAGTCATAATTACAGCCTAATTTGTAACAAAAGAAAGTCTCTCAAATTCTTTTGAATGGAAGAATCATTTTCCCATTATGTCTGACTAATGTCTGTTTCTACTTTCATTTCCTTCCATTCAACATCTCGAAATGAAACTACTCCAAAATTTATGATAAGTATTTTATAAGTGTTGTTTAATGATACAATAATTTAATGATATGAATAAAAATACAGTCAATATTTTGATGCAATATTTTATTGCTAAATTTTTTTTTTTTTTTTAACATACACTGATGATATCACGTTCAGTGATTCGACACTGTTGCTTATACGATATTTCCGGTTCACTGGCGTGTTTTTTGCCTGACAACGATAGTAAAATGACGCTGTAAAATTTAAAAACATTGTATCTGTGTTGAGGTGAATTATATCCCATACAATAAACGAATTTAATGTTGAACATATGGTGCATTTAAGCATTCAACATTCCAATGTCCAAATTCTTTTTCGTTCAAAATCGCTGTAGACGTTGACTCATCCAAGCGCATCAACTCATCTCAAATCATTTAAGAGTAATTTGCAATGAAATTCTTATCAATTTTATTCTTGGATCTTAAATAAATTAATTTATTTATAAAAATTTATTCTTTTAAAAAAAATTATCGATAAATTATTTCTTGACAATTATATTTTTAAATACTATGATTTAATAATTTATTAATAGTCACATAATGTTAATAGAATTTGATTGACATCATTCTTTTAAATAGAAAATTAAATTAAACGAGCGACTAATGAAATTAAGTACACAATTTGTAAATTTCTAAAAAGAAAAAACAAATAGTGTGATATAATAATTGTCGTTATTACTGACGATTATGAACGTTTCTTTTTTCACCTTGCGTGACTAACGGTGTATTATCTTGAAGAGAAGATAAACATTATGCCATTAAAGAATTCACGACGTCGATAAAAATATTATAAAGATAATAAACTTCCAATAAATATCCACAAATTCACAACCACTCAAATTTCATTTTAACATTAATTCATTTTCAACACCGTTTAAGTAAAAAAAAAATTAACCCTTTCCATAAATCAATTTTTTTTTTTTAAAGAGAGAAAAAAATCATTTGTTAACTCGCAATTGTATAAATATTTACTTTCTTCCTTCTTTTTTTGTCCCCAATTTTGTTTCTATGAACACCACACCTATTATTCATGTATGTGCACACACTAATGAGACACCTGACTGTCACACATTTGCTGATGTTTCTCCAATTCACAGATCTACATTGACATGCATCTACATGTACAAGTCGTAATGATAAGAGAAACATCAGTGGTCGTTGACTAGCAGTTGACTCAGTCGTTTGTGGCTCCTGCTCATAGTCTTAACTTATGAGTGAAATAATTATTTTTAATGCCAATTAATTGGTAGTTTAAGAATTAATTGAATTAAAAATATCGGTGTGACAATCTGTAAAGTTTTAATTGAACTTTTATAGAGATTCATTAGGATAATTCAGGATGTCTTATCGCTATCATTATGGTAAATATAAGTTACAGAGTATAATAACGACGTAGCAAAATCCACCATCTTTATGAGTGTTAGGTGAGGTAGATATATGTAGTATGAAATATGTAAGTATGTAATTCTCAATACTGCCTCTTTAAGACTTGTCCTGGCCTGGTAAGTGATAATATTTCAGTGCAGATACGACAGCCAAGGAATGAGATTCATAAATAGTATACCCAAGAGAAATGTACACTGAACTTCTGTGGCAGTTGTAAATTTTCTGTCATATAATTACCTGTTCTCTATCCCGACATGTGTCAGTTTTGTTTTTTTAATAGAAACAATTAGCGGATGCCGCTTGTTACAACCTCTTGTATCTTCACACCTGCATATACATACAGACATTGTCTATGTAACTTTGCTGTGACTAACATGCACGTGTTATTTTTGCTAGTTCATTTTTACCTGACCTTTTTTTCTCTTAAATATTCTTTATTTGACTAAGCTGAAAAAAAAATATTCACAATTTATAGGATGTTGATGTACGCAGTCGGGAAAAGTGCAGAAATTACCCTGCAAAAAGCAAAAAGAAAATTTACTTCATACTAATTAATGTGAGACATAACGACCTGGGCAGTAAATATTACTCTTCATGAAAGGGTAAAATTTACACTGATGTTTTTGAAGTTTTATAACTCTTTAAAACCTAGATATTTGACTTCTAGACCCTCTAGACCTTTTCTGAACCTTTCTAAAATTTTATCATAGACTCCTGAAAATTCTAGTCTTTAAAAGAAAAACTTTACAATTATATCAAAAAAAATTCTTGATTATTTTATTCTTCATAGATATCAAAACTTTATCTTGAAGCTTGCTTTTTTATGTCTTAATTAATAATGAAATCAATTAAGATAAGCCTAGAATTTATTTCTATTCTCTATTAATATAAATCCATCTTTTTTGATATCTCATTGTTACTTTTAATTTGCTAAAATATTTTTTTATCTAAAAAAAATCAATTAACTGACCTTGTTTTCTATAAAAGATAATGTCTATACAGACACAAAAAAATATTAATTAAATTCAATAACAAAATCATTATAAAATATGTTGTTATTATTTTTTTATAGTTATCGTTAAAAACAAATAGAGATTTTCGTAAGAGATAATATTGGGATATATATATCAAGGTATTAATTAGAAATGACACCCATTAGGAGTGGTTAATGAAAAAATATTGAGTGGCTTCATTTATGCAAATATTGCGGGAAATGTAGAAATAGTTTTGATAAAAACTGAATTTTTTATCATACAAACTAACAGTATCTACAAATAAAGCTTAAGTGTCGACAACATGACTACGACTATCGGCAGACATGGGCGTACGTGTTAGCGTCACGCATGGAGAATTTCGCGCGTGTGAGATCGTATACACGCGTGTTCACTTGTGACTTTGCACTGCAGGATTTGCGAAAGATAAACGAGAAAAGAGTAGTACTCGCGTGACCGGTCAAATCCGTTTGATGAAGCTAAAAGGAGCAAAAATAAACTAAAAATAGATTAATAAATAATTAAATGCTTGACAGTTATAGGGAAATAAATTGGAAGTGTAACTTACATTCATTTATCCTTACTTATTATTATTTTTCATTATCAAACTATATTTAATATGTATCTTTAACATTCACTAGTCGCAAAATGACATCGAAATTTATAATATCGTTTACTTATTTATTCCACTTTTCTGTTTATTAATCACTTTATCTAAACATTCTGATATCTAAGTCTTCTTACTGCTATTTAACTTAATCCCCTATTTTTAAATGAGACATTCTTTTTGTTATAAAAAAACACACTTATATGTAGTCTCAAAAATGTTATTTATATTTTGTTTATTTATCAAGATGTTCTAACGTTAATCCAGATAACTGGATAATTTACTGTATCGATAAATTGTATTGACATATTGCACCTGTAACGGTATCGTGTAGAATTTCTGTTAATCTTCTAGGCTTATTATTCACAATTATTATCAGTATCAAGTTAAGACTTGGTAAATATTGAAAACAAAATGGCTTTGCCACTTAAGACTTCATAAAATGTTATAAATAAATTTATTTCTCCTCATTTTGCCCTTGACTTTGTATAATGAAATTAAAGCAAGTAGCTTAAAAAAATATCATTTTAGTTATTGGAGACTTATCTTTTAGGATTGTTCATTAAGTTTCCTTAATTTTTGAAAGCCAATATTTCACTTGGTATTGATTTTTTTAAATAATCTTTCAAGGTGTAGGGATCTTTTGATCTGATATTTTTCACTTAAAATGATTTATTAACATAAAATGATTATTTTCAGGGGCGCAGTATGAGCCCGGTGCTGGCCAATGCGCCGTACCCCAAGGAACGCAAAGCAGATTGGTGTATAACGAATATCCACCGCGGCGGATTGACAGATACCGAGGTGGTCCAAATATACAGAGGAGAATGACTCAGAGAGAGGATGTGCTCAAGTTTGAGCAGGGTAGGATTAAAGCCCTGCAGGAAGAGAGGTTACATATTCAAAAAAAAACATTTACAAAATGGATCAATTCATTTTTATTAAAAGTAAATATTGTTCTTTTTATCACTATCATTTATTTATTTATATATTATTTGAATTAATTAATTTATTATTTAATAGGCTCGTATGGAAGTCGAGGATTTATTTACCGACCTCGCGGATGGAAAAAAATTATTAAAGCTTCTGGAAATTATATCTGGAGAGAGATTGGCTAAGCCGAACAATGGACGAATGAGAGTCCACAAGATTGAGAATGTAAATAAATCGTTGGCATTCCTTCATACCAAGGTAAGATAAACAATTTAAATTTAATCCAACAGCGTATTATCGTTCATTAGCTATCGCCGAAGATAATGATATTTAATTAAATTTTGTTCAACTTATAAATTTAATTTCTTTTTTTTTTCTTTTTACTACTCTAAAAGAAAATAAAAAAATTATTTACACGTTTATGGCTGAGAAAAATAATAATAATGACTCTAGGTAAAAATATTTTTCTCAGTGTGTTGAAAGTACTTGGTAATGAATGGCCAAGTTATTTTTGAAGTAAAGAATAAAATGTGAAGTGAAAATGATGAATGAAGCCCTTCACAAGGTATTTGTAGTGTTTTTCTCAACCACAAAAGAGTATGCATAAATTTAAAAAAATCTCGTAACTGTATTTCTATTATCATTTTCTACTAATTTACATACCTTCATTAACGTTTCAAGCTAATGCAGATTCAATTGTTTGAAACTAAAAGATCAGCAAGAATTTAATTAAAGTATTTTTAATAATGAAAAGCTATTTGTAGATAATAATAACTTTAGCTGTACAATTATTATGATTATTTCACGTCAGTAGAACGAGTTAGATATGAAAAATATAAAAAGGAAAAAGAAGAATTCTATACTAGATTCTCCAGTGCCACATTATTCTGCATCTGACATGTATTGAACAAGACAGAATGAAGCACTTCAAGTGTTGTAAAGTTCTCATGAATGGCCTCTATGCTTTTGTAGCTTATGACATAATAGGTTTTGCGTACACACATCATATGAGTATAAGCAACTGACGAGGGCAGCCGCCTCGGTACGCCGAACCGGATGGAGAACAAAATCAGCTCGAGCGTTACGTGCAGAGCAGAGAACAACCAGAGAAGCATAGCCATACCCATAGAGCATTGACCACTAGTTATTTCTCTCTTCTGGGCACGTCACTTTAAATCTTTATTGCAAGTTATATAGAAGAAATGAACCCTATTTTTTATCGTCAATCGTGCGTGATAAGAATATTTGAGTATCAAGTTCATTTTTCTCAAGGTTCTCCATGGAATTTGCTCACAGATTAGTTGACAACTGTTTTTAACACAAAGTTGATCACGAGATTAAAAATAAATCAAGAATGATTTTGATTGATAATTTTTTATTTTTAATATAAAAAAATTTATTAAAGACTGAGTTTTTTAAAAATGAAAATAATTTTTTAGTTTAAAATGAATTCTGATATCAAAGAAGTCATTTTTTTCCTCTAGTAGAGCCAATTAAATTTTTCTTTAAGAGAGTATTAATTTTTTTCATTCAAAAACAATACAAATAATTGTATATCATGTGGGAAGATGTTTTTTATTTTAATAAAAAAATATATTTTTTAGAATTTTATTGCACAATATTTAAGTAAGTTATGAGGCCATTTAAATCTACCAGGGAATCAATAATTTTTTACTATGAAAAATAAAACGTTTAAAACATACTTGAAATATTCATTCTTCAAGTATTTAGAAATTTTTTTCCTTAATATAGGTATGTAACTTACCTTGAATATGAATAGAAAAGTACATATCGACGACAGTTTTTTTTTGTATTATTTTCTGTCTTTTGTGAATGTCAGGCAGGTTAACGGGACACGAATAGCTTTCGCTTTTCTCCTATTAGCAAATTTATACGCGACGAAAGCGAGTGATTTCAAGGTCTCGGAATTTAACATTTGAACATGTGTACCTTCTTTTTAAAGTCCTTTGACTGAAAAAGATAAAAAAAAAACAATAAATGTAGACTCAAATGTCAATGTGATGTGAAGATGAAATTTTTGGAGTATTACCGTTAGGTAAGCATCAGCAATGATGGTTTTATTTGAATAATAATGTCAAGTAAATAATTTCAAGGTGGGTGTGAGGTGCAATTCACTGTTAATATAAGAGAGATGGAGTTAATACAAAAAGAGATACGATAAAACTGGTGCAATGAAAGGAGGGACCGCAGAAGAGAGAAAGAATAAGGTCAGTGACCGTGCAAAACTCGCTAGACCGTGAGTCCCAGCAGTGTGAAATCAAACCTGAACTACGTCTCTGTCTTATTGGTTATTGACACTTGTTATGAGAATGAGTAATGATTTAATAACTAGTTCTCAAACATCTTTTTATAAAAATATCTGAGGCTTTATACTTGAGGACTATATCATTTACTCTTGACTTCTGCTTTCACCTCAATGAGAAATAAATATACGCAAGAATCTTGAAAGAAATCTTGAGAGAGTGACAATGCAATTGTTAATTACATTATGTGATGCCAATTAAATCTTGTGATTGCAGCTTGAGAAAGTCACACGCAATAGAAACAATTCCGTGTTTCCATTTTTGAGGTTTTACATATCATCATTTATCATATGAATCAGTTTAATACAATGTTGTAATTTGATTAATCACAACTATTTTTTATTTCAAAATCAAAGTTTATCGTTACATTGAATGAAAATTCTAGTCACTGTGAGTATTTAAATTGAAAAAAAGAAAACATTACTTCTCATTTAAATAAGAAACTAAGGAGTTTAATACGTTGATGAACTTTTCAATAACTCTGCCAAGTTGTTAGAATTAGTAACAGTAAAAATTAGGTGACTAGAAAACTCCATTACGCTCTTTGAATAAAAATACTTTATTTATTTTTGCTTAAAACAAGGTAATTAAAAAAATTTCAAGAAGACACCTTCAGCTTTCTAATTGTTTCCTAGAAATTACAATATATATTTGCTTCTAACAAGAATTCATGATTCAATATGACTTGAAGCTTTTCTTAGCAAAATTCTTCTAATTTTCATAATGACTAATAGTTTGAATCTTTGAATTAATAAATGATTGATACATCCTGATGATTTCTATGAACTAATAAAGATGGTACCTTCTGGTGACTTCTTCACATGATGACCAGCAATAACAGTCGTAAGAGTACCTAGAATGTGCCAACGACTCGTTATAACCATATATGACAGAACATACAATTGTCCAACAGGATCAATAAAAGCAAAAAACACAGTGGGGAAATGTCAATCACTTGTTGTTGTTGTTGATCAAAACAGCAGAAAAATATATAATTTTTTTATACATTTGATAGCACAATTGATAATCCTCCAGACTTAAGACCTCCGATTTATTATAATTATCAAGTGTCAACGTGCTCATTAGTGTCACAGATATAATTATAAATTACATAGAGTGGAAAAGTTTAGCAATTCATTGTGACAATTTTATTTATCACCAACAAATGATGGTCTGAATATTAAACAGTGATATTTACCAATTAGCAATTAAGATAAAGCATTTAGTTATTAATTAAAAGATTTACTACTGGTAAATAGTTGAAAAATCATGAAAATAACAGTGACACATTTTGATAAATATTTTTCCACCTACTAAGGAACCTGATTATTTCTTATCTTTATAGCACAATTTGTGTTCATACTACTCAATAATTGTACATGAATATTCATCAGAAAAGGCTACTTGAAATAGTTATTATCATGGTATAATAAGATAACGTATTTTTCCGTAGTAGTTAAGAAAGTAGATGATCGGTAGCTAATTAAAAGATTAAAGTCAAGAGAAAAATCTGGTTATCGTTTTAGAGAAGTAACTGAAGATCTAACTAAGAAAGTATGCATCCTTAACGACTTCTTGATGGTTTTATTTAGATAGGGGAACAGCAAGAGAACTGTTTATGGGCGAGGATGCAGCGAGAAACGATTTACAATTCGTTAGAATAGAAAAACAGTCAATCAGAATAACTATCTTGAAATTCAGGGTCATTTTTAAACAAATTAACTATTTATTAGATTCAGTCCAGTTTCAATTCATTATTGATGTTTTTCTCTTGAAAATATTCCTCTATAATCATCTTCAGTAGCATATTTAAAATTCTGACAATTGATTACAGTGGAATCATTTGTTGGAAAAAATTTATTCTGATTTCGAATATTTTTTTTTTATCAAGACGAGTTTTAATTGAGATAATTGATAGTTGGTAACGGATGAATATAATTGGACAATAATAATAAATTAATTAATAATAAAAAGCAAATATATTTTTTTTTTGATAATTATTTAGGTCGAGTTTATGTAAGGTAAACCTTTATTTAATGATGGTAGATTAATTAAAAGTTTAGTAAAAAAATTGTAGATAATATTTAATTAAATAAGCAACATGTTGGTGATGAAATGACAGCTTAAACTATCCAGGATGATGATCCTTGTCTAGATAATTTAACTGGGTAATTTAGAATAAAAAATTTTTTTAGCAATATCCTATATTCGAGCTCTCACTTCCTTTATATTTTGCAATAGATGATGATTAGTCAGGATAACTAAAAAAGCATTTCGTATAAATTAAAGAAAAAAAAAGATTAATTTTAAAAGTGACTTCATCTATTACAAGAAGCTTCAATGTTCAATTTAATTACACATTAATCGATTAACGTGATGTAAAAAATTTTTTATGAGTCTATCAAACATTTAATCACTTAACAAACTCATTTTAATTAATTATTTTTTAATTGTTCAAATAAAATCAAGTAAGTTACATTTAACAAACATGATCAGATATTCCAACAACACTATTACTGTTGTTGCATCACCAACATTCTATCTTCTTAAAATTTACACTTTTACTTGTTTTTATATTTTCCTTGCTGGAAGGATAAAGACAATGAGTTGAAGCAAGAAACGAAATGTTCTTTATGATTCTTATAGGATTCAAGATCGCATCAGAATGACTCAATAAACATTACGTGTAACAATTGTTCCTAGTGCAAAAAAAGGAAATACTTGGATAAAATAAAAAGTCATGAATAGACGTATTTGTAGTGTACTAGAGAAATAAAAAGAAGAAAAAAAAAGTTTCTTGTAGATATAAATGATATTTACGTAAGTCGAGACGGAATGAGGTGCGTGTTCGATGTAAATTTGTATAAGCTACGCTTGGTTGGTCGAATAAACAGTGAAACATAATTTGTTCAACGAGTATCATCTTACATTATA